AAGGAGAACAACAGCCAGAGGGAGAAGGAGAACAACAGCCAGAGGGAGAAGGAGAACAACAGCCAGAGGGAGAAGGAGAACAACAGCCAGAGGGACAACGGGGACAATTTGCAAACAGAAATGAAAAGAACGAGAGGCGGAAGGGGGCCGAGAACGTGAACGAGGGCCCCAAACGAGACGGGACAGAAGAACAGAAGAACGATGGCCATGACCATCATGACACCCATAACCAAGAAGAGAAAGAAAAAGAAAACGAAACCCAAATCAAGGATCCCACCACCGACATTGGCCATGACGATCCCCGCGATAACCACCGCGACCACGACCTCGACCATGTCAACAACAACTTGGACCACCACCACGATCCTGATTCTGATCCTGATCCTGGCCCTGCCAATGGCTCTGATCCCGATATTCCCCTCCAGAGAGCCAAAGCTAGAGCCAGAGCCAGAGCTTTCTCCTTTCTCAACCTGGTCGAGACACATAAATCTTCACTCCTCGGCAAAAGCCACAACAAAAGCAAGGTCAATAACAAGGAAGGCGGGAAGAAGGAAATTTCAAAAACACCACTATCCCAATTAGTGACCGATATCTCGATACAGGAGATCCTCCGCTTCCTCGACTTTTGTGAACGAAAATTTGGAACAGAACCCCTGCTGGACGCTTCCCATGTTTGGGTTTCCATGGCCGACAAGCACAAAGACAAGGCGGCTGACATGATCACAGGCGGCGAGGGCTGGAGGGAGTTTTGAAAAATAAAACCATTCTCTTCACTGTTACGAGCCAATGTGAAACGGGTAGAGCTAGGTACTCGTATGTGACTTGATAAGGCAAGAAATCATTACAGGTGCTACACGTAGACAGTTTTAAAAGAAAGAATATTCACGGACAATTTCAAAAGCAATTCAGGAGCAATACTAATTCATTGTTGAAGTAAACTAGGAGTGGTCATCCTCCATAAACCCTCGATGATTCGCCATCATGGTCTGGGTCAAGGAGCGGTAATTCGTTAAACATCAATGTCAATGTTCATACATCAGTGCAGGGGTATCCCATTGTCTCTCCTTCGTATGCGGCCGTCGAAGAGGTCATATCTTTGACCAGAAAGGTTTACTTCTTCTCGCTCGAGATTTTGTCGGCAAGATCTTGAAACAGTCAGCTTTTGTACATTCAAAGAACACAGGTAAAAGTCAATACATACCTGCTGCAGTCTTACTGGCAGTGTTGAGAGCGCTGGCAACCGTGTCTTGGGCTTGCTGCAAGTATCCCTTGCCGGTCTCCTGGGCTGCACCGACATTCTCACTGGCCTTCTGGCTAACGTTGGATGCAGTCTCTTGCGTCTGCTGAGCGGTGCCGGATGCGGTTTCTTGTGCCTTCTGAGTCAAGTCCGCTGCAGTCTCCTGGGCTTTCTGAGTGTACTCGGCCGCAGTGCCTTGCGCTTGTTGCAGATAACTCTTGCCGGTGTCTTGAGCGGCTCCGGCGTTCTCCTGTGCCTTTTGGGTGTAATCCGATGCCGTCTCTTTGGCCTGCTGGGTGTAGTCGACCGTGGTGCCTTGAGCCTTGTTCAAGTAGTCTTTGCCTGTGTCTTGAGCCGATCCAGTATTGGCCTTAGCCTTGTCTGCGTAGCTCGAGGCGGTGTCTTGGACATTCTGAGTTGCTCCGGACAGTTTATCACCAGCAGTGTTGGCGTTGGAACGGGTCTCGTCAGACAGTTTCTGGGTGGTGGATTTGCTGTCGCCTGCTGAGGTGTTAGTCGATCTACCGTAAGGGCAGAGTTGAGAAAGTCATACCTGGCTGAACCAGTCCTGCAACGTTGTCTGCAGTACCCGAGGCAGATTCCTTGGTCTTGTCAAAGGTAGACTTCTGCGAGTCAGGAGTGATCTTCTGCTGGACTTCTACACAGCGAGTTAGCCAGCCTGTCAACAGGCAGGACCGACGGTATACTTACGATCGGTCAAATCTTTACGGCCGGTGTCAGACATGATTGTGGTTGCGAGCGTAACTTGGTTTGGTTGAGTCGAAGAATAGATTGATCAGTGAGTGTGATACTCTGTGGATCTGGGACGAGGCAAGAGTAGTGATGAAGAAGGATTTGAAAGTAGAAGAGAGTTGTTTTGAAAACAGGCAGAACAGGCAGACGAGGCGGTTTTGTTGGTGTCGCAATGTTCAAGTTGGATTTCAAGTTGTTGACGTGAAGGCGCGAGTGACTGCAATGTGATGCAATTGGGAAAGAGCTTGACGTCACTGGCAGCACGCAACAAAATCGTCACATGCGCTTCAAGTTTGCTAGCAGAGCATGTGAAGAATCCCATCCACCAACACTGCAATTCTTCTGGTAGAAAGGCCTTGGTCTCACAGTCCTCAATAATTGAATCCAGATTGCCAGGGTTCTTTCGAATACTCTAGCCTCTAGGAAATCCTGGCTACGGTACGCAGAAAGAATCCATGCCATCCATTTGCAACCCGGAACTACGCGATATCTAATTGAACTAATGGGGTATACGCACACTGAAAGATGGCCTCAGGCTTGCCTCCACTGAGCCGGCACATGATGATGTTGTCCCTTCGCTTCGGCATTGGTACATTTGCCATTACCATCACCATCACCATGATTGTCAATATGCCCAAGGTATGAGAGACGATAGACCTTATGTCTTCTTCAATCGACTCGCACCTCCTGTTCCTCTTCCAAAGGAGGCTGCCTTCCGACGCTGTTCAGATCCGCACCCTTTCCACCATACTCCTTGGGAATTAGTTCGCCCAGCCCTTTGACCTTGCTGTGGGTGAACTCCTTGGAGAGGTTGGCGCCGTTGCTCATGGGATGGAATTTTTTCAGAGTTTTTGGTGCCACAAAGAGCTTCATCAATGCATACACGAAGCCCATGAATGCCGGAACATTGACGAAGAATTTCTCCTTGAGGAGTTCGGGATAGTTCTGCGCGAAAACCTCAATGGTCTTTGTACTGGCCGCTTTGACCACGGGGGACTGACGCAGGAAGCTGATCGACTTGTAGTCATGGACCTGGATGATCTTGTACGGGTCGTGGTCCGCGGTGATGGGCTTGGTGGCTTTGGAAATGTCGAGAGACTGCAGAGCTTCCTCCATGAGGGCCACTCTCCATTCGATGAATCTGAAAATGTGGTCAGTCAGCCATTATCTCTTGTGCGTGCCGGAAAAAATCTTGTGTCCCTTACTCGTCCAAGTTGCCAAACGTCTCTTCCATATTCTTCACACTGCCATAAATGTTCCAGGTGATGATTTCTTTGGCCTCCGGGTCCGCCGAGTCGGCTTCCCCATAGACTGTGACATAACCTAACCCCTGGAATTTGTTGCGGTTGAACTTCTTCTTGATCAACTCCAGCGGCTGCATCTTTGTTCGCCAATCGAGTGTTTTGCGCAGTTGGTCCTTTGCTTTGCCGACGTCGCCGTCATTGGCATTGAGATACTTCTGCAGGATGATTTGCGTCGGGACGTGGTTCGCAGGATCGGCTAGAGTGACACCCCAGATCTCACCGTGGCCGTGCGATTTTGCAAGAGCCCAGAGTTCCTCGATCGGGGTCGCTTTCTTGTCCGCCGCAGGTTCGGTCTTTTCAGTCTGCTTGTTGGGCTCAGGTGCAGTTGCCGGAGCGTCGTTGGCGGTGGTCTCCTATTGCACTGTCAGCCATCAAAAACCCATCCATGTAGACATTAGGGGATTGTACAGTAGCAGTGCTAGGCTTTTCAGCCGGCGCTGTTTCTGAAGCATCGGGAACCACTGAGGAAACCTCTCCCGACAGAGTGGTGTTATTTGGCGCCGCAGTGGTTGTGTTGACGCCCTCATCGGGAACCACTGAGGAGACTTCTCCCGGTAGAGTCGTGTTGTTAGGCGCCGCGGTGGTTGTGTCGTTGGCCATGTTGACTGGGGGTAGCACGTCTCAAGGACGAAGAGAGGACACGAAACAGACAACGAAGCCCAAGCACTTAGTTGGTGGCTCTTCTGCCGAAAGTCTTTTGATGATGGTATGCGTGCAGCTGTTCAGGCACACATTCACCGGTACAGTAGATGCGGTTGCGCGCGGTGTCCCACTGGCAGCTGGGTCTCGGTCCTCAATCTAAAGCCTTTGTTTACACAATCCGCCAGATGAATTAGGGGTCCGATGAAGACACAAGAAAGACAGCACTTCTTTCGTGAAAGGCGGCAATATGGCCTCGAGAGCAAGTGATGATGATGATGGATAGTAAAAGCAACAGAAGCAGACTATGTTCTGATCAACTTGAATGGCACAGTACAACGTAGTCCAAGAGTGTTGATGGACCGTGGAAACCCGTCGATGTTTATCAGCTGAGAAATTCGGGGAATCTAATCTGATTGCGGAGAACAAATCACGTGCCTGTCCCGATTATCTCCGAGATCAAATCCCTCTGGCGATATCACGTCACCTTATTCGGGTGCCAGGTAGTATCTTACAGCTTGAAAAGAAAGCAACTCCGACTCTTCTATAAACAATCAGATATCTCGCTTCAATATCTCTAACCGTAACTGCTGCATTTCTATATATTACCGACTTCATGCGACCACCCCTTCATAGCTGCGACCCGGTATCTTTATGCATACCGCGACCTCATACCATCCATCACTGTGTGCGTTGAAGTGTCATCTCCTTTCTATCCATCGGCCTCCCGAATGTTCATAAATCAATCAAAAAACAAATGCGCACTTCTGCCCGACGCTCTCTATAACCGAGCCATCGAAACAGACGCGGTGATATCACGTTGTAAAAATCACAGTATTGCAGAGGAACAAATCCCACCATTAAATCCGCACATCAGATTGGTAAAATGCTGACCAGCTCGAAATAGCCAAGGACTATTGTTGCGTTTGCCATCGGCGTCTGGTTCAGGCATGTGGCCTATTTCGAAGCTGCCAGATTCGTGTATTGCATCGTCATCAATTCGTAGAACCGGAGCCGGGCTCGCCAAACAACCAAGAAAGCCGTTTGCTTGAACGGTAAGGGAATAGGAATAGTTGAAGCACATGACAGGGTGAACTGTCTCGACCTGAGAGTTCCACGCCGAAGGGATCAATCACAAACTCATGGTCAGCCATTCCCATTCTTGGCTGTTGCCATGTGGACCTGGAGGAATAGCCTGTGCGCTCGAACTCAGCAAACCACCTTGCATCACAGAAGCCATGGTGGTGACTCCAGCTGAGGTAGACAGCGGGGTCGCTTTGGCCCGTGTGACAGTCGCTGGTGCCAACTTTGGTGTCGACTGGCTGCCATCTTGCATATCAGATTCACTGGGTGATGGTGCACTTCCGGCCACAGCAGGTAAGTTGGTGGTCGAGGCCCGCGATTGTCTCCGTTGTCGTTTCGGTGTCATTTGAACAGGCCGGACCATGTTGGCCCCCAGAGCTACAGGTGGTTTGGGTGGTGCCGCAGCAATTGGGACCACTCCAGGTTTGCCTCCAGTCGTTCCCGCGGGGTACGTAGTGGGAGGCGTGGCGGCAGACCCCGAATGAGCAGATCCTTGCACTGAGGCGGGTGATGCTGAAGCTTGATCGCTTGCCGCATTCCCCGACGTTGGTGTAGTTGCTGGTGTTTGCTGCACCGAGTTCTTGCGAGATGCCTTCTTAGCGGCCCTTGTCGCCGCCGAACCCACGGGCATTGCGTTACCGCTGCCACGATTCCGCTTTTTAATGACATCGGTCTTCAGAGAAAGCGGCCGCACAACACCATGTAGCTTGAGGAACAACCCGCATGCATTACAGAGAGGTTGGCCCTCAGGGTTACGACGCCACAACGGTGTAGTTTGCGTAAAACAATTGGTACAAGTCGTTGGAACTCCATTCTGGTCGGCGTTCTTGGGCCCAGGGCTGCCAGGCCGGGATGGTTGTCGGCTGCTGAAACCAGATTCGCCAGGAGAGCTGGTAGTGGACTGCATGTGATGGTTGGACAATGCGGGCGTTGACGTCGTCCTCGGGATCTTTTGTCTCCTCGGGTCTTGATCTCGGTTTCGGATGTCACTGATCGAGGCGGCCGAGCCATGAGTTCGACTGAGCATTGAAGAGCCCCAGTCCGGTGGTGAGTTCACCATTTCAGTAGTGCCCCCAATCCGAACCTGTTTTCCCCCACTGTACCGCGGCACGCTGCCGAATTCACTAACATTAGGATCCCACTGCAGTCCGGAGTTGATATCTAATGTTGGGTCGCCCATCTGTCCGTAATCTGACTGCATCAGCAGACCCCCGTCGCCAAAGTTGCCATCATCGTCCTCTTGATCTGAATCTGCGCCAAATTGGAACATGTTGTCATTTCCGCCCATAGACACTCCAGGAGAGCGGCCATAATCTGGAACAAGGACACTGGAAGGATCAACGTGCTGCTGCATCGAGAACCCGCTCATTGCAGGTGCTGAGCCAACGCCGTTCATAGAAGCGTACATATGCTCATTGTTGCTTCCAAAGCCGAATTGAGAGGACATTGGCGTCATTAGACGACTCGACCTCTGCGATGGGTAGAAAGGCATGGCCCGCGGATGACTACTGCCCTGGTCAAAATAGAATTGCATATGTTCATTTTCGTGACCAGGCTGAGGCGTAGAGACGGTCGAAGGATAGCCGGATTGGGGTGGAGAGTATATATCCGTCGAGTTCAGAGAGGACGCCATGGAGGTTGGCGGAAACATATGTGAGAAAGGACCATTAGTGACCATGGGCGATTCTGCAGGGGAAAAGGTCAAGTTGTGTTGAAAAGAGCTGGCCTGGTTGAGGATAGGGTCATCGCTCAAGTGGACAGAGTCGAGATGCAACGCCATTTGGCCTTGGAAACTAGCCGGGCCCGTGAACTGTGTTGTGTGTTGGTCCAGAGTATAGTCAGGAACATGGTTGTCTATGTCCGAATTGTTGGTACCACTGGGAGCAATCAAAGGTGGTACTTGAGGAGAGAACTCCGCCGGACGTTTCCGATTCTGTCGCCAGGTTAGCTACCCCCTTCTTACAGATATGAAAATGGGAAAACTTACCCCAGCTCTTCTTTCGTCTATGCTGGTTTTGCGCACTCGTTTTGGGACATAGTCAAATTCTGAAGACCGATGTGTGGGCATAGACGTTTGGGGCATAGAAGAAGGCGGTAGCCCCTTGGGGATCTGCAGTTGTGGCTTGTTGCGTGCAGCAATTGGGATTCCTGCAGGCTGTGCGGACCTAGCCTGAGTTTCGGCTTCCGAGGGAGCTGGAGAAGTGATACCGGCAGGTGAAGCAACTGAGCTCGGGACGATGAAGTCATCCAGATTCATGGGGTCCATGTAATGCGCATGGGGCCCAGGTGCTTCATTTCGCTCGACTTGTGCATGTTGTTCAGCCGAGTTGTCGATCGACTTCCGTAGTTGCTGAGCAATGCCACTGGGAGCGGAGACTCGAGCGATCGTCTTCGGTTGAGCCTGCTTTGCACTAAGGAAAGCGTCAGTGCCGGCCATGCGACTGTCGCTGCCGGGTTGGGGATTGGCATACGCTGCTTGCATTTGCTCGCGGCGACGAAGGTTCATAGCCATCATTCGCCATGTCAAATTTTCCATGCGCTCCTGGTTGGGCAACCTGGACTTCGTCCGGCTGTAGAGCTTCCATATTTGAGTGCCTAGAGGATCCTTTTTTTGCAGCTCCTCAGGAGACTCTGAGTCGGGACTCTGCGCATCGTTCTTCCAGTCCGGGAAGACAGTGTCCCGGAGCAACGACTCGTCGCCGCGACTAAAGGGTTGGGAGTTGGCGAGATCCAGATTGGAACTTGTGAATTTGGACAATTGTGAGGGATTAATACCAGCTGGAGCTGCAGAAGGTAAATTTGTCGGCGAGAGGTTGGCAGATGTATTTCCCGTCAGAGCTCCGCCTATGCTGGACCAGGTCGAGGAATCGGTGTCGTCGAAGCTGGAGGAAGGATGAGCGGTAGAAAAAGAGAAGTGGACGGCGTCGGAGTGGACAGCGGAGGTTGTGCGAGAAGCTGCAGTTCCCCCACGTTCTTCATAATCCGCACTGGACATTACCGGGGTCGACAGGAGTCGTCGCGTGCAGCAGGCTGGATGCAAACGAGCAACGGCGTTGATATCATCAGCAGCAGCGTCAAGCGAGCCACGAAATAGTGATGTACTGAAGAAATGGTAGTGGCAGATGAGGTATTGGTCGTGGGAGCGGCAGTGTCATCACCACGAGACGAATAGCCGGCAGACACAGACAAGAAGTATGGCTGGATTCGGGCGTCGGCAACTTGAACAGGTGGGAGGCCGCAGACATGAGAGGCACGCAACCTATGAGAAGAGGGTCGAGTAGCAGCGACAGGGAGGCGTCGAGAGAGGGATGGGGATGGGATGGGATGGGCATGATGGTCAAGGCGCACGCAGGTGGACATCATACAGCGATGGGTAATGCCACTCACCTTCAGGCTGTGCGTCAAGCGTCAGCCAGGGTCGCCCAGATGGTCCCAGAGGCCCGCCGACTGAGTGGAGGCCCATTGAAGCGAACTGGATCCCTGGGGGGCTTTTCGGGGCCTTTGGGGGGGCAATAAGCCGACTGGGCTTGAACTGGAGCGGGCCATGAAATCCGTTGGAGCGCAACCCGATGCGGCGGCTGAAGTGTCTACACCGGACAAGCTACGAGAAGCGGCTTAGGGACTTCTAGGTGCGTGCAACTTGGACGAGGCTTTCGGCTCGGGGGCAAGCAACCAACCCTTGGAGGCATCAGCCCAGCGATCGAGCCAATATAGTCACTCGACCATCTCTCTTCGAGAAGTACAGTACAGTGCCTCATTGGGAGCTCATACATCTACACTGTTCAACGCGCTGTTGGAACCGAACAAAGAAGTTCCGAAGAGAACGTGGTCGGCAAAACCAAAGATGCAGATCGAGTCTCACGACCACAAAGCTGATCATAGTCGCAGTGCTGGGTACGCTCCAATCTAGTTCCTCTACGTGGAGGGCATCAATCACCCTGTAGTCTGTTCTCCATACTCCATTTTCTACATCCGTACAACGCTTCAATGCCTTACTGATTTTCATGTTTGATTGACACTCCTTGAGCCTGTTCCAGCGGTGACATTTTTCCTGCACTTCTGTATGGCTGGAGGACGAAAAGGGATCCCGGGAGGGCCTGTAGACTTTGGTCGGCATGCCGCCGGTCGGTTCCATATAGAAGCTAACGCCAGCGCTGGAGCCCACGAGCGGCAGAACCGGGGATGGTGAGGGCTTCGAGAAACGCAGGGTGCAGGTGGCGGCTGCGCTTGGGAAGTTGGCACAGGACGAGTTGGGAGGGATGAACTGGCAATCATCATTCGTCCAGCGACGTCGACTCGACGGTGCTGATGTTCAAGTTGGCAGCCAGCTTAGCTGCGATTGAGGGTCGGTAGAAATCATCATTTCTCAGATCGCACCTACCGGCAGGCCACCAGTCTTTCGGCGGGGCCTGCCTTGCTGGCGGCCCCGGGCTGGCCTACAAGGGAGGGCTTGAAGGATGCATTATTGGACAAGAGCTGCAGGATGGGGGTGTTCCTTGATGTAGGGGAGGCCCAGTCACTATTTTACTAGGCAGAGTAGCTTCTAATTGTGAGATCCATCGAGAAGTTGAACGGACCTCGTGTTAAGACCGAACAAGTCCATCCTTGGCCGTTTAGGCTGCCTCTGTTGTTCCCTGGCGTGGGTCAATTGGGGGTGTTACCTTCAAAATAGGTCCCGTACTAGCATCTGGGCAACTTCCAGTAGTGACATCCCGCCGGCCTGCGGGCTCCGACTCGGAGTCGTTCTCGGATTCAGTCTAATGCCAGTGATGTATCTGCTATTACTACACCATGTTATTATTACTATTTCACTTCAATGCTGGGGCGGCGTGGGAGATGAGGGTGGTGATGCTCAGGACACTATGCAGTCAGCATGGTATACTGCCTGTGTAAGGTATATATGCACGAAGAACAAAACTATTGAATTGACTGAGCGAGTCTAATAATAAGCGAATAACTTGAAGAACACAATCATTTTGCTGCTGAGAAAATGACTCATCACACTGTCCCTCCAAACAGGGACCACTCACAACGGTCTTGTCGACGAATTTGATGAGCAAAGGCAGCATGAGTCTGCTGTAGAGGGAGTTTATATCCCTCAGTAGCCTGACACAAAGGCAAGGTAACGGTGATCAAGCTCGGTTTCTAGATCTCTAGTCTGTACGGCTCTAGGCTCTGGTTCTCAGAAGGCATGCGTTTAGGTGTTTATTTCTCGTGACACTGGCGGCTGCATGTGCATGGCGTAGAACAAGCAACAACGGTGCTTCTGAAGAACCCACCTGCCACCGCAGTGCCGGTGGAACATTTTCGTGTGCCACTTCACTTACAGCAGCGCTCCACTGCTGTCAGTGTACAACATTGTAGTGGCATCTTGAATTGCCACGGCCCTTACACCCGGAATTGAGCCAGAAACCTTCGTCAACATGCGACAAGCTTATTGTTGCTGTTCTTGTTGGTACCCTTGCGATGACAATCGCCAGGCCAACACTCTTACGCATGTATGCAGCTGAGTGACATCCCGGGCAAAGACATATTGGATCTCAATGTCCATCAAAGCAGAGAGCAAGCGGAATGGAAGTTCGTCCGGTGGGTGTGCACGTCGAACATTCTATTCTCCTTCCACCTGGCAGTGTGTCAGGACTGCTGGTACTTAGGTAGTACTAGTAGTCGGTAGTAGGTACTGTAGGTAGTGCTACTAGTGGCCGTAGTACGACTAAGGTATAGTAGCGCCCGTTATGACGGTGCAAGTGCCTGGATGAGTGCTGATAAATCGTTGTAGGTAAGCCGAGATGATAATTGTATACCGGGTAGATACGGGCGCTGCGAAAAGGTACTTCGTTCTCCTGCAGTCTGCTCCAACTGTGGAGGTACCTGGGGCCTTCTGTCTCCGCTGCTCTTCATCGCTGCAAGTTCTCTCCCCTCTCCAGCGTCTGACTGCTACCACACCATTTTATTCCTCCTCCAGCCTCCGACGGCTGTACCAATGTAGTCAATGGCTATCACAGTTCGGCCTTTTCCTTCGAAAGTTGCATACTACTTCCTACAACGTAATAAAAGGCATCCCACCTCAGGCTGTTAACGTCCGGCAGCAGCTGTCCGTCCCCCTCGCCAAAGTAGCACTACCAACCGTGTGGTGGACATAGCAACCCCCCGGTCACACTCCCATCTAGCGAATCACTACAATAGGAAGCGTCGAGAGGCGGACTCCCAAGGGGCGAGCTGCATGGCGTCGTGTACACCCCTGTCAAGACCCTTGCTCTCTGAAAAGTCCACCACGAACTGGCCATCCCACTTCGAGGCTTGACTTGACATGCAAGCCTACCTAAGCACAGTCTGGATACCTACAGGTACCCATATGGACAACCTGCCACAGAACATGGCTGCCGTGGCTGGCTCGTGTTGCAGACAAAGCAACACCGCCGTGGCACAGTGTACGTGTCCGTTTGCGATTCCATGCCACCACACCAGGCATCTTAAAGTACCTCTCCGGTGACATCCCAAAGGATTATTAAAGATATCTTTAAGCGCAAGACAACACCAACACTACCAGAGCTGGCGAGATGGCGGCGATGCTCTCAGCCTGGAACTGGACGCAAAGTATGGCAGTTGAATCACTTATTTTGTTTAGAAGTGGGCCACATTAAATATTCGCCCGCAATGCCGCACCAACCACTGCGACTACTTGATCACCGAAAGCATGTGCTTCATCTCCCTCCGCTGAAGTGAACCTCTGACGCGGTTCCGACTTTTTCCCTTCGGTATATCTCCGTCGCCGGGCCATGCCAGCCAAAAAGTCCCACCCGTAGGATTGGAAAGCACATGGCGTTGGATACCTTCATTCTAGATTCCAAAATTGGTGCGGCTGAGATCCCGCCAGCAGCGTTCATTCCTCCGAATTTACCCGGGCTCTCACAACTACTGTCTGGTCTCTCCTACTAGCATGGACAACTTGAACAGCGGTGGCCTTTCACCTGGCGTTCTTTACTACTGGGTCACATCGTGCTATGGGCTGCCAGTCTGATATGTCCCTCGGAGGAGGGATCAGCACACTGAAGACCCTTGCCAAAGGTTTGCGTCAGCCAAATCTCGACCGGAGAAACTATCCATGAACCGGTCTCGATTCGAGGTCTTTCGTTGGAATATTTCCCGAATTTTTGAGGAGGCATGCTGCACACCACCCTAACTTTGGCCAACGCGCGGCTGGGACGGTTCGCATGGACCGCACATCGACGATGTCTGAGCGGGCCAACTGCTACGGCGTCTGGAAGCGCAGAAGACTTCAACACCCGTGCTGTACACTACACGATGCAGGTGTCTATGATGCGGATAGCCTCAAAGCGCACCTTGCTAGCATCGCTTCGGTCGAGATTTCAAGTCACTGTTCAAAGAGGCGCAACTCAGTAGTAGCAGGTCTCCTCATGCCTTATGGTGCCAATGTTCGACAGCTCCGGTGAGGGACGGTCCGGCAACAGTGTACATTTCAGATCTGTAACTTAATGGAACACCCGGATCATGGTACTACCAGATCGTCGATCAGTTCCCGGGTGTTCGCATATACATCATGACTATTCCCGACGAGATCGCCATTGTTATCCATGGTCTTTGAGCCCACCCTCCGTCGTACACGACTATCAACAGTGTCAGTTCATACTAGGGTGTACTGCGCTGTGTCGTCAATAGGCGCCATGACACCGTGGACACAGCGATGTACCTTCGGTGCGATCTACTGGCGTACACAGTCTGCTTTCGCGCTCGAAGCGGTCTCTGAGACCAACCATGTCTCCTGCCGTGTTTGAGTAGAAACCGAATTTCTTCTCTCATAAACGCTTGGAACATGCTCCGCCTTACACGATGGATGCCTATAGAAATTGGAATATGGATTAAACGGATGATGGTCCCGGCGACCGCTTCAGACCCTTCTTTAAAGGACGGTATATCAACAACGGCGACATCTTAACGAAGACGGCCAATCAAACCAGGTCCTCCGCATGTAGCTGGACTGCCGTACATGACGAACAAAGCTTTTGGAACTGTCGTAACCGGAGCCTCCTGACCTGATACTCAACCAGCGCAAAGGGCGGTTGGTGTCCTTGGCCTCCTCTCAAGATGGACATGCCATGGTCGAAATGTACCATCCGATGCCGTTCAAAAAATGATTCCAAGGCGGACGATAGATTTCACTCATCCCACACTCATAAAGAGGAAAGATGGGCTTCACGCTTCCCACTCCCTCATTTCTAGCTCCTGTTGGAGATTAGTAGGCCTTCAAGGACGTTTGGTATTCCTGTATGGTCGTTTGTTCAGGGTATTGAAACGCCACGGATAACAACAACCGCATGACTAAAAACCTTCTGTTTCCACCCGCAGCACCCATAACCTAGGAGTTGACCCTGAAGAACCCCCCATATAGATCCACAAAGCCCCCTGTGGCGCCGTCAGGGCACGCGACCATATCAACCACTTGAGCCATGTCGAAGAAACAATCACCCAACTTAGCCTGTATGGATGTGCATCAAGGGTGTCAAGGGTCGATAGACAGGCCGACAGACTCTTGCCATTCTAGAGATCGCAGACGGTTCTGGCAGTTCTGCACCGCTGACAGCAGCATCGACAGTCTTCATGGCCATTATATTCTCTTGTCAATAGCCCCGAGGAGCGAGCATGTGAGTGGGAGCAATCGCAGCTCGTTGTTCTTGCTGGGACCGCGCTCTGTTGTGCAGAGTCGACGCATAGAGCAATTGGAAGGGGTATGATTGGTGCAGGGTGATATCGAGAGGCGCTTTTGGTGGATTTTAGCTGCGTTGTTAGCAGCTTGACCTGTCATACAGCTTGTGGGTTTCACAGGCGGATCTTCCACCGCTCTTCATCCTTGTTCGGCCAAACCCCTCCATCACCCTTCCCGTCAGTTTGTGTCTCCGTCATGGAGACCACTTCAAACCGAAGCGCAGACTTCAAGTTGCAGCCAGCCTGGCCCACAACATCGGGAACGCCCTTCGTTATCGCTGCAGTGGTTCCCATGGGTACCTAGATTGGTTTCAAAGTCATCCATGGTGGGCCAGCCAATCGTGGTCGCTCGAGGGCAGTATTCTGCATTGTATCCGGCGCATGTGCTATCAATCTTGGTCAGTCTGCTCAGCAAATGCATTTTGGTAATTGGTCTATCAGGCAGATTGCCTGCCTCCATTGAAAGGGGCGCTGGCCGGCCAGCATGAACCCCCACGCTAGTGCTAGGCCCGTCTTGCCAGACCTGGAACGCGCACTCGCTGGAGCAGCTCCTAGCACACCGTACTGAAAGACTCGGACTCCGAATGTCGACTGACAACACGAGCCTGGAGGCCCCGTAGGATGCAAGGATGGCGCGGGCTGCCGATTCCAGGTGAGGTAATTCTGTCGTGGACTCCAGCTCGTGCGCAATCCCAAGGTAGTTTGGTCGCTGGTGATGCAGCAACAGTCAGACCGACTATTCATTGCTCGCAACACCACCGGCTGAGTAGGATTCGAGGCGACAGGCCAGCGGCTACAGAGGCCAGTGGTTCCCAAACCCGTCACATTCTTCCCATCCAAGAACTAGATAGGCGGTACTCGACCAATTTACCTCTGTTCGAGCCATGACTCCTGTTATGTGCCGATCGATGTTGCTCTGTGGCACGCAGCCCGTCTCACCTAGCATTTGGATGACACCTAGCAGGCCTGAATATGTGTAACGACCCTTTTTAGGGCCGCCATTCCTTGTTTCACAGGTGAGGATGTACAAGGTCGAGAAGCTAAGTTGGGAAATGAAGTTACAGGTCTGCATTACTCTCGGACTTCTGGAACCCTTTAAGTATAAAACCAAAGCATTGATTGTGAGCTTGGGTAACAGCATGATAAAGCAAAGTCCGAGCGAAAGGAGATCAGCGACAAACGACCAGCCAGTAACTGAACCTGAATGGATGAAAACACAGATACCGATATCAGATACGACGGTTCCGTCTATTTGAAAGGTCACTGGTCTGGCGATAAAGCAAAGTTCGGGCAAAGTTCTGATGTTGATAAGCCTCTGATACGGCCGGGGCAAAGGATCCTTCCCCAGAAACCATGATAAGCACAGGTCAGGCCATGGAATCGACCATCCCCGCGATAAGAGCCAGGGTGTTTGTTCTATATATCGCAGGATCGTCAATGCTTTCCCTGTTGAGTTTCATCTCAGACTAAAAGAGGCCATAACACCGGCTCGACAAAAATGGCCAATTCGTAAGATTCAACGCGGATACCCGGGTCTAGGGAGCTTTGAACAAGGCCTGCAGTAACATCTTCTCCCAAGCCGTGATGCTCTGTTTTGATCCCCCACAAATACCGCATCCGTCTCCATACCATGGTTGGAATCAAATCGACCAGTAAGCCGACCGACGAAGAGGACGGACAGACTATTGAGTGCAGTTGCAGCAAATCAAATCTTGGTCAATGCAGGTTTCCTGTCTCGAAGAAAATGGCTGTTCTTCAGCCCTTTGGCATCGCATCGAGATATAGACTCTGTGACAGGGGAAGGGACAATGCGGCTCGACTCGACGCAAGAACAGGTAGTGTCGCTGTCCGTGACCACTGGCCTTCTTATCCCCAACGCTGACCCTGGAACACATGATATGTGCTCGGCTCGTATCCAGGGCACGTACAGAAATTGCAGACACCCATTGGCAGACAACGATGATCTGATCCCGCGCAGACTCGATAGTAAATAACTTGTTGATTCGTGGCGTAATGCAATGGCTCGTGATACCACGCTCCTAGCCTGTTCGATTGACCGGGGGCAATATGACAAACGGCCACGATGGAGGACTGTAGGACGAACTTCAATATCCCATGCAATGTTATCTGTCCTGGCCGTGCCACACCGGCCTTTTCCTAGCGGTGTGTAGTTGCAGTTCCGCTGCCGCCAGCCTTGTTGCCCATTTTCTGAACCACGCAGCAAATGTAATTTGGATCCGGGAATATGATGATCTCCTGGTGTTTCGTCCGCAATCTCAACAGCTGCACCTCGTCCTCGGTGCCTCTTGTGGTAGTAGTGTCCGACTCTTCATCGTCTCCGGGAGTTCTCCGTGGTTGTTGCTTGTTATCAGACGAGGAGGAAGGTCGCTGATCATTCGTCCGTCCGGTATTGCCCGTGATTTCCGACCCATATCCATGTCCATGCCCATGTCCGCCTGCACCAGTGTCACTGGCACCACGAGATATGCTTCCCAATGTCAGACCCAAAGAGTCAGCGTGCCCGACGAACTGGAATATCGATGATGCCAGCACTTCAAGCGGCTCAGGTTCAGGTTCGGGATCGGATAGTATTTGTGTCACTTCTTGCTCTTGCCCTTGCTTTCCTTCTGCCGGTGTTGGTGTAGCAGCCCCGGCTTCGGCTCCTCCGTCTTGTGATGTCGTTGCGCCCTCGCCTTCCTGCGTGTTTTTGGACATCGGGTTTGATTTCGGAGGAGTACTAGTATGCGGAGGTGGTGCTGGTGCCCCAGTGGAAGATGTAGGCCTACTGGTAGTGTTTCTGGCTACCACACCCGTGGCTCGAATGATGGATCCGTCTTTCCGAGAGAGGATGAGGGTCGATTGAACGTTGGGACGCTCCGTGAGGCCGCGCAGCATGGCGTCGATGGAAGAGAGGCCATTGGCATTTTGGAGGCTTGGCTGCTATAAAGAAAGAGTTAGTTAATGGACTTCGTGTGTAAAGGTAGACTCGGCGGACGTCGGTAGTCGCACTATAGGGTGCTATAGACAGGGGGAGAGAAAGCGGACACGTACTGTCTGTACCATGGCGATCGATGTGTTATCGGATTCAGATTGCGCAGGAGGAGACAATAAGGGCGGTTGGCATGTACAGTGGTAGCATGCACTGGTCGGTTGCGACGTGTGCTGTGTGCTGACGACAGGAGGTCCCGGATGAAGAGGTACTGTACTGTACCACACGGAAGGAGGTAAGATTGGTAGGCAAGTAGGATAGAGAAAGTGAAGACCGCGGAGTTCAGTAGTCAGACTCGAATTCGACCCCCGGATTAGTTAGTGGTAGGTGGAGAGGTTGAGGTTCGAGCCGGGGTCCGGAACTAGGTCGTCAAAGGGCATCGGCATCCAGGATTCGCAGGAACGTGTGAAGCCACCGCACCGGTCGAGCTAAAAGAAACCAAGTTCCAGGATCCGGGGAATCTCACTGCAGGTACGCGGCGGATGATCTGATCTGATCTGCCAGTGATCTGATCTCGAGATCTCGATCGCTAAGGCAAGGTGTCATCAAGCACGGCACACCACACTATAGTAGCTCACAACTGAGGACCCAGACCCGTTAGGAAGAAAGAACGTGGAACGTGGAACGGCGGCAAGGCTCCAGGCTGTGCCTGGGAGTTTTCATTACGAAGGAGAAAAGACGAGGCTCCGCAGCTGCGCGGTTTCGCAATCTGCAAGACAAATTGTCAAGATGCAGGACGAAAGCGGGAAAGCGTCAATTCCAATGCGCTGGATCCATGGCACGGCTCGGCCCGTTGCTTGCGTTACTGGAAAAGGTTTAGCGCCCGACTCGAGCCTTGTGAGCCGAAAACTGAAGAAATTCGCGATTCGAGACGGCCCATCAACATACCTGGTATGCTGTGAAGTCCATTGATTACGCTCGTGATTAGTCCACTCATTCTACTCATGAACACCCTGTCGTCGCTTCAGTAGATCAAAGACACAGAACCAGTTGCAATCTTGACTCTGATTGAGTGATCAAAATGGGATCGAGCGCAAAGAAAAAGAAGGAGAAAAAGAAAGATTTTCAGGTTCGAACGCATCAATCTTGTCCTCGCGGCTTGATTTCCCGTGCACCGACTGACTGTCTCCGGGTACAGAAACAAAAACTCAAGGTCGGAAAGGCCAGGCCCAAGGCCGATAATCATACAGATACCAGCTTCAGTGCAAAAGGTACGTACAGGTTACTCTACCTACTTGGTTGGGTACGCGGAACGCAAACACCATAGCACTCAGGTCTCCGTTCGCGACGATTTGATATGGTGCATTATAGCACTCTTGGCCTCCAAACGTGCGATATATGACCGTCACTTTTTTTATACTAACCAATGCAATGCAATGCACAGCCATCGTCCTCAACCAGCAACTGGACGTGAACGCACCCTCGCAATCCGCAGCATTTCTGCACCATGTCTCGATGCTGACTTCTCGCTCCGACTCTCAACGGCGAGACTCACTGGCCTATTTGACATCTCATATCAGCTCCACGGTAGCATCCAAAAAGGGCACAGCAACAAACACCACGCTTCCCATCACTACCAACGCACTTCTAAGCAGTCTATGCCCACTAACTCTCGACGGCTCAGCCGGCGTTCGACAGCAACTACTCAAACTATTCCAGACTTTGCCCGCCGAAGACATCCGAGACCACGTCGCCAAAATCTTGCCCTATATGCGTGCCGCCATGACCCATCTGTCGCGAGACATCCGAGCCACCGCGGTCGAGTTTCTGAGTTTCCTCATCAGGACGGCCGGTTTGGAGTTGGTCGCTTGCCCCGGAGGCTGGTACCAGACTCTGGAGTGTTTTACTACCGTTCTGGGCTGGCGGGGCCCGCGGACCGCTGATGCCAAAAATTGGTCGTCTACCAAGGCCTCGTTTGGGGGAGGAGACGCAAAAGCCACGGCGCGGATCATGCAGGTTCTCGCGGAGTTCTTGCAAGTCGGATTGGGATTCGATGATGATGGCGGCGGCGGCGGCAATAACACCACATGTGTTTCTGTTTCTGATTTGGCAGTCGATTTCCCTCTATGGTTTACCAACTCACTTATGATGCCGTCCAAGTCGAATGCCTATGCTTATCTGGATCTTTTCGGGACACCGCAGAAGAAGAAGTCAGAAGATGACGCAGCTCAACAGATTCTGGATGATCCTGAGGACCGGTTGCAGCTGTTTATAAATAAATTTCAGCCACTCATCGTGGTTGGTGTTGATGCTGCCAAGAAGGAGGGTGGTGAACTTGGTCGTGCTTCGGGACTCCTTGCGAAGACTTTGGAGCAGGTTCAACAGCGGCATGAAAACTTGGGAAATGTTTGATTACCCACACCTACGCACAGAGAGAGGCAAGCAGCGTTTCATTTCCAATTTTCTTGTCTCAGTGACAGTTGAATTGCTGCTGGGGAATGATCCAAGGTTAGCTGATGGCCTGTCACTTCATCCAACAATTGGGGTCAACTAGCCCTACAGGAACCTTTGAAAAATACGTTCCTGGTCAGTGTGGCTGGGCTGGGCAGAGCCGAGCTTCATCGGTTTACGAACCTCAGCGGGACTATCTAAAGTCAACGCAGACGCAGCAAAAAGCGGTTATTTCTTCTTATCCTCTGGGGAAGCATTCTGTTTCTGCTCCGTTACGCTCTGGAAGGAATATGGCTCAAAGTTTATATGCCCTCAAGACTGTGCCACAGTATCAACTCAGCCCAAATCAAACAATCCTGCGGCCGCTGGGGCGGGATCCTGGCAGCAATACAGATGATCCGACCATGCCGGCTTCATGGACTCCTGATCCTGGTCCTGATCCTGTCAACCATTGGGTTGGATCGTTGTGTTTTCCTGCTCCCTCCATCGGCGCCACCTTTCTCCCTGCCAGCTCCCGTTGGTTCTAGCGAGCAATCGACATGGACAGTGACGGGGTCGACTGATTGATCGCCACGCCATCGGTACCCATCCTTGTCATTCTTGCTGCGGGATTGAAGAACCCTACGAACTTATGCGATCGCGGGCTACAGTCTGTCTATTACCGGCGCGATACCACGGCCATGAGTTGCCCCCACCGCCGACGGTTAACGACATTTAACACACATTCAACACTAAGGCAAGGCCTGGGTCTGGTGTGACGCCAGGCCAACTTTGATGACTCGACCTTCAGTGGTCCAGTGCCGTCAGGCTGAACTGAAGCGCGACACAAGCATTCCGCCCTTGTGGAGGTGGTGACGAGACGTTAGAGCTCGTTCGGTCCTGACGCAGAAGTACGGGCAGCATCCGGGAACGATCAAATTAATTCTTGCGCAATACATGCGCAGCCGAGTCACCTAAGTGACCATACTACCTCGCTGGCTGACTGGATATGTACGATCATCTCATTTAGACGGCCGGGATTCACTCAGACCGATGAATAAAGCAGAGCACGCTCTTTCAGACTATATCCAATCCCCACCTTCACCTTCACCCAATTTGAAGGCCGCCATACATATATTCAACACCCCTTTTCTTCCTTCCGCCATTACACAAGCTGTCTGGCTGTCTGGCTCCCCGGCCAGTCTATTCCATCCACAATTCCACCTCATTCCCATAGTATCCATATCCATCCTCTCATTTCTCCCCCGGCAGCCTCACTTTCAACCACTCGTCGACCTTAACATTAGCCCATTCATCCGTATCAAACCAACCAATATAATTCCGATCCCCAAACCCACCAATCCAATAAACCTCCCTGACAATCAACCTCATCCACACCCCCTTATGAGCAGCCCACTTCTTCCCCGGCAACCACATAACACTATCACGATGCACGCGTGTAAAACAAGCCGGACTATCTCTGTTTTTCACCTCATCTTCCGGGATTTCCTCAAGATACCCCACCATATTCAACCTGGGCAAATTGGCCGCCGACCACGGCTGCCGATGCGTGAGATGCACATATTCGTCCCACCACGACAGGGTGAGCGAGACGTTGGACCCCGCCAGGGCATTCTGTGTCGATGTCGACACCGTCATTGCCAGAATCGTCGGGTTGCCGCTCGGTTCTTCGCATGAGGCGATGTATTCTGGCAATCCGATCGGTGTGTTGGCCACGTCGGAGGGAATGCGGTCGGAAGTGATGTTGGATGGGAATGTTGTGGTCAAAACACCGGTTTTGGAGAGGCCTAGGAGGCGCCGTCCGAGAACTGTGGATTCGTACCGTGATGGAATCCTAAAAGAGGAGGAGGAGGAATCCTCTTCGAGTCCGGCCTCGACGATCTGGTCTAGTGATGCATCCACCACCGCCGAGTTGCTTGTTGGAGTGTCTGGCTGCGCCAACGGTTGCGGAGGCAGTTGGACTTGGATGTGAGGTGTCAATGGGGTTTCAATTTGACTCTCCAAGACTGGGACGCAGCGGCCGAACAGTGGCAGGAGCAGTACAGCTGTCGCGGAGAGCAGGGATCCTGAGAAATACATCTTCTTGAATAATTTGTTTGCAGACTCTTGATTCACCAGGCTGTGCAGTGGTTCTTTTGTATTCTTGGTTTGATGACAGGTACGGTCCACGAACACCGGCTATTCGGTCATTCGGTCGGTCCGTCGGTCTGTCGGTCCGTCAACAAGTTGTCGAACAAGGTATTAGGTCTTGATAAATATCAATGAGTAAGGGATCAAATTCAGTAAGCCACCGAGTTGTCGTAAGCTGGGTAGGGTGTAGTAACCTGTACGCTCGTTCGTTAGTAGTGTACCAGTAAACTGTATGTCTATCCTAGGCTAGGACGGTAAAAGTAAAGTTGGCCAGGTAGATAGATACCTACATACCTAGGCACGGTACACAGATAAGGTAGAGAGGAGGTACCGTAGGTCGTCGTATCGGATTCGATCGGGGTCTGATCCAACGGACGGTCCCTTCGTCAGGTGTGGGAGATACTGGATATGTACAATGTACAGTATATCTCGAGACAACGACTACTCCTAGCACCAGCAGCAGCAGCAGCAGCAGGGTAGGTATTCACACCGCCGCGATGAGGAAGAAGAAACAAACAGTTGAATCAATCAATGGAAGCAGCCGGACATTGGACTGAACTGATGAACCGTCCCGGGATCCACCATGAGGGAGGGGTGTTGCAGTGCATGCTGGTGTCTGATGATTCAAGTTCCCCAATAATCATCTGATAAACTTGCCGCAAAAGATCTTATCGCGTAATCTAATCAGATAATCAGCGGAATCGGATCTTGACTTGCGTTGGTCTCCGAGTTGCAACGACTTTCACGAGTCCAAGTTGTACAATGTACACAATGTACAATGCAATTAATAAATGCACGGCAGAAGGACTGCATTCCACATGTCCCACAATGTAGTGTAGGTGTAGTTAAAACCCAAAATAGGAGTACTACTGATGATACGAAGAATTCTGAAGTAACGCTTGAATTAATTGACACTATACAAGGACTCTGTCCTAGGGTACCTTCGTCCTCCTACCCTTTGGAACTCATTACTCCCAAAGGCGGTGGTTGTTTGGTGGTGGTCTCAAGGTTAGGCTTGATGAGAGAGCTCCGGTAGACGATGAAAATATCTCCAGAGACCATGAAGTTGCTATGTACATACAGTAAGGGTGCCGGCGCGGGTGTCTTACCGGATCGATCTGCACAATATCTCAGGTGGTCATTTGTTGCTCCTCCTAGGAAGCGACAATCATCGAATCTTTGAGATATTGCGATGCTAGGTCCGGTGCAGAGGCAAATTGCTGGACTGAACAGTACGTTGCAACACGTTTGCTGGCTGTTGTCTTGGGCAATGCTTTTCTGGGTGTGGCCCAGTCTCTCGTAGGCAATTGCCATTGTTTCGGGGTACTGTCGCAGAAGGGTTGGCAAGGGTCTTCCACCACATCCAAATGCACTTCACGGCACACCAGGCTGCTGCGCGCTTGGGATGGTATGCCAGAGTCGGTCTTGGATAATGTTCTCTTGTGCCCACGTGAAGGCTTGTTCTCCTTGCGCAGACAGTTGGTTTCGCCGTAGCTTGTCAGACGTTCTGGTGTCGGTGTGACACTCTGGCTTGACGTTTCGGTTTGTGTGGACAATGACATGAGCACTCGGACGGCATCAGCTTCCGAAATTGTCGACAGATATTGTCCGGCGAGCTTCTGTCGCGGTTCCTCTCCACTCCCATATCCTTCATCATGAAATCTGCTGGGAATCACTGACGACTCGGCGGTGGAGTTGGCTCCTTGATCAGGCTGGGTGCAATATGTCTCTGGCACCCCGAGGCCACGTCGATCTGATGCCGAGGAAACTCGTGCCAAAGAAGAGCTAGACTCCCCACAGCTTGCGCTAGCGAGTCGGAGACGTGGGATGGCAGAGGCCAATGATGACCATGATGAACTTGATGAGATAGATGAAGACCTGGACCGCGAAGTACACACCGTCACGTCCGAAGCTACCGAGGCCGGCGAGCTGGTGGATGGCGTCGTGGACCTGCTTGAAATCTCTCGAGTCGTCTCTGCAGGACGTGTCAAGGATCTAACAGGTTGTAGACGACAATCTTGAGGCCGTGGCGGAGGACAACGCTCCAGGTTCGCATTCAGGATACACTGTCTTCGCATGCTGCGCAAAGCATCCACAGAGGCGGAACATCGAAGAGAAGGCCGGTCGGGAGTTGTGGACCTGGGACGCTTCTCTGTAAGCTGTGGAGTGGTTTGCGGAGTAGGAAGATTTCGCAGCTGCGGTTGCATAGGCGGCACCGAGTTTCGCGCAGGACTCTCCTGAGTCGGAGTTTGGGGCGTTATGGCTGCCTTGCATCGTTCAGCGGTCCGTGGCTTGAGAGTATCACTGAAATTCATGTCGTAGACCCGTGTGTTCTGGGTGGGACTCGACGGGAGAGCATCCCATGACCTGTCCGGCTGCTTGTTCAAACCCGGCGACAGCACTTGTGCAATCTTGTCGGCTGGAACATGCTGGCGCAGAAAGTCATTCACGAGCTCAGGGTCCTTGACCAAGCCCGGGTTGAGCTTCTGGATGACGTCCGTCCACCACTGATCTGTAAAGGTGGTCTCGCGTGCAATTGGGCCAGTCTCGACCTCGCAGACCATACTCATCAGCATGGCGCCGGCGGCACCACCTGGACGACCCGACTCGAAATCGGCCGGCCCAGTTGGGCCCCGCGGTGGCTCCTTGGATAACCTGCTCAAGGCTAGAACGATCTGGCTCCAATTGTCGAAGTGTTCCTTCGGGACATGCAGACTGTAATCAATCTTGGACAGATACTCTCGCTCATTCTCGTTAATCTCACTACTGCGGAGACCGGAGATCTTGCTCCAGGCCCTGGCGGAGTAGTTCCGATCTTGCAAGTACTTCGACGCTAGCATGAGAGCGGATAAGAACATCCGACGGCCGCATTGCATTGCTCGGCACTGAGCTCTGACAGGACATCCGCCACTGATGGTTGGGTTTTGAGGAGGTAGTTTTGCCTTGAGCAGGATCAGATAGTACAAGGCAACTTGCAAGGTCGAATAGCTTGTCTTTGATCGTCGTAACGTTTCTTGAATGAAGACGCGTAGAGGCAGCACTCCAGCTCCATTGAAACATGTGGACATCATAGGAGGGCAGGCTGACAGGGGCCAAATGGCGGTGATCAGCCTTGTGGCAAAGATGATGAGAAGACACACAAATTGATCAGTGACTTCGGTGTCTCTCCTGAGTTTGGGAGGTGCCGCTTGGGTGTTGCCAGAGCACGATGAACGTCTAAGTGCAGCTCTGTTATGACGTCCACCAGCAGCGTCAGCCACGCGCGGCGCGATATCCGTTTCCGAACGTTTCTGAGCCAGATCGGGGCCCTTCGCTTGAATGGTAGTAGAGATGTTGTGCCCCAGGTGGGCGGCAGCACCAACGCTGGTGGTGGACTGACCGCTGGTCTGAAAGCCATTGTGTAGATGGTTTTGGGGTTCGACTGGTGCACGGGATCCATGGGATGTTTCCGGCTCTCGCAGGTGCTCCTTGTCGTCCTCGTCGGAAAAGACGTCGACTAAATCAGACGAGTTCATCCACGAGGTGCGAGATGAAGATCCGGACGAGTAGGACTCAGGAATAGATTCCACAATGCTCACAGTATCGTCCCCAGAAGCAACACTGCTGCGATCGACCTCGCCGTTGATTGGGTACCGGCCATTGGTGGAAGCAGCATCAACTTTGTCCGAGTTGTAGTAATCACGACAACCGGATCGGAGCCAGTCAGAGACAGACTCTTGTACATTATGAGGGCCGTATATCTTAGAGAGGTCTGCGACCCCCCTAACGCCCATTTTCTGTTGGTTTATGAGGAAATCGATCCTGAATCGAAGGGCCTAGGGACTTCCTCTACAACCAGTATGTTTACCTGTGCGAACCACAAGTGCAGATCGAGAAAGCCAATGAGAGTGACCTGTCGACATATTTGTTAATTCTGTTCCTCCTTTAAGAAAGCGTCGTTGGGAGTGTTACCAAGGATATGCGCAGTATCGGGCCGCAAACCCACCGCAAGTCAGAGTCAAAGTTTCGCTGTTCCCGGTATCAAGAAGACTTGATCAGGACAAGCACTGAGTCGATGTCTAGACGTGAGTTATGCCGAAACAAACTCGCGCATATGAACATCAACGTACCAATGCTTGTCAATCTCAAGACAATCCTGGTGTAGTTTTACCAAAACAGCTTCTGACTCTGGCGGTGGGCTTTGACGGACAGACGATTGCTTAAAACTGAGTGTGACTGGCCATAGACTCATGGCTAAGTTCGTCTTTTTTGTTTAGAACGTTGTTGGAGTGGAGAGTCGAGTTCGCGGTGAGTGCTTGGTGGCGTAAGCCTAATCCAAGCACACGTCGAGGTTGATTACAAGGATTCGGGTGGTAAGGCGAGTGGTGGGATGCTCTGGTGAAGAGTTGTAGTGCTATCCGCTGTCGTTCACAGTGAAGTTGTGTTGGAAGAGTGAATGTAGGCGTGGATGGTTTGAATAGATCGACTTTCGGCCGGTTGAGGTTCGCAAGTCGCCGATGCAAAAGAGATCGCAGTCAAGGGTGTGGACGACCAGATCGATGCAGAGACAAAGATGCCAGTCTAGAGGCAGACATGCCAGATTTGAGTCAGCTTCTTTGCTGCATTCATTATGAGTCCGCCTTTGGAATGTCCATCATGGCAGAGGTGCGCAGCGCAACTTGGAGTCATGAGTTGCTTACAGGCACAGAATTGCGCTGCAATGCAGGAGACGAGATCGAGGCCTGTCGCCTAAGGGTGATACTTACAGTACTCAGATGAACACCTAATATTGATGCCAGCAGCCGTTGCTGCGATTCATAGTATGCTTCATCTTGTCATGGTCCAAGGACTAGAGACAGCGATGGTGAGATGGGGCGGCTGGTTGTATATGGATGAATGGGCTGGGGGGGCGGCCGCCGTCGCCATCGCCACTCAGTGCTTGCTCACAGTCACAGCCGTGGAGTGGGAGTGGGAGTGGCCCTTCCCTGCCTGCGCTCGGCCTCTTCAGCGTGTGCAGTGCAGTGCCTGCGCCTGCGCCGCCCAGATCAGCCGGATGACTCAAGGGCCAAGGAGGCCAAACTCAGCGGAAACGCCGCCGGGAGAGGCCTCTAAGGCCCCAATAGTCGCCCGACTCTGGCAGACTCAACCGCCCGTCAACCACTGGCACTGCACCATCCACAATCGTCCTCCATTCTTTCTGAACCACCCGATGGCCTCCCTCGTTCGCTGTCTGGAGTCTCAGTCTGCTCCATTCTAGCAATCCACAAACCCAGCCAGGCATACAATTATTACATTACTGGATGCTAATATTCAAACTCTGACCGCGCAGGTAGAAGCTGTTACGAATTCTATGCCTCAGGCCGAGTATCAATCTCGAGCACTGTCCAGAGCATTTCATGTCATGATTGCAAACTGCAGGAGCGATTGATCAAACCCGTCGGCTTTTTGTTCATACCAGGCCCCGGGTCCGGTTACTTCATCCTCAACAACTGCGACAGGAGGCGCTTCAGCTGGTGAAGAGGCAAATCTGGTCCGCGTATTGCATCCATCCCAGTCGTTCGGCAATCAACCTCCTGTAAGCAAGACAAATATTGTGCTGCGGCCGACAGACACTGGCATCTAGGTGACAAACCACTCTCACGTCTCTCGTGTTGCTGAAACCAAAAATCCATCAGATCGCTGTTTAGTCATCTGTTCATCCATCACCCAACAATTCATCCTAGAACGTTCGTTTGCGATGCCGCTTGCCCGAGGCTTCCACAGATACTCCTGTCTAGATCTGACGCGGCCTCCCCCAACTTACCTTAACACATCCTTGGTCGACGGTAGACGATGGTGGGCACGAGGAAAAGCAAGTGTGACAGGGGGGCACCGTATATTTCAGATGTGCAACACAAAGTAGCAGAAGGAATGCCTATGAAGCACAACCAATTTGAAAGTCCGGCGACGCACGGTGACCTCCAATGGAAAAGCAGTCCAGACCCAATTCGAACGTAATGGCGAAACGCGGCCAGTCTGATTCGCTTCTGACTCAGGAAGACGAAACGACCCTCGTCAGCCGTGGGTGGTGAGCGGTCGGCGACCCGTGACTCAAAAACCAGAACGGTTTGTCCTTGATTCAGACGAGCGGCAAATGAAAAATGTAACCACCGCCACCGTACCCCTTTTGGGCTTCTTTTCCGACACTTCCGTTGGCGAAGGTTGCGTGGCCGGAAACCCAATATTGTGCGCTCTGCCGTCAAGCTGATGAGTCTTCCCAAGGCGTCTCTGACCTTGTCCTTCGATATCGGCCGCACCTTTGCTCGCTGTTCTGCCATATCATGGCTGAATAACGAGCTCGCCCAAGGCATAGTCCGGGGACTACTTTGGGACTTGGACCCGGGAGGCTGCCTTTTCCTCGTATGCAAGTGGCTGCTGACGGTGGGGAGCAGCCCGTTGGGGGCCCATCCTCACTTGCTAGATGGCAAATAATGTCATCTTGCGCCGATGCAGCTGGTCATAGCTGTCTTGGCCGGCAGCCTGAGCATAACCTTACCTTCCTACGAGTTCCGACACTCGAGACTCGTGTGTGGGGACGATATCTTTGGCTGGGCCGTCAGCCAGGCAGCACAAGCACATCGCAGTCTTTCCTGCCAGTGGGGATCCTTGATCTGTGACTCGGAATACCAGCTGATCGGACAGTCCTCGGCGATTTCGTGGCTCACCCTGCCAGTGTAACGTGGCTGGCATGCTGATTGCTATCGACAACAGGCTTGCTCGAGCGACATCCATACTATCATGTGTCCGTGAGCGACACTTGTGGTATATGGGCAGCAAGTCTACCTGGCAAGTAGGGTGGGACGAACCCAGGCTACCGAGACGTATCGTCAACCATGGCAACTTGACTTATCAAACGGTGGTCACCTTGGACGGAGAAGGCATGCGGCCATCCCTAGCGAACGCTTAGGCAAAGAGCCCGACAAAGGCATCCACACAAGCAGGCGTGGTCGCACGCTAGCAATCCTTGATGGTACAAGTCAGAAACCGGATACGTTAATAGGACTCCGAAGCATCAATAATGTACAATAATGCTGTGTACAACTAATCAAAGCGATAAGGTAAGCGGACCTTGGCCGCGAGGTCCTGCGTCTGACACCGCCAGCTGGTCGGAGCGGATCACCAGGCCATGTCTCATCATACAGAGCTCCCAGCCAAGTCCCACGCATTTGAGTGTCACAGTCGCAGCCTTGAGAGCGTCTTATGGATAATCAGGAGAAGCCTGAGATGAAGCAGGACCCATGTATTCTATGAGGTCCATACCCGCATCTTGCTTGATACAGGATGTTCGAAGACAAAACGGGACGTGCGGGGCATTTTACAGAAGACTCTGCCTTGGTGAGGTCAGTGCTGCCTGTTGTTGGACTCGGATGTTCGAATACACGATCATGGCGGACGAAGAAGGTAGGATGTCCACTGTCCGAGATCAAAGGGCATGTTTTCGCAAGTACAGTAAGTACTAGGTATGTCTCCGCGAACTTGAACCAGAGATTTTAGGTTTGATTCCTTCGACAATCTCATCGATGCGTTTGGCTGTTGCCTAACTTCAAGAGAGTCACATGGACTTCACGTTGTCCCCCACGAACCGGCACCATGGTCCACCGCAGGTCAGTGTTTCAGGAGGGGCCTTTCGGAATCATGAATTCGTTGGATGACTGTTCCAGGCCAGTCGGGTAGGTAAGTGCGTTTTGAAGCAGTTGGTGGGTAAAAATGAGCGGAATTCCACACCTGGAAATCATTCTCAATCTGGTGGAAGTTTGAATTGGACGACCAGTCGGTCCGTAACCACAAAGCAGTGGCTTGATCCGAGTTTGAATATGAGCAACTCGCATTTCGAAAAACTGGAGAAAACCTTGCCCTGGGGAAAAGGATTTTCCTTTCTGTATCTGTCTACCGATATCGATACCCAAACACCATCGTGCTTGCTGATCTTTTATTCTTTCTTTTTTGTCTATCACCATGTATCGTACGTCTTCCTGGGTTTGGCCGCGGTTGGTTATGTTGGGTTGACCCTGCTTTGCTCTCTAAGAGCACTGAAAATACGCGATACCCATGGTTGCCTGCGGCGGAAGTCCGTCGGGTCCCAAAAAAGCAAGAAAGGGCACAAACAGAAAAAGACAACAATCTGTTAAACCCTTCAAAAGGTACCTTGATCAATCTGATTACACTCAGTCAACCTCGCTGCAGCGGCCCGAGCTGCACTGCGAGGACATCGTCTTTCTTCCTTTGTTTGTTTGGGTCTAGAACTGAGCCCCCCCCCCAACTTTTGCCCAGTCCAGTCCCGGCCAGTGTCAAGGTAGGCTTGTGTCAGAGCAGATCGAAAGGTGAACAGAAGCTGGATCAGTTAAGGTAGCCGAGACTGATGAGTTCAAGAGCACTGCGCTGCCCTGCCCTGCATGGAGATCGTCAGCACTCAGCTGGGGCAATGGGTATCATTTGCTCTTCTTGTATCCGCGCCGAGTTTGCTCTCCAAATGGGCACAGTCTTTTTACCTTCCGCCCCTCCAAGTCTTGTATTGAAAATCATCAACAATCATCATTTGATATTGTAGCAGTGACTCCCTGCTGGTGCCCATCAGTCGTTTGTAACCTTCTATTTTCTTTAGTTGCTCGGATGCATTTGTTCGTCTTTTTTTTTGAGTTTCATAGGCTTGTTCTCCTCGGGGAAGTTGAAGTCTGTTTGTGCCCTTTATTGTAGTCTATACTTTTCACAAATTCGTCTTCGCCGCCCCCAACCCAGTCGTTTCCTTTTTCTCATAATAATGAGCCATCTCCAAACCCGCACGCTTAAACCCACACTTGACATAGAACCCTTCATTGGCCTCACTACAGTCCAAAATACTCTTGTAACAGCCGACGTTCTCGGCCACGGCATCCAAGGCCTGGATGATGCGCAACCCCAACTTCTTGCCCTGTTGGTTCTTGGCCACGGCGATGTCCTCAATGTGGCCGACCAGACCCATATTGTGGATGAATTTGCGTTCGACGATCACGGCGCCCGTGCCCACGACTGTGCCCGTCGTGTCGCAGATCACGAGGATGTAGTATGTGTCGTTGCGGCTGGCCATGAAGTCGTAGCGGGCGTTGAATTCGGCGAAGGTCGGTTCGCCTACTGTGGTGAGGACGCGGAGGGTGTCGAGAAAGCCTGTAAGGAACAGATTTGATTAGCCCGAGTCTTGTGGACTGAAGTGGCGGGTAAGTGTGCTGGTGTGTAATATAGGTATCTCTTGTGCAGAGAAGAGCGCCGGGGCCCTGTTCCGTGTCTCCCCCAGATAAAAGGGAAGAATCGTTGTGGACACAAAACACTGGTTGGGCTCGGCTGCAAGTATACTGTACTGACCTCCATAATAATCACTCCGTCGAAGCGGTCGGATTGTATACCCATCCGGCAAACTGGACGAAACTTCATCGCTGATCAGTGAAGGCGAGAATAACGGCTGGTCGTCATCTTCTTGTTTGTTCGTCACCGTCTGCTTCAACGTGTCAACAGCCGGTAAGGATGTAGCTGCTGCCGCGGCCGCCGCAACACCGTTCGTGATTCCGTTCACAATCTTCGATGAGACTGTTGGTGTAGGTTCTGTTTCTGGCGGTGCGACACCATTCGACGATGCTTGTGTGTCTGTTTCTTTGCCATTGAGCGCCATGGTTGTGGGTGAGGACAGCTTGCTGGAGGTGGAGTGGATTGAATTGGTGAATAGGGGCCGGCGTATCACAACGCTGGCAGGTAGATAGATCAAAGACCAATGGTATCTCTAGGTGTACTGGAGGATCGGAATGAAACGAACGAGAAGGACCGCAGGGAGGATATGGGATTTGGCGGGTAGCAGAAGCAGTGAGGTGTTCCCGATTCCAATGTTTATCGGTCCGCCTGAAGTGGAAGAAGTGAGGACGCGGCGGTATCGGCGCGCGGCTGCCCTGGAAATAATATCGAGTTGGCTGCGTTTGGCTACAAGAGGATAGGGAAGATGTACTATAGTAGTAGACAGTGGAAGGAAAGGAAGAAAGGAATGAATGTAATGGGAATCTGCACGGCTTTGCGGTCAGTGCTGAAGTGGGAGAGTCTGGATTCCACGATTGTGATGTGAGACGCAATGGTCAAGTCCAAGTTGGCCCCTGCTGTGTCAGATGCGGCAGCCGAATTCATCAATCACTGCAGTTCAAGTTGGTCAGCTTCACAACGTCTTATTTTATCGGCCTGGTTGTTCATAAAGGACCCTGACAATCTTCTGGTCGTTGCGATACTTGTAAAGAATGGTCTTCCGCTGCTCAGCCCAGATGTGGCGGTCAATCGCAATATTGAATAGCAATACTGTTGGCCAGATGGATTAAACGCTTATCTATCACCCCAGAGGCACAGCCTGGCTATAAATAACCAGATGCTGTACAATGTACACCTGATGTTCGTATGCGATTGGCCCAGTCGTTCGCTTACAGGTTGCTCAGATTGAGCATGCAGTGGCGGAGGCTTGTTCAACGCTTGAGGCTGCAGCTTAATTGTCTACGAAGCTTTAGTTGATAAATAGCACGTCCCGAAACTCCCTTTTACTGATGTAAAAAGGTAATCCTGTCGGGCGCCTCCTCGGATATGTTACAGATCTGCCGGAAATCCCCAAACAATTCTTTCCTCGAAGCAATGAAGTCGTGGAAGTCCTTCAGGCGGACAGCATGCTTGAGGTTCTTGACTGTCGGCAGCTCGGGGAACTTCACGAGGCCATCGTTGATGAAGAGCCTCACAAAATACGCCCCCTGACCGCCCTTTGACTTTGCATCACAGGCGATACGCTCGAATATCAGTCTCCCACCCATGGGCACCACGTCACTCGTCTTCCACCGTCGGTCTGCTTTGATTCGATGGCTAGGCAGCTTTGGCGCACCATCACGTTCATTGAGTATCTGCAACGTGGCCAGGACCGGCACAATGTCCCCGTCGTGCACGAAGCTGAAGTAGACATCCTTCGAAGAATCATTCATCATGAGATTGCGCGTAGCGTCTAGCCAAAGCGTACCCATGACTCCGGCATAGGCGTTGCCTGGTCCGGCTCGATAGAAATGAAGGAGGTCTCGTGCGTACTCAAAGTGAGACCACTCTTCATGCGTGAAGATGTTGCACCAAGGACTGGAGCCTCTGGCGAGAATCTCGAAGCCACACATCTCCATCATGTTGAAGACGTCCAGGTAACTAAAATCTAGTCCTTGGGCATGTTGTGAGAGTCGTTTGGCAATGGGCCTGGTGAACACTCTTTGCCATTCTTCCAGCTTTTGGTATCCGTGATCGTGGCCATATTCGCCATCTGTAACATATTCGTAACAAGTGTCTCCAGGAGTCAGTGTATCCCCGCCCCGGCCTTCGTCTTCGGGAATCACTTCAAGCTCGGCTGTGCCCTGTGAGAGCCAATCGGGACCGAAGAAGCCACTGGCGAAGTATTCGGCTGTTAAAATATCCCTCGAGGCACCGCACGACCAGATTCTTGTTGGTCGGTCTTGGGGGATTAGGTGATCGTAACGCTGTCGCAGAGTCCTTCCAGTATTGAAGGCTTGCAATGTCCCGGCGTAGGGCCCAGTGGCGGTCAAGTTTTCGAAGGAAGGGTCCGCAGGATCGGTGAAATATTCCCAACTTTTGAGGAAGGACAGTGGTCCCTTGAGTTCAACTTTGGGATTTTGGAGCCGTTCTAGGAGTTCGATATGTCGGGCACCAGCATTCCTGGTGGGATATCGCTCTGCATGCCGCGACAACTGGCGAAGGTGAGCACCACGGATCGTCACAGAACGCTACACTGAGAACCCTACCATATGCGCTTGGTCCACCGAACATCCCTCTGGAAGTAATGCATCAGAATAGGCAACGCCGTCAGCCCGTGGTATCCAGGGCCCATTGCCGCCCAAATGATAGAATAAATTCCAGACTGTTGCCAGACAAACTCCGGCTTTTGACAAGAACGACACATCACATCCGCCAAATCGTGTCGGCTTGAAGAAGGCCACTGCCAGAAACGTTGCCAGAACAACAAATATGGCGAACGATAGCCTGCGCGGTGAGGACGCGGGAAACCCCATCTTGGACTTGGACTTGGACCTGGGCTTGGAGAGGCTCGAAGGCATCGGCAGGTCGTTATCTTGTTTGAGGTACATTGTGCTGCTGTTTCGGTATCATGACAGGGACTCTGAGTCGGCCCTCATGGGTGATGTTGATGTTGGCAGATTTCTCGCTGCGGACGGCGCGGCCGGCCTACAGAGGTGGAAGTTGGCACAATATAGTAACCGGCATTGCTAGCAACGCAGTCCGATGCACAAACACGGAAGAGAGATGGCAACCCCGGGGAAAGGATGTTCAAACATGGTACTAGTAGTAGGAAATCCCAGACGCGGCCGCTTCAAAGTTGAGGTCGAGCCCCGGCCATCGCAGACTCGGAGGTGACTCTTCACGTGGGACAGAGGCGCAGGCAAACTGGCCCAGAATTTTGAACTTCAACTTGAACCAGACCAGGGCAGGCAGATCTACCTCATATTTTGTATTACTTTGTTTCGGTCATTGTTTACATGGCTTTTCCACGCGACTCAGGCTTGCTTCATTTTAGAGCGTGTCCAATAATGGCGACATCCTACAGCCCCGTACCGGTTCAGCCGTCTCTACCGGCTCTTATGCCAGTGGTGAGTTTCTGTTTGTTCTCCGCAGCGGCCAGACTTGAACGGCGGAGAAGTGCGAAGGTCTTCGGTCCTTTTGGAGCCGATGCTACATTTTGAAGCGCCATTGAAATGTAGAAGGGCGTCGTGTTGTCCTCTTTCAAGTTGTTCAGCTCAGGTTGGAGGACTCACATTCTACGACTTCGAGTTCATCTCGTCCGTCTCGTCCATCTCGTCCATCTTGGTGAAGGTTGAAAAACCAAAGTGACCTCCTACAATGAGCGACATGGGCTCCCTACCGACCAACAACGCCCCGCCAGCTGCGCCGCATTCCTACCCTGTGCCCAAGCCAGGCGTCTACTGTCCGGCCGTCACCTTCTTCGACCCAGAGACCGACACACTGCGTCCCACGGAACAAGGTCAATACTACTCATATCTTGCCAATTCTGGCTTGACAGGACTAGTGATTTTGGGGACAAATGCAGAGACCTTCCTCCTTAGCAGAGAAGAGCGATCTACTCTGCTGAAACTCGCACGCAAGTCGGTGCCCGCAGACTATCCGATCATTGCTGGCGTGGGTGGACACTCGACTTCTCAGGTGCTCGAGTACATCAACGACGCGCATGCCGCGGGCGCCAACTTTGTTCTTGTTCTGCCGTGCGCATACTTTGGCAAGCAGACCACACCGACGGTAGTCCACAACTTCTACACGGCCGTGGCAAAGAAATCTCCTCTCCCTATACTCATCTATAACTTCCCCGCCGTCTGTAATGGCCTGGACCTCGACTCCGATACAATCGGGGCATTGGCGCAGGAATTCCCGAACATCGTGGGAGTCAAGTTGACGTGCGGTTCCGTGGGCAAGATCACACGTCTGTCAGCCACCTTCCCGCCCGAGCGGTTTGCTGTGTTTGGTGGACAATCCGATTTCCTGGTTGGTGGATTGGCCGCAGGAAGCGCGGGCTGCATCGCCGCATTTGCGAACATCTTTCCCAAGACCGTGTCCAAAATCTTCGCTTTGTGGACCATGGGCAAACATGACCAGGCACTGGCCTTGCAGAGGATGGCTGCTCATGCCGAGTCGCCTACCAAAGCCGGCATTGCAACCACCAAATATGCTGCCAGTCAGTTCAGTGCCAAAAAGGCAGGAATCCAAGGTGATCTGGAGGCTCTTCTTCGGCCACGACAACCTTATGAAGAGCCAAGCGAAGTGGTCAAGAAGAAGATCAAGGACGTGATGGCACCGCTAGCTGAGATTGAGAACACGCTTTAGATCCAGGTGACATGGAGATTCTTGAAACACGTTTTCAGCTATGACGATCTTGCATACCTACCTTATTTGTTCTTTGCCAGCAGGTAGAAAGACACTGTCCAGAGAAGACCTGTATCACCAGATGGACGCACTCACGGACAGAGGACATGACATCACGAAATTGTCAGAATAAAATAAGATGAGACAGTCTCATCATCTTCCCACACAATTAGCGATTCTTACCTCCTATACCTTGATATCTTGTCCATAGATACTGTCCATGAATGTGAATCATAGATCTGGATCACATGCAGGTAATCGTCCGATCTGATCTGCCTCAGGCAAGTCACATTGGCACTGCGCCGGCAGATATCTATATGTTGTAGCACGGAGATCGACAACGGACAATCGAAAGCAGATTATCGAAGTTCGCCTCGCAGCCTCGCTTCGCTTGTCCAAAGCCCACATTTCAAGCCACAATGATGCGGCCCAGACAAAAGTGCAGCCGCCCGCTGAAGAAAAACAAGGCAGACGACATGCTCCACAAGTCAAATCTGTCAACTGACAGTCATCGCGTGCCGCATCTGGCGTACGAGGCGGCATCGTGCATGACGGGAAGCAACTTGAAGTGACACAACCTTGGACGGATGCACCAAACTTTGAAACTCGCCTGTCTGTCTCACCGCAGCGATCGACCCAACGGCATCCCGCAGAGTAAGGTGTCCGGAGTACGACTTGCATCCTTCGTCTGCGAAACGCCTATTCCTTTTTCCGGATAGTAACACGAAATGGTTCAGCAGAATATCAAAGAATAATAAAATAGCCGATACACAGGAGCCAATGGCTTCAGCTTTTTAGGATACAAATGAGCTGGATCTCAAGGTTCCAGTTGTCATGGCGCCGTCTTGGTACATCTGGTCTGTGTAATAGTGCCAGTCTCCAAGAGTGGCTGATACTAATGTGTCAAAACATCGTCCCGATCGATTGAGAGCCTGATACCTCAGTTTTAATCATTGCAAGTACAAATGCTTTCCCGCCGGTTCAGAGAACTCCATAGCCGTTAGCTATGTAGGAGGATGCGTCCCGGGCTCCATGCGCTGCAATGGCTGAGGGACTGGACATGAAGCTAGTATCGTGAAAATAACGGAAGGGAGCATTCTGTTGTACCGATGTGCTGCGTCATTGACAGCCGTGGTCAAGATCTATCTCGAAGCTCGGCTCGAAGTCTTCAAGTTCGGGAGCTGCAGCTGACGGTGGATTGAGGACTGTCAAGCTGCCCACCACTTACAAAGTACCAAGTAATTACTCAGACAACCCGCCCACTACTGCTATTCTACTATGTCGTACTTGAATGCTATAGCTTGAATAAAGTGGGCAATAAGGCTTCGGTGACACCACGCCCACCGTGACAGCCAGCAAAAGCACTGATGTCTAAACAATGAATTTTGTGGATAGGCCAAACAAATCCTGCTCTGAGACGAGACGATTACGCCTGCGCCCGGACTTGTCTTGATATCGAGCACACCTGCGTTTATTATCTGGGCTCCTTATCTCGTAGCGATCACAACGGCAGGACTACAAGTAGTACCACTGGAGGTAGCTTGCGAGCTCGACTGAAAGGCACCTTACTAGGACTTATCCACAGCTTGGAGCAGTCGATTGCTGCACTGGTACTGTAGTGGTTGTGTGCTGTGCATGTGCACTATTCAAGGTCGTTACGCAGTACTATCTCAGCTGAGTATTAGGTACGGACCTTCACTACCACCGTTGGATCCATCCACCGCATCCCAAAAACCAGCTTCCACCTCCCGCGCTTCTGTTCTGACCTCTGTCACTCCTTTGCTGCCCCTAGAAGTGCTCGAAGCACACTGCAAAGCAGAGATTCCCCAGAGTCACCTAGCGTTCGTTTGCGCGGCTGGAGGCCGTCTACTCTGCAATCAACGCTCTCTGCACGCTGACCAAAACCATCCGGACCTGCCGCACTTCGACCGAGACACAGTCCGCATGCCTACACGACAACCAACCCGCGACCGTTCTATGGCCCTGTTCACAAGTTAATTGACTGAACAATATGAACCGGCGATAGTCTGAGAAAAAAAAAAAACCGCGGTGGTTCTCTTACATCCAGAAATAATTCATAATTCAAGAGGCTGGCTACTCGATCTGAACCAGTGGTGTCACTTGGCTTTGGGTTCCAATACCAGGATATCAGCGACCCAGCCTCCTGCAGCTCTGTCCTACACACTTTCTGCAAAATCTCCAACTAGTCGACCGCTGAGCTCGGAGCCAGGACTTTGGCACCATGGCGTCGGTGCGCTCAGGCCTCCGGTATTCCTGGCTGGGTCTGTGGTTAACGCTGCTCACATTCCTGTCGTTCAATGTTCTTGCTGGGGCCGAAGAGACACAATGGATCAAATACACTGGCAATCAAGGCACAGTATGGCTCAAAGACGATCGGAGGCCTTCATTATACACGCAGAATTTTGGCGATTGCCAGGGAGACTCTCTGATCAATGTCACTCGCTTCGATGCTGCGTACTACAAGGACAACATGACGGTTCTGTTTCACTTGGAAGGAAATTCTGCTTTGAAGAATGAGAGCTTGATGCGTAAGATCCGCTCTTTCTGCTTGCAAGTTGCTGTATTGGCTAACATGAGCGAACAGTCTACATCGGTGTTTTCGCTTACGGGGAGTCTCGTTTTAATCTGACCTTCAACCCATGTAATGCCAACATTGACAGTCTCTGTCCACTGAACTCCTCAGTACCGATCTTTGCGAACGGCATCATTCCTGTGTCACAGGCGGACGTGGCCAACATCCCGTCTATTGCGCTCACGATCCCGGATTTCGAGGGCCAGGCCATCCTGCGAATCTTTGCCAACTCAACACAGTCTCAGATTGCCTGTTTCTCTGCGGTCGTCACCAATGGCGCCACATTTTCCCATCCGGTTGCTATCGGTTCTGTTTTGGGCGTATTCACCGTGGTGGCCCTGGTTTCGTCCGTTGCGGTCTCCATGTATGGTCAAAGCATCCCAGAAACCCGCAAACATTATGCACATTCGATATCGATGTTGGTGGTGTTCTCCGTCTATCAGCATATCTTCTTCACGGGAGGCTTGTCGATGAACTGGCCGAGTGTGTTGGTTTCGTTCTGGAGCAATTACGCTTGGTCAGGCGGTATAATATACAGCCAGAAGATGCAAAACTCGATCAACCAATTCATTGGTGGGAACCGAGGCAATATCAGTATGGTTGGAGCAGCCCCAAGCGGTGAGAATGCAGTGGGATTGGGAGGGGGATATGAGATCTCGCAGATCTACAAGCGTGCGACAGCGGCATTACTTCCTTTCCAGTCGTATGAAGGTACTGGCACAACCTTTCGTCCCACCGAATTGGAACACGTTCTGTGGAGGAGAGCGACAGACAATGCAACCATGGCTTCCCCATGGCACGGCACACCCGTCCTTCCAGGATTACCATTGCCTGGAAACTATTCCGGCTTTGCGGGGACCTTGGCCGAGTTGAACATCCCAGCCTCTAACGCCTTCTTGACTGGGCTCCTATGGTTTCTGATCTTGGTCGCATGTCTTCTGGCAGCTGTGGCCGTATTGAAATGGACATTCGAGGGTTTGGCAGCCGTTCGGGTCGTTCGCACGGACCGACTTGCCTATTTTCGAAAACATTGGCTGTGGTTTGCCGGTGCGGCGGTACTACGGGCCTGCTACATCGCCTTTTTCATGATGATGTTTCTGACCATGTTCCAGTTCACGCTGGGTGGAGCAACGGGCGTCAAGGCCATTGCTGCTGTCGTCTTTGTGATTTTCCTCGTTGGAATGTTCGGTGTCGCTGCATATGCTTTGTGGTACAGAACGAAATCCGCCGCACTGGTTGAAGAAGTCGGCCAAGCCAATCCCGGGCCCAACGACGCCGAAAAGACGGCTCAAACTGCGTGGTATAAAGGTGGCTGGCTCCGGACACCCGACAAGAGTACTGGTGGACAAGCGACAGAGAAACAACCGACGTGGCTACAACGGCATCTGCCTGATTTAGACTCCGGTCGTGTTCATGTCCATGACGACGAGAACTACATGACCAGATTCGGGTGGTTGGCTGCGCGGTTTCGTCGCAGCAAGTGGTGGTTCTTCTCTGCCTGGTTGCTATACGAGCTGGTCAGGGCCGCTTTCTACGGCGGTGCTGCAGGTCACGCGCTCGTCCAAGTGTTTGGCCTCCTGGCATGGGAGACGATTTCCCTGGTTGCCATTGTCTTGATGAAGCCATTTGAGAGTAACCGGCTCAACCTGCTCATGGTATACCTCTTGGGCTTCAGCAAGGTTGTCACCGTGGCCTTATCATCTGCCTTTGACGCTCGGTTTGGCCTGGGCCGCATCTTGACGACCGTGATTGGGGTGATCATCATCGTCATCCAAGGTGTTCTCACCATCTGCCTGATGGTTGCGATTATCCTGGGAGCGATCTCAAGCTATATGTCCATCACTCGATACCGCGAGAAGATCAAGCCTCAATCATGGCATGGGCCACGCACGCGGTATTTTGCACATGTCGACCACAAAGCCACGGACCGGCCCAAGCCTCCACCGCCGTCCGCTCCGGAGCCAGAAGCCCCCAAAGAACCATATTTCTCAGTGTCGTCTGTTCGGCGACAACCCAAAATCGAAGACGAAGATCCTGACATCGAATACTACCAGTCACCGCGCATGTCCGCATCTATGGACCCCGAGCCGGGTCCGAGTCGTCAACCAACTGCGTCTCGGGCACAATCTATACGATCTCGAACTAGTGTGTCGAACCTCCCATATGGCGCAAGACCACACCGGGCGAGTTGGAGCACCAGAGACTTTCAGGATTGGGAGGCCCAGCGGGGTGGAACTCCCATCAACTCTAGGATGAGCACGGAGAACATACAAGATGTCTCCAGAAGGCACCGGGCACAAAGCTTGCGAGGACCATCACGAAGTGGGCCAATGGGGTTTGGGCCTGCAACGCCGCCCAACGGGTCGGATGTTCAGTTGCAGCTCAATCGACATCGACGCAGCATGTCTACGCCTTTGGGACCGAATCGAAATAGCTCTGTTGTGAACGAAGAAACGGAAAATGAGCCAGCCGGGAATTGAAGCAGCAGCCAACCCCGAGCGGTCAGCCACGAATCTGACGACTTGATGAACAGAAACTTGAATGTAATCAAATAGCTTGCCAGCCAGGGGAAACGACCTTGGTTTTGGGCAATCACTAACGAACGACATAATATCTTGCGAGCATGCATCATGATGGCGAAAGAGCATGTCTTTGGGCCCAGCACGGTGACTTGGTTGAGCACAGTTAGTGGCTTCATCGGTTCTTTCTGGTAGATAGGGTCGTGACCCTTTACTTTGCATGCATAATAGGTTGGTAGGGTGATTCAATGCTGCGGACGAATTTGTCTATATGCAAGCGACGTGATGACAGAGGACAATGGACTACATTGATGTCTACTTGCACTGCAGCTGTAGGTTGTACAGTACAACTGTAGTGTTACTGTAGGTTCACTTCAAGTTGAGGTTCACGTAGGTACCTATGTCTTCGCTGCTTTGATGTGAAAATACAATGTACGAGTATTACATCATCAGGTCGTGTCACGTGGACTGATGTCTAGCACGTGCAACTTTCACGGCTGCAGCTGATTTCATCACGAATTTTGAAGCCGAACTTGAACGTGGATCCACGATCCAAATTCCGGGCGTCAGTTCGTCACGAAATAGACTCTGACCGCACGTTCCACTCCTACCACTTCCCTACAGTTTGTTCTGCTCCGAGCTCTTACCACTCCCAATAAATAAACGTGCCCCACGGCCGTGGTCTATCTATCAATTAATTGATTTCCTTCCCCGGACATGAGTGTATCTTTCATCCACAATTTGATCTCTCGAAAGCAGCCGTCATCCTCTCTATTAGTACCATGAAATGCAGGTTCTTTTTCTCATAATCCGAAAAGTACCGCCGTCCTAGTTGCATCTGAGCGATCTCGCATTTCCCCGTTTCCGAGATCTTGCCGCCATTGCATCCCACACTGCACTGGCATATCTCTTTATAGTTGCTCGGCAGAGCTTTTTGTGGTCTTTGATATCGGACCCACCTCTCTTGCTACATGATAGAAGAGGTCATCTCATACCGTCGAGATGAATATCCTCACACGTCGCAATTCAAACAAGTCCATTGATGGAGAGGGCAAAGGGTCCGCTCTGGGGCGAACGGTATCAGCGGAGCGGCAACAGGATGCGGGAAAACCATCCTTGCTCCGGCGGCTCAGCAGGACGCTTAGCAGGTCTCAGGAAAAGCCTGATTTGAAGGAAAATGAACAGCATCCCACGGCACCTGCAGAGCATCACCACGCTAGGACAGTCTCACCGAAAGTACCGGCCGACAAGGTCGTTGAACCCGTGGTGAATACGTTGTCCCGGGTGGAGTCGCATCACAGCATCAATTCACCAGCGGAGGTGTTATATGAGACCTCTCCTCAGCAGACCATCTCGCACGAGCAAGTCTCGGCAACAACAGGTGATACCAAGAGTATATCAGTCGCCGATGCAAACACTACTACGACACCAACCAAGCTACACCAGCATTCTTCGTCGGTTTCAAAACACAAGGCTAAACATCCAACCGGCCTGACCAAAGCAGATATCCACCATCTGTTCTCCGGGGCGCCGCAATTCTTGCTCGAGAAAGGTCGGCGAGGTCGATACTTTCCGCAAGCTTTCTTTCCCTGGAACAATGAACTTGACATTTCGGATCTGCAAGACCGAAGGTTTCTCCGTCATGAGAGCTTCGCGTTGGCCACATTGCACGCACATCTCCCAATTCCGGATGAGGTGAACTGGAGACCGGGCATGGCAGCACCTGTCAAGAAAGTGGGCTTGGAAACAGGGAAGCGGCCTATGTTTGAGTTGGGGATTTTCGAGCGACCCAACATGCTGGGCATGGAGGGACGAGAGCCCGGCACAGTGGGAATGAGGTATTTTCTAGAACGGCCCGTGGCGGATGGACTGCACGACGAGAAAATCAAGGAGCATGGTAAAGACGTGGAGATTGATCTGCCATTATCCAGTCTGCCGAACCTGGGAGCCTTGAAATCGCTGGTTATCAGCGATAACGAGGAGGCGACTGTGAATATCGGCAAGCATGCCCCGGAGCAGGATCGGGCCAGACTGGTCCATGGCGGACCCCACGCCTGGAAAAGCGTGGGTGTGAGAAACATCAGTATGAAGGATATAACCGAGAGACTAGAGAGCATCTCGCAGTGGCGAGACAAGGTGGCCAACATGGGCCTAAATGCTACTCTTCTGGACTGGATGCGAACGGATGAACTGCACCACCACCTGTTCAGCGAATTTTTGTACCCACCACACAAGGTGAACCCGGATGCCAAACACATCAAGAATGGACTCAAGATCCAGATCGAGGCATTGGTTAAAGTCTTGACCACGCCGGGCGCATGGTTGGATCTGAGCGTGCCAGAAGCCAGACTTCGGTTCGGCAAAATCCTACACAGTCGAACGACAAAGTATGACCATGAGACGGGCATGATGTCGGTCAACCCGGAACGGAAATGGTTGCTGATCCAGTTGTTGTTGGCGGTCGAGTTGGTCATTCGTCTCGACACCGCCTTGCGACTAGGCATTGCCATGCATTCGGACAACTTTGAGCTCAGCAGCGACGAAATCCACAATTTCAACCGATTACGCAACCTCAAGGTCGATTGGGACCTGGTGGCGGCATGGAGATTTCTTATGTTGTGCTATGTCAAGAAGGTGGAAAAGAGGTTGCCTTCACCGTCACCCGACCGGTCGGCGTCGGATCAATTAAGTCGAATCAAATTCCCCGAGCGTCATGGCCTGTTGGGAGGTCTCCGGCACACGTTGGGTTTGGATGACGACAAACAACAGCCCACTCTGGATGAATGCGATCTCGCCATTCTTCCCCGTCAACCACGGGTCATGCTGGATGGACTGGTTCGGTTCGCGCATAACATAGGATGGCCGCGATGGCAGGAAATTCAGGAACGACTCGAGCAGAAACTGTGTCGAGAAGACCCGGAAGAACGAGAGAAGTTTCTTCTTGACATTATGAGCTGTGCTGAGGCTGCCGCACACGAACAGCGTCAAGCACCTCCTGGGTCACCACAGCCCGGCAAGATAACACCGTCGCTTGAAAAGTTCTGCGTCAATCTTCATTCTGCGACAGCGAATACCATCGGAGGCTGGTTGTCACACAGTTGGCTTTCCGGCATGATCCTGCCAGGCACATCGATCTGTGACATCTTGATTGCCACTTTATTGGAGAACGACACGGATCCCTCGACGCTGCAACATCTGGGCTCTAGAGGTCTTCCCTTACGGAATGCAGGCTTTGTCCTGAACGGATCTTCATGGTGGTCCAAATCCAGCATTGTCGGCCGAGTCATGGCGCCATTACACGGGTCCAAGGAGTGTATGGGTTGGATCTACCTGCCTCATTTTGTGCCGTTGAATGAAGCCACGTCGGGACCCGTCGAGAATCGTTGGGTCAAAGTCAAGAGCTGGCCTGTGCCAACCACGCGTGACCGACCGCGCATCTTTGACGGTGACAGGTTGTCTACTGAGTCGTCTCCGCTGGGGATTGGAAAAGGGAACATCATGGGTTCTGAATTCAGCATGGTGACGGATCGGATGTTGGACAATGATACCGTGCCCGCGGTCAAAGTCAATGCGGTCAAATTGCATTTGTCTAGCACCAACGCGACCGAATCTAGTCCTGATCACCCGCTGGCCGCGTGGGCGCAATTCGATTTGAGCATTCTACAGGGAGAGAGTCAGCCGATTCCAAAACAAATCCGCTACGGACTCGACCGCGCCGTCTATTTTGTCACTGCATACCCTTGCCGTCTACCTCACGGCCACGCGACTTTTAAGCCTGGTTCGCATCACGATCAAGAACACCACCAGCACCGACATGAACAGGTACAGGAACAGGAACATGAAACTGATCGCGAACACCATCATCCCCATGCCCATCTACTACACAAAGATACTGTCCATTCGCTCCATCCCCGCCATAAACCAGCCGAACATTTACCCGCCCACCCACTCCACAAAACATACAAGTTTGTCACCAAGACGCTCTGGGACTTGATTGACAATCCTACCGTTGATCCTCCGGCCTCGGGAACCGCAAGTCACAGTGAAGTGTGGGTCGTGGATGCGCGAGAATCCGTAACTGCTCCTGAACCAAAGCACGGCTTTTTGCATCATCAACATCAACATCACCACGAGCATCATCATACGTATCCCGAGGCAGCGCAGGCGGAGGCGGTGGCGCAGCCGCAGGCCGGTAATCAATTATCGGCAGCAACTCTAGCTCCAGCTCCAGCTTCAGACACGACAAATGCTCCCGAGTTAAACGTGGCAGTCGCTTCGTCACCAGGTCCTACAAGTATACTCAGTCCGAGCAGTCCCAGTCCATTATCATCTGCTTTACAGCATTCATTGAGCTGGAATACAGATACACCAGGGGAGTCGTCGACTCAAAGTCTTGGTGAAGTTGTTGGCGGGGGACAGCAACAACAGAAGAAAGAACATCATCATCTTGGCCACCATACCGATGACTCGTTACCAGATCTCGAACCCCAATTATGGCGGAAAGATATCTTCGTCAGGGCGTGGTGTGCGGAAAAGGGGAGGAACGCACTGATTGCTCGGGTGGGCAGGACTTGTCTGAGTTGTGCGATTAGGGAGGCGAAAGCGTTGGAGATTGGGGTTATTGTCAGAGTTGGGGTTAAGGAGGAGTGGAAATGAAGTGATGGACTGGAATGGACTGGGAGGACGGACGCCCGGTGGGTGGGTGAGAGGGCCCCTGTGCTGTGTGGGTTGTGTGGTCAGAGAAGAGAGGGACGGACACGGGAGAGGTGGTTAGAATATGGTATCACTTGAAGGCCAAACGCAGGGCTGGGATCGGGTGCAGAACAACAGATACAGTATGAGACCAGATGGCAGCGTACCGGACGCACTGGCATGCCCCAGAGTGACAATCTACAATCTACAAATCGGTTCTGTTCTTGGCCACCAGTTGCAGTGTTCTGATGAATTATATATCAAGTGATACTGCTAAGTGTGAATACCCAAAGTACCCCACCTACCTACCTACTACCTGGTATGGCATGGCATGGCATGGCATGGATTGCAATCACTCGTCGTGAACTGAACGTTTATTGAGTCTGCCTAATCACGGAGAGGGTGAGACAGGACCTCACCTGAAGAGCGAGAGATTAGGTACAAAGGGTATGGGCATAGATACCGGATCCATTCTATTTTAAGGATAACACAATCAACAGTATGTAGCCCGGCGGCATGCCAGGACCTCTCCATGATGGCGAAGCAAGGGGCATGGTCAATTGTCAAGAATGGTCATTAATAACATCGATGATCTGGACATGAATCCGAACATGAAATCTAATATGGATGAGTATAGCTTGTCCAGATACTTTCAAGGACTGGACATCTCCGTACCTATTACATATGTAGATACCTTATCATACCTACAGTGCACTGTACTTATGCATACCGTATGTGTATACCGTACCTACCTACAGAAGGTATATAGGGAGCAATATTACCTTAGCTCAATCGGTCTAACGAACAGAAAGGAATCCACATACCTACCTACCTAGGTAGGCACTACACCTACATCGCGCCCACGATACAATACACTACGCGAGCAGGACACAGACACAGACACAGCAACAGCAAAACAAAAATCAAAGGCAAAGGAATCTTATTTCCTATCCCTGGCTTTCCAGGGTTTCATGCCCTCGTTGGGCATTCGTTGCAGCTGTATCTGCACTGCGCAGTAGTATGTACCTTCTTTGGTACCTTTTCTACTGGTATTTATCCAGACACACACGGGGTATTCATTTCCCATCCATACAATCATTTGACCACGCATCCAGAACGTTCCTCCACGTCCGCTGCGTCCTCGTGGTCGTGGTCCTTCCATTTGTCCCAGAACAAGGGACCTAATCAATGATCCATCCATGGACCCAATCAAACCCAAACGCCAAACCCAATGCAGAACTCCAGTCGATTCAACATATCCCAAACGCGTCAAAAACTTCAAGGGGGTATCACTTTCGCTCGTACAATCAATGATTCGTTCAATCGTCCATCCGTTCCGTTTCGTCGAGCCAGTCGAGCCGTGTCGTCAATGTCCAGTCGTGACAAGACCAGACGGAAAAGTAAAGCAGAAACTCCTGGATGCAACGTTGAAATCCAAACGCCGAAACCCAAAACCCAAAACCCAAAACCAAGACTTTTTGCAAACCATGCCGAACAAGACGAGACCGAATACCCAGACTCCAAATCATTGCGAATCAAATTCTCCTTGTCGTATTCGTACAAATTCCTCGCTCTGTTCCGAGGATTCCTTCCCTTTCTGTGTATCATTTCATTCATTCATTCACCGCTCTTAAGTAGAGCACCATTGACCAACTCAGCGACAATACGCTTTCGCTGGATTTGGATCACTTCCGGCCCATAGCTCATAGGCGTGAGACCCAACATGATCTGACGAGCCGTAGTGACAGTAAAAACGCCGCAGTCGTCCATATTCTGCTGTGTGGGAGACTGGCCCGACAGGTTGAAAGTCCATTCTTCTTCCTTGTACGAAGCCCCCAACTCAAGTTTGAGCCAACCTTTAATGGTCTCAATGTATTGTCGTCCGCTGCCGCCCAAACTGTTGTAATGTGTGACGGTGCGGTTGCGACCCGACACCACACAGAGAGTCCAGTGCGCTCCTTTGTTGATGGGGATAAACACGTTATCCGCGTCGAGGAGGTTCTTGCCCCCAACCTTGGCTCGGCCAGCCCATCGTCTGACGCTTTGATACCCCTTGGTCTCGAGGTTATTGTAGAAGAATGAAGCCAACGCGGCGTGACTCGCTGACTGGGTGGGACGGTCGTTCTTGAGCCCATGTTCCACTACCAACTTCAGGTAGCCGTTGATCACTTCGTCGTTCAACCAGTTTTGTGTGCCGCGGCTTGAGCCTAATGGCACGACACGTGTAAGATCAGACGGCTTAAAGGACTTGTGGCCGTGTCGTAGCGCTTCCTGGACCTTCTTCTCCCACTCCTCAGAGAGTGGCGTAATGCCATATTTCTGTGCTTCTTCAATCGCCTGTAGTCTCTTGGACTCGCCTCGTGTCACTCGATGGTGCTTCTCTTCCGAGTGAGGGCTGGCTTTGGGGGTTGGAACTTCGGGCACAAATGGTTCTTGCTCTTGTTGCTCCTGCTCTTCCAATGTGAGCTTGGCAAGTTTCTTGTCTGGTGTCTTTACCGACTTTCCAGACTCGTCGACGGTTGCTGCCGTCTGAGATGTGTTCTGACCTGTGACGGGGGTCGAAACTTTTGTATGTGCCGCGCTTCTTGTGATGCGTCGGTCCGGCGTCTTTGGCTCGGCTGGTGTTATTATGGGTGTTGCCTCAGCTGCATCTTGTGTGCTCTGTGCTGGGCTTTCGTGTTCAGTCTCAGGACTGGCATCAACAGAGCTTGTGTCCATTTGTGCCGGTGAGATGTCGTGAATAGCAGCTTGTGTGCTGTTCATCTGCCGAGGTGTCGCATCTTGTGTGCGTTCAAGAGAGGGGTCAATATTAGCAGCTTGTGTGCCAGCAACATGCAGGGGAGAAATCGCATCTTGTGTGCGTTCAGGAGAGGTGGGGGTGTTGGCAGCTTGTGTGCCGTTCATGCTTTCGTCCGAGTTCGCATCTTGTGTGCCATTGGGATCTTCAGATGTGTTCGCATCTTGTGTGCGCGGTGTCGGAGATTGGTTGACATCTGGGAAGGCCTCATTCTCATGGGGCAGATTTCTCTGGGGCTCTTCTTCTACTGGAAAAGCACCCGGAACAGGAGACTGTACAAACGCCTCCGTGTCAACATGCTCAGGGTAAGCTTCAGGTGCAGCATCTACTGGCTGGTCACCCTTGCTTCCCTCTGCCGCCGCAACTTCAGTGCCCGTCTGGGCAACTGAATTGGGCGGCCCACCGCCGGCCAAAATCATCGCGAACGTGCGAGCGTCCTGACTCACGTCAGGTGGGCTTCCGTTCCACGTTGATGATATGTCACTCTCGACCGGCGAGGGCGACTTCAGGGCTCGGCTAAGTTTCTCCAACAACGTCAATTCAGGCGAGACATCACAAGTTGACGAAATATCAGACTCTGGTGTTTTGTCTGTGTTCGATGCAATCTTTGCCTGTCTCTCTAATAAGCTCAACTCAGGCGAAAAATCGCAGGTTGACGAGATATCAGATCCTGGCGTCTTAGCTGCGTTCGGTGTAATTTGCGCCTCTGGAGTTTTGGGATTTTGTGTTTTCTTCTGTCGAGAGATTGGTGTGCTGACCTTGCGGTTCCTAACACGCGGAGGCGACAACAAACTCGTGTCAACAGGGGTGGTCTGAGCCTCTGCCGTGGCAGTAGGCGAGGTTCCCTGAACGACAATGACAGGTGTAGGGGTTTTTGGGGATTCCACGCTCGGACCATCTCTTTGGAGTCTCTTGGCTGTGGAATGTCCGTCTGCTTCTGCCAACTCTCTTGATCCTTGTTCTTCAATTCGTCTCTTGTTGGATCGCAACGATCTCTTAACGGTCGCGGTTGAAGCGGCAGAATCACTCTCGTAGCCTGGGGTAGTGACAACCTCTTGTGCCACCTGCTTAGTGGGAGTCGGGAGATTTGGACCGAGCGGCGGCAGTTCTGGGTATGGAGACTGCAACTGTGGGAATTCCGCCGGCGGTGTAGTAGGTTCTGGGATTCTCTGTTGTATGGGAGTTGTTTCTTGTTCAACAGAGGGAGGAGATAGGTGAGGTACAGGATGCACCGCAGGCGCAGTCTGGTATCGACGTCGAGGTCTCGAGGTAACGCGACGACGGGGCTGTCGCATGGTGCCACCTGTACCGCCGACCTGCCATACGGCCTGTTGGAAAGGTAGGATACCAGAGGGGAATTCAGAGAGGTATTGGTGGCTGCTCGGCAGGGGGGTTCTCAATGGTTCGTTTGGTGTCATCTGCGGAGGTGCTGCAACCGGAACGGGGCGAGGAGACCATGGCTCTTCATGCGAAGGCTGCATTTCCCAGAGACCTGCGTCTCTAACGCCGGCGACTGCTCGATGCCATGGTGATTCAGTGAGAGAAGGGTCGGGTGCGCGCTGTCTGCGTGGTCGTTGGTTGCGCTGCTCATGCTGGCGCTGCTGGACCTGACGGACAACATAGTATGCGGGGACCGCGGCGACAGTGCAGGTCGCGCTGATTGTGTATTTTGAGACGAGCGATGTGGCTGCGAATCCTAATGAAAACAAGCCTCTACAAACTCTCTTTGCAGCTGGTAGAATGCCGCCGTCGGGTGCTGGTCGTTTGGCGAAGACACCAGCGGTTTGCGGCGGAGGAGTCGGAGGAGCGACAGGCCAGCCACCTGGGACGTAATCGCCTTGATATGGATTATGTACTGGCTCCGGGGTCGGAGGAGACCAGTCCATCGAGAAGGAGTGGTCAGCCATGACTGCGATGACTGACGGTCTTGGGATTGGATGAAGTTGCCAGGATTGTAGAAGATGAGGATGAGATCCAGAAACGGGGACTCGAGAGAGATCGCGTTTGCGGATGAGAGAAGTAAGAACTAAAGAGCAGGGTGTTTGTAAGCTGCTTCATAGAAAGTGAAGAAGAGCAATCAGTATTGATTGAAGGTTGTATGAGACAGTGAGTTCGAATGCGAACGATCAATCGACCAAATGTCTTTGTGTATGTGTATGCGGGAGACGCGATCGGATCGAGCGAAAGCGCAGCGCAGGGAACTTGAATGCGCCGTGACATTATCCGCCAAGCATCATTCTGCCGGCGAGATGACCTCACCGCCTGCAGCCTTGGCACGAGGCTGGGTTAGTGCTTGGCGGGCGGTGAATACCTGGTACCTCACGTGTACGGCACGTGCTGCTCCAAGGCAGGGGCCCAGGATACTAGTAGCAGTACTGCCAGTGCAGTGTCACTGGGAAAGGTACTGCTTCAAGCAACACTGGGGAGCTTCAATACAAAACTGCATGCCCTCGTGCAGGATTGCGGCAATAGCTATTAGTATATACCTATTGTACACAACGACACAATACCTACCGGGATTCACTCTGTATTGCTAGGGTAGGAGAATAGAATTTCATTAGACAAACGATCAGTACCACAGTAGCACACACAAGCAACACCACTGCCTCTTCTTCATGCATTCAATCAATCCACTGCTAGTCCCAGGTGTTTGAACATGATCGGATTGCCCTCTACAGCCAACCATGCAATTCCCGAATAAACGATCAGCTTAGTCACCACTTCGACATCGTAGCGTACCCTGGGCTTCTGAATATGGGAAAAGATCCTCTTTTCCTGCAGTTCATCCATCTCTTGAACCTCTTGTGGACTGGGGGTTCGTCCATCTTCAGGAGAACTGGCTAAGGCCGGAGATAGACTCTCTACCCCTTCACCCATCTGCGCTCGAAACATTTCCAAGCTGCTCGACCTCTTCCGTGTACGAGTTGACACAAATTTCTCTGCGGCTGGTTCTGATTCGAGGTAGGATGGTTCGGGGGATGACTCTTTCGCAGGGCTAGGAGATCCGGCGGCATTGAGGCTGTCCCGTCTCTTTTTGTTGCGGTATGCCAGTGTCTCGTATGCGTCAGCTTCAGACTGTGGCCCAACCGAAACAGCCCGTCTCCTCCGGAAGGACGACAGCAAATGCGGAATGTCTCGTGCCGGTGGAATAACATTGTCATCGTGCTCCTGTCGCGGAATGGTCTCATACTCTGAGGCTGGTTTGAAAAACCGTCGCGGTAACGTAAGACCTTTGGTTTCAATTACTCGAAAGACGGGCGGAAGGACTTTGAGCAGAAGTGGTTTCATCACCCCTCGCCAGAGGAAGATGGTAAGAACTCCCAGGAGAATGCGCAGGGCGGCGATTGACCAGCCCATCTTTTCCAGGTCAAAGGGCACGGTGCCTGGGGCAGGGAGTGACCACGCATACGGAGTGCGTGCAAAATGCCAGACGGCATATTCGCAGCCGATCATGACCCCGGCGAACGACACACTGTCGTCGAAACAAGGGCAATCATCAGCCGGTTCGGGATGAATGCGAACCAATACTAATATGATCAAGACAACGAGCAACACTCTTTTGAGGTCACCGGCGTGCAGCCATTCATCGAACGGATCACCCCACCAGCACTGCACCAGCGCCAGAGCTGCCCCGAGGGCGCTGCCCCAGATAACGTCAAAGAAGCCGTGCATGCCACAGTAGAGCCGACCAAGCACGATCGAAAAGGCGTAGAAATAGCAAATCACCTGGAGACCCAGGTTGAACTGGGGACTCATCTGGCTGTTTGGGGCCCTGAGCAGGTAGAGCGAATAGATGGCGACCGACACGGCGTTGGTGGAATGGGTGGAAGGAAACCCATATTCGAGTGCTGCGGAACCGGACATGGTGATGCGCTGTAGCGGCGGCGAAAGAGGACGCGGGAGACATAGTAGATCTTTGATGAAACCGCTGAAGAAGACTCCCGACGCGAGGATATGCACCATACTGTAGCCTCGTCAGACACCACATGGACGTTGTCGCAAGGGCACAACCAATTACCCTCTGCCTATACTCGTATGTCCACACCAAAACAGAATGGGAAGCATGACCATGAAGAACGTATGGGTGCCCAAGTTGGCCGTCATGGCAAAGTAGGTGTCAAGGGCTGGCGTTCGAAGGTTGTCCTGCAGCCAGGCGACGTAGGGTGTCTCCCAGCGGACAATGGGTAGAAGCTGTTCGCGCACGCGGTATCGCCATTTTGGAAGGCGGACCTTGTCTACAGGCCAGTCAGGACGGGTCAATCGAGGCCAAATTATGGTTTGTTTTCTGCATACAATGATCGAGGGATCTTAACCCGGCATCTGGTTTGTCCTTCTCCTTGTCCATTTTTGTGTATATAATCTTTGAAGTGCGCCCATTGGATTTTGTGTGACTATCTCTTCGGTGGCAGATCAAGCGCAGAGGCTTCTGAGAAGCATCGTGCAGGCAGAAGGCGGCAGAGGATTTTACTCGAACTCGGCGCGGGTGGAGGTCTGTTGTTCCAGCAGTGGTGGTGTAGTAGTAGTCTCGAAGAGCTCAATGCAGGATTTGTGGCGGTGCAATTACAGTGCACAATTCAGCCAGACTTCGAGTGGATTGTGGTTGTGCACGCCGAGGCTGGTCCGCTCACGTCTGGAAGAAAGCCTGAGCAACTGGATGGCCAACTTGCAGTCCACGATCAAGGGTCGCTAATCGACATGGATCTCGTGGAGGGCGAAGCATGTTTGAGAGAAGATGGCGCCATTATGCAGCTACCAGCGTGTGGTGAAGGGAAACCCTGCTGCGTAACAGAACATAACTGGTCTTGTAGAGAGAGATGGGGAGACATTTGGCTGCGTTTCACATGAAATCCTCCGGCTTGAGGCTCGTTACTCGGCAACGCAGCCACGACAACAATCGAACCCTCAGACTCGCATCTCAGACTTCACTCTGCGTCATGCTGCACATTTGGAAGCATGCGAAACATCACATCGTCTACGAGTACTACCTGTTCCACAAGTCTTGTCCGCCGGCATATGCAGATCGAGCAGTGATAGTGTACATATAATACTGCCATTCCCACCACTGCAGTGCATAACAGACCTCCATCCAATCCACAAACTAACAGTACATACAATACCTTTCAAGTTGCTGGTCCGGCACCAACCCCGAACATAACTTTAGGTCTGCGTCTGCCTCAATCATGGCCGCAGCCACCGAGCATTACCCTTCACGAACGCCCACAGTCATGTCCGAAAAGCGCGTCTCAGCATCCTACATCAGTCCTCCTTCACCGCGCCGAAGACCAGTTCGAGCCCAGAGCACAAGAACAAGCAACGGCACAGTCAGCACGAACATGAGTTACAATAGCAGTTTGGGACGGTCGTCCGAGGCCACCAACATCACACAACCGCCATCATATTCGAAAAAGTTTGTGGTTGTAGGAGACGGTGGCTGCGGCAAGACATGCTTGTTGATCAGTTACGCCCAAGGATATTTTCCAGAAGTATGCATGGAACAACTCCTGAGAGCCCAATATTATTAGGCGCTTTGGACTAACGGAACAATAGAAATACGTCCCGACCGTGTTCGAGAACTACATTACCCAAACCACCCACAAACCCACCGGAAAAACAGTCGAACTGGCACTATGGGATACCGCGGGACAGGAAGAGTACGACCGTCTTCGGCCCCTGTCATACCCCGAAACCGATCTTCTCTTCGTCTGCTTCGCCATTGACTGTCCCAACTCCCTGGAGAATGTTATGGACAAGGTTAGTCAACTTATCTGTATCCGCCAGAGCGGCCTGCTGACAAGCAACAACAGTGGTATCCCGAAGTCCTCCATTTCTGCCCAACCACACCCTTGATACTCGTTGGTTTGAAATCCGACTTACGCACCAAACGAACCTGCATTGAACTCCTCCGCACCCAAGGCTTGACACCCGTCACACCGGAACAAGGCGCCGCGGTTGCAAAGCAGATGGGCGCAGCCTACATTGAATGTAGCGCCAAAGAATCTAGGGGCATTCAGGAGGTGTTTGATCTGGCCATCAACACCGCCATTCAACTCGAGGAGGAGAGTTATGAGACCAAGCCTAGTCCGAAAGGAGGTGTCAAGGTCAAGAAAACAAAGAAGAGAAAGTGTGGCATCCTTTAGAGTTGATCGGCCGGACGGTTGGTCTGTTTGTACGCTACGCACTGAGGACAAGACACGGCTTCATTTCTCGGGTACAAATTGTTGATGCTTGTTTCTTTGTTTGGCCATTTTAGACGGGCCCTGGCTGGCTTGGCTTCGCGCATCCTACCTTAGATGGGCGGGCGTTGCTGCACGAGTGCATGACCGGCGTTGCTTGGAGATCGGGGGTTTGGGAGGAATTGCGTTTGCTTTTGCTTTCTTGCTGTTGCCATACGGGATGGAGCCTTGCTAGAGTATGAAATCAGCATGCGCCAAAATTGAAATTGATCCATGTTTGAACATGAGTTTCCACAACGAGCGCGTGCTTCTGGAGAGACTGTCAAAATGAGTACAGCTCGGCTCGGCTCAGCTCAGCGGCCACTGCTGTAATGCTTTCCAGCAAGCCCATTTCTGCTTTTGCTCCAATCTCGGGCGGCCTTCTCACATGCATTGCATTCAATGCATGGGCAGTACCTGTATGGTCAAGTCACGTCAAGTCACGTCAAGTCAAATCCTCTCGTCCGTCATCATCTGTCCCAGCTTTGCCTTTGACTTTCTCTCTCCACTGGCATGCATGCCCCAAAGGACCAACGACGGACATTCGAAGTTCCTGCAGGGTGGTAATATGTTGCCGTGGTTTTTATAACTTTATTCGCCGTGGTGATCTCTATCTCTGGTGCTGTCCCTGTTGCCGTCATCAGTCGTTTCTTGCTCCTGGCCCTCCGCCCCCGTGGCTTGTCCGTGAGCATTCTCCTCTTGATCTCGTCCCATGACCTTTTCGAACTGGCTCCAGAGTGATTCTACAGAAGAGAATTCGTTGCCGATCTGGTAATACCATGATTTCTTGTCAGTTGCTGTCATGTCACGCGGATCTTGTCCGGCAAAGCTGGGCAGAGATGAGACAAAAAGGAAACGAAAAAGGAAGAAAACGATAATGCGAGGGCGAGAACCAGGTGAGACTCAGGTTCAGCAAACAAGGTTTGCGCTGACTGCCAATGGGCCAATTCCCTGCCATGCCGTCACAATGGCATGCTTGCCGGAGTGGAATGGAGTTGGGGTTGTCGCACAAGGAGCCAGGCAGGGAGGGAGGAGGGAGAGAACATGAATTGACAATACACAATCAATCGCAGAAAGGGGAGCAGCAGAGGACATCTGCGGAAGAAAGTATCAAAAAAGGAGGGAGGAGAGGAGTGATGAAAAATGATCCACAAACAAGTGCATATGGTATGCATACCTCGATAATACCCTCAAGACTGCGATTCAGAGCATTGATCTGTGCAAGGACCTGTTCGAGAGACTGCTCAAGTCAGCTCTTTCAGTCAGCAAATGTATACTAGGCATGTGTAATATGCATCATAGTAGTAGGTGTCAATAGATATCCATCGCATCGCCACCAACATACGACGGCAGGGCAGATGACACGGCACTGGACGATTCCAAGTCCCATCCACAGAGTTCAGTTCCCTCCAGACCAGACCGTCAATCGAGATCTCGAATTCCCCCCATCAGGATTGGCGTGCACTCGAATCGACTCCAGCTTACATACAGAGAGGACGGACAGTTCGAAATCAACGACTATCCCACGTCATGGACTTGAATCTGACACTGACAATAGTAGGTAGGTGAACAATACCATGAAGACCTCATCTCCGACCACACACACCACTGACACTGCAGCGCCAGACGATAATGCCCATAAGGCTAACTCTCCTCTTCTTTGCTTCTTCCAGAATCGCCAGAAGTTCAAAATCAAATGAAACGGGTAACTCACCTCTCCAATCTCCCCGACCAAAGCGGCGCGTCGAATCTCAAACTCGCTGCTGGGTCGAGCAGCCCCATCGTCTGTCGTTCCTCCGGGTGCCATGTCACTCACTCACTCACTCACTGCTCGGATCAATGCGATTTTCGATCCTGATCCTGAATACTACCGCACCAGTACAATACTTGCAATCGTGATTCGTTCGTTGTTTGTGGTTTTGGTGTCTTGTCGGCGCTCAACATGGATACCTACATAAGGTAGGTGCCTGAGGACTGTATGTACTGTATATGCTGTCTCCGACTCTCGGTTCCGTTCCAATCGCCAGTCAGAAGTTGAGGTAAGGCAAGGGTATCGTAAGTTGTTCGAATAGTGGTCGTAGAGGAATGGCGAACGCTCAATGAGAACGTGAGACGCGCATTGGTGGGTTTCAAGCCGACAAAAGAGATATTATACTGGACAGAATGTCGTTCAGTTGACGGCCGCGCGAGGCTGTGTGAATATTTGCTGCACGCGTCTGTTGCAAACACTGGTAAAGCCAATTGTATAATGTAGACTCTTCGGCTTTTTGACACAGTACTGGTAGCGATGACTTTATCGCCAGTAAAGGTTCACTCTCATCTCTCACCAGCAGTAGTAGTGCAGCCCAAAAAACCAAAAAAAGAAAATATACAATAGGCCAACAAATAAAAAAACAATGACTTCAGTTGAGAGGAGTGGGATTCGAACCCACGAGGTTTCCCACTGCGGATCAGATATGTCTATCACCGAAGTGATAGGAGGACCTAAACACAGCGCCTTAAACCGCTCGGCCATCCTCCCGGTTGGAAATTATCATAATTTTTCGGGACTTTGATTTATGTCCACTGACATTTGGGTTCCGGAGGATCTTTTAGCCGGGGGCCGCTTTGGCTGATGGGGGCTGGCTGGGTAGCCTGTGGTAGCCTGTGGTAGCCTGAAAGACCCTGGAGTATAGTGGCACTCCCGGGCATGGCCTGGGGGCCTCGGGGTGCTAGGGATGCTAGAGCCCGGCTTGGAGCATCTTTCGGGCGAGGCTTTGGTGGACGTTCACTACCACCTAGATGACTAACCTACTGTACGATGTAGAAGTCCTGCCAGTCAGCGCAGTACCTACCTACATAGAGGTACCTTTGCTAGGCGTTCGAATATTCATTGGCTACATGTATCGATTGTACATAGGTCAGGCATTGATACGGCAGGTACATCATGATGGTGAACAGATGTAGAATATCCAAAAAGGCATGTTGTACAGGTCCTAGTATAGCATGGTACCTAGGTAGTTCATTATAGTAGTGAAACATGCATGCATCCACTGGCATATCCAGAATCGCAATTCCCATGGCAAACGACCAAAATGCCCTCGGGAGGTCGCGGTGCCGTGCTGCAGTCTGCCTTCATTCCGCACTTCTGCATTCCAGTCGTTTCCAGTGGTTGGTCGCAAAACCGACCCGACGACTTGGTGAAGGTTGCTTGCCGACGCCCAAATCAGGGCTGGACCCTTCGGCTACACGCTAGCTCGAAACCAGGTGATACAAGTAGGAGTCCCTACTAGTAGTGATGGGAAAGCAGTAGCAGTAGCAGTAGTTGGTACCTCGTAGCCGACTGCAGGCTAGCACACCACCATCCAGCACAGCCACATCACCCCCAGAAGGTCACTGAGCGGTCGGAACCAGTGGCAAATCTTGAACAGCGGGCCAGCGCAATCATGCATTGTTGTATTGCTGAGAGTGGGAAGCGAACATGCCCTTGCCTGTGCCTAGGTGTCCTTCAAACTCGGTCGACTGGAGCTCGTAGCTCGTGGCCTGATGGGGATCGTCCACTAACAACAGAAACTCACGACAAGCTCCGTACCGGCCCCCGCCCATGCCTGTTCCCGGGTCCGGGGTGATGAGTGATGATCATCCACACCCACTGGTTGCGACCTTCGAGAAGCGAGCTCACTTGTAGTGCGGGTGCAGCTCACGCTGTGCTCAAACCGTGGTATTCATAATGAATTGGGAAGCGACCGGTGTTTGAAGATCACCAAAGGACAAAAGTGTCAGGGTGGAGACAAAGTCCCGCCAATAATGGAGACGTGTCGATCATCTCAAAGATGCTGATCTTGTTTGTTTTGGTCGGGTCCGCTTATAGGACCAAGAAGTTCCAGGTCCGTCTGGACTGGATTCGATTATTTGTTTCCCACTGCAGATGATGTTCGTGAAGCGCCCGCAGGGGTAGTGTTTCAATGGGCGGCCGAAGCAGAAAGCTCAAACCCTGCGGAGCTACTTTGCGTCAAAGAAAAGGGGTGATCGTCTTCTTTTCCTCTCCTTTCCGAAAGGATAACCAATCTGCCAGTCGGCAAAAGCAGGCAGTCCTCCTTTGAGTCAAGTATTCATACTGTAAGAAAATGGAGTGCTTTTCCAGACTGTTCATGTCTGCCAATAATGAATGACGTGTGACAAAGAAATGGCATCGCTGTACTGTATATGCTGGTCGTGATTTCGTATACTCGTGAGAATCGATGCCATCAGTGTATGTAGGCTCGGTAAGGACAGGTCGTATGAATCGTCTGCTCTTCCCATGTCGCCGGAAGGTTGAAATGTGTCAAGTATGTTTTCGCGTAGTATCGCCATAAAAAGCGCACCCCACGGTCATCATCTCTTGCCAATCAATAAGCGGGAAAGTCGCTTCCTGCTCTTCTCCGGCGTCCTTTCGTCGCTTGATGAACTCGAGCTGGAACTCGAGCTGGAGCTGGAACTGGCACTCCTTGAATTCGTCTCGAGAGATGATCGTCCTCGAGAAGTCATGACGGCTCCGAGGATGTCTTCGAGCCGCACATCGTCTTGCGGAGAGGTTGACTGGAAGGCTCCGGAGTCGAGGATCTCGGTGAATTTGCCAGGCATGATGGCATTCGGCGCTTCTAACTGGGGGAATGAAAAGGTGTGCGACAACGGCCGATGTTTGACGCGGTGACTCTTCAAGTTTGTGGTTTGAGGGGATAGTAATGAGAGCCAGAGAGCGTCCGAAGGCGCAACGATAGTCAGTGAGCTGCTTAGATAGACAGGCTCCAAAGTCGGATTGGGCTCTCTTTGGATGAAAGGAAACCAGACAGAAGGGCGTAAGGAGGGCGGGTTCTGTTGTTTGACAATTAATTGTGCGACCGCTCTCCGGGGTACAAGTATTCTTTTTCGTCCATGCCGCCAAAATGCCGCCTATTCCTAGCGGCGTCTCCCTGGATTCCCCGTTTCGAGAACGGCCGTCGAATTGAAGCTTGTGTGGCTTGGACACCCCTGCCATTTCGATAGTCATACTGTGAGTCCGAGAGTCTGCGACCGTCCCGGCCTCCCCAGGGTGGATTAGGGTCTTGCCAACGCTAGACCAAACAATGACAGGTGTTAATTGCCTGGTCGGACCCAGACCCAATCCAATGGCGCACGGACTCGCCCTCAGGGTCTTGGTGTGGCGCTCGTATCCATTTGTTTTGATTGCTGATTGATTGGTGTGCCCGCCCGGCTTCCGGCGGTGGCCACGGAACGCTCGCTACCTTGATGGACAAGGCATGGAGGCACACGAGCAGCCGAGGGGATGTCTTTGAAATCGCGCAGGCGAGTACGAGGGATTGTACGAAGCATCGCTGCCTACCTAGGTACTATAGACACAGGCACCTGCAATACATTGTATAGTAGCAGTTAAAAATAGTTGTAGTAGGTATCTGCCTACCTACACTGACCGTCAGCAATGCCAGCCTGGGTTCATGACCGCCACCGCAGAGGTTGGTCCCGCACAAGCCGGGACGGTGAGTCAGCATCTGACATATCGGATTTCAAGGGGAGGACAGTTTGGCAACAACGAAGGAGACTGTATAGCAGCATCACTGTCATGAGCATAATAATGACAATACACGCCAACCCCAACGTCAAGGCCACGCCAGTGTAGCATGTGGTAGGGCGTCGTTGATGTTCGTGAGTCTCAATAAGTCGCGCGCATCGGCGGCCTCCCATTGGCAGACAGACCTCTGCCACTGCCAGCCGACTCGTTCATTGTTTGAGTCGCGCTTCAAACTTCACGTCTCGTCTCGAGCCATACCTAGGTATCCCTTGGTATATGTTAGGTGTAAGTATACCTTAACTTGAATATCAATTGCGATGCGTCTTATCCGAAACGCATATCCATGTTTCTGGTGATGTTCGAAAGGAGGCTTTATCTTATACTATAAGGTCATTTTCGAGAGTATAAATGCTAACCGAATGACTGAAGAACGGTAGGACTGAACGGTCGCAATGCTTTCCGACGTCATGAAATGTTAAAAGTTGGGGCATGTTACCCTCCTTTCGGGTTTGATGAGTTGCCCGGTACTGGATGATACTGCATTTTCTACTTGCGATGAGAAGTAACTGCAGTGTGTCGATGCCATCCTACCAAGACTGCTCCAAGCATCTCGCCTCTTCTTCATGCTTTTCAGGAATATTTTCCATAAAACATGACTTCCTCAGCCAATACAAGATGTTCTTCTGCGTCGTTCGCAAAGTTGCATGTGGCAATGGTTCGTTTGCTTGACCCGTATTCCTGCCGGCACCATCGAGAAATAGGTAACGCGGGGATGCCATGAGCCCATGTCTTTCTGTGTCCATCGTCAGCAAAGCAACCCGCTATGCTCGTACTCGTCGTAAATCATATGTTGGCACCGTTGCGGTGCACGGACTTTGATGACAGGCTGCTCTCTTCTGCAACTTCGAGACGTCGTGCAATCATAACCGTTGTCCTTCAAACATAGGTTGCGACGGTTTACGACCGGATTTCCTTGAGACTGGTGGCTGCTATGTTGTGGCGTTCAAACGCGAGACTGCATCGTGCGGCGTGAAAAGTGTGTAGGCAAGACGAGGATGGCGGAAGTTGCGGGAATCGGGCAGGCTGTGGTTGAAGGACCCTTCGATCTGAAGTTGACTGCAATCTGGAATTTCCAGCTCAACCTTCCATTTTGGTGTCAGGTCCCTCTCCGTTCATTTCCACTCCTTTGGCCGCGGATATCCAGAGGACGTTGTTACATCTGATGTGCAGGCTTGTTAGGAACCATTTGCGAAGGTTGCAGCACTATACTGTTTTGGAGCACCGTACCTGATCAAAACCTGCCCTAACGTGCCCGTGTGCTTTCGGTCAATGTATTCCTCCGTGTTTGACAGCTGGATATTCATATAGGAGTCCACGCTGATTAGGCGCCCTTTGTACTCGGTCTGACCCCATTTCAGGCGGATGATAACGTCGTCATTGATCCTGCAAAAAGTGGCCATATTAGCTCCATCCGGCTGTTTCTGGAGGTTCAAAAAGAACCAGCGTCTTGTCCTGCTGGGAACCGAGGGTGCACGTACAGTTGCTGCAGTAAAGGCCGGGGATTGAGAGGTGTGAACTGCGTCGAATTAGCAAACAGCTTCGATGCAACATTGCAGAATCCCACTCACATTCATGGTAGGCGCGGGTCGCGTAGACTGGAACCTCTTCTTCAAAGTGCCAGACTCAATTCGTCACAAAATTGTAGAGATGAATTACACCAGTCAACAGTTCGAGGCAGTAACATACTACTGATCTGAAGCCGCGAACTGACAGTCGCGAAAATGTTAGAGCTGCGCAGCTTGGCAAGGCTGAATATGCCAGTCACGTGCATAGCCTTGTGCCTACGAGGCTGAGTACCAGGACTTCATAGCAAGGCCTTCGGCGCTACTATCTTCATTATTCAGTCATATATTGGAAGGCGCATACCGGACTTTGGAAAATATCGCTTGCTAGATTTCAGGCTCTCTTAATCTCCCACTTGATGTCTTTGATGCTGACTTCTTCTCCCGCCTTTTCGTCATAATCAAACCATTCTCCCTCCGATAAGTCGATCCCGGTAAATTTGGTCCCTGAGTCAATTCCTACCGCCTGCCACTCGCCCTGAGACATAGTCAGTGAGTCCGATGAGACACCAAGTGGAAGGCACAAATACATCGGGTTTAAAGTCGGTAAATTCCAACCCGCGACAGTCAATCTCGATGATATTCTTCGGTTTGGCGGGCGAGTTTTGTTCGTAAGCCACGGGAGCTGCCTTGATGTTGGCGCTTGATTCTCTCTACGCAATCCGACCATCCCCGAGTTAAACTCATGAGCTCAGAAGGAAGCAATGTGAATCCCACCTTGCAGTTCTTGCACCTCCACACAAAGTTGGCTTCTCCCCGACTTCCAGACTGCTCATTCGTTTCCTGGCATGTTCAGTCAGACTGTGAACATCTCCACGCAGTGTTGTTGTAAGCGGCGCCAGTCCTGGCCACTTCCTGGCCCCGTTTAAGTATCAAGGCGTCAAAAGTCGAATGGTGGAGAAAGAGAGTCATCATAAGCTGCTCTGCACAGCACCTACATGACGGCTAACGCCAACCCAATTCGGGTGTATTTCGCGGCATGACGTGCATTGCACTTTGAAAGTATAGTAGTACGGAGACTCAGGTGTATCGGTTGGGATCAGGTCGGTCACCCTAGGAACATATCAGCAGTAATAATGGACGGGGTGAGGCACCATCGTACCCTTCCAAATCCGCCGTGAGGGCCAGCGCTAGCATGACTAAAACCCGCCCTGAAGATATCAAGCAATACTATTCTGTACGACCTCGAACAAGAACAAGATATCACGATCAGTCTCTTGCCTCTTAAAGTTGTAGTGGCAGTGGAAGATATCGAACGTCTAGACTCTTAAGTCGCAGGTTGTATGCTGAGTAAGAAGTTACTAATCAGATTGATATCTTGAATCTCTTGGCAAGGCTGTGCGTGCATGACTCAGCCCCCTGGATTTGCATCAAGAGTGAAGACGTGCATATTTTAGGGTCCTCAGTGCAGCGATTTGCCTCTGCGACAATCTCAAAGCGACGTTGGTGATCAGTACAATTCCGCGGAGGAGTAATACTGAGCCGGCCAAACCGCTCGCTATGGCACCAAACAGGAAGAAAAAGAAGCCGGCGGCCAATGCCGCTCGAGGATTCGCTACCACTTCCCTCCCTTCCAAGGCCAAAGTGACCGAGCAGTCTAGCGAGGCAACAGCGCAGGAAGATGGCAATGCTGCAAATTCAGTCCAACCAACTGATGCTCCGAGCAAGGATAAGGGTCTCAGTCGACCATCTAATGGGGCGCCCGACGCCGACATCAAAGATATGAACCCCGAGCAACTGGACGCCCATCTTGAAAATTCGGAACTCGAGGCGCTCGTGGAAAAGTATGCAGCACGATCAATCGCCGATGCCAACCGGCAGGTTGCGAAACTCGAAACAGAGCGTCGACAGCTACGCTCCCAGGCGTACAGGCTGTCCACGTACCCATGGTTGAGTGACGAAACCGTTGACGACCTCTTGCGCCTGAATGGCCCCGCCACAGCGTACGATGCTCCGGCTGGTGGTACCGCGCAGGTGCAAGACGAGGAGAAGCTCTTGGCTGACCTCTGGACCTTGGAACGAGTTTTGGAATCGTTGAAACTGCCTAGGGTGGCTGAAGCAGTCTCGCACGTTGCTGTATTAGCCACCTTGGGTAGGCTTGACATCAGCAGTGACTCTCTGCCTGGACTACAAGAGGCTTTTGAGTGGTACGCCTCCGCCACTGACCCTGACGAATTGCCCAGTTATGAAGCGGTTCAAGGAAACAAACCCAACAGGAGTGGCGACAGTACGCCCCTGCAACCAATTTCAGGTAGGTGAACATTCAGCACGAACCGTTCTATTCATCATGTCCGGCCGTGAAATCTGCCTGCAGTTTCTGTCGATCTCTTGCATTCGACAGCCTATACACTGGAGACGGGAAGGCAGAGAAGATGTTCCTGGCAGCAGCCCTAATGCCTAGTGCCTTCTGTTGACTGTACTGGATGTTTCTAACCATGGTACAGAGCCCACGACAGCTATTCAGAGCAGGCAAAGCCCCGCAAGCACACCGATGAATGGGTCGGAGCCTGAAGAAGAATCATCATCCGAGATTTCGTCCGATAGCGACGAAGACAATGATCCTGCGAAACTTGTTGAAAAATTCATTCGCCTGCAGCGCTTGATCTGGGAAGCCCAGAAACTAGAGCCGAGACAGAATCAGAAGACCTCTATGAGAAACCAGAAGCGTGTGTCTAAGTTGACCCAGAAAGTCCAACAACTACGCCGGGATCCCTTGTTTGACGACTACGAAGCCGAAGCAGCCTGGAGCCAAATCCACGTTGAATTGCAGGCAGATCACCAGCATCAACTGAGAGAAAGAGCCAGGAATCGCCGTGCGCAAAAGCCTGAAGAGACGCAAGAACCGAATGGCACAGAGTCAGAACAGGCGGCACCTCCTCGTGAACAAGAAAATGTGTCTGTTGAAGAGCCGGAGACTTCCGCCGAAGCCGACGACGAATTGTTAGGCGGGATGTTCGAGGCCGGCGATGAAGCTGTTTCCACTGAGCAAGATGGTTCGGACAAGCAACAGGTCAAACTGATTGATTTCGGCAAGTGGACCGGAGTATCTCCGCGCAAGCTCCTCGACGACATATGCAAGGGCCATGATTCGCGGGCACGGATTTCGTTACGGACACTACACCAGACGTCGCAATCGGCCAGACACAGTCTGGACATTTCTTGGACCATCGACGTCCTCCCGGGACCTCATACCACGAACGCACTACCATCCGAGGTGACAGTACAAACGGATCCGCGCCTGTGGAAGTTGGAAATGGTCAGCATGGCTGCAGCGAGCAGTGCGCAGTCCGAGGCGTACGTGTGTGCACTAGGGCTGTTTCTTGTGTCGTCTCTAGGCGCGAAGGAGCTGAAGGCGACGAGTCGTCTTCCCACGGTTTGGAGAGACCTGCTTAAGGATCTAACGGACTCGAAACAAAAATTGATTGACGAAGAGCACAAACAAAGTCTCCGTCGAATTCGTGGCCTTATACATGAAACACAAGAGAAAATAAAGGCAAATCAGGAACAGGTTCGATTACAGCACGCAGAACGGCCTCGGCAGTCAGATGCTCTAGTCGATCGGCGGCGGACACAACGTCCCAAACCAGCGAGATGGGACCCGGACACAGTCTCCAGAGAATGGGAAATGCGAAGCTCGCGACCTGCGTTCAAAAGCATGCTCGAAGTCCGCCGTCAGCTTCCCGTCCACCAGTTTAGAGATATGATCCTTTCATGCGTGACTGACAACGCGGTCAGCGTGATTTGTGCCGAGACAGGTGCCGGCAAGTCTTCCGGCATACCCGTGTTGCTGTTAGAGCAGGAGTTCATCCAGGGCCGAGACTGCCGCATCCTCGTCACGCAACCGCGGAGAATCTCGGCCGTGACGCTCGCGAGGCGTGTGTCACAAGAACTGGGGGAGGCTCGAAACGACCTTGGCACGGCCAGGTCTCTTGTTGGGTACGCGATCCGGCTGGAGTCCAAGACGAGCAATACCACGCGCATCACGTACGCCACGACCGGCGTGCTGCTGAGGATGCTCGAGGAGTCACCCGACCTGGACGAGCTCGACTTTTTGATCCTGGACGAGGTCCACGAGCGCACCATGGATTTGGATCTGCTGTTTATCGCGCTGAAGAAACTGCAGAAAAGGCGGAGCACGCTGAAAATCGTGCTGATGTCGGCGACCGTGGATGCGAAGAAGTTCTCGGATTACTTTGGTGGTGCGCCCGTGTTGGATCTTCCGGGGCGGACGTTCCCCGTTGAAGTCGGGTTCCTCGAAGACGCCGTGGAAGCAACAAACGACGTGAAGGGGGACAAGGCATTGGCCACCATACAAGACGACGACAACCAAGACGAGTTCTTCTCCGGCAACGAAAAGGGACGGCCGGTCGTGACCAACCCAGAAGCATACAGTAGCAGGACACTACAAATCTTGTCCAACATGGACGAATATCGCATCGACTACAACCTGATCGTCAAGCTTGCGGCAGCTATTGCCACGAAACCAAAACTGGCCAAGTACAGCAGCGCGATTCTCATCTTCATGCCGGGGATTGGCGAGATGCGGCGCCTGCACAATCTCTTAGTGTCGGTGGACACATTTGCCAGGGACTGGGTAGTCTATCTTTTGCATTCGACATTCTCCACCGAAGACCTAGAAAAGGCATTTGAGCGACCACCTCCAGGATGCCGCAAGATCGTGATTGCCACCAACATCGCCGAAACGGGAATCACGATTCCGGACGTGACGGCCGTGATCGACACATGCAAGGAGAAAGTAATGCGGTTCGACGAAAGACGTCAGTTATCTCGGTTGACAGAAGGCTTTATCTCGCGATCTTCGGCACGCCAGCGACGCGGCCGCGCCGCTCGAGTCCAAGAGGGTCTCTGTTACCATCTGGTCACGAGACATCGACACGACCATCAAATGCTGGAACAACAGGTGCCCGAGATGTTACGACTGGGACTACAGGATCCGATCCTCCGCATCAAAGTGTGGGATCTGGGCTCGATTGAAGAGACTCTCAATGCGGCCATTGACCCGCCATCCAGAAAAAATGTGTTGCGGGCCATTGAGAAGCTCAAGGACGCAGGGGCGCTGACCAAGACAGAGGCCCTGACTCCCTTGGGCCAGCAGATTGCCCGGCTACCGCTCGAAGTGTCGTTGGCCAAGTTGGCTATTTTCGGCGTCATTTTCAAATGCTTGGACCCAATCCTGGCCATTATTGCATTGTTGACTTCGAAATCTCCGTTTGTGTCCTCATCTTCTGGAGCTTCCTCGTCCCAAGCAGGGGATGCCCGACAGACATTCAGCCGCGGCGACTCAGATCTCCTATCATCCTACAACGCCTACGAAGCATGGCGAAGAGCGAGAGTCGCCCGGTCCGCGCACGAGTTTTGTCGCAAGAACCATATCTCCGACCAAGCCATGGCGCAGATCGAAGACCAGAGGATTCAATTACTTGTGTATCTCGTCGACGCGGGAATGGTGATCTTATCGGGCGAAGAAAAAGCCGCTTTGAACCGTGCCAGAACATCGTCGGCGCGCGCCGGATCTGGATTCGGATCCGGAGGCTCCTTCTACACCATTCCGCCACGTTATCAAACTCAAGACCATCCGGACAGAGCACTCAATTCTCTCATCGCCATGGCCGTCTATCCTCGCATCTTGACCCGTGAAGGCAAAGGCTGGCGCAACGTCTACACGAACCAGCAGGTATCGTTGACCGCGCGCTCCGTCAATCATCCCAGCAACAGCCCCAAACCGCCGCGGTGGCTGTCCTTCTACGAGGCCATGCAGAACAGCCGCAGTGGCAATTTGAACGTTTTTGAGACCTCGGCGGTCCCGGAGTCCGCATTGGCGTTGTTGCTCGGCAGCGACACCGAGTTCAAATTCTACGCTGGCGTCCTGGTCTTGGATTCCGGTAAAGTCAAGCTCGCGGTCAGGCATTGGCGACAGTTGATGGCTGTCAAGGTCCTTCGTGAGAATATTCGTCGCGTCCTTGAGAGTTGTTGTTACAAGAGGCCTGGGCAGGAGGTGCCAGAGGATCAGCGGATATGGTTGGATTTCTGGTTGAGTCTCGAGGCTGCGGCAGCCGCTGCTCAGGAGTGAGATAGTAGTAGCGAAGCTAGAACAATAATATGATCCTAACCCTTGTTGGTGGATACATCCCACACCCTCGCAAGCCACACATACATTCTGAGAGTCATTCTCCACGCGTAAAGCGTACATGCCTGTGTATATGCATAATCTATGTGTATGGTGAGCATAAATGTAGGTTTGTAGTATATCAAGGTCGAAGCGTGGCCCAGTCTGCATTTATCACATAGAGGGACATTTGTCATTAATAAGATTAAACATTCTTGGGTCCATCCAGCCAAACCCCAACGTGTAAAATGGTTCGTGAAATCATTCTTCATATTCTGTCGAAACGTACTTGGATCGCAGTCGTGAGCAACGTCACCCTCTTCTTTTGTAAACTGTTCGGCTGCTGGCGTAGTCTCATTGAGCGGCTTTGATCAGGTCGGCGGCCTTTTCAGCAACGCCATATGCCACTGCTTGCAGATGTGCCCCCGGAACCATGGGATAAATTCCAGTGTCCACGATACGGAGATTGCTGGTCCCATACACACGCAATTGGTCATCCACCACACCGCCGAGTTCACGGGGCAACATGGCGGTCGTGCATGAGTAGTGGTATTCAGTCCCGATGCCGGAGCGCAAGATCTGTCCAAGTTCATCAACCGTGGCGTCCTGCGGGACTTGACTATACGAAGGCTGTAGTTCTTGAATCGCGGCCGTGTCCAGAATGCGCTGGTTCACTTGCATTGCCAGAATCATGACGTCGTAGTCGAACTGATGGGCCAGCCATCGGGGGTCGACACTGGGAGATGCGAAAGGATCCGTCGAAGTGATGTGCGTTGTGCCACGGGAAAGCGGCCTCATGAGAGCCAGATCCAATCCGCCTGCATTGTTGTTCAAGTTCTCGAACGCGGGAATGTCCTCGTTAGCCAATTCGTCGAGAACACTGGCAATCTGGCGCTCATAACCTGCTTGGAGAGTGGGCTCATCGTCGTACGTCGACGGAAGGTTGTACGGCGCCGCGCTGGCAGAGGCGAGCATGGACGCCGCATCATCATTGACCTGCTGGAGCGAAGGGAATGCGACGGCACAACTGGGCTTAGCTGTCCAAGGCCCAGTTTTGCTGCCAAAATATTCCGCAGCAGACTGATCGTTAAAGGTAGAGTTGCTGGCGAAGTCGCTAATATCCAAGACCGAAGGGTTCGTGTAGGCGTAATCCAGATGGATCATGCCATGGTCCTGCAGGTTGTTGCCGACCCCGGGGAGATTCTCTAGCACCTGAACACCAACGGCTTCCAACACAGACGCTTGTCCGATTCCCGACAGCTCCAGGAGCTGGGGGCTGTGGATTGCGCCGGCGGCCAGGATGACTTCACGGCTCGCATATGCTGTCTGACGTGGGGAGGACGGCCCAGTTGCGAACTCAACCCCCGTGGCTCTCAGCTGATCGTCCTGCTCGAACAGGACCCGAGTTACCTGCGAGTTCGCTTGGACGTTGAAATTGTCACGGGCAATGTTCGGATCGTAGTAGGAACGCCGTGCGTCAGAGCGAGTCTGGTTGTTAGGATCAATATCTAACGGCAAGAAGTAGCCACCAGCGCTCAAGCCCTCGTTGGGTTCAGCAGAGGTCGGAATGCCGAGCTCGTGAAGCGCCGCAAACCAGTTGTCTGTCTGTGGCCAGTAGTAGTTGGGATAAGAAACTTGGACGGGCCCGCTGTTTCCGTGCACACTGGGGTTTTGCAGCTCGGGTTGCACCTCTGCGCCGTCATAATTCTTCGGTGTATAAGTTTCTGACTGTGGGCAGCAAGTCAGCAGGAGTCTCTTATCGTATATGCAGGGATGCGCTAACCTTCTCAAAGTATGGCAGAAGCGCATTCCAGCCCCAGCCGGAATTTCCTACATCGTTCCAAGCATTGAAACTCCGCTGATTCCCCCGATTCCATACCATACCATTGATGAGAGAGGAGCCCCCAACCCCCTTACCCATTGGGATGTGACGGCTGACACCGTCCAGTTGAGTCTGGGGCGCTGTGTATATTCCCCACTCGTAGAAGCCATAGGGCTGTAGCCCAATGTAGTATGGAATCATGATCTCGTCCTCATAATGATCGCTGTAGACGAGGTCAGGAGCTTTTTGGCCTTTAGTAGAGGTTGTAACTTACAGCGAGCCTGCTTCTAGGCACAAGACCGTTACGTCCTCATTCTCACTCAGCCTTGAGGAAACGACGAGGCCGGATACACCGCAACCCACCACGATGTAGTCGTAAGTCTGACCAGCTGCATCATTAATCAGACCTCTGGCTGTTAATGGTCTAGCCACGGCCAAGGTGGCCGATACCAACAGCGCTGCGGCGGCTTTCCCCTTCATCTTTGCAACGTTAAAGTGATGGCTTAATGTTTGGAGATCAAGGATAGCAGCCAACTGTGTCTCTAGGTCCACAGGGCAACTGCACACTCTCTAGACCTTCCACCTCTTCTGGACGGTTCTGGATAGTTGGTATTGTACTGGAATGGCGCAAAGAGTGCGAGACAACCGAACGAGCGAGAATCACGACGCAGACAATGAGAGAGTTGCCGACAATCCGACTTCGCACTCCAACCAAAATACACGAAGTCCTACCAAGGAAGAAGAAGAAGAGAAAGATTATGCGACAGTACACGGCTAGACATCTTGCCGAGTAGTCTCTTCCGCATATATATATCGGAACATGTGGTACTCGAGCAGCCTACTAGTGGAGGGTGTCGGCTGATGTGGTGACTTGTGGGATACAGATGCAATGGTGGAGAATTCCTAGGATGGTGCAGCATCGAGAGGACCATTTGACGGCTGGTATGGGGCATGGCAGAACCAGCGATTCGACAGTGTCGAGCGCCAGGGCTACCGGAGTGCGACTTGCAAGAAAAGTTAGACGGGATAGCGATGCCTGTCCGAGGAAGTCAGCATGCGGCCGGGCTGAACTGGTCCCGGAGCCACGATGAACGGCGAGTACGACGCCCAGAAAGTCTGTAGCCAGATGCTAAGTAGTTGGGACCACTTATCAACCCACTTGTTTCAGGACCAGGGCGATCAGAGAGGTACGGAGGGTCTGGGGTTGGTTGATTTTTTCCACGAGACGGAAAAGAAATCGGTTTAGTAGTTCCATAAACCGCGCGTTGTCAGTCGCCGTAGCATTGAGACGCTGCCACTGCTGCACTTCTCTTGCTCCGGCTAGTCGCTGTACAGACAACGAGAGCCGCACATGGTCTGAAGCTCAAGAGGAGGAGGTTGATTCTGATGCAGAGTTTGGCCAAGGACTATAGGATTGTCCGTTGATAAGGCATGCAAGTCACCGACTCATACATTTCTGGCGGTATTCGCAGGGATAGGATGTACCATGGATGATTGTACGTGAACGCTGTGAACCCAGGCTAGAGACTTCGGGTAAGTTGCATGTGCATAAGAGACGTATGCACGTCGGGAACGACCAAGGATGAATGGTTCGAGCGACAAATGCACAGCTGGATAGTGGGAACAGAGTCAATCGATGGTAGAGGTTCCCACTGCAATGGTTGGTGGTTCGAGAAAGACTCGGGAGGAAGAAGAGGGAGAGAAGAGGAGAAGGAAATCCCACGTCGGTGTCATTGGCGGTGCTCGACCACGTGACTTATCTAGCTAAAGTGCCTGCAGATTGGCTATCCTATATCGGTACTAGTAGCTTGACAATTTTAGGATCTTACTAAGTAGCGGCCTTGGCAGCCACACTGCATTGAAGCACTATAATAAAAGGTACCAGGGAGGTAGTGCTACTACTGTAGTGCTGTCACATTACTGAGACAGTAGTAACAGCAGACAGGTAGCACATAGAATTTGAAGTGAAAGTCGATCGACCATGTGCTGCAGGAAGATGTAATGGTAGTAGTATTTGATGATCGCTCCGTGATATCGATACTAGTACGTGATGACTTTGCCTCAGTAAAAAACAACCTTAAAGCAACAAATGCATGTCCGCAGCAGTCATCGGAAAGCATAATCGATGACACCTGTCCCGGCGGGGATAACCCTTGTGACAAATGCGCGTCTGTGGTGTATCAAACTACAATGTAGTTGTATTTTGGAGCATACGAGGTAAGTTTATGAAATGAAGACCAGGTGGGGGCCACACAAAGGAACTCAGTCAGTGTCCTCGATGGTAAGAATGCAATAATGGGTCCTGTTGAGGCGCATCTTAATTTTTATTGCTGTGGTGTCTTTCCTCCGGTCTCTGCAAGCAGACCGTATCTGTACACATTCCCACAGTTCAAACCGCCGGTCAGTTTGGCGACTCAGCATGGAGTAAGTATAAGGCAAATCAGCATAGGGCATCCTTTGCTCCATGGCAAGCACAAGCTCGTGGCGTAAACAGGCAACATCGCAACTAATGAGGGCTTAGCATCCGCACTTCACTTACCATGATGAGAGCCGAAGTAGCAGGTTGTCACAGACCGCTCTCACGGATGCTCCAGGACGTTAGATAACTTCGTCGACTCCATGACATTTCCAACTCATTATCGTTGCTGCTGTGCCGCGGATGCTGCCGGTCTAGCCGAGTCTGAGAATGCTTGACCACCAAAAGTGCTTCTGGAAACGCAATGGTAGATACGATTGCTCCCACAAGTAAGTAGAAGAAGCACGCCAACGGCTTGCTGTCAGCCGTCGGCTCAGCCGATAAGGTTTGCTCCAATTCTGTGCAACACAACTGGCTTTTACAACAGGGCTTTGGAAATGGGTTGCAGAAGCTAGCCACGCCACATTGAAGCAGTAATGCTTGAAGCCACAGGAGGTTGGTCCCACAACCGAAAAGCACTCCTGTAGTTAAACCTGTGAGGATCAGGGTAGTACACACTGCATGATCGATGGCGATGTGAGTCGAACCACGACACCCTTCTGATATTTAGCTGACAGCACAGGACACACGAGCGACCGCGTTCATTGCTCAGCTTCAATGTCGCCTTCGTCAAATTGCAAGAAAGAGCCGTCTTCCGGACTGGCATTCATGATAGTCGCCCATGCGTCTCTTACGGTACTGAGAACGCCATCGGGAAAGGAGATGTCCTGAGGTGCCGGAGGAAACAGCAGAATTTGCGAGGACTGCTTCCGTAATGGAGGGTATGGGAGGGTCGGGTCATTCGCGGAATCGAGCACCAAATAGGACAAGGACCACAGAAGACTGCCTTTGGCACTGGTTGTATCAAGGAAAGTGTTGACTGCAGACTGAAGCCTGTCCTTTGCGGCCCCATCGCCGCCAGTCACAGATGCATAAATGATACCTAGCATTATCAGGTCAGCCGTGCACTTGCAAATAGATTTGTTAAAAAGCTGGGTAGCAGTATTCGATCAGGTTGTCAGAGGATAGTTATCAGCAAAGCACATAGTGCTCAGGCAATGTAGATAAGTATTCAAATGTTGGATCATCATAGGATGGATGAATGGGAGGGAATTTGCAATACTTACATTGACCGGCTGGACATTCGCCAGTATCTTCGGAATGTATCTGCAGGTAGATAGGGGATTTGGCTGACTCGTGAGCATTTGTGTCCACCAACACCATTGCTGCAGCAGGCACCGGCCCATTATCCGAGGTCTGGGGAAAGAGCTCCTTGAGTGGGTCTGCCACGATGTTGATGGACCTCCAAGTACCAGTAGACGGGGTGCCTTCGGGCGACCCGTGCTGAAGATGTGGGAGTTCATCAAGGTCTCCGACGACAACCCGAGTCTTGATTCGAGTGCCGTCCGAGAGCGTGCCCTCCAGGAGAGGAAGGCCGTCTGGGCTTTGGTCTGTGTTGCTGGAGTCACCAGTGACAGAGTCTAGAGTCTTCAACTCGTGACCCAGGAGATAGACACCGCCTCCAACAGCCCCCGCCCTGCAGGAGACTTGACAGATCTCCGAAGTAGTACCATACTTCGCGGTGACAGCACCAAAGCCTGGGCCGAAATAGCCCATTGACAGCATATGCCTCCGGATCCTAGCCAGAGCGATGTCAAAGCGGATCGAGCTTGCATCTCTCGGTGACAGTGCGAGGGCAAGGAGCGGCGCATGTAGAGACTCTGGAACCTTGAACTTGGTGTTCAGAGCGTCCTGTAGTGAAAGAGCAGAATCTTCCTCTCCACCAAGTGATGATTCTGCATCTTCCTGCAGAACGTATCGGAGGAATTTCATGAGACCACGTTTATCCTTCATTGACAGAGACACGTCGTTGAAGACATCTTCACGAGTGCTTGGGATCTTCTGCAAACTCCCGTTCCTGTGGACCCACCAAGAACCGACCGCGAGGAACTCAAGCTGGGTATGTATGCGTGACGAGACAAGCTTTGGCAGAAAATCAGAGCGTGCATAGATGATCTGTGGGTTGAGACAGAGTGTGTAAGATCGGGAGGATGCAAGCTTGACCGCTGGCTCTTCAGCACTGCGGCTTGGGTGGACTATGGAAGCTGCCTTGAAAACGGTGCTCGAAGCTGGAAAATTTGTTAGACACTGAGCGCGTAGGAATGCTAGAGGGTCACGCTCACACTTGTCCAGGTCTTGAGCCCACGCTTCTGCATCTTGCAGACTGAGCCCAGCATCGCTGCCCCCATAATAGGGATGGCTGTCGATGTGCAAGACCTTCTTGCCGGACCTTGAAAGCGACCTAGATAGGCAGACTGGTCAGTCAGTCAAGGCCCAACCTTGACGAAGGAAGGGCCATACAATGCTAAGAGTGATTGAGGGATGCGGGTGCCGGCTATAACGACATCCCACACCTCATCACTCAAGGTCTCCATCGTGGCATGAAAGATTCGAGGTGTGATTGTGGAAACAAAGAAATGCGTGCGGTGCAGTCTTTGCACCACGCAAAGTGCACAAGGATGGTTAGGCGGCTAAGAAGAGTTAGGACCTGCTATAGACTCTATGGTGGTAGCAGCGGGGAAGGTTTCCCGAGCCCTGGTTTACCGCTTGACATCGTCCTTGCATCCCACCACGTTTCAACTTGCAGTGCGAGCTCGCGTAACTCACATCTGAAGTCAGACCGCTACACTACTGTACCTCGCCAGCAAATTGGTTTTACAGAGCTTATCGACTCATACTGCACCTGATCGCGTTGCGTACCAACGCCGAGACTTTTCGAGGGGTTCGGCAGTTGCAAGTCTGGTGCCAGCGCGTAGATCTAGAGGCGCCGCAGTGTTGTCCTGGTGGACCTCTCCTCGGTGTCCTGCGCTCAATCGGACTGAAATAGGTTACCGGGCAGGCATTTGCATTCGACTTATGAAGGAATGTGAGTAGAGAGGGTAGAGCGAAGGCTTTCTGGCCAGTGATCAGCCCCATACGAGTCTTTGTTGCGAACGCATCGAAATGCCAAACTTCTCGGTCGATACGAGCATCAGATCTGGTGTCAGTCCGCTGTCGCCCCTTCTCTTCTGGCCTTTGTACAGCAGTGACTTCCAAGTCTAGGAGGATGTCAAAAAAATGTTGGAGACACTTATTGTTCCAGCAAAGTCTGGTCATTATACGGGCTGCCAAAGGACCAGAGTCGATTTTCCTGGCATCTTGCGCTGTGGACAAGGTAGCATCCAGTCCCCAATGTCTGTGAAAGAGCGATCAGGAAGAGGCCCCGCTACCCGACATGGAACTGTTGAGTTGCCCGCTTGAGAGTAGTAAGAAGATGGGAGGACCAAGGTAGGAGCCTGCGTGTATTGCGGCTGGCCTAGCTTGCTTCATTCTCTGCCACTGTCACAACTCAGCGAAGCTTCATATTGCAATGAGAAGGATGGGAGAGCAGCAATCCAGCATCTGGCGTTACGATTTCCTCCTCCAACCCCACGGCATATCTCAGGCTGCAAGTGAGCTAGATCCACCAAAGTTGGAACGGGCTAGTTTAGTACGTGCACCAGCAGATCAGTTGTGCTTTAGCATCCCTGCCCCGGGACATTGTCTGGAAATCGTTGCATGAAGCTCGATGAACCCCCTTATGCGAGTCAATCCCACCAATTCTACTTCAATGGACCATCACAATTGCGATGACCCATTGGGAACGATTCCACAAGTCTATCTTGTACGTCTTAGGGCGTGTTTGGCCTTGATGTTGTCCTTCTTTGTGCAGTTATCGCAGCTCTTCATGGAGGAAAACGGAGAATCGATCAAAGACTCCGCCTGGCCCTGATGAACGGGGTTACCTGTATTTGGAGCCCCCTTCAACGACAAAATTCTCTGCCCTCTGCACAGGCTAATTACGACTAGCTCATTACCCTCGTCACATCGGCCTGTCTTGTCCGGAACGGGGAGAGAAATATGTCCAGGTCAAGGCTCTCTTTGCCGGTGAGACGTGTCAATAGAAGGTCAGTGGTCATGACTATGACAGATAGGTGCGTCCCTTGGTGGACGCCTCCTCAAGAATGCAATATAGATGGCTACGATTGGCCTGGGCTGTCTCATCCTCTACTAATCTCTCCCCCACAACCCCCCGCAATCTATTTGCAGGGGAGTGTCTTTGGTGACTAGCTTGCGAGGCTGGCAACAGTCTATAGAGATCGCCTATAAGTCTGCCAGCGTTCTCAGACACCTCTGGGATAGCTGCTGCCTATCCATCTCCTCTGATCACCGCTGCAGAAGTTGTCCGAAGGCATTCCACGGTCTCACCCATGTGTTTTAACCCCAACAGCACTTGATCAAAATCAAAATGATTACACAGACATGTCGCTACCACAACAAGTGGAAGATTGCACTGCCGAAGCAGTGGATGCCCCTAAACAGCAGCACAACATTGGTAGCCGTGGAGGGTAGCTGAAGACCGCAGCAAAGAAGGCCGGCCGCACAAGTCTCCTTCGACCACATACATTTATAATCTTAGTATAGCACAAGATACCAGTAGACGATGAGAAGTGCCGGGTGACTACATGCGTACCTAGGGCTGTGCACCACTTTCCTGGTACTTGACCTGCGAAAGCGCCAAGGCTGAGATATCCAGGGGGCGCTTCAAGCGGGGCCCCGCCGTGGCTTCTTCCTTCGAGTTTAGCCCCCTTTTCCCACGGTTTCTCCATCTTCAACCCCAGATTTTCTCGCCGTCGCTCCCACAGAGACTACTAGTAGACTACTGTTCTCCTCCACAATGCATGCCGGCGAAGCGTGTAGCCCCAGAACTTGGCAGGCTCCAAATATCAGGCTGCCCCGCGACTTGGGCCTTGCGCACCGGCTACCTCGGATTCCAGAAGTCGGGGTTTAGGTACCTAAGCCATCCATTGCCAAGGCGTTATAGCCGGACGACATGTTTGTTAACCGCCATGGCCAATCCTGAAGGAAGCGGATAGCTTAGGTACTGTGAAAAAGGATGGTCCCTTCCTAGACCATCGTACTGGCACGGACCGGAGGTCAGCAATTCTCACAGCCGAAGCGCAAACATCCTCTCCTCCACACCCTGCCGCCCCACGCCCCATCTTCGTCCGAATGTAGAGTATTAGATAGAACACGGCTTGTGCACTGTTGCGGGAAGTATTTGTACGTGGTGAGGGTACCAGGATTCTGGTTCTGGTTCTCATGCTCGAGGCGACCACCAGCCGAGATATTGTATCATATAACCGAAACACAAAACACACAGCCCAAGGAAGAGTGGATACACCACACCACCTTCATTCAATTCGCAATACCGCTACCACGACCACTGCAGAGAAAGGCAATTGTTTGCAAAATGGGCAGCTATAGTGAAGAACCCGAGTTCAAGACGATCAGCGTCAAACCGCTACATCCTACCTTTGCCGCCGAAGTTGATGGGGTCGATTTCAAAAATCTCTCCGATGAGCAGTTCAAGGAGATTTTCGCCGCCATGGCAAAGGTAAGAGCAAAGCAAGCAAAGCACACCGCCCTTGGCTTTCTATACTGTCTTTTTTTGTTTCTTTCCTCTCGCTTTCAGGCTGGCAGGCTCAGCCGCCAAGAGCAAAGAAACCAAGTGTCTTCTCGGACTGGGTCTGGTGCTGACGTACTGATAGTATGGCGTATGTGTCTTCCGGAACACAGGCCTCGATGATGCATCGCATATCGAGTTTTCCAAAAGGATCGGTGAACTCGACACGATGAAACGGTATATGACGGACGGGCGCAAGCCAAGATACGGCTTTTACGAGCTGTTCGATGCCGGAAACATCGACGATGAAGGTGGCGTCTTGGATCCGAATAGTCCTCGGGCCCATTATGGAAAGGTATGTGAATGTTTCACTCTTTGACATCCTCGATCGGGACCTTTTGGAGTTGACATTACTGCAGGGCAACGCTCTGTTCCACGTAGATTCCTCATTCAACCCTCGCCGAGCAAGCTTTTCTCTCCTGCGAGCCGTGGAGATTCCTCCTCCAGGCAACGGGGGCAACACCGACTTTGCGGATTCGCGCACTGCCTGGGACGATCTCCCAGCCGAGCTTCAGCAAGAACTTCTGGAAAAGGACTATGTGGTCAACCACTCGATCGCGCAGTCGCGCAAGCTGGGCTCGCCCGAGTTCTTTAAGGACCTGGATCCCACCAACGGCGGGAAGATGGCCCGGCACAAGCTCATCCAGGTCCACGAGCCCAGCGGGCGTCGTAACATTTACATTGCGGCGCACTCGCATTCAATCGTCGGTCTCCCCAAGGACAAGTCGGATGAGCTGATCAAGATGCTGCTGGACCATGTCACACAGCCCAAATATACCATCAGTGTCGAGTGGAAGAATCCCTCGGACATGATCATCTGGGATAATAGGTGTACTTTGCACAAGGCCAATGGTGGAGCATTTGAGGGGAGATATCGTCGAGATCTGCGCAGGACAACCGTGCATGACGATAGCAGTACGGCATGGGGTTTGAATGAGGTCGAGGACACAGATAAATGGGTCGTCAACCGTGATGCCACTAGGGCCGCGGGTCAGGTCAAGGTCGCGGCTTGAGAGATGCGGAATGTAGTATGACAAGGCGGTAAAGTGGGAGGTTGAGCTTTAATGTCGCCACGAATTTTTATATACCTGCAGGTACCTACCTAGCAGCAGATTTCGGATGTACTGTAATTAGTTGTATCTCAATAGTGATCTACCTTATTTCCCGGTATGGCATGCTATGTCCCCTCATGCTTGAAATTGTGTTCAAGGTAAACGATCATGATGGCATTCGAATTGAAGTTTGTATCTTCCGGGGCAAACCGGGGTAAACTTGATCCGTCGCCGCAGGCCACGGTTTAGTAATCGATCCGACGAGGCGACATTGGACTTCAATCGACATCGACATCATTCTGTTCCCATCATCTACTTCAAGTCTGACCATTACTTCGGCGAGGCCACCGTCATCACTAGACACAAGCATCAACTAACGATCTACCTAGGTGCACAGTGTGCTTTAAATAGTGCTGGTCAAAAGTCCGATGTATCAAATGAAAGCATGGCGCTTCTCACGCTGCCGCAGGAGCTCCAACATCAAATCGTGCTGCATCTCGAATATTATAACCTCGTCAATTTCCGCCAGGTATGCCGGGCAACGAGGGCTCACGTGCCATATTCTATGGTATTAGACCGACGGAGGAAAAGAAACAAACAGTACACCCCTGCCGGAGCGATGTAAAGAAAACCGTCACTCCGGCCGACCCTGACTTGGCCCTCCATATGTGCTTTAAAGGCGACCAGGCCATAATGCGTATTGGTGGAAAGCTCTTGATGTGAATAAAGCCTTGTTTTGTGACTAAGCGCATAGTAAGGTAGATCGCAACCTTAGTCGAGTAACAACTTCTAGGATGCCAGTGTCCAGAGATCTGTTTGTGTGAGACCTCTATGTGGTCATCGTCCATTCCATGTTCTGTGCGCCCAATGTGTCTCGTTAAGAGCCACTTTCTAGTCTACAATTATGTTGCTGTGACTCCAGCCAGAAACAAAGGTGATATGCCTAAGGCATCCCAGGCCACAACTCACAGCAGCCTGAGGCATATCATGATCGTGGTGGCAAAGCTGCCGTGCGAGTCATGTCAGCACGTGATCAGCATCCTTCGCGAGTCATTCACTCTGCATCTGCCTCTGCCTCTTATGCAGTGGCTGCAAACTTGTCCTCCTCCGTTCTCTCCATATATACAGCATAGTTCTGTTGATTTCTTGATGTGAGAACCGGATGATCCTCTTCGTTAATCGCTGTACTTGTGCTTCTGCCAGCACTCCCGCAGGCAGCACTTTTTCTTTTCTGTTGCTTGGTAGGATCCCTCTCAATTGTGTCCGCGGGTCAGCCCTCCTACCGACCACTGGCACCTAGGTTCGGGTGTCAGATCCTGTTCCAGCCAGGAACCTTCTCCCAGAGAGCTAAAGAATTCAATGCTGAATCTGATCAAGACCTATTATCTGAGCCGTCGAAGCCACGATCCCCGGTTCGGTCCCTGAAGTTTGAAATTGCCCGGGGAAAGCCAGCTGAACCTGTTTACCGATAAGTGGTCTCTGGTATGGTTTCGGGGTGCATAGCGGATGGAGGTGGTGCCGGGATCTTTCGTATTGGTAGAGATGGCAGTGTCACCACTCTGCTGCTCACAATGGTTCCCCGACAAGGTCGCAGCCGGAGTTGCTGATGTATTTCGCATTTTGTCAGCTGCCGATCAGCGGAGAGATCAAGTCGACTCAGGATGACGGAGAAGAGGGAAATGCAGAGACCTCTTTGTCTCGAATATCGACGTGAATTTTATCGCTCGGTTGTTGTTGAGTTCAAGACTACCTCAAATTCATCCCAACTCTCCCGAGTCCCGTATTGTTATTGAGGACTAAGATGTTGCGATGGCAAAATCTGAGATCGACGATCATTGTTGCTCAAATCCGTCGAGCTGGGCTGCTGGGGATACCAAGCCGGTGTTGGAGCGCCAGAAGAGCCCGTAAACTGTGTTTGTTGCTCGGAGGCTGCCCATTCCGGCTGCATTTCAGGCGGCACTGGCTGATATGACATTGGCTGGGGGAACTCAACAATTCCACCCGGTTGGTTTTCTGCTCCCAACGGCACGAAAGGGCTACTGGTTGCCGGTAATTGCGGCATCTCGCCCGTAATTCTTCGTTCGAACGAGGGATAGGTCTGCGTCCGGTACGCAGGGGGAAAGTTATGCGGTGAGTCTTCTGTTTCGCCCATCGATACTGATCTTGCAGGTGACTGAGCCCAAGGATAGCCGTTGGGAGACGCTGTGTGATAGCCAAAAGCCCGGTCGCGTGACATTGTCGGTGTGGTCGCCGGAAGAGACCCCGTTGTGAATGCGATCGGGTATGGTCCTTGCAAAGAGTGTCCGTATTGTGGATAGAACGGTGCGCTACTGGAATCATTCGCATGACTTCCAGATAGAGGTGTCGTGAAGGGAGAGCGGTCCATTATCTGATGTTGCGGTTGCGGTTGCGGTTGCTGAGGATAACCATACGGGTTGGCATAATCGAATCCTGCATCGATCAGCGATGAAAAAAATAGAAGGCGACAACGGTGCCATACCACTTCCAGACATGGATCTAGTCCCAGGGTGGAAATCAGAGTATCCAGGACTTCCCCTGGACATCGGGGGAGTGTTCATCGGGCTATCTATCGGGTCGAGATGTTCAAAGGAACCAGTTCGCAAGATCATACCAGGAGACGACACTGGTAGAAAAGAGTCGGCTTCGTTGGGACCCCCTTCGGTCGACTTGGTGGCAGACCGAACGCGTCTTCCAGGTCCTGGGTTTTGTTGATCCACCGGGAAGAATTGGCATTCCTTTTTCAGCCGGATGCAATTCTGGCATCTACCGGCTGGATCGTCGAAGGCGGGCATGCAACGAATTTTGCGTCTTCGGCAATGGCCTGTATCAGGTCAATAAAGTCCCATTCCGCAACCCTAGTACACGATAACTGACCACACGCCACTGCAGTCCGATGATATCCTAACTTATTTCTCCTTTTTTCGGCCGGCGATAAAGGCGGTCCTTCAGATCCCATATCTTGAAGGTTTGGTGACGAATCGGCTCTCTCCATCGCACCAGGCATGTTCAGAGCATCTCGCGCCCCGCGACGCTCGTCCGAGGGAGAGCCAAACCCTTCTGTGAAACTTCTGAAGCTGTTTGCTTCCTCTTGCATCGCTGTTGGGTTGGAAAAGGCGACCTACGCTGCCACAGGGAAGCCCCAAAGGGTAAGCCTCTTTGGGTTCTCCCTGTACCAAGTACGACCTAAAGCGATATCTGAGCGGTTAAAGCCAAGTTAACAGCAGACGCAGACTCGTGCTGTAGCCGGAATAAACTCCATGTGTCGATCGCAAGCGGTTGGGCGAGATCCCGAAATGAATGCTGTGTGTGCTGTGACGCTGGTCTTGCTGTGATGAGTATGCGCAGTGGCAGACCGATGACCTTGTTCTCAAGACACTGTCTCGACTTCTGGATACTGGACGGCCTCCGCCCGAGTTGATGTGCGCCTCTGAAAAGAACCAGGTTGATGTGTACGTTCCAAATCTTTCGGCCTCAACATTTGACTATGCACTGAGCGAACAGGAAATCATGTCGGGGAGCGCGATTGAATGACGAAGCACTAGGCCAAGCGGAACCAACGCCCCAAGCAACGGTGGTCCACGGCGCGCGGGTATTAATAATTATGCCTTCCTACAGGCACAGTCTTTCGCATGTCGATGCTGGATAAGAAAGGAACAATAACGAGGACAGTCAGATCTTGGGCACTATAACAGCCTGCGAAAGATGCAAGTAAGACTCTTTTCCGTCACTATCTTAAGAGGAGTGGCCGATGTAAATGGTTAGGGGAACAGGGATGCCAAAGCCGAGAATCGCGTTCTCCCGAATAGTCCACCAAAATGAGAGACCAGGGCAGCGAACAGACAGCATCGTTCGAACGCGAATCAACGTTGAGAACAAGCGCCTCCATTGCGCCGGAAAAGCATGGGACACCGCAATGAGGCCATATGCAACAAAAGCACACAGCGAATGAATGGATTGTGCATTACATACAACGCCTTGTGGACTCCTGTCCTTCCCACTAAGCGACCAGGAAAGTCAAATGTCGTGAGGGCCAACTTAGTTCCCCTTGGAATTGCGAAATGAGGGTCCAGCCAGTTTGCATCATTGGCTCTGGTGCCCATCTTTAGGGCGGTGGAAAACAGACTGCTCGAAGATCGAGGGCTAAGCTGCAGGGACGACCCTCAAGAGGGCTGTGTGCACGGGCTGTGTGCACCGAACGCCATGCTGGGGCTTCCACTTCCAAGTAACTTCATAAGGGATGGACCCAGGTACGATCAAGCGTCCAAGCAAGAGCCACCTCTATCTACGCTATATTGTGACCATGGGACAAGTCCAGAACTGACTCAAGCGACCTAGGTCTCGAGATCAGCGCGCCTCACCAGCCATAGTAGTGGTGCAACTTTGACAACTGGTCCGGCCTCAGCCCAAGGTTTTACACTTCCACTGATGGTACGTACCAAGCCCGGGGCAGGAGGCGTCCCCGGTTCGGAAACCTTTCGCTTGGGAGCCCGATGGTATGAAATGAGGGCCATGTCTAGCACAGATCTGCATTTACGATTCTCCGCACATTGACGTACACAGGCCGTGAATGGCCGTACCACTTTAACCAGACACATGAAGCCAAATCCATGACATGAAATTAGGAACCACAAGCACACACATCTCGAGTCTGGCCGCATGGAAGGAGACTCGCTTTCAGAATGTTGATGACATAGTTTGGGCGCCTTCTGGCCAGATGAGAACATTTCGACCTAACACAAAACCCTCCAACCATCGAGCTCAATGGTTATTGTGGAATCTATGATGCACTTGAACCACAACAAGTAGTAGTAGGGAAGAGTTGAATGGATCGAAACCACGCAGTCGAACCTCTCCGCTCGCTCGAAACTGTCAAGGAAGCCCGAGATGATGGAGTGTCCATTGGGGTTCGAGCGTGAAGAGGGCTAGTTCATGGTCAGCCTGAACGCGAAGCCACTCAGACAATGCAACATCCCAGTCGTGGTTGAGACTCCACTCACGACATGACCATCTCGGGCGGTTATCAGACTCAGTTCCAAAAGGCGCCCCAGTCAGCTTGGTGCTAGTGGATCCTCTTGGCCTGTCAAAAGCAACCCGATTCGAAAGTACTGCAATCCTGCCCTCGCCCTCGCAGAAACCCTGGAAGCAACTAACGGTATCACTGATGCGGCAACACTGCATCTACTAGCTGGGTTTGCGCTGTGGTAAGCTTCACCAGTCGAGAAAATATGCTAGAGACACGCCCAAGCGCGGATGCTCGCATCGTGGAGTTTGCAAAAGCCACTGGCAGGGCAAAGAATGTGTGTCCGATATGTGTCTGCCACCCACGTCATGAACGACCGTGCATTTTGTCAGCACTTATTAGCCGAGGACTAAAGCGTGCGAACGCGTGGTCATGGAGTTTCCGGACCTTTGGCCCTCCAGGGATTGGATGGCTTATCCAGCGCTTTAACAGGTGACTGGCTTGATTCTTATCCCAGGATTGGGGCATGTCGACTCCGTCCCCAGCACCGGTCTTCAGGACCGTCTTCTCCCAGAAATACAGTACCAGCTGGCTGAGAGGTGGTGTTAGTCGCAAAGCACTGGCCTTATGGCGGCGCTGACGACCGACAATCGCCACCACAAGGCTCTAAGCAGTTGGACTAGACGTGGTCTGGAGCGGAGCGTCAGCTAACAAGGGTTGGCTTCGCTTCAAAATATCTGCGTGAAACCATGGCCGATCTTTCGATGTTGATGTCCCTCCATTAGGTCAAGATTATGGCGAATCTGGCTTTAAGTGTGGCGGTGTCTCATTGAAGCTTCCCAAGCGCTCTGGCCGATCATTCTATCGCCGGTCTAGACTCCAGAGTGTTGCATTCAAGGGTCCTTCGTCTCGAATAACTAGTACGCAGCAGGACCACACAGATCTGGGCTCCGTGTCAGGGGAGTTGCCCAGATATGTTACGCAAGTTCTATGTGCAGTTATTCTTAGTGGCCGTCATGTGGGTTGCTGTCAGCGCCTGGGCCGGAGAAACTTGAAAGTGTCTCGCACTCCAAGCTGGAAAAACAAGCCACATGAGAGAAACACATGCCACCATTTCACAGCACTCTCCACTTGGGACGACCCCTGTGCCCCATTCCCACGTGGATCCCACCTATTGTTCTTGGGCATGCTCACGCCGAGAGTAACTTTTCGGGGTGCAGTGCAGTCAATGGACTGTTCTCAGAAGGAGCCCCGTGGTGGAGTAAATTCCGCGTCGAGATTTCGCCCTGCCTCAGGCAGGACTCACCGAAGGTCGTTGGTGACGATGATGACATTGTTTTGAGAATGACAACCAAGACAGTTGTCCGACTTCGGCATCTGCCAGTGAACAGACGACAAGGCAGGGCTTGTGGGGTGAGTACAGAGGCATTAAAGTGCTTGATGCAGGGTTGGCTTCACTACTACCACACAGTACACTTTTTGCAGCTCGGCAAACGGCATTTGTCTTGAAAACTGAATCGTGTTTCGGAAGCCTGTAGGTTTCCTTGTTGACCTTGTTCCTGTGGGCATCCGCCCTCACTTTGAAGAGTATGAAGTCATAATACATATTGCACAAGCAACTACAAGACGCCACAAATCACGAACCAGGAATACTAGACTGACTATGGAGGGAGATGCAACCCAGACAATCAGCCCACCATATAGATGACGACGGTTGACTCTTCAACGGTTAGTCGATCGGAGGCTCAGATGGTCTAAACTATCCCGATTATTCATCGGCAATATACTGATATGGTATCGCCTCTGCTGAAAAAATCACATTCACCGCGTTCAACGGCATCCTCACCAAGGTTGTCTTACGCTGATATCCGTAGGCTTCTTCATCGCTTTGATGATCTAGCTCGCCGTTACAGCCTGGAAAGGGTTACAATATTCGGTTGTGTCGAAAGGCCATGGCACAGGTTACCAGCTATTGACCGATCCGCCAATCGACCTATGTGTACTCAATTGCCGAAGTCTCGCACACTTGCACACCTTCAGGTACCGAAAAAGACTTCAATAGTGCTTGAACGCGGTCGGTTGAATCTACCTCGCGGCTGTCCCCCTGGGCAGCTACATGTAAGCAGCATCGAGTAACAAGGGTTGTTAAACATGTCCTCCACAGATTGGCAAGCCTCAAAATGGAAACCTTCTCCGGTCGTTGATTCCTGCGAGGACGTTACCGCCAGCCGCATGGGAATGCTACATGCAATAGTACGAGCTTTCGCAAGACTTTGGTTTCGATAGTAGAATCTAGTCAGCCAGCCAGCCAGCCGGCCTTACTTGGTTAAACTAAGACCGCAAATCCCAGCTAACGTACCTTTGTACAAGTGGGTATTGCGCGTTGGAGAACCTCAACGACGTGAGAAACTAAAACAACATTTACGAACACCCTAGAGATGAACTTGCACCGTGCACCTCCGGGCAGGACACAACAAGACCTTCGGAAGTCGGGAAACTTGACACTGCTATCCCTTCGACTACACCAAGAAGGCACCGAGCGGCAGGCAAGTTATGCGACTTGAGCTAACTTGTGATCAAAACCATCACCATGGCATGGCACCCTTCTCCAGCAACACCAGGCGCTGACGCGTCGATAAGTTGCCATGTCGGTGAATCAAGCGAAATACTCCAGTGAAGAGTCAGCGATCGGCATTTCACTTGCATTAGGACAGAATGGCATGTCAGAAATGCAAGTGCCGCGGTAGAATGGGGCTGCCGATCAGAAGACAAAATGGAAACCTCCTGGGATCAGCCCATTTCCTTAGCACATCTTTCGGACCATGGAAAACTGCTGATCTTGATGCCATGAGTCTTGCAGAGAACAGTCTCTGCAAACTTCGGCTCGAAAAGCCCTCTGGAGGTTTCATTGTCATGGTACCAGAGCTGATTGGATTCCCATTTATCCCATCGTCGGCTATCACGGAATGTCGATCTTGGGCGACTGGGACCACCCCCAACCCAGGGAGGAATGATAGTTTTGACAGGGCCGTCGAATCGCCGCGAGCTCTCAAGATGCAGTGTGGTCTGATTCCATGGCATCCTAGGTATCCAGCTCTCTGCTCCTTCCAGTCTGATGGTACTGTATGCCCATCAGCACATCAACAGAATTGTGTCTTCCTGTGTGGCCCGTCTTCATATCAACCGAAGTGGAAACGCCACATGCCACACCAGCTACGACTGTACTGACTTATAAAAGGCGAATTGCTGAAAACAATGTCATACATAAAGTTGATCGACACATTTTGCTACAGCCTCAGAGCGTTCTGGTTCGGCTACCTGGTCGAAGGCGCCATCGTCAAGCTGGACTTGAAGTCCGCTCGTTATCTCGGTCAATTTCCGACGATTTTTCATCTGAGGTTTGGTTCTATCGGTATTGGATCTACTCTGGATCAGCATGCTTCAGCAACTAGACATGCATGATACTGCTCTGCTCACCACCAACTTCTGCTTTTCACTCCGAACCCGTACAGCATGATCAGCACCGTACATTTTTCAAGGGGTTAAAGGTCTTGAAGAGACGAAAATCCATGAAATCAGGGCATGTGTGCAGATACGTGCGCCTCAGACAAGGATCCCGGGGAAGTCGAACATCTCTATGCATATCCAGGTTCAGGCCACCTGCATTTTACGGCTGCCCTTCGATCTAGACAGGTTTGATCTTCGTGTTCTCTATATTTTGGAGCAAACTACTGTACAATTCGACTGAGATCGACTAGGTACAGTACAGGCTGTCCGACTTTCCCTTTTGAGGGTGTGAGGTTTGTATCACTTGACTGCGATGGGTAGTTTCCTGCCCGCTGCATACATAGCAAGGGTTGGACTACCTTAGACTGGATTTCTTCTAACGTTCATGACAGCGATTGGCCGGAAGTTGACCGCCATCATCATCCCCAGGTCAAACGTGATCTAGAACGCGATCTTCGCCATCTTTGCCATTTACTCGGACAGGGTTGAAGCCTGTTTGGAAAGGACATGGATCAGGGTCACGGTTTCTATCCAATCAAGACGTCGAGTCAAGACCCGGGAACAGACAACAACCTATCGCAATGGTCATTGAAAGATGTGAGTCCTTGACCGGTTGTTGTTTGAAACTGGGTACAGCACAGTCCAGCGGCAGGCAGCCCTCCGGCCACTGCATGCAGTTGATGTGCAAACTGGGAATAGAACCCTGGCCGTACTCAGACCAGCAATTTGGCCTCCTCGGCGATGGAGGGCACAGGCTGTTGTGGACAGTGCTGGACACCGGCCCCTTGGAAGTGTTGGATTCGATCTGCAACCACTTTCTCAAACGGTTGCAATCGGTGCGCGATTCTGGCGAAATGTCTCCTGGAGAATAACTCCGTTCACTACCATGACCGGATTCATCACTCTTGCCTTGGGAATCGCCCTCGATGTCGGAAAAGAGTGATCTGGCAGGGTATCTATTGTACCAGTGTCACGGTGACACCGTGACAGCAGAGGTCATGCAGCTCTATCCGTGTTGGCCTAAGATAGGTAGGTCAATACTAAGGATGTCTGTCTGTCTGTCTGTCTGTCTGGTTCAAGCCCTTAGTACCGACCTACCTACCTTTCTCCTGCAAAAGTCCAAAAGTTGGCCTCCATTGTCAGCCTCTTTGGGTACGGCAGAGTCATCTGGATGTCATACTCGGCCACCCTGAGTGAGTGACAAAGGCTCCAAGAGCGGTAGGTTAACTAATGTCTTGTCTCCATGGGTACACTTGCTACCAATGATGGAATAGGTAGGTATAACATGGTTGAGTGACAGTATTGAAGCATGTGTGATCCAGATTCGGTGTGTGATGCGCCACCTTGATCCGCCAATTCATCACCAGTTACCCTACTACAAGCTCGTGGTCATCGGATCCTATTTCAGCATATTGTATTCCAAGAGCTGGAGGGAGATTGTTCGCTGGAGACACCAACGCCTCCTAAGTTGAGTCTTGACTTTTTGCCTCCGCTCAGTCACTGGACCTTGAGGTTGCAGCCCTGCTCCCAAGTCTGTTGTCCATTGCCCATTGTCCTGCCAGCCACAGCAAGCTATTCCGAGAGCAGTATAAGGTTACATGTGGGTAGTTACCTACCCTTAGGTATACTGTAACTGACCACGATGACGCATGTTGTAAGTCAGACTCCAGAGTCACATCCATGCCATTGCAATGGCCATTACCATTGCCGTTGCCATTGCTGCCTGGACTGAAACTGATTCTGATCTTTGCTGTACCGTTATTGACTCGATTTAGAACAAAACGCACAAACTCTTCCAGGAGACGGGTGGCGTTCAGTCTTGTTCACCTGCCCTTCCAACGATTCCGATCCCGATGCCTGTCTGTTATGTACATGTTGGCCAAAACAAGAAACAAGGCGTCACGGTGTGTTTGGGATTCTGTGGTCACCAGCATTGATGTGGTCGTGAAAACGGCAAGGCAAGGCAAGGCAAGGCAAGGCAAGGCAAGGCAAGGCAAGGCAAGGCAAGGCAAGGCAAGGCTGCCTGGTAAAGCCTAATATCCACATTTTGTCTCTGGCTCTTTCTGTGCTTGCTTGCTTGCTTGCCATGCCATTCCGCGAGTTTTGCCAATCGAAGGGGTGGTCGGACTCGCTATCGGTGGCCTTTTCCAATATGAAATGGACGAGTCCGTTCGCAGTAGCACTGGTCTGGCGAAGCCCGAGTCATTTCTACTTCTTGGATATTATCATGGATTATTGGGTGCTCAACGGTAGGTGGACTTGCAGGCCGAGTGCCGTGCAGTGAGTGTTTTGTTTCTTTCCTCCCCTTCTGAGGGAGCATGCCAGGTTTTACTTTTATGTACTACTACTACTGCTGCTGCTGCTACTGCTGGGCGGTTGGTGCTCTGTGGCTCTGACTTGCTAACTTTGGGCCTCGTTACCAGTTGAGGCACCGCTGAGGCCAGGTTCTGACTTTAGTTCTGATTCTGATTTCCCGACCTAACTCTGACCTGACTTCTAACTACCTAGGTACTTACTGCAAGGGGGGCCGGGTCCTCATCCGGTTGGGAAAAGTGGAGCGATTGCATTATCACGAAGAGGACGAGGATAGTGAGGTTGAGCCACGAGAATGATATTGATTGCGCTCTGAAGCTGAAGCTGAAACTGGAAGCTGGAAGCTCCGGCCCAAGCCGGAACTCCTCTGACTCTGGAGTCCGAATCTGGACGGACTGGGTTTGAAAGATGATTCCTTTAGAATATCACCAGAGCGGTCAATACGAGTAATAGTGATTTGTATGCTATGTAGTAAGTCCCGACTCCCCAGCCTCAGACTCCCTACTACAGTAGGAGGATATCGTACCTGGCACCTGCTACTGATACTTCTGATCTCTGTTCCTCTAAGACTGTACATGTATATAGACACCATATATGGGATATGCTGGCCAAAGATCGAAGTCCAGATACTATTGAGAGGGACGAGGGAGAGGCGACGTGATATACCTCCTCCTGCTGTATAATGGATATTGTTACCTGTCAGGGCTAACCTGCTATGCGTATGCGTGTGTGTATGCGTATGCCTTTGCCTTTGCCTACTAATATGCTACTGCAATGAAGGAGGTCTGGAGTACTACCGTATGTAGCTTAGGAACCTCTGTTGAGGTGCCATTGCCAGTGCCAGTGCCAGTGCCAGTGGCTCGATAACCAGTCCAGACTGCAATATGCAATGCAATGCATCTTTAAAGGGACGAGCAAGATAAGTTAAGGTATCTTCATTTCATCTGCCTGTCTGCTCTGCGCAGGTTCGTGTTCTCCTCACGATAAAAAGAAGAAACAACAGAAACAGAACAAATCAGACAGACTCTGGAGCTAATTAAGATATTATTAATAATAGGATCAAGGAACTTGGAGTCTTGAATGACAAGTGAGTCTGTCTCCCGATGCATTCCCTTGCGTCCCATGCTCGTAGCCGTACCATACAATACCAGCCAGCCAAACTCATAACAGGACCAAACCACTCAAGCGACTTTCTGGATAATCCATCATGGTCTCAAAGACGCTTGCATCCGTATAATGTTCGTTGACTTGGCAAAAAGCACAAACGCCCTTTCGCTTGACTGAAAAAAGGAAAAGAGAGTAACGGAACCGAGTTCTGTCCAAGTTCTGACGACTGCTGTTTAGTTATCGTTTTGGCTGTTCAGAATCCTCAGGATCGCGAGGAACAGGTTCAAAATGTCGAGATACAAACTGATGCTGGCGGCGATTTCCTCTTCGACATGATAATGGCGCATGACCAACTGAGTATCGACGAGAATGTACCCAGAGAAGATCAAGGCCGCAACGGCACCATAGATCAACTCGACCGTAGACCCATGGGGGAAGAAAGCGGCCATGAACCCAAACAGAATCAACCCCCACAAGGCACCAAACAGATATGGCATCCAGCTCGTGAAATCGTATTTGGTCTGGCACGCGAACAGGGTCAAGGCGACGAAGATGCCCAAAGTCAAAATCAGGGCTTCAAGGACGATGCGCGACTCGAAGAACGACGTGACCACGCTGATACTGTAGGCTTCGAGGCCGGTGAAGGCGGCCAAAAACACGAGATTGGTCGGATACGATTTGCGCTTCCAGTACGTGAGAAGCATAAAGCCGATCGCGCCGAATAGTGACACCCACATCATCCATGGGTTCGTTTGAATCCATTGTCGGTATCCGGTCGACCAAAACGACAACGACGAGAGTCCAGCCGTGAGGAGGAGTTGCACCGTCAAGATGCTGTACACTTTGCGGATGAATGACATGCGTACGTCGATCGTTGCTTCGGCTACAATGACGCCGAACTGTAAAAATCAATTTGTTAGTGTTCTGTTCGTATCCGGATCGTTTCGGATTAATAGTAGGGAGATCGGTGAGTTGCTTACCTTGAAATCGTCGGGCAGATTGTCATCTTCTTGTCGCGGTGTACCGTAGCCTCCTGCTTCCCAGTTCGGTCCTGTAGCTTGGTAGTTCGGAGGCGGCTGCGTGAAGACGCGCTCGTCGAACGAGTCACGCTGAGGGGCGGCTTGATAGCCTGCGGTGGACGGCATGATGGAGGACGAGAAAAAGAGGTTGGATTGTTTGCGATCGATCGAGTAGCAGCAAAAATGGATGAGGTGTTTATATGCGATTGGGTTTCGCACAGCGGATGAGGGTGGAAGAGAGAAGGATGTCAAGGTGAACTTGAAGGCGAAAGGCGATGGAATGATGATGGGTTTAAGGCTGCGGCATCAACATGCGCAGTAATGACATGCCGATGGCTGCGGTTCGGTTGGAGAAGGTTCCAGTGACCACTGACAACGCCGCATCACGTGGGCGGCATCGTAGGGTGACCGCGGAGGCTCATGTGACCAAAAATCATTTGGAGGGGCAAAAAGATGAAAGCGCAAAAATCAAGCATGAATGCACGAACCGCGACTCGAACGCGGGCCTCGAGCATGGGAAGCTCGAATTCTACCCTTAAACTATTCGTGCTGACTTGTTGTCATTTTGAGCTTAATTCCAACACAAAATTTCCCAAAAATGCCCTATGATGGTGTATTATTTTGACGCTAATCTTGCTTTAGTTTGGGCGCCCTCCTTACCCCTCTGCCCTGCCACTTGGAGGCCTGCTACTTCTCCGACACCATACGGACTTCGTAGACTCTGCTGAAGTATATAGCAGATATGTCGCTGACATGGAAATGAAATGATGAATGGCAAGTACAACCTTTAAGGCACCTCCGGAATGATTTTTGGTGAGTTTGTTTTACCCTCGACAAAACGGCTAGGGACCTACAGCAGCTATGAGATTTAAACTGAAATGAGCTTCCTGGTATGTCTTGCGCCGGCCTTTATCGTACCGCAGAATGCGTAAGGTTCTGTACCTACAGTATTGCAGTACCGGCTGTGAACCGGCTTACCAGACGAGCTCCAATCGTGTTCCGAAAGACTTGATGTAGAATAAGGTAGTCTTGACTACTTCGCATTCCATTCCACTACTCCAGACTACCAGTATACGGCCGTCTCAAGTAGGTACCTACATAGGTATATAGGTGGTATCATCATGAGTTCCAGTTGTTCATGTCACTAAGAGACATGAAACCAAGAAACAAATCTCACAAGCATGTGTAAAGACCCTTATACCCAAGCAGACTCCTTGTAATGATGGGGGCCAACTTCCACCCAAACAAGAAATACCCAACTCCTGAAGCTCGACTCTCTTTCAACAGAATAGACCTAATAGCGCTTTTTCCCGACCTCCACTCCAATGAGAAACAAAAATCAATGTGCAACGATGAAAAAGGTGTTTGTGATCAGACAGACAATCATGACAACCACTCCGTAAATCGCCAATGCAAGACTCAACTTGCGGAGTAATTTTCGGCGGAAAGTCCTGGTCCGTCTCAACATACTGACAGCACCAATGCTCAACAATCCCGAGTTCGCAAGAAGCCCATGGCCCTCTGGGTCGCGGTCGCTGCCATTGTCCGATTTGCCCGCCGGGCCATCATCATCGTCGTCATCATGGTCGTCATATCCATAGTCGTCCTCCTCTTTCAGAAGGCGCTGGTGGAGAGGTGAGTCTGGCGAGGAGATCTTGTAATAGAACAAGCCGGGGAGAATAAAGGAAATGGCGGTACTTCCGGTGGAACCGACATAAGCCAAGACAGCTTCCAGACTAGACACGGTCATGGCGACAATGTAGCTGAGGATGATGATGACGGTGGTGATGGCGGCGAAGCGGACCTCACCCATTTCACCGTTGCGCTGCTTCCTCCCTGGCTGAAGCAGAGGAGTGTCACGAGGCGGACTGGAGTCGACGGAAGAAGGCGTCGCCGAAGTAGACCGCAAAACAGACTTCAACTTGTTGCTCGGTCTCCATTTGAGGACGGCATCGACACTCGCTCGGCAAGGATGGACTTGCAACGGGTACGAGAAGACGACCAGCACCACGATCATGGCTTGGCCAATGGTGGTGGACACGGACGGAGCATATTGTGCGACGATGTTACCGCCGACTTCGTTGCCAAAGGACAAATAGCCCGTGATTGCGACCATGATGTAGATGGTGGCGGCGGTCCCGTTGGAAGCAAAGACGACGGAGCTGGTGTGAAAGTGCGAATTGTTGGCAATTTCGTTGAGGATGCTAAACATGTTTTGATGGCAAGTATAGGCGAAGACGATGACGGGGAATGATGATAGTGCAGGAACCGCTCCAGCCCACTTGAAGACGCGCAGAGGGGTTTGGTAGTGTCCATCGGGAAGGGTGTCGTGGGCCAGGAAGTGATAGACGACCAGAATCACCAGATATCCGATCGATATCAGCGCAATCACCGACGTGTACTTCAGCGAGTCAAGTCGACGGAGGAAAGAGAACGGGATGACAACGAGCATGAACGCCGTGATCCAGAAGTGTCGATCCAACATGAACGTTGCGAGCCGATCCTCGTCCACAAAGCCGCGCACAACTCCCGGCATAAGCCCTCCTATGATGATGAGATAACTCACTCCCACGCCGAAACATTTGATGGCAATGGCCGCGTCAAATATCACCGCTGCGTTGGGATATGTGATTTGAGACAGGGCGAAGAAGCTGGCCGATCCTCTTTCCAAGTATGCCGCGCAGCGCGTCTGAAGATATAATCCAAACCCGGCCGTCGCCCCGGCCCACAGTATAACGATTGTCCCTAGCAGGATACCCATGTGCGACATGGCCAGTGGCATCGCGAGCACTCCGGCTCCGACAATCGTGTTGAGGAGGTTGACAACGCTGCTGGTCCATGATGCCTGCCCGACAATGCCTGTCAGGTCACGCTTGTTCCGGGTAGGGGTATGAGGGCGCCTATACAGTCTTAATTAGTAACGGCATATCATGACACCAGTAGTACATCGTCTTGTGCATACCGTCGGGCTCGAGAATGAGGTCTGCTGGAGGAAGAGCTGGAAGCCATCTTGGATGCATGCAAAGGCCAAACGGGGTTCAAGTTGGTGGACGTTATTGTCTTGTCATATCTCCTTCCACGCCGCCGACTGCACGAAGCATGCGAGTAGATTGAGCACTACGCTGGATGTGGGTGAAAGCAAGAAATCAGTCGTAGAGGGAGGGAAAGCGGTGCGTTTGCGAAAAGACGCAATCTGAAGCAAGGATGATATGTATGTCGCAGTTGAGGTTGGACGTTGTTGGCCGATCAGCGGCAGTCCGAGTCCGTCAGTCAGTCGGCAGTGTCACGCCCAGAATGTGGACGCCGAGTCGGCTTCGTGGTCGGATTCCGCATCAGGAGGATTACTAAGCATTCAGTCACGTGGAGAGCCGTGACCGCTTCCATCACGATACAAAACTTGGACTCGGCTATTCGGGCACCACTCACGACGGTAAGATGTATACAAGTTGATGACGGGCTTGTTATTCATGAGAATGCACGTCATATAAGGCAACTTCTTAAAATTGGCCCCATCCAGGCTTCAAAAGTCCCATCACCTCGTCAATCAGCTTATCCGAGTCACTCACAGTTGCCCCGGGCCTCCCTGTCGCATAGGGGCCAATGTTACCGAACAAAGGCACATCTCTAACCGTGCCCGCCAGCACTTCCAAACAGGATCCTCCCTTGATGGGAATCTTTTCCACATCCTGCTGGTGGTGGGCATTGCCTTCCTGAGTTGCTGCTCGGCCGGGCACACTATCAATCTCATTACCCTTGACACAGGCCAGCATGACCTGAGCGACTTCTTCAGGCGTTACCCACTCGTCGCGTGCCTCGCCCTCCTGCTTGACAATCTGCAGTTTATGCGGATTTTCCGTCCACAGCGGCGTTTTGACCACTCCGGGCTCCACGGCCGTGACGCGAATGCCGTGAGACTGCTCCAGAGTGGCAAGTGACCGAACCAGAGCCTGAACACCGTGCTTGGACGCATGGTACATTGGCACAGGGAGCGATGCCGTCTGGCCTGCAATGCTTGCGATGTGCACGATGGATTTGGGATTCGTGGGGCTTGACGGAGGAGAGGCTGCCAGGAAATGGGAGATGGCCATCTGTGTGACTCGAATCGGGTGTGTCAAGTTGATGTCTAGCAGCTTGTATCGTCCGCCCAAGGGATCGTCGACAGACTCCTTCGAGCCCGGCGGATACCAGAAGTTACTCCAGGGCGGCTCGAACACTCCGGCACCGGGACAGACAATGTCGATGGATCCAAAGGACTGCTCGGCTGCCTTGAACATGTCGTTCAGATCCGGCCATGAGGTCACATCCGTCCTCTTGAAGATCGCCTTGTTTGGCGTGGTTTGGTACTGATTCACTAACTCTTGCGCTTCGGGACGCAAAGCCAGGTCTGCAAAGAGGACGTTTGCCCCATGCTGTAACAGCAGACGAGCAAACTCAAGGTTGATGCCTGGCGTTCTCATGTGGTCAGCTGTCTTTTTGCTGGTAAGTTTCTTGGAGTAATATGTAGGTACCAACCTGAACCTGCACCTGTGACAATGGCCGTCTTGCCTTGAATCTGTTGCGCCATATTTTATGGGTTTAAAAAGGAACTGATCCAGTAGAGAACAACCGAGCGTGGTGTTCTCCAGGGACTCACAGATGGTTATATCCCAGATCCTACCTGCTGTCTTAGCACTATTCTTCCTACCCGGACGCCGGACTCCGGCTGACTCTGCATTTTCCGAGTCCAATACACTCCAGCTGTCGTCTATCTCCTGGACAACCTACAGCTGATCCCCGCCTTGCCGATGGGTTCGCCGGCAGGTGGCCCGAGGTTAACTGGGGTTCTGCTGTGGGACACTTTTCCTGGGGTAGGTAGTAGCTGAAAGCGGTATCCCGCTGAGATGACGATCGGAACGCTGAGGTCTGGCGGATCAATGATAATCCGAAGTATGCAGACTAGTACCAAAACAGCAACGTATCCGGATGCCACTGCGGAACCGTTGAGTATATATGAGCAGCACACGAGGGCAGCCAGCTGAGTTGTTTGCTCATCCGCAAATAATCTGCCTGGTCCTTCCAAATGAAGAGTCATCTGTTGTCAGTAGGCCGTCGGGCTGCCTCAACCCTCACCAAAGAGGCCGGTGATATTAGCTCAGTTTTCCCCTCATTATCTGGCAAGAAGCCTGATCCCCTCCCGCCACGCTTTGCAGAGTTGAAGAAGTCATTGATCAGAGGCAATGAAGAAGCCCTGACCGACTCGTGGCATCGGCTTCTGAGTAGCCTGAAAAGAGAGATCGAGGAGATCAGGTCCGAAGGGAGTGATGTAGGTCGCTCTCTTTCATTAGTGTTGCGCTCTGCTAAATGGTACTCTCATTAGATCATACCCAGCATTGAGTATCGAGATGTGGTGGCAGGCACAGTTCCGAAGGAGAAACTCGACGCTCTACGCCATCGGGGTACGGCGGTGATTCGAAACGTTCTGCCTCAGCGGGAAGCCCTAGACCTGAAACAACAGGCAAGGGAATACATCGCTGCAAACAGGTCAAAAGTCAAGGCATTCCCTCCCGACGACCCAGCGGTGTATGAGCTGTACTGGACGCCGGTACAAGTCCGGGCACGGGCTCATCCCAATGTGCTCAAGACGCAAACATTTCTTGCGTCCTTTTGGCACTCGTCCGACCCGAGGTCGGAAATCTCGACAACTTATCCTCTCACATATGCTGACCGATTCCGTATCCGTCAGCCAGGAGACGCAAAGTTCGCTCTGGGCCCGCACACAGATGGAGGCAGCGTCGAAAGGTGGGAAGACCCGGAATACTCGCGGGTCTACCAGTCCATTCTGCAAGGCCGATGGGAAGACTACGACCCATTTGATGCCCGCCACCGGATCGCCGCCCGCATGGATCTGTACAACGGCGCAGGTGCTTGCAGTATGTTCCGATTGTTTCAGGGCTGGCTGTCCATGTCCTCAACAGGACCCGGCGAAGGAACCTTGAAAGGTTGTCCGTTAGTTCGACACGCAACAGCTTACCTGATTCTGAGGCCTTTCTTCGATGTCAAATCCGGCAAGCTGCAATTGGATGCTACGTTTCCGAACTCAGTCCCAGGAGCGTGTCAGGAGTACAACCCGGAAACACACCCTGACCTTGAACTGGAGACGACTATGGTGAGTATGCCACATGTTGAGCCGGGAGACTATGTCGCCTGGCACTGCGATACCATTCATTCAGTCGATAAAGAGCATCATGGCAAAGGTGACAGCAGCGTCCTGTACATCCCCGCCTGTGCCATGACCAAGTCGAACCTTGAGTTTCTGAACAGACAGCGCATGGCTGCTCTGAGGTACAGCCCACCGCCAGACTTCCCAGGCGCGGGAGGTGACGGAGAGCTTGGATTTGTGGGAGCAGTCGATTGGAACCATATCAATGACGAGGGAAAAAGAGCAATGGGACTGGGTAGGAGGAAGTGGGAGATCAAAGATGGCATGAGCGAAGGTGAGGCAAAAGTCATTGAGATGGGGAATAGGATGCTCTTCGGTTGAGCAATCCGGGCTCACAATCATAGGCTTGGTTTCACTCCTCTGTTGGAGGGTAAATCTGGTCTTGTCAGGAGAGGACCCGGCATGTTCTGGCCAATTGCTGAGCAGAGGATGAATTACTGCAAAATGGTCGAGGGAGTTGTGTCTCGGAGACCGGCCATTGTGGACTCAGAATTCCTTGAAATTGCCAACACACCGGTAATCATACTGGCGGGTGCACTGCATGAATATGTGCTGCCCAATTTCTTCCAGGATAGCTTCTCGGGGTGGCTGTTAGGGTACAAGGGTAAAACCGTGCAGCTTGTCGCATGGTTGTTGGACGTATCGAAGATCCATCCCGAGATGTTGTGTGCCTTCACAATGCCGCTCACACGATTTGAAACACAATGCGACAGCGATAATAATAGCTGCCGCAATACTCATAGCCAGCGGCCAGAGCAATGCAGAAGGAGCTGTCACACGTTTCACAGTGCTTGTTGGGCTCGACGGATGCGAGTGTCATTGGGTTGAAGTCGGCGACGTCAATCAACTCGGGACAACGTGGTTGTCGTGGACGCCAACCATCTTTGCCTGCACCGGTGCAAGTTGCGGTGACGAGACGTCGGGGAAAGACTTTTGACAGCTGTCAAGAAATCCCCTATGCAGTGGACTGCATGAAGCAGAGAGTTCGTGTGACACTGCCGTCGAAGGAAAAGCAGGAACATAGCCGCCGGTGCCATGTACCTGCATATTTCACATGCCGGCATCGACTCTCGCCAGCTGAAACTACTGTAAGATAAGATCCAGATGATCGTGAGTCCTCGGGCGTTTCTCCACGTCAAAGGAACCTGGTGTCTGCGTATGTTCCAGGGTATCCCATGCTGTTTGACGTGAAAGGCAGCGGGGAAAGAGAGACACGCAGCCGAGTGTGCCAGCATTGCCGGCTCCGCTGGGATGTTGAGATATTGACCACTGGATACTGCGCTGAACTATTCAGTTCAGCAAACAGGGGTATATCAATATCTCACTGGTTAAAAGACATAGGGGGAATGAAACATGCAGACTGCGTTCATTACAGTTGCAGCAGTGGAAGAGACGGCTCCAGCTGGCTTTCCTGTGTGGCTGCGTCGTTAACAATTGCCGTTAAAAGATGCCATTCTTCTCCCTGTACAAAGCTGCCGAAAGTCGTAGGGCTGACATGGTCTTGGACGAAGTGGTCAAATATTCCGTGGCAGCTAGTCGCCGAATACCTGAACTTTGTGCGTAGGCGAGAATCGGCTGTCAAAATAATGCGACAGTGTGTTGTGTGCTAACGACTGTGGTTGGACATGGGAGAAGAGTTACGACAACTGCATCCACCCTTGACCGTCGTCGAGAACGGTTCCAACGGGCCTCGGCCTTCCATTCCGAACACAGTCGAGCTGTATCACTGTCAGTGACTGTAGGAGTCTCGTGCATTAATAATGTGGAGATGAGAAGCATCTGCAGATTTTGACGTTCTTTGGCTGGTGAGCAGAGGCCGGATCCAATATAGGGGGAATATTAATTCTCCAATTATGCAACGTAGAAATGAGTGTAAAAAGTACGGAACTGCTCCCTCATACCTCGCTGGATGGAAGGAAAAAAGAAAGACGGGACAATTGAAAGGAGCCACGAGCACGCGGGTGACACAAGCGGTGACACGACTGACAGCCGTGACAGGCGCTCCGCCAGCCCGAACATGGATGAGGTAAGATATTTCAGAACGCGGATGCTGGAGGGACCTGTATCAGGGGACGGCCCAAACAGCAAAATCTGCACCTAGAGCCGCATGGCCGTGACGCCCAGGATTTGTAGACTTTGTTGCATCTCCATGAGCGTTGTGGCAGTGTCCAGTGAAATAACACAACGCGCCTGCAGGTGCGTGGATAAATGCAGGAACATATCGCTAAGTATGATGCAGAGGTTGAGGCGGGCTGAGCTGAGGCCTGCATGGCGTTTGGACCTCGAACTCGAACCTGCATAGCCGGCTCCTTGTCCTCCATGCAGTACCGTCTTTAGCTGGAGTTACTTAGCGAAAGACGGCAGACCGCGGGAACAAGCATGTCCGTCGGCAAGAATACCTGCATAGTCATTCTGGATGTCTCACAACCTGACTCAAGAAGCTTCCTGGTCAGATTTGCGGCCGTCCGAGTGTCGTCCGGAAGATATTCGATAAGCGAAGGCTGATCATGGCTCATGGCTTGCAATCTGAAACGGCTGGCGGCGAAAGAGCGTGGGGGAGACATGTCACCCGCGAAGTGTTGTAGTCCAGGACCGCCTATGTTGTAGGAATATAGACACCGTATGGAATGCTTCTTGACTGGCATTTTACCATATCGTCCCGTAGATTGAAACGTTGTCCACGCCGATTGTGTATGGACAACCTCTTTAGACGCGGCATGTTCTCAGTTATCACAAATGTTGGGCATCCATCATGAACTTCGTCCGCCTGTGCCGTCCGAGCCCGAAAGTGAATTGAATGCCATCGCAATCTACGTGTGCCCTTCAGACCAACTCATCTCGCCAGGGAATCCTTGATAGCAGGTGTTGTTTCAGCCCCTTCGGCATCCAGAAATCGCCTTCTGCCTGAGCCGCAAGTGACTCCCACACGAGTTGATATGGTCTGTGGCCTTTTGTGCGGACGTGACTTCAAGACTATGAGCCAGACGAGCGAGCCCTGGCCGACCTGTGCCATGCCGACTACGCCTTTGCATGGTCGTCAAGGAGCATCCTTGTAGCTCAATCCCGGCACGTTGTTCGACTGTGGCCTTTTCAATGCGTCCAACAGTGACCAGCAGACAGTATAGCTGGTTTACTGATACTACCATGTCGCTACCAATAATGCCGTCGTAGGCATGCTACACTGCATGCATCTTCGCCGCGCTAGAGTAAGCCACTCGACCGGGAGGCGCGAAAATGCGCATAGCTCGTTGCCGGCAGCTCAGCGTGATAATGCTAGGCCTCTTTCTTACCAAGCTCTTTGTAGGATGATACGTTGTTGCTCGAAGGGTGCTAAGACTGTGATTTGGCGCGAGTGATAAATTGGCTTTGCCAAACTGGAGTAACGATAGCCGTGATGCTAGCGATGCTCGAAGCGACATCGGACAAAACCCTGGTCCATAATCTTCCCCTGTTGGCAAGGGATCATGTCCTCTCCTCCGGGGTAGGTGGCCAGCTGGTGCTGATAGACCTTGCAGATGATCTCGCAGCGGTCTGGCACAGTTGTGCCAGACAGAAGTTGTACTGTGTCGAATGCTTGCCTCCCACTTTAGCAGAAACACCAGACGACGGCGCTCAACTCAGCGTTGCTGCTACGTATCCTGGCTATTTGGATCATCAATGGATTCAAAATCCGAGGTTTGCAAGGTGGTTCCAGAGCCAGCATTGGCAGTCAGGTTCGGTCAGTTGAGCCCATGACAAGTCTCCGGGCAATGCAATGTAGTCCCTTCGATCTGAATGCACGTGCTTGAACGAGGGGCTGCCGTGTTCGTCTTCGTTGCAAATGCTCCCAGGAGGATGAGAATGTTCAAATGAATGTTGAACGGGCGTAGCCCAATACCACTTTCCTTGAAGCGCCAGGCTGCCTGATCAACATTTTGGTGCCAATTGGTGCCTTGGAGAAGCCTTTGGGATTAGCGCCATGCGGATTAGTGCCATGCAAATGAGAGGGGGACATATAGTCAGGGTTCGGATGGTACGACGGAGTCTTTCGAGCTCTCAGGTTCCAAAACTGCCCGATCCGCTAAGATGAACGCCGGAAATCGTGGTTCTATTGCTTTGTTCTTCGGATGTGTGCTTGGTATCTTGAATACTGAGCGGGTCATGCTATCGTGATCGCACCTGAGGCAGCGATCGGCAGGTGCGAGTAGAGGATCCAAGGACGCGTTGAAACAGCTTTTAACTTTCGACCATTGTGGGTTGTGGGAGAGTCCGAACTTCTGGACAACAAAACTTCAGTAGTAGTAGTAGCATCACTGTATCACCATCATAGTGCGGCCAAGGCCATATTGACACAGGTGGATGAATCCCCATTCTTACCATATCTCAGACATTTTGTTGTTTATATCACACGCGAGAAAGCATAGTAGTGGTCCCGACTGGACACTGCGTGACTGCCGTCTTCTTCGCCCTTCATCGCGTGGACCACGATTCTCAGTTGCGTGCTATCGTCCACTCGGAAACGACCAGTGGGTTTCACTGAATGGCGTATGCAGGACCGGACTCTAGGTAGCGATGGACCCGAGCAATCGCCTGGCAGGCGTCCCGTTTCAACCTACCAGCACGCGTGAGGTGGTGTGCCTTTTGTCCCACGAAAAGGGATGACAGGTGGTCCCATCGCGGACACCCGCCGTTTCGGGTTGCGATTGGCACTGGCTCGGGTAGCAGAGCTGGTTCAAGAGTAATAATAATATAGGCAACGGCCAACAACGACCGATGGACTCTCCACGGCACAGTCTGCTGGCAGAGTGGACTGTGACAAGCAAAGAGTGGTTGGTGGGAATGAGCAGAATTGCAGGTTAGGGGGAAAACTCGCAGCAGGGGAAGAGGCTAGGGGCTATCAGGCAGTTAGCTAAGCAGCACTGTGTACTAGGAAAGAGTCCGCGTGCGTGCTACTAGTAAACTACAATGGCCGGATTCGAAAAGAACGTCGGAGGGGCTATTACCAGAAATAGACTAGCGTTGCCTCTTTTACAGCCTTCACAACCTATTTCACGTATTTTACACTACTTGGCGCGGAAATGACCAATAATCCTTGGGCTACGAGGACTATTTATACCGTATTGTAATGTGGCTAGTGTTGTTAGTCAACCAGAGAGACCAATCAGAAGTCTTCAACACCCCCACCGACGTTAATTTCGAATCCGGCCGTTGTACACTCTGCTAGCAAGCTACCAAATAAACCCAAGCGGCCCAACTACATTTCCGCCTTGCCCGGCTGGGACTGGCGCCCTGATGATCTACCGTAGAATCTCGTGTGGCTTCTTTCATCCCGGATTCCCTGCGCCTGCGCCTGCGCCTGCGCCTGCGCCTGCGCCTGCGCCAGCCATTGCTGTTTTCCTTTCTATTCTTCCACTACTACCACCCTACAGTAGTAACCACTTCACACCGGCGAAACTCTCGTCACCTTCGCTCTCGCCTGTGCCCCGAACGGGCCCTAAGCACGAAATGGAGCTGGTTGCCCCTTTTCACCGGTAGCATCGTCCATCAATTGGAACTACCGCTGTGTACTGTACAGCTCCGACGGACCATGCCCTCCACGTCGTTGAGCTCCTGCGTCATGCTTCCTGGCGTCGTGGTGGCTTGTCCTTCGATGTCTCTCTCAGAGCGGAGTTTGCTCATGCATCAACTTGGCCGTACATAGGATACTGAGGTAGCCCCTTCATGGTAATATTTTTTGATGTTATTTTTTTATGGGATAGGTCGAATCACTTCCTGCCGGCTCCACGTCGATCGTTGTCGATTGGCTGAGAAGACGGGAAAAGACACAACTCACGGGTCTCCCAACTGGGAAAATGATCGGGCCGTCCATACCAGAAAGAAACTGGGTCAAGCTGCTCCAGCTTTCAGCATCTGTATCAAAAAGATAGAATATGGTCTGATAACCTGAAACCTGCACTCTGCAAGAGCTGGGCTACATCTACATCATACTGTCGGACCCATTTTCCGTCAATTCTTTCAATATCGGACAGTCACCTGTCATCGACGTCCCAAGCAGGAGATCTGGGATGTACTGCACTAGGTCAATACTAGGCATTCAATGCACCCCTCCGACCGCCTTTGGCTGCCGAGAGTAGCAAAGCAAGTAAGTGGTCCACTCTCAGTCCGCTAACAAGTCGCTGCTAGCTGGCGTTGCTGAAGCCCAAATGATCAGATAACAAACTAGACCACCTCGGGCGCCGGAGGCATAGCCCGCTATACCAGCTGTGGGAACAGGCCGCCCATACTAGCCTTGGTCTTGTTCACACCCTGGTTCCGAGGACGAGGTCCCGGGCTGTGGCTTCCGCCCACGCAATGCAGGCGATCCACTGGATTCCCGCTAACATTGCCGGCCTCGGTCCTCTGCAGAGTCCACCCCGTTCCTGACGATGAGCTAGCCCCATCAAATCTCCTCGCCTGCTCCTTTCTCACACTACCCTAGACCTCCACCGATACTGTACCTCTCCATGGGTCAGTATCCCTGTTGTTGTCACTTCGCGACTTACGGGGTTGTTTTTGGAGCGAGCCCGCCTCAGACGCGTCTTTGCTCGGAGGCACAGCACCGCTATGGCGCTTCAGGCTAGGTTGTGCGTTGGACCCGGTATTCTGCTTTCAAGCCTTGCCGGCACGTTGGACCACTTGTGACCCCTGTTCCGGGTCCTCACGTCGCCAGGTCTCCAGGAAAGTTGCGCTGCTGAGCCCTAGCTCCTCGACGTCGACGATGGACTGAGACTATGGAGTACCCTGTATCAACAACCCCGTCTTCTTATGGTCCACCACGACTTGTTCGGATATCCCTACCCACAGCATGAAGTGCTCTTTTCCTAAATATCTCTTCGGTCTGTGACATTTGACGGAAATGATATTCCAATCGTCCTCATATCCTTTTGCTTTGTATACTAGCTTTTCTGCGCCAATCCATTCTTTTTTGTCTTCCTTACATACGCGATCATATGGTCGTCTATGTCGAGCTTGCATAAAGTCGATCTGCTTGATGCTACTCGATGACTCGGTGATCTGATCTTCCTGGCACGTCAAATGAGCCACTCGTCGCAAGCTTCGCTGCATAGATAGCTCTTGGACGTGTATATCAAACAACACTCCGACAGCTTAGTGCTGAGGCACTTTCGCCTGCGAACGGACTTTTCTCGTTGGCAATTGATATCTTGGACTCTTGCGCACTCAGCTGCTCATTGTTGGTAAGAATCAAGTCTTGTAATAACCTTTGGTACCGGCGCTTGCCTGGATTGAAATGGAATTGACCCGCGCTCCCAGAGTGAAACGGCTATCAAGTGTGCCTTCGAGCCAAATATATCCTCGCTATCCTCAATCGCTGAAACATTGTTCACCATCCTGAAAGACATCCAGCTCGAAATCCAAAGGTGTCCTCTGCTAGAATTTTGAATGAAAGATCTACCGTCTGTGCGGTTATACGCTTGGGGCATATGACAGCTGTCATTCGGCGCACTACGTCACAACAGAGATGGGCCGATTTCCCTGGGGCCAAGGGCAGGCGAAGCAAGGCGGCGACAAGATCCAATCCTTCACCCAGGATAGGTTGTCGAAAGATAATACCGAAAACTGGAGACATGGCTTGAATGACCTGATAAGGGAGCACAGTTTTGGATCGGGCACGAGCGAAGGGTCACCAAGTCATGGCAAACGTTCTCGAACAAATACTCTCACTTCGTCCACCTCGTTTTATGCCCGGTCAACCTCGGATGTCTCAAATGGTGTTACTTCCAGGCCTCCGTCGCGGCCAGGCTCTCGTGACTCAAGCTCCCAAGCACCAGAACGACACGACAACCCGGCCAAAAGTCTTTTGTCCAAAGGAACTCGTATCTTGAGACGACAGGGAAGCAAGTTGAGTCTTCTGCCTTCTCCGACGGAAGACAAGACCATCATTGTTAGTGACCGACGGGATGGCCCAGTGTCTCCTGTTAAGGTGCTCCAGCGGCAATTCACGTCGAGCTCACAACGTAAGTATACCTCGTCAGAACCGAAGGGTTTTGCTAATCTTCCTCAGGACATGGCGTGAAAAAAAGCATATCGACCCCTTTCGCATTCCAACATCTATCTCATGGAGACCAAGCCCACTTTCAGAGTCTCGACAATGTTACAAAAGTAGAGCTGTTCAATGCTATTCAGGCGGATCAGCAGCCTGATCAACATGTCCGCGGGATTCCGATAACGGACTTGCCCACGCAAGAGACTGAATCTGTCGCCCATGTCGGAACAGATGAACCAACCTCGCCAACGACGAGTGCCATTCCCTATCTACCCATTACCCCGCCTCGTCCGTTACCACCACCCAAAAATGATGGTCCGGTCTCGCCATACAGCTCCTCGGATATTCGATTGTCCCGGTCAACGGAAAACTTTTCCCGTCCGACCAGGGTTTCTATGAACTCTGGTGACCTCCCTTCACCGACTACGACCATTTCAGCTCGACTAGCAGCCTTGAGTCCCATCAACCGGAACGTCGCTCCAGTTAAGCCACTCCCGCAACTTCCAGACGTGGTACATGCTGTCTCCACCACTGACGATATTGCACTTCCGCTCAGGAGTGCCCCTCTACCTTCCCTACCGAAGGAGGAGCCAAACGCGAAGGAAGAGGGAAATACTTCACAGGTCCTCGGACAGAGCACGGATACCACGCCGTCTCCTCTGCTGGATTTCCCCGTGCCCCTCTCTTCAGTCCAGCGGAAAAGGCGAAGCCAGTCATCCGGGGAGATTAACTTTGATATCGCATTCTGCACCGCCGCCTCAGATTTAGTTGGCGCTGAAGCACCTGCGCTTGACAACGAGGAAGATGACAGGAGTCAAATATCTGATAACCGCATCTCCGTTGGAGTGAAAGACATCCAGCTTGAAGACTGGGAAAATGCTATTGACTTCTCTTGGGACTATGAAGCAGAGATTGAAGATATCCTCTGCGCAAGCCATTTGGATGCGGCAACCGATGTTTACAAAGCTCCGAGCGTTCAACATGAGAATTTCCTGCTTGTTGGACAGCACGCGGTTGACGAAGCCTCATCTTCTACGTCAACTCCTCTGATGATGCAAGCTGTTTACAAGCCACTAAACCTGGAGACAAACCAGCCTGTTTCGCATCACCGTTACCATAGCGAACCGCCGTCACCGTTGTTTGGCCTGGGAATCGAGGCTGTCCAGGAAATGTCCAGAGTTGCATATGCCGGACACGACAATCGACATGTCGAGCAAGGTGTCAACCATTTTGATTCCACTAATGTGCTCCGTCCAAATCTTGCGCGGAGCACCTACTCGTCCATGAGCAAGTCAAGCTCGCAGGAGAGCATTATCCTCTCCATCGCCTCATCCATCATTGGCACACATCGATCGTCGAACTCTAGCACGAGTATGTCCGACCTTATCCACCTAGCCAATCTTGGAGAATCATTGGAGAACCTCAAACCAGATGTTAGGGGTTCTCGTGGTCCTATGGAGAACCGTGCCAGAGAGGGAAGTCAAGACACCATTCGCGAAGAACACGCTGGAGAGACCAATGATGCAACTGAAGCTCCCGCTACTTCAGTGCAGCAGACTGAAACAAATGGTCTCCACAAACATCATGACCGTGGCGCGTCAGCACCTCTTGTCTATATCCCCGAAAGAAAGTCATCGAAGCTGCCAGAAGCAAGGGCTGAAACTGAAACTTCACAGATTCACTGGCGAAAGCGTGCGGGGACAATGAACTCTCGACCTCGAGGCAATACTCGCGTCTCCTACTCTCTGTTCCCTACCACATCACCAAGGTGAACGAACTTGGCCACGACATATATTGCTGTATATGTTCATTCACCACAGTCTATTGCTATCTTGGCTGGTAGCATTTTCGACATTTTCCTTTCTTGGGCATGATTTAATGATTAGGGGTGTTACACTTTTGCAACATGAAAGACTACGAATCATTATGATTTTCTGGGGGCTACGGATCCTATTCTTTTTAACTTTCGGCGCGCGTTGGGTTACACTTGGGAACAAGCGGCACAAGGTCGGGATGGGCTTGGTATGCGGAATGACAGAGTGAAAAAAGCTGTGTTCATTGCGGGTTATAAAAGTTAGCTTAGCTGGGCATGAATGAGGAAGGGCAAAGGTGTTTGGACGAAAGGGTCCGGGGACTACTGGACTGTCAATGCTTGCCACGATGGCAGAAGGTGGGCATGGATTAACTTTAAAACTGGGAATGGGGAGGAGTTACACCGTGCAGATTGAGCAAGTGGAAATTAAATATTTGCTTTCCAATCGGCGGATCGAACATCGAACAAGCAAGGTTTTGTCAAAGTGTTGGTGTCGTATCAGCATAGCAATCTGAAGTTCTTGAAGCCTTGGTAGAAAACAAGTCATGTTACTTAAATATCTCTACCTGTCAGGACTCAGAGCCATCTCCGTCTACGTTTCATTATTGCCGGTGTCCTCGGGAACGGTGTTGGCACATGGCGCCTGTCCGCGGGCTGGCTGGACCTCTATCTTTCTGCGACACGGCATTATATCTATCCTCTTTACAACTCGACAATTCTGACACATTTAGCACCAGCACCAGTACCAGTACCAGTACCCATAACATCGTGGACTCGTCTCTCGTCTTTTCTGCTGGTTCGTGATCTATTTCTATTCCATCTTCCATCCTTTGTGTCCTTTGCCGTTTGTGTTGTTTTGTTTCTTTCTTTCTCAGAAGCCTGCCAATCAAGGCGTGCAGAGTTCGATTCGACTCGGTCGTGTCTGTCGAACGTTCGAATGTTTTGATGATATCGTATCATTGGCATTGGCATTGCTGATCCAGAGAACGGCGGGTGAGGGTGTAAATTAAAGTATTGTAAAGAGCAGTCGTGTAACATGGTGTGGGTGTGGGTGTGGGTTACTAGTATTCGACCTAATCTTGGTTATTCATATGATGTAGCGCAGAATGAGATAGTCCTAAGCAAAGCAAAGCAAAGCAAAGCAAGGCAAGCCCCTTTCGCGTTTGATTTGCAGGTTCCCTTCGGCACTGGCATATGTAGAATTTATAGTTTCGATTTGACGGTCGATGTCGATGTCGACGATGACTCGGATTTCTTTAGGAGATTGACGGCGTGGGCGGCCATGCCCCTTTATACGTGTCAGTGTCAGTCAGGTAAACGAATGAACAGGTCGGAAGTGTGGGTGTGTCTGTGTGTGTGTGTGTGTGTGTCTGTGTGTGTGTGTGTGTGTGTGTGTGTGTATGTGTGGTATACCCGAGCCATGCCGGTGGTGGGTGGTGTGTTCACCAGACTTGGTGGGTTCAATGATTGGCCCAGCAACCCCCCAAAGGGTGATGCTAGTGTGGGTATGGTACTTTGCGAGGTGGAAGTGGAAGATGAGGAGACAAAGGGAAAGGGGGGCAAAAAGGACAAGGGAAAGGTTTCCCGGGCAATCAGATGGAATGATGGAACTCGCACATGAAACATACCATGATGATTGATAACCGGCCCCTGAAGCGCCGTAGTTGTGAATGACGAGGCGGTCCTTCTGCGCCTGACCCTGGTGGGTTTTGCGCTTTTCTAGGGATAGGCGAGCACCTCCTTTTCGGCTTGCTATGTATGGGAAAAGGAAAAGAGGTTACTGTACTGTAGATAGAGGGAGGGATTGTTGATAAGATTGTGAGATGAGAGCCACTGATATTAGGTGTGGGTTTGGGTTTGATGCGGAAGAGGAGAACAACAGAGACCAACGAAGGTCGACGAACGGCACCCTGGTGACCTGGAGGGACAACTAGTCCGTCAAGAAGAGGGGGAGATAATAAGAGGGATGACACCGTGTAATTTTGCAGATGCTCTCTTTGCTCGTTGCAAAGCATGAGAGAAAAGAGAAAACTCACGTCTCAAGCCAACATTGTGACTAATAACTTGTAGATCTTCCGGCCTGCCCAGCTCCGGTGCCAACGCACAGCAGCGTTGCTTGATGCGCTCGGCCAGTTCGAGATCCGGCTCGGCGGTCCAGTCGTTGTCTCTGCGCACGCCGCCGATGATGACGCCGCCGCCCAAGGGCCGCGGGAAGACGTGGGCAAACTCGTTGTCCCACGCGGCCGACGTCTGGACGTACATGCGCTTCAAGGGCTCCTTGGGCTGTGCGATCAGAAGTGTCTGGCCTTTGGTCGGGTACACGGCTTCGTCGTCGACGCCGCCCAGCTTGCGTGCGCCTAGACCTGTACAGTTGAACACGGCGCGGGCGTCCGGGAAGTCGTTGAGAAGGGCGTCGATGTGGTGGTAGTGGCGGCGAAGGAAGGTGACTTTTTTGGATTGCAGAAGTTGTGTTTGAAGCCTAGACAGGCGAAAAGAAGGATTAAAACCAGTTCAACTTTGGTCATGGTAAGGATCTCGATAATAGTTCAGCCCTCAAGGAAACGACCATCGGAACCCGGGCCGACGGTAGGATCACAGTCAAAGTGCACGCGCCATAGACGATCCCTGGTCGCTTCAGGAGAGAACCATAAACTTACCAACTAAGATACACCGTCGTATTGATCATAAACGACGCCATGTCCAGCCCAAAGACGGCTCCAGGAGGTAATTCATTCTCCGGAACCTCCTTGACGCCTCCAATGTGCTCGGCGTACCACAGGCCTTTGCGGCGCGTCTCGTCCGTGTCGTAGAGGACCCTCAGCGGCAATGGCTCGATCCCGCTTTCGGGCGATTGTGCGGCAATCTCGATGAAGCGAGAATATGTCGCCCGGTCGTACTCGGCGAATTGGTTGGGTTCTTTCTCAAAAGAATGCCAGTTCGCCCCGGCCCACGGAGACGTGTATTCGGTCGCGGATGTGTAGCCTGGCATGTACTTGGCCACCACGGCGATGGTGGCCGAGGGAAATGCGCGGTGTAGCTCGACTGCCGTGGTGAGTCCGGCAACCCCTGCACCGAGGACGACGAAGTCGGTAGGTGAGGATGAGGATGCCATTGTCATGCGGCCTGTTGTTGATTGTTGCTGGCTGCGAGTGATGATCGCCTATAGTGGAGGACTCCTCAAGCTGGTATCAAATATAGCGATATACAATCGAACTGTCTATTCAAGTTGAACTTGTAGGATTTGGCTGACCTAACTCCAAGAGTCAAGCCGTTGATTCTGGCAGAAAGATAAAGGAACCCTACCTCGAAATCGTCCGGACGGCCAGCTTTATCTTGATACCATTAAGGGGGAATCTCCATGCTATTGACGCACATATCAAATACCAATGCACGTTGGGTCTCGGACCTTGCGCGCCCTTCCACAAAGCTGAGATCGGATCAATCGAGGAGTTTCCCGACGCGATTCGATGCCGGCCATTGATGTGGTTGGATGGCCAGAGAGATAGTGTAGTAGCTCTCTATGACAAGGCTCGATTGGGATATTGGTGGTCTGACCGTGGAACCGCGGGCCATTTAATATCGCCTGGTTATTTTCCGCAGTACTCAAAGGACGAAACATAGTACAGCAGAGGCAGTCATAGATCTTGTGTCAGACAAGACAGTTTCTGGTCCCCCGATCGGCGGTTTATTTTGTCCCGACTTTGGCCGCGGCTTTCCGCGAGTCTTCGTCGCCATCAAGTAAATAATAATAAGTACAATTGTAATCAACTGACAGTCAATTAATCATTCATTCATTCATTATCCATCCCATTGAGGATCACTCGTGTGAGACCGCGCGGATGAAGACATACCTGGTGGCGATAGTTATAGCCATGGCCACAGCCAGGTCATTCCCCATACTAGTACTAGTACTGTACATAGGCCATAGCCACAATATGGCATGTGAAACACCGTCCACTGCGTTTAAGCTGACCACTGCACCATGACCACCGGGCGCCCTCCTCTTCTCTTATCATTTAGTACCAGCATTGGTCAGAATTCCAGGTGCCTTGAGTTCTTTTCATTCCTTTCAGAACTTGAACCACAGACCAACCAACCAGTGGCAGCCTACCGACTGACGGAGGGCGCATGCATTGTACTGTACGTCGCGTCATCCTAAGCCACCTCTGAGGCCCCCCCCTCCCCCCCAAACTTCTCACCCCCCTTTCATTCATCGTTTCATATTCGTTTTGCATGGGGGCCCCCTTGCCAACATCAACGGCCATAGCACCTAAAGTAACACCCCAAACAAATAAATATGAGATGTTACAGTAAGTCCAACACAGATACCTAGCTTTATCCACGAGATAGCCCCCTCGACCCTATCAGTACCCAGGTAGGCTCAGCTACTGTACGAGTAGGTAAGATGGCCAGGTTCAAGTTATACGCGGCGGAACTCGAATGTACGCGTACCGCGTCGGGCAGTACAGTAGGTACCTGACCTCTATGCATCCATGCATCCATGCATGTTTGATTCTTTCTGTGTTTCGGAATTGCGATAATACTGACTGTTCCCAACACGGCGACCCCGGTCACCTCGCCTCCCAATCCAATCCTCATACAGACAGTACACACTGGGAGCGGCGCGGGAGGGGCGGGAGACGTAGTATTGTATAAATACACGCATGTCTCATCCGCTCGTCTTCTCACATACCGTTGGTCGTCGTCGATACCTATACATCTGATTTTATTGTACGGACCCGACTTGTTCATCCTTTTGGTTGACGGCCAATACTAGCCGCCGGGTTGAGCAGAAGCTGAAACAAACACGCACTGACATCCGACCACGCCGTCTTCAAGTTTCAAGTTCTTTTCGAGTTTGGTTCAAGAATAATTGCTCCTTGCTCTCCTGCAGCTGCACTGCATTTGACTTCTCGGACAAACACTGCAATCGACGGAAATATTCTGGTGTCGCCGACACTCGTATCGGAACAAGATAGAGTGAGAGCGAGAGAAACTGAGATATCCTTGACAAGACGCCCCAAGTCCGTCGCTCAGCTTGACTTTCCGCCGACTTCGGACCGCTGCACCACGGGCCACTCTCATCTCACCATGGTGGCCCGACTGGGCAACATGTCTGCCCTCAGAGATTTTCTTGGCTTCATAGCCACTGTCGGCGGCGATATCTCTCACGTCACGGCGCCGCCATTCATCCTCGCCCCGCAGTCTCTGACCGAATTCCCCTGTTACTGGGCAGAACGGCCAGCACTGTTTACCGCTCCAGCCCACGAACCTTCTCCCGAAAGACGCATGTTGCTCGTGCTGAAACTCTACCTGGCCTCGCTGCAACGACAGTATTACGTCGGCCGCACGGTCAAGGAGGGTCTAAAGAAACCGCTCAACCCATTTCTGGGAGAGTTATTCCTCTGCCAGTACACCGACCATGACATGACGACGGAAAAACCGTCATCGTCGACAGTCCGAGTCATCAGCGAACAAGTCTCTCATCATCCACCCACCACCGCATGCTACCTCTCCGCTGACGAAGATGGCGTCCATGCACAAGCATATTCGACCCAACATACCACATTGTCTGGAACCTCCATCCTCATTCGTCAGTCCGGCCATGCCGTGCTCACGGTCGACAAATATAATGAGACATATCTCCTGCCTCTGCCTGATGTCTGCGCGAGAGGTGTCCTTTCGGGCGTCCCTTGGCCCGAGCTCAATGATACGTATAAAATCGTGAGTTCTGCCGGATATACCGCTGAAATGCGGTTTATTGGAAAGAGGACGTGGGGTGGGGAACGAAATCTGTTCGAAGCCTCCATATATCGTACGGCGGACAACAAGAGAAAATCTCTTTTTACCGCGTCCGGCAGTTGGAGTGCTGGCTTTACCATTTTCGACTCTGCAGGCAACAAGAAAGAGTTCTTTGATCTTCGGGGCCCGGAAAACCAGCCGGTGCCCATGTCTATCAGCCCGCTGGAGCAGCAAAGTCCTTGGGAATCTAGACGAGCCTGGGGCCCCACATTCGACGCGATTCGTAAGGGTGAATTCACCGCTGTGGGGCATGAGAAGTCCAAGCTGGAGAATGCCCAGCGTCACATGAGGAAACTCCAGCACCAGGAAGGAAGGACCTGGGAGGCAATGTTCTTCCGCCGGAGCGAGCAGGAAGATGTTGATCAAGTCGAGCAACTCTTGGCCAGCTTGTCAAGTGCTGAAGCGCATCGATTACGCGGGACGAATGGTTGTTGGAGGTTCGACAAAGAGAAGGAGAGGAGGTGGAAGGAGGGCCGTGGTAGTTGGAGACCGATCTCCCCATGGGATGAAATCGGTAGTACCGTATGCTCGGACGACCTATTCATTTTGGTCGGTCCGCTTAACACGTTCAGTAACATAGACTTGGTCGCCGGTGCGTAATATAGCGCCGGACGGTCCAGCGAAAGCGTATTGTCCAAAGACCGGCTTATCTGTCATAGTTATCAGCATAGAACGTCTTGTAGGGTGCTTTCGGCCGGCTTACGAGGAAACTTGTCATTCACCCGCCTATCACTCGCCAATAATCCGTAAAGCTGCCGATCTCTCTGGATCATCCCGCCCGTTTCGGGGTCAGCATTGAGACTAAGACACCGCACACACTTGAAGATGCACTTGATTGTAACTTCCTGCGCCTCATCCGACTGGGATCGTACTAGGAGTGACGACCAATTGTCCTCATCATAGGGAGGCAGTAGGTCCTTCACGTCAATGTGGATATTGGGTCGCAGACGAAGGATGATGTCTTCGTTCTGGTACTCCTTGGGAAGCCTTGACCGCGCATCCTCTTCCGAGGCCGTCGAGGTGACCAACAAGGGAGCAGCATCGGCGAATCGGATGCGCTGAGGTTGCAACCCTTCTCGAAGGGCTAGGGACAGGGCATTGTGCTGACTAGGCACGTATGCCGCTCCGGGAATCTCCCGACGTCCGGTCCCGCCAATACACAGCAAGCGAACATATTGATCGAGGTGCTTGGAGAAGAATGCTGCAGGCTCCTCACCCAGGTCAATGCCGATGGCGGTGGTGCCGAAAATGCTGACTTCATAGGTTTTGTTGTGCAACAACGACAAAGGTGATGGGGTCAGCGGGACCGTTATTGATGACGGAGGATTGGAATGTTTGTGGCTGATGGTCAATTTGGTCCATGAGTCGTCAATCACAGGCGTGAACTGGGTGAGCTTGAAGTGTTTCTTGATGGTCAGGAACTTGGCATGGCGCGAGTTGTCTTTGGGCGGAGTGACCAGCACAAAGGAACGGTCGAAGCGGAGCCCTTCGTTGGTGAGCTCAACAGACGAGACTTGGACTGGAGGCAGCGACTTGACAGGGTAGATGAAGAGCTAATGGAGCGACAAGTTAGATGGTCATCATTCTCATCGTTTTCATCGTGCACACGGACAGGACCGACGACGAGGCTGAGGGTTTGACTATTGCCAAGTTGGACATACTCTTTGAATGGTGAGCGACATGACACCGTCGTTGGCAGTGGAGCGGACCGCAGTGCTCGCTCTCCGTTGCTGGAGCGTCGAGTTCGGCCGCCGTTGGCAATCTAAATCTCTCTCGGGCGAGACATGCGCTGTACAGTGCGAGCGGACTCAGTAGCCTGATTGGGAAGGCCTGGGCGAAGATAAGGAAAGGAGGAAAAGGCCGCAAGAGGGAGCCGAGGGCGAGACAGACACTTTATTATCCTGACAGTACCATGGCGGTACTAACCGGAGCTGCCAGCAATCAGTAGCACTCTGATGGAGCTGAGGGACTTGAAGAATGGGCCCCGACGCGCACCAAGCAAAATCAGACAGATGATTGATTGAGCCGGCTGACTGTGTGATCCGAATGCTGACAGACCCTGCGGCCACTGATAGAAGTACCTCAGCCGGCGCAACAGCGGAGAACGTCACGGTACAGTCGACAGTCACGTGTATTGTCCGTCACGTGCGCAGCGTTAGTCATCCATGCTAACCAAAGATGGAGATTGTGCCCGAGGTTGCCCATCTGGTCTTCGCCTCGCTGAACATCGGACCATCAACGTCGTGGCATCCTATCGCGGTGGTCTGATTTTCAATCCTTCAACCCGTCAGCTGAACGCGACACCAATTCGAGAGTGAACCAGACACAACAACATTTTACCAGTTGACATCTAATCTGGTGCTAAGTACCAAGCAATTGATTGCGCGCGGGTGGCGGCCCGAATGGCATTCTTCGTCGACCAAGATCTCGCTTGACGTTCAGTCTAATAACAGATCGATCGCTACGTATGGAAGAGAATCAAGCCCAGTCCGCTGACAGGGCCTGCAATACATGCAGGCAACGCAGGGTCAAGGTAGGTTGTTGAATCATCACCGCGTCGCGATGGACCTGCGCTCACTTACAGTGGCTAGTGTGACAAACGGTTGCCAGGATGTCAACGATGTGAGAAGCTGGGCCGGCCTTGCACCGGCTATGATACAGAACGCAAATTCCTTGATGAAGGAGTCAAGGTTCGGAGGAAATATGACGGCAACTATCAGCCAAATCTAGACCTATCCAGACATGTCGTGACCTCACCTCCACAACACCATCCTGTAAGTGCATCGGTCACTGTTGACAACCTCCTTGCTCATATCATCGCAGACATTCAACTCGCCGCCGAAGAGTCAACGCCCTAATACCTTTTCATTCCGAAGCAGCCTGGACCAGTCCAATCCAATCATTCCGCAAATCCTATCACCGCCCATCGATTCTACACCACAGAATCCTGTAAACATACCATCAACAGCACGCTCGTCACTCAGCAATATCCAATCCACCGCATATGGACTACCTAACCAGCCGAGTCCTGATTTCTATTCATTTCCCCCGACGCCGCCCATACCACCTCCAGCGCCTCAGCCCCTTCAGCCTCCACAGCACCAGGTCAATGTGCCTCAACCCAACAACCCTGCAAATTTCCAACAACCGCACGAGTACGACAGCTTTCAACATCCAACGGCCAAGCTGCTTCTAGGCAAGCCTCATTATGCCGAGTCAGACTTGGATACTTCTATCAGCGAGGACTATTTCGATCTCGACATTGACACCTACTACGCCAAGGGAAACAATGCTTGTGGATTCATCCCCGGACTCCCTGTGATCCTCACTGACCAAACCGAACCTGAAACCGATGAAGATCTTCTGACGAATGATTATGCCTCACTGAGTGGGAGATCGTCGGTGTATGATGGGTAAGGAGAATGCCTGTGTAACCCCTTGCGTGTCCATGCTGGCCAACTAATACCCTTTCAACAGCTCTGAAGGCAGAACTCGACCAGAATATAGTCAGAAATATCTCCACGAAAGAGCAACTGAGCTGGCATGTCTGACCCGACATTTTGTACAAGCCATATCTCCCTCGTAAGTCGCGGCGGAAGAACTCGACAAATTCAAGACTAACTTGATAAAGGATGGATCTGTTCGACCTGGACACGTACTTTAGTCGCATCGTTCCTTTGAAGGCTGTGCAAAACGTCATGCTACGATCGGCAATGGCTGCAGTTGCTGCCAATCAAATCGGCCAGCTTCTAGCCAACCACACTCCTCGAGAGGGCCTACAACATCTGCTACCGATTATGGGGGACGATGGGATCATGCAGCATACCGATTGGTTTTATAAGGCTGCGAACTACTACGATCGGGGAATATCATATCTGCGGATCTTCCTACAGCGCTGGCTGAGCGATTCCTCAAGTGGAGTGACCGGACACGCCTCGAAATACACCGCACCGAAACACCTTTCCGAGACCGGCGCTAAAAGCGCCGTCAATGCCGCTTCTCCTCACAAGAGACGTCGGATCAGCACACAAGAAGCGTCAGGCGCAGACATGGAAGCCCTGGTGGCCGCCATATCAGTATTTTCTCTGTACGAATCATTAGATAACCCTACGGAGGACTGGTCACAGTAAGTTGCTATCCACTGTCCCACACATTGCCCTTTTCTTACTTTTGCTTGTAGGCATCTTGATGGCTTCAAAGCACTGTTAGAAACCAAGATTATTCCTCAAGCCATGTCCACCCCACGACCGCGGGCGGATCCATTTATATCTATGAAAGCAGGCCGTGCTGCGTTTTGGAATTTTGCTCGGGCCGACTATCTCGCAGCTTACATCAACCGCACGCGCACGCGGCTTGACCCTGACAACTTGACAATGTGGAAGGCTGCGGGATTGCCCGTAGCGGATGATGGAACCCTGACTTATAGCGATCCGACCACACCTGGCAGTGCCATTGTCTCGTACCGGCCTGCAGACCGCGAGGATCTGGTGTCGTGCACATTGATCTGGATCGTGCTTCGGACAATGAACTTCATCGCCCCTCAAGAGGATGCGGGACCAAACACGACTAATACGCCGCACAGTCACGACAGCCCGGCAACGAGGGGATCAGATGCAGGGAACACCAACCCCATTCGAGCGCGTATTGCCCAGTGGAAGCAATTGCGCCGTCAGCTCGAGGACTGGTACGACAACTTACCGTTCACATTTCAGCCTTATGCGATTATGGGGGCACAAAATCCCTACGACCAACCACCCGACCATCCTCCTCGGTTCACTCGCATATTCTTTTCAGTGCCCATGTGCGCCGCCGCCCTACAACTTTACCATTTTGCGCAAATTCTCTTGCTACTGAACCAGCCGATGGATGAAAGCGACACGCGCAACCTGGCCAACCGGATCCGGATGTTTCGCAAGGTTTCGGAAGAATCTGAACACCATAGCCGCCAGATTTGTGGCATTGCTTTGGGGAAGCCTCCGCCAGCTGTGGCGAGGCAGATGGTCCACTCTTTATACCTGGCCGGTTTGTGCTTCGAAGAGAAGGATGATCGCGTGGTGGTACTCGAGCTGCTCCAAAATATCGAAAGAGAGACAGGGGCGTCGACGGCTCAGCGTGTCAGAGAACTGCGTGAACAGTGGGGTTGGGACGATGAGGTCCAGGAGGTGCAGTAACATTACTCCGACTACAATGTCGTTGTTACCTGTTACTAGTTGAATGTGTGCGATGAATCCGGCCGAAAAAAACACGAGCCTCGCTCCCTGACGAATTGATGATCAAAAATTTCAATGACATGGCTTGGACTGTATCTGAATTTGCTGTTGAGGCAAACGGATATGGTGGCCCCAGCCCTTAATGAAAATATCATTTTTCAATATCATTTTTGCTCTGATGTTTGTCAAGGGCGAGAATTTGAAATAAAAATTTGGATCAACTTCTGCCCCGATCCTAGGCCGATCATGATGCTATGCTGTGGCTCGAGTTGCGTGTCTCTACAGTATTGAAAGCCTTGAGCGCAAATTTCTGGAGTACTGGCTACATTTATCTCGTGCACTGACTGCGAGTGGAAGTATTTGAGCCACGGCGCTGCTTGCCCGACATGGCAGCTGGCAGCGAGCGGCGTACTGGGACTCATGATCGCGGGCATTGACCTAAAAACACACAGTGTTACTGCCGCTTTTTGCACCCGGGTGACTGTACACCTGTGCGTGTGCCAGGACCAGCTCGCTCGAGCTTACCATATCCAGCTAATTGACCGCCCAGCGAGTTGCTGCTTTTTGCACCGCCCGGACCGCACGGGGCGAACGGCGAGTGGACCATTTTCCGGTGCCCTGCCACTAGACTTTTCTGAGGGCTAGTGTGGCGGTTATTTCATTGTTATCGGCCATTAAACAGCAGCACTGATGTCTCTGATGTCTTGGGTTCCTTCTCCGACGCGCTTCTCGCCCGCCAGACCATGAATCATTGTGGAGAAATTGGGATCCATCCAACTTGGACATGATGGCAACTCTCGTCCACGGCAATGACCTTGGGATCTCGAAATCCGATTGACCGCATTCGGTTACCCGGCCTCCTGGCGCGATCTTCTCGATTATGGAGACAGAGACTTATCGCTCGCTGCTGGCCAGAAGAGTAAGGACCAAAAGGCGTCAGGGCGACAGTGCCTTAATCACAAGTGAAGTATAAGTGATGTGCGCGCGTCAAAATAAAACATGGTACCCGACTCGGGGAAGATAGACCATGCCAATGTCACAGGTTTAGACATCCTCGGGACGATCAGTGGCAGCCGGTTGGGCATCAATCAACCTAATTAATCCTAATTGTTGAACAAACCTTCCACTTGAATCAACGCTCATCCCTTTCGTTGTTCATTTCTGAAACAAATCAAAAACAGAAGCCTACCCAACCCAATTTCAACAAACATCCTTGTCGTCACTGCCCGACCTATCGTCATCACCGAGTACCCTTGCATATTACTGTACAAGCAGGACAAAATATAACCAACCTCCCTGGGCGCGCATAAGCTGCTACTGCTGTTGTTTTTTGTTATTTGGTTTACGGTGATTTATATTGAGTACTTGAACCTGGGAGAAAGAAAAGGGAGACGAGTCTTTGGTGATCTGTAACCACCATATATACTACGGTACCAACCACAAGCATTGGCACGCCAACGACTGTTATTCTTGACGACATTTCGCGACTACCACGACACTTTCCTTGGGAATATACATATTGCTCACCAGCACCTAAAGGCGTTCGTCATTACGACTGCAGGAGAGGGAATCGTCAATCGTTCAACCATATTGCGGGTTGCACCATGTCGACGCCCTCGATTCATGTCTTGGGCATATCAGCGGCGCCACCTGGAGGGGATGAGGTATTCTCAGGGGCCGAAGACAAATCCGCCGCCGGCTCGCGGTTACGTCTTCATGGTCGGATTACAGTGTTGGGTCAAGACGAGTCTTTCGACAAAGTCAAGATCCGTCTGCGAGGAGCGGTACGGACAAAGATTGGCGCACGGATGGCGGTTGAAAAGGTTGGTTGACCACGTCCCTGCCTACCTACTCTTTCTCGTTGATGATGCTAACACGTATGTGCCACTAGCTCTCAACTTCATCAGTGAAGCGAACAAACCTGGATTTCAAACCAGCCTATTCCCCTTCACAACAACACACCGACGAACAACAGCTCGATTTTGCATGTATTGTCCCTCTGACCAGAGATCGACGGAAGCCATCATCGGTGACGACGCCCGCCCATGACGCCAGATCTCGCTACTTCAACGACAAGCTCGACAGACTGGTTCCTTCCATGACCATGTCCGGGTCGACGTACATCACGCGAGTCACAGCATTGAAGGACAGACATCTCGTCCAAGGGTCATGCGAGGTCGTTTATTGGCTTGAAACCGAGTTTCTCCGATCCCAGACTGGCGAGGTCGTCCGCAAACTGAGCTGTCCAGCTGACATCTCCTCGCTGACCATGCTGATGAGGGCCGAGGTTGGGGACATGTCGTCCAACGACCCCACAGGCCACTTGGAACAAGTTGCCAAACCCCAGCAATTGCGGACAATGGATCGCTTCTTCCACTCGACCACTCGACCCGAAGTGTCTATTCAGATGCCGAAAATCCTAGGCTATCTGGTGTCAGACTCGTCTAGTCTGGCCACTGGCTGTCGTCGTCTTTCTATCCCGGTGACGGTCGATGTTGCTCTGCCTTTGTCTACATCCGACCAGAGGCAACGACATCTAGAGGTCCAGACACAGTGCCTGAAATGCACGGTGAAAACCAAGTGGTTCACCCGCAAGACTTTCACCACCGGCCCATCATCTATGGACTCGGCCATTAACAACACTACCGCCTCTGCACAGGACATGGTTTTGACTCTGCCGCCGTTATACAACGGATCTGGAGACGGAGATGGAAATGGAAATGGAAATTCAGCCGCAGGGTATCGCAAATACTCCACCTCGATGGATCTGGATCTTCTGCTGCCCGAATCGGTTGCTGGACCATCGATAACAACGGAACTACTGCATGTCAACTATATCCTGGATTTGGCCATGAAATTCGAGTCGGAAGACATGTTGACCACTCCGTACACAGCTCATGTCAGTCTGCCCGTCACACTGCGCGTTGCTGAGCCTTGTTTGGTCAGTACCCGACATACTTATGACCCTTTATTGGGATATCTGGAGGAGGATGTGGATGAGATGCTACATGCTCCTCCTCCATACATGCCGTGATCAGGGCTTTTTTTTTTTAAAGGAAACTGTGCTTGGAGGAGGATATTCCCGATGATCTCTCTGCCGGAGCACTGACTGCCAAATGGGCAGAGAGACATGATGAAGCGATATGCCACAGAATTTTACCCGTGGCAGTCAGGCCTGAATTGGACGAGCTGGTCTCATCACATTCAGCGGCACATCTTGAACTGGACTTTAAGCGAAGAAAACCGCGAAATCTTGATCAGTTGTTGCAACACTCTCAGCGACGGCGTTTGGTGCGAAGCGACTAGAGCGAGGACGAGCACGCGAACCCAATACGATACCCTACTCGCGCAAAGCTATTTCAGATTTAGATATAGAAATATACCAACTGGTGGAATCCGTTGAGTGATTGTGGCTCAACAGTCTGACCTAGGGCAGTGGTTCCGAGAAACGCGTGCTACCTAGTAATGCATCTCAAGGTTCCTGCTTGATCGCACAACTACCAAGGTTACTGATCGTAGGGAAATTTGAACGCTGGCATGCGGTGTCTAGATATCCAACCCCTTTGCCTACCTTCGATAAAGGTGACTTGTACAGTAGTAGTTGAGATACCTACCTGAGGCACCGGCACCGGATACCTAGGGGGTTGTACAGCCCAAGCCCAGCGCTAATAGCGGCGGACGCTGGTAGACCAGGTACCGCGGAACCCCTATTTGCCAGCTAGAACGGTGCCACTAAGTAAAGCGGCGGTGTCGCCTACGCGTAGCGACTACAGTTCACATTGCACTGACACTTAACGTGAGTGTCTCATTGTTGTACTACCGCGCACTCGACTTCCCCGGACTTTGATGGACTGACCTCAAGTTGTTCATGTTGTCAACTTCACAAGTCGAGCCCATTTCTGTTCCGGGCAGGCCCTCTCCTCATCATGTTGAGCGGCATCCTCCTCTTCAACCAGAAGGGGGAGAACCTCATCTTTCGAGCATTCCGACCGGACTGTCGACCACGGCTGGCCGACATATTTCGCATCCAAGTCATCTCGAACGCCCAAGTGCGCTCACCTATCCTCACGCTCGGGTCGACGACGTTTAGCCACGTGAAGCACGAGAACATCTACATTGTGGCAATTACCAAGAGCAATGCCAACGCGGGCATTATCTTTGAGTTTTTGTATCGCTTCATCGCGCTGGGGAGACAATACTTTGGCAAGTTTGACGAGGATGCGGTCAAGAACAATTTTGTTTTGATCTATGAGTTGCTGGATGGTAAGAAAAACAACAAAGAGAATGGACAGGCACTGACTGGGATTATCACTAGAAATCCTCGACTTTGGATACCCCCAAAACACCGACGTCGACGTCCTCAAAATGTACATTACACCCGACAACATCTCGTCAGCGATCCGATCGGTGTCGGCGCCGTCGAGCGACACTTCAAGAATTACCATGCAGGCCACAGGGGCACAATCGTGGCGGAGAGGAGACATCAAATACCGCAAGAACGAGGCGTTTGTGGACGTGATCGAAGACGTTAACCTCCTCATGAGTGCCACGGGGACAGTTTTGCGGGCTGATGTGACGGGCCAGATTGTGATGAGAGCATATCTCAGCGGAACGCCCGAGTGCAAGTTCGGCCTCAACGACCAACTGGTGGTTGGGCAGGTGGCCCAGGGCATCGATGGACCTATCGGCAATCAAGATGGGAAACGGAAAGCCACGCGAGCGGCCGCCGGGTCCGTCACGTTGGAAGATTGTCAGTTCCACCAGTGTGTGCAGCTGGGCAAATTCGAGAGCGACCGCACCATCTCGTTTGTGCCGCCGGACGGGGAATTCGAGCTCATGCGCTACCGCGCCGTCGAAAACGTCAATCTGCCATTCAAGGTCCATGCCATTGTGCGTGAGGTTGGCACCACCAAAGTCGAATATAGTATTGCCGTCAAAGCCAACTATGGGAGCAAGCTGTTTGCCACCAATGTCGTGGTCAGGATCCCTACCCCCTTGAACACTGCTTCTATTTCGGAGAGGACCACCCAGGGCAAAGCCAAATACGAGCCGGAAAATAATTGTATCGTCTGGAAGATTGCCCGGTTTGTGGGCGGCAGCGAGTATGTGCTTTCTGCTGAAGCTCATTTGACGAGCATGACCAACCAGAAGGCTTGGTCTCGTCCGCCCTTGAGCATGAATTTCTCTCTGCTCATGTTCACCAGTTCGGGTCTGCTCGTCAGGTACCTCAAGGTCTTTGAGAAGAGTAATTACTCGAGTGTCAAATGGGTGCGATACATGACGAGAGCAGGGAGCTACGAGATACGATTTTAAAATGAGTTTTACGATATTGTTGATGGGGGTTCACAGTTCGACGTGCCTTGATGCTCAAAGCTGCAACTCCACACAAGAGCAGTACTCTTGTATATGGTGCTTTTGGAACACAGTGGCTAGGCCAGGATACTGCTCCTGAGGTTCCCGCCCAACTTGTACTGGCAGGATGTGGTGCACCGTGAGAGGATGAGAGACGCCGGTCCGCATGATTACAACAAATGGCGGCCACAGCACGGCATAACATGAACACCTCAATACCTCCACTTGAACTCCGCGGCCTAGATTTGGCTCTGCTCAGCCCACCATCTCAGCCATGCCGCAATGGCCCTTACAAATGGACGTGAGCGTGGGTCTAAACACTGATCTCCTCGTGTTAGACGGCGATACGGCTGGAGTGGCGGCTGGCGACATTTCGCGGTAATGGTGTTGTGTTGGCCTGGTCTCGTCTGTCCTGGTCTGGTCCAGTCAGTCTGGGCATCGTACCACAACGTTCCTGAGCTCTCGGCTCACACATCACATTGCATTATATCATTTCAGTGGTGCCACCATGTTGATGTTGATACCGATATGACGGTCAATCAACACGATCTACAATGACATGATATGTTACCGGGATCAGGTTGAGAGCACAAACTCAAACTCAAACTCACGCTGTGCTGCACGTGTGCTGGGCTGCGCTGATACGAGTACACACGCCTTATGCTAGGCCAGTGCCGCCAGTGTGTTTGGCGGAATATGAATCGCTCCAGCCACGCGGACTGTGCTGAATCGACCGAGAGTGAACCACAATGTACCTACTCATGAAAACATACCTACGGGTGTATTCCATTTTCCTCTTTCTCAGACAGCGAGGACTAGGACTCTGAGATGGCATGGCATGGCATGGCATGGCAAGACGGTACCAAGGGCCGAGGCGAGTTGAGTCGGGGTTCTGTTCAATTTCCAGGTTGAAATCCCAAGGCTCCTGGCTGCAATACCTTAACGGGACTGAAAGGTTGTGAATACCTCAAATTAGATAGATAGGCTCGGGAACTTCAGTCGCGTCTTAGGTACCTAAGGTCCTCGTGCTCGTGCCCTAAATCGGAATATAGCTGTAGCAAGCGGCTGCCTTAATACCTGATGATGAACACATAACAAACGAAAAGGTACGAACTTGAACGTCTGTCGTTGAACTTTGAGAGCATTCCGAGTCACGGTCTGCGTCCCAGTAACGGCCTTTCGGCCCACTTGCATCTATTTATTTAGTCAGCCAGCATGATCGGAGTAGTAGCTCACACATCACGTCCCCCCAGTCATTATTAGGTACCTGGTAGTATATTATGGCCCCATGTGTCAAGTTGTTCTAGGCGGGTGTCATGATGATCCGGGACTGACAGGCACCTACGGGGCTGACATACTGTACTATTATTATAGCAAAGTAGCAGATAAGGTACGCGGTAGGTGCCAGGTAAGAAAAGAAGAGGTATCCACCGCTGTCAACAGACGACTCACGTCCGAGTCGCGAATCTACAATTTTTATTCCATATATAATTTATCATTGACTTGCTCTGCACTGAGACAGGTCGATCCAAACGACAACCACAACCGAAGAAATTGAACCTGTGGTACTGTAAGTAAACTATATATATATATGTACCTACTAGTATGGTATGTTCAAGTTTATTTATTCGAGGTATTTATATAACACCCAGCTACTTTCGCTATCACCTACTTCGCTTCGCTCCGTAGGTTCACCAGCTCGAAATATCCAAGTCCGTCCTCGATCTCCTCCCAGATCCCCTTCTAAGTCCAACATTCCCCCGATCAACAAGCAAACTCCACCTCCTTCCCAAACTATCTTTATCCCTGCCCAATCTGCGCGCACAGTCGTTCCAGTCGCGTTTTGTGAGCTTGAGTTTCTCGAGAACCGTTTCGACGAGCATGCGGTCGTCTTCGAGGGTCCATTCTTCGGACTCTTCGTTTGCCTCAAAGGGAGATGAACCGGAGCCGGATGAGCCGGATGAACTGGAAACAGAACAGGAAGCGGAGCCGGATGCGTATGCTGAGTCGGAGTCTCTTTCAGGGTCTCTATCACGGTCGCGATCGGAATAACCACCAATACTTCTTCCACACAGCGTCGTCTGGGATTGGTGGGTAGATACCAGGTGATTTTGATCATGATGGCAAGGGCTGGCTGTATTCATCGTCATCATCACATTTGTGTTTGGCGGCATTTCGATTTCTTCAGGAGGAGTTTCGAGACCCCGAAAGTCATCCGCGCATAGACCTAATGGCATAGACAACGGGATCCGTCGCCGCCGTTTGGGAGTGCGCATCATCGTTACTGCAGCAGGACTGCTGCTGGTCCTTTGGTGTTGTCGTGGAGAAGGAGAGTAATCGTCCATATGGATGTCTAGGGATGATGATTGATCTTGGTTTTCGTCTTGGGTGGAACGCCCAAAGTAGTCGCGTTCGAACTCGCTACGTCGTCGCTTGACCGCGGTTCTTCTGGGAGGAGATGGCGGCGGCTGTCGCACTGGACCGGAAGGATGTGGGTTGTGGTCTGGTAGCATGAACGGGTCGCTTGGTGGCTCAAATAGTGTCAGACTGGAGGAATCCAGGTTTTGGGTGGTTGTCGATTGTGGTACTCCGAGTATGGCCTGCAACGCGCGACAACTGGATGATAGCGGATTGATGCGGGTCGCAACAGCAGTAGCAGCAACAGCATGATGAGAAGAAGACTGTCTGGGTTGGTATTCGCCGAATGATTGCAGTTTGGGTCGTTGGAGGTGAAAATGAGATGAGGAGGTCGAAGTGTCGCTGCTGCTGTCGGCGCAGGAAAAGGCGGATGGGAGAAGCATTGGATTGATGTTGATGCGCCTTATGGCAGTGCACGAACTGAATGTGTCAGGTATACTGTAGTTGCTCCTTCGCGCCGGGAGCCTTCCTTTTTCTCTAATGCGACGCGCTGTACTGCGCGCGCAATAGACTGTGTAGACAAAAGTCACCGAGTGTTTGCGCAAAGGTGCATCGAGGAGTCCTCAGTCGTCGCAGGGGTATATGTATATATCAGGAGGGGATATGAAGGTTTTCGAGTGTAGCTGAAGTGGCAGTAGTGGTCTGAGGATCGACTAGGACCAATGCGCCAGAGAAAAGACTGCAGACCTGGCTGGAGGACTGGATGCGCCTGGATGCGCCGGATGTTGTTGGGCGGTGTGCGGACGGAGGCGGGAGCTGCAGCGCGATGTGCTGGTGATACTGTATAAAGAGCAGGAGCTGATATGCAATGCAGTCGGATGGATATAGGTAGAGGCGATGGATTCGTTGTGCGACAAACTGATGCGACGGGGAAGTCAAGGTCGATGGAGTGAGTGGAAGTGACTTTGATGTGGGCGCTGCAGAGCCGGTTCGGTTCCTGCCAGTGCCAGGACGGGAGTGTCACTGAGGACTCGGATGGAGGATGATCTGCCGCAACCAGGCGCCGCGCAGGCCACAGAACAGCTCGAGATCAGGGATCAGGGGTCGGTGCACCATCGAGATTCCAGGAGCGAGCCGGGGCAGGGATGGTGCACACTACTGCAATAGTGTTCTGTTAGGGGCCACTCGGGCGGCATAGGTGCCTGCTAGTGCCTGTGAAAGTACAGCTAGACCCCCTAAACACCGACCCAGGTCCTCTTAGGGATCCACGCCTGCAACGGCGGCCACGGCTACTGCCAGTGCTGCTCTCACCTCTTCGCAACAATTTCAATACTGATGCTTTGGACATTTAAGAGCTCACTTATAAAAAGGAGGCCACCTTCTGGTACAGATCTTGAATAGCGAACCATGCATGTCTCCCCGTCATTGACCACAGCACGCCACGTCTTAAGCACAATTATCATGCCTACCACTATCACAATCACGCCGCAACTCCTGCAGCCCAACTTGAACTCCTCTTCAACGGTCGTGCATCAGGCCAGCGGAGCATGTCCACCGACATACATAATTCAGCCCAAATGGCCCTAAGATTGGTAGAAAAGTTGGCCTAACAACGCCAATCAACAGCCACCCTGGAAAATCATGGACTGCCTTGCAGTTTTTTCTCCTCGACTGCACCTCTGACTCGAGCGGACGGATTGTCTAGACCTTCCGCAATACTGCTGCCTGTGTAGACTGTCGACTTGGGCCGCGGGCAGGCGGAAGCAAGTTCTTCTCATGGTCAACGGATGTATACACGTATGCTCGCCCCTTGCTTTAAAAAGTGCGCAGTAGCACTGCCACAACTGCCCGCCCAGTCTGCCTGGTGGGAGCGTACAACTTGAGTCCTCAAGGTGATCACATCATCGTCTACAGTGCACCCCGGAGCAACCATAAATCCTCGCTGTGCTAAACTATCGATTGGCGTCGCGTCGGAGAATTATTGGATGGCAGAGTGATAGTTTACTGATAGCCCTGTATCCATGTCTTTCTTATCCTTGTTAATAAGGCGCTTGGGAGGTTCCTATCCGTGCCTGCCCCTCGCGATACTGAGGCAAGCGAGACAAGCACTACATTGTGCTGCAATGTACTGCCAGTCGCCATGCAGAACGAAGCGTCCAGGCAAGCGGGGAGGTGTTGCGTCAACACCATCTCGATCCATGTCCACGACATGGCATACACCACAGCAAAGCGTCGTCTCTGCTGCGGTAGAAACGAGAGAGAGCTGGGCTCGCCATGGAAGCCAGTCCTACCAGATACAGTGCTATTACTGTAATCATGGTAACTGACCTGGACTGCAGCTGTGGAAGCTCTTGTACAATATGTAGTATGTGTTCGTTGTGATCAAGGTTCGAGCTTGACGCGTCAACGCGAAACACGCGTCAGCAACGCGTTACACGCTAGAGCAAAGGCAGACAAGCCTCAAGTCGCTGTCATTGCTACCCGACTTGCATTCTTCAACCTCATCTCATTGTTCACCATCAGCTTCTAGACCCAAAGCAATCAAATCTCCCTCGCAAGTCCAAGTGCAGTGCTCTGGAATCGCCTCGAACCATACTTGTTATGACTGTGCTGATGGTAGTACGCCTGATGAACACCGCAGGAAGAAGCCTTGATCAGGAGCTCTATACAATACTGTACAGGTGAGCGCATCGAAGACGAGATCTTCTTACGCAATACTGGCAGTTGTCCAGCAAGTTGAAGAGATGTGCCCTTACTCCCCATCGTGTTCGAGTCCTAGGAGCCCAGCCCACAAAGACATTCTATTTTCTTTGTTTAGCCTCTGCCTTTCCTGCCACGTGCACACTACCATATCTCCCCCTCCAACGTTGTGCTTTGTTTGTTTTGGTGCCGCTGGCCTCTTGCGGCGTGCGACCTGCATTCCTACGGGATATACGCATGCTTCCTGTGATGGAGCCATCCCTCGATCCCTCTTTGATCGCTCGTTGCGGCAGATTACTCAATGTCCCATTCGTCCGCTCCGCTAGGTGCTTCTGTTTGTTGCAGCAAAGCACCCCTCGACATTCACCAATTGAAACCGTTTGGTTCGTCTGTCGTGGTACGCGTCCATCCCAAAGCAGCCGTTTCTTTTCTTTCATGGTGCTTTCTTTGCACAGAACCATGTCTCACTAGGTCGCCTTTACCCCGATTTTCTCTTCTTCCCTCAAATCGGCCGCTAGCTGTGCAAGTCTCCGTCAAGCCGCCAACATGAAGAACTTCCACGGCGCCGTTCTGGCAATTGTGTTCGCTTCGAGCTTTGGCAATGTCGACGCGTTCTGGCGTATGGTTTGCGGCACCGTTCAGGTAGGCAGGATTGATCCGATCATCTCCCCTGGCGGCATTTCGGGGCATTGTCACACCATTGCTGGACCCAACAGTATGTTTCGACCCCTTTGCAACAGAAGTAATCTATCTCGCTAACCAAGGCTAGACCTCAACACGACGTCAACCTTCGACAGTCTTCAGGCGTCCTACTGTACCTCGTGCAGCATTCAAAAGGACAAGAGTGCTTACTGGACTCCTCAACTGTACTACCGACACCGGAATGGCTCTTTCGAAGAAGTGCCCCACGACGGGACTGTCGTCTACTATCTGGACCGAGGAGTCGACGTTCCAAACATGGTCCCATTCCCACCAGGATTTCGAGTTCTTTCCGGAGACTCAGCCGCTCGATCCTATGACGCCTCAACACTGACTTACGGCAACAAGTCATATGGACCCCGACCGGTTGCCGACCGGACCAGTTTTGCCTGCCTAGACAGTAGCGGTCCCATGCCTGAAACGCCCGGCTTCAATGTGACCAAGTGCAGTTCGGGCCTCCGCGCACAGATTCATTTCCAAAGCTGCTGGGACGGGGTCAACCTGTACAAATCGGACCAAAGCCATGTGGCGTACCTGTCAGGCATGGACAACGGCATCTGTCCGCCGACGCACCCGAAACTGCTCCCGCATCTGTTCTTCGAAATCATCTACTCGGTCAACAGCGTCGACCAATCCGATGGGGGCATGTTTGTCTTTTCCAACGGAGACACGACCGGATACGGGTTCCACGGAGATTTCTTGAACGGCTGGGATCCACAAGTCCAAGCGGATGCGATCAAACAATGCATGGGCGCTGCAGCGACCAACGGCGGACAGATTGGTCTCTGTCCTCCTCTAGCGGCCTCGGTAGATCCGTTCTTCAGCCGCAACTGTCCTGAGCAACCACCTCTGGTGAACGAGACGGTGCACGGCATGCTCAAAGTCCTTCCTGGCTGCAACCCGCCCACCGGGGGACCTCTCCGGGCGGCTCAGAACACATGTCCCATCCAGCCGACCCTGAACTATATCCCCAACCAGGACTACAAGAATCGCTCCGTGGCCGTCCCTGGCGACAAGGTCGGTAGTTGGCAGTACATGGGCTGTTCGTTCGACACCGGCACGCCACGCCCCTTGGCCGGGCTGAGCTACAGCAACAACACGGCCATGACGATCGATTCATGCACCGCCTTTTGCAAGAAGAACGGCTATTTCCTGGCTGGGCTGGAATACTCGACTCAATGCTACTGCGCCAGCGCCATGTCGCAGCCCCTCCAAGACCCCGTCACCTGCGCCTCGCAATCCTACATGATCTGCAGCGGCGACAGCTTTCAATTCTGCGGCGGTCAAGGCCTGATGCAGATTTGGAATGATACCACCTACTCTGGCCCCGCCATCAAAGGTGTCCCCGTGGCCGGAAAGACCACCATGACTCTGCCCTCCGGCGGAAACGCCACTTACCAGGGCTGTTTTGCCGAAGCCAACGTCGGCAAGGCTTTGACCCCGTCCTACACCAGTGCCACCAACATGTCGCTGGAGAGCTGTGCCGCGTCGTGTCAGAAGGGTAACTATGCTTTGTTCGGTACCGAGTATAGTCAAGGTATGTATACATACACCCTCACCCTCACCACCACCCTCGGTCTTTGTTGCTTTCCACTCCTTTGTTTTTGTATCCCATTCCCAACTTGAGCATGAAGCCCCTCCTACTCCGCTGCCTTCGAACCACAAATCACTGACTCTGGTCTGTTTAGAATGCTACTGCGGCAACACCATCACCACAGCCCAAGTCGGCCAGGGGAACTGCTCGTCCTTTTGCACCGGCGACAAGACCGAGTTTTGCGGCGGCGGCTCTCGACTTTCCATCTGGTCCTTATCAGGCTACACAGCTGGTAGCGGTACTGGTACTGGTACTGGTACCGGAAGCGGCTCTGGAAGTTCAACCGCCTCCTCCTCACCAAGTAATACCGTCTCCGCCATCCCCGCCGCGACTTCAATCGCCTACATGAACTGCTACTCTGAAACACCAAGCTCTCCACGCGCGCTGTCCGCAGTCTTCAAATCCTCCGGATCAATGAGCATCGACCTGTGCGCACAGACGGCCCAGAGTCTAAACCTCCAATATTTCGGATTGGAATACTCGTCGCAATGTCTGGCCGGAAGCACCCTGGACCCGCGGTCTACGGTAATTGCCAGCTCGAAATGCAACATGGCCTGCGCGGGAAACAATAAACAAACATGCGGTGGATCCAGTGCCATTAGCTTGTACAACAATACCCAGTACGTCAAACCTTACAACCCGAACCCGGTCAGTGTCCCCAATCAGCCGGGGTCGCAGTATGGTTATGTGGGCTGTTACGCTGAACCGGCGGGTGCTCGCGCCTTGGGGTCGACGGCCACTTATGGCGCTTATACTACCACGTCGAATACCTTGACGGTCGAGGCCTGTGCTGCCCTATGCTTTGCAAAGGGATATCCGTGGATGGGCGTCGAGAATGGGAACCAGTGTTTCTGTAATGGGGCTGGCTTGATTAATGGCGCCGCAAAGTCTGCCGGTGGTGACGCCGACTGTGCCGTCACCTGTCTCGGCGATCCCAAGGAAAATTGTGGTGGCGTGGCAAAGTTGAACGTCTACCAGGTCAAGAGCGGTGCTGGCGGCGCAAAGTATGCCGGTGCAAGCAGGTCACTCGATCTGAAGAGAGGTTGGCGGTTCAAGACTTGGTAAGCCAATGCGAGGTATACTGGACCAGTTTGATATAAAGGAAACATGCAGTGGGCAGTGAAATGGGTGGGAAGCAAAGTCTATTCTGTAGATATCTAGCACTGGCAGTGAATCACACTTCCAACCCACGAGTTTCTGTCTAGAATGAAAATGACCTCTTTTTGGACACTCCCATACGCACGCTCGTCCTGCTCAAAACGCGCCCATTGCGTAGATGAGCGTCCACAGATCGTGTTTCTCGCCCATGTTGGTTCTTCATGCGAGCAGGCCTCCATCCGCGCAAGCTTTTGTTCACTGCAGGATCCTGTCGCGGAAACAGGACCTTTGCCCAGGCGAGAACATATTTGGCATTGTTCCCGAAAAACTCGCTGATGCGAAGTTCCGGGCGATCCTTTGTCTGCATGGCAATTGTTACGTTTCCATATAGGACCGGGGTCCCCTCGAGCCATATCTTCTTGCAGACTCGCAGAAATTGGGCCGATTTTCCGGGGCTCTCTGTGTAAGACCGAGTATCCAAAAGCCTTGACCAGTAAAGATCGTCAATCTCGGGACACTTGTCTGGAACGAGCTGTTTCAGCTTGGCATTGCGGAATACCAGGTCGTATCGACATAGAAAGAGGAGAACATGGCTATGATCGACGAACAGTTCGTGGTAGATCCGGTTCATGATCTCGGCAGGGTAATTGAGGAATCCCATTGGACCAGAGGTTCGAGATCGTTGGACGTGAGGGAACGGCTCCATGTCTGAAGTAAGTTCTAAAGACGGCATTTTCGACGCAGGGAAAGATAGTTGAGTGGGGGCGAGAACCGTCCAACAGGCAGATGGGCGAGTGCGGGAATATAGGCAACGCAGTAACCGATATAATGTCGAAGATGGGTTCAAATGGTACTCCAAAACGATAGTCCGTACTGAGATCGTTACGATGCAAATAATATGCGTCGAGGGTGAAGGATATTGCGCAGAGGGACTTTTATAGGATATTCCTTGCTCAACGTCAAAGGCAGGATCGACGGAGGACAAGGCATGCAGTGCAGTGAGAGACATCTGAGATTCGCATTCATGGCAAGAACCGATCTCTGCTTCGACAGGAGCGTGTTGTTGCCAATGCCATGTTGTAGTCGTAGAGTCGTTGCCCAAGGACTGGTGGTCCTGCTCATCATTTGCTCTTCGGCTTTGAAGCAGCCTTCCTCCTCCTTGCACGTTCAGATGCAAACACCATCTGGTGCTTGGCCTTTTTCTTGGAGACTCTGTGTTGTTTCTTGTCGGCTCGTGACTGTGACTTCGCCCGCTTCGTCTTGGCTCCTTGGGTGTCAACGTCCATGTCCACGTCTGGAAGTTCAATCAGCACCGACTAAACATATAGTGACTTGCAGTGCCTACCTTCACCACCCTCGTGGGGATATTGGTCCTCAGTCTCCTGCTCAGCCGACGTCTCAACTTCCATGACCTTGTCATCAGTTGGTCGAGGTTTTGCTGCTAGTTCCTGCAGCTTTGCAGAGAGTCTCGCGGTTCGGGCATCGTGGGCAGGACCAAACACTTTGGCACGTAAGTTGCGGTGGTTACGCTTGACGACTGAGGCTCTGGCTGACTTGGCCATGGCGAAACGAGGATTGACTCTTGTAGAGGCCCTTCGAGTAGATAGACTGAACTGCCTTGAGTCGACCCCGGCTGTGGTGTACTGTAATAGATAATGGTGTATGCCGGTGATTGTGTCCTTCTGCGGCGAAACGATAATTTGGGGGCATGATATTTGCTAGCGGCAGAATTTCCCTTCGCTTGGACTCGGCTGCGGAGCCATTATTCCTACAACTACTAGTATTTGGCGGTCCAGACAATATAATTCTCTAAGGCGGAGCACTCGGACCACCAGCCAGAATTTGCCGCATCTCGAACTTGAACCCCGGGCGGCGGACAGACAGACAGACACCCACTACTACCTGTACTACTACTACTAAACTGGCACTGCAGCGACCGATATCATTTGCCCTCGCTGCATGCAAATCGCATCAGTCACATCGCCGACGGGCAACCACTCACTCACCACTCACCACTTCCACGAACCAAGAACACTTTGATTCCGTCCTGCAGCCCAATTTGCACTCCCCGATCTCAACAACCTCTCCTCAACTTCACTCACCACCAGCCTATGCCGCGCAGCTGAAGGAAGAATCCCCCCGGGCAACCGCCGCCGCACCTTCACTGATAACCATGTCCGGGTATCACCGCTAACCCGCCCATTTTGTCGATTCCGCAATCGCACCTTTGATTGAATCTCCTGCTCGAGTACGCCTTCCACCATGGCGGGCTACGTGCAGGCGCAGGATCAGGTGCAGGCCATCGTGGCCTATATCAAGACATTGACTGTTGAGAAACTCAAGGCATTGCTACGGACTGAAGGCTTGCCTCTGTCGGGAGTGAAGAGCGAACTTCAGATACGAGCAATTGCACGTATGGATCTACCCCGACCACATCTTTGCGGCTCCCCGATCTAACCTTCGACAGACGTTGAAAAGCTGCGGAACGCGGGCGATCAGGCAGGCTTGAACCGCGTGCGCGGGATCGTTAGAGGCCTCCCGCCCGCCTACTCCAACACCTACCCTTCACCATACTCGAATCACACGCCAAACTCGTCCGCATCGCCTCAATTTGCTTCACCAAAACCTCATGCCCCGCCCTATGCAATGTCACCCAATTCCCCCTATGCGCCGAGTGAGTGTTGATCTGAACTGCGGAAGAAGAGCCGTATCTGACAAGGAGACACAGGTCGCATAGCATTTAAGAACTCGCCCTTCTACACAATCATCAAGCCGCTCACACAGACGCTCGAGTGCAAAGGTAGGGTTCAACTCTGCGTCCTTCATGATGCCCAACTGACTGGAAATAGCTCGAGAGACAACGCGGGATACGGCTCGGCTGACAGTGTCACTCACCCAGACGCTTGCAGAACAGCTTACAACAGACCCGACATGTCGAGTCATGGTGTTTTGTGCCGCAGAAGGGTTTCCAACTTTTACTCGCGAATACGACATTGCATTTCCCCATAACGTGGAGCTGAAGTGCAACTCAGAGGAGGTAAAGGCGAATCTACGGGGCCTCAAAAACAAACCGGGCTCCACCAGACCTGCCGACATCACTCATCTCATCAAAAAGCATGCGGCCTACCCAAATGTGGTGGAAATGGTCTATGCATTGACCCCGAAGGTGCGCCAGTATTGCATTGATTTCTGTTCCCTTGTTGTCCGATCTCTAAGTCGAGAATTATCATGCTAAATAGGGCAAATCTCCACAACAGAAGTACTTTTTGGTCGTCAATCTGGTGTCAAAGAAACCGATTGACACCATGGTCTCCGAAATCAGACATGGAAAGACCATCAGCAAAGAACAGATCTTACGTGATAGTATGTTGGACCCATTCCCTTTACAAGCTCTCTGCTAACCAAATCAGTGCGCACAAAGGCCGAGGACCCCGACATTGTGGCCACATCGAGTGTCCTTTCACTAAAAGATCCGGTGGCTTACACTCGGATAGTCACTCCTTGTCGGTCGATCGCGTGCAACCATAATCAATGTTTCGATGCAGCCTCATATCTCCAACTACAAGAACAGGCGCCTACTTGGACATGTCCAATCTGCAACAAACCTGCCCCATGGGAAAACTTGGCACTGGATCTATATGTTAATGACATATTGAACTCAACGCCACAGGACATAGATGCCGTTGCCGTGGAGCCCGATGGAAGATGGCATGTGCAGAAGGACGACGACGACCCAAATCGCAACGGGAACCCAACGCCCAGTGAGGAGGATGACGATGAAGATCTTGTTGTGATGTCAGGAAGGACAGAACACCGCCCGCTCAAGGTGGAAGCACTTACACCACATAGTGTGCGGACGCCACCACTTTCCTCTCGTGAGGAATCGACTGCACCATCTGCATCAAGACAAAATAAAAGACCGCGAGCCGACGTCATCGACCTGACCCTTAGCGATGATGATGAGCAACCGCCTCCCAAACAGTCCAGGCCAAGTGACACTTTGTCCAGCGCAAACGCATCACGGGCACGACCAGCAACCGAACGATATGGTTTTCAGATGCCGACGCATTCGTCTTCTCCCACACTGACGAGGTTTAACCCTTCGCTTTAATGTCTTTGTATGAGCATAGCAGTTTAGCGCGGCGTCTGGGGTCGATCGGGTTTGGTTCGGTTTGTGTGGCACATGGTATCGGGCATGATGGGATGGGTACCGGGTTGTCGATACAATATGGCGCATATGGGTTCGTGGCATGGCATTAGGCAGGGCGTGGAAATACATCAAACTTTCGACATGAGCATCGGAGCGGTGGTCTCTCAGGGACAAGCCATACGAAAGAAGGAAATACATCAGACTTCGAGATGAGCGTCTGATGGGCCGTGGTGTCTCAGAGGCCGACATCACATGAAATGAAGATGGGAATTGACCGTTTGTCTTTCGGGATGGACTGACTTCAACTTTTCTCAAGGAGACTGATGTGGAGACTGCCTAACGATTCGAAATGGAAATCGACCTGAATCGTCCGTATGGTCCTCAAGGTTACGAGGTACAGCGGCAGTAGTCAAGTTGAATGCTACAGTACATGATGCCTGAAACTGAAACCTGAAAGGCAGGCAGATTTTGCTCTTTGACATGCAGTGAACCTATTTACAGCATCTGCTTTGTTTGTTGCATACAGTGCAGTACCAGTAACCTTTCTCGATTTTTTGGGCTATATCCTTTGGCGATCCTTGTTGCCACATATGCACTGGCTGGCGCCGTTTGATATCTGAGAGTCCGAGTCGTCAATGCTACTGTACGTTGGTACTTACGGTATGCACATGCCATTTGGGATTGGCGAATGCAGACCGACTTTCGTCGGAGTAGTGGTCAGGACAGGACAGGACAATATAGTGTGTTTGTTTTTGTTATTATTATTATTATCTTCTAACCAAAACAGCCACAACACACCATCTCTTAGCCTGGTCTTTCGTCTCACCCTCCCGGACGGGCAGCCATGGCCTGCGAGCCCCATTGACGTCGATCTCGAATATTTCTGCAGCTCGTAATTGGCCTTGAACTTGTGTGAGTTCTGGGTCTTGGTCTCCGTCTTCTTCTGGAGGAGTTGGAGTCTCCGACTGTGTATCTATCCATTCACCGGTCGCGACTTCGAAAAAGTGCCGCACGATGCCGCGGCCGGTGTGGAAGCCGGCGATTACGAGGGCGCATGGTGTGCTAGAATCTGTCACTGCCACGGTTGAATATGCGTCTGTTGAAGGACTAGTAGAAGATGTGGTGGTGGTGGAGGTGGAGGTGGAGGTTGAGGTGGAGGTTGAGGTGGTCGGAGGATAAGTTGTGGAAGTTGACGGTTCACTTCGTAAATACCTCAAAACCGTCTTGACCAAATTCACATGTTGCGAAGGCATCCACAGACAATCAGCAATAATGATTTTGTCGTAGCTGTTGGGGCCTGGTTGGTCGGGTCCAAAAGCGGGTTTGCCGTAGGTGTTGGGGAGGTACATTTTGTGGGTGCCCCATGTGTAGCCGTAGACTTGGACTTGGGTTCGGTCTTGGACTTGGCCTTGGCCTTCTTTGACTTTTCGGTCTGGTGCAGAGATAGAGGTAGAATCGGTTATAGGCGTAGGTATAGATACTGAGGTTGATGGTGATACTGAGGTTGATTCATTTGGCTGATTTGGCTGGATGGTACTGGTACTGGTGGTGATATCATCAAGTGGGTTGGCGTTTGTGTTGGCATTGTCGTTGTCGGTTTTGGTTTGTTGCTGTCGTCGTTTCACGACATTGTCTCGAACATTCTGCTCAATCGCACCTGTGGTCAGGGCAGGCGAGGACGGATGATCGGTGATGGTGGTCACTGAAGCGCCTGATAGTGCGGAAACGATTGATGGAAGTGCGGTTCCTGTAGTCGTTGAAAAAGCACGTCAGCACAGAAGAATCGGAAACAGGAACGGAAACGGAAACGAAGTACAACTAATTTCACACAACCATTCTTGGAAGAAACCTTTTCTGTCTGAGGGGAGGGATGTCAGGGTAAGGTAGGGTATAACAGCATCACATCGCAAAGAACCACGATCCAAGTCTCTCTCCAAGGAAACATACATCATGGTAAGAGGTGTGGTGTTGGATTGTGTCGTGTTCCCCGTTTGGGCTCATTTTTCTTTTCATCACGTACCAGCGCCCAACTCGAGGACTCGATTCCCTCTTACATCCCAGTACTTTTTGTCCCAGAGAACCTGGTTCAGATCACTCGCGGAAGGATCATCATCGCGCTGCTGCTCTTGACTAGCCGTCTCAATTGCATCCGCCGCAATAACACCCGCATTCCACAGATAATGCGCAAACAGTTTCCTCCCTTCCTCGACGTCCGGGTGAGCAGGGATGCGGAGACTGATGGTTCCGAATCGGGGGGAATGGTAGGTCACACTGGATCCGGGAGTGCCGTGGCTGTTTTGCGTGTCGTCCGTGAACAGACTCGCCAGAGCAGAGGAGAAGATGTCTTCGGTTTCTGGTGTCGGGGGTGTGGGAACCGAGATGCGTGACGGGTACATTTTGCCAATCTGTTCAATTCATTTCATTCCATGTCCGTTTCAATCGGCTTCCTGTTCGATAATCTGTACTTGATATACGGGGGTGGTGACGGCACCGCATAGGTTCGTATTGCTGTGTGTTTTCTCAAGATGTACTCATCCTGTGGAGATCCTTGTGTGACATTGATAGACACATGAGGCATGGAAACTCGAGGGCAATCAGTGAGAATCCGGTCGACTGCCTAACAGGAACAGTGGTGCACAAAATCTCTCCGCGCGAGGCTGAGGCTGCGAGGCTGAACATGCATCGCGAGTGGAGTCGGATCTGAGATTAGATTAGACCGATCACCTCGATTAGATTAGATTAGACTGTATTTGAAGTTTCGTTCTTTTCGGTCAACGACCAGTGTCTGTCTGGGAGAGGGAGGCATCAGACCAACAGACTATCATCAAATTATACAGTTACTTTCCTTCGCTGTATGCAGCCTTCTTGACAGATCCTGTTCTCCCGCGCTTGTTAGCGTCCTGCAGGTCATCATAATATGTCTTCAACTTCGGCCCCGTCCCATCCAATCCATCTCGATCCCAGCGAGCTCGGAACAAAAGAATAGTAAGTTCGCCCTCGTTTGGTTTATTCTTGTTCCTCTTACCTTATTTCTCCCTTCTTTTCCATCTATCTGTTTCTGGAAAAAAAGAGCAGTCACAAATTATCTGCTGTGGTCCAATTTAACTTTTCCCTTTTTGACCAATTTACCAGTTGGGATAGATACTATCAGAACGATCTAGACAATGATGATGATGCTGACGATCCAAATACCGAGGACGACGACAATGACAACAACGATAATGGCAACGGCAACAGTCCTCCGGATCCATCCGAGCTAGAATCGTGGTTCGACGACGTCGGCGCCCCAGCAAAGACACTCGCCTTTCTGACATCTACGACATTTCCCCTTTCCCCGAATTACACCGGACCCACAAACTCAACAACCTCAACCTCAACTTCAACAGAACCGCAACAACAGGACCAAAGACGTCCAGCTCCTACAGTCCTAGACCTCGGCACCGGCAACGGCAGCGCCCTGTTCTCTCTTCGACTCGAAGGCGGATACACGGGGCCCATGGTCGGCGTCGACTATTCAAGCCAGAGTATTGAGTTGGCGAGGAAATTGGCGAGACAATACTTTTCCTCCTCGTCGTCAGCAACAGCATCAGTTTCAGCAAATATCTCATTCCACGTCCTCGATTTAATAACCGACGACCCCACAACGCAGTCATGGTGGCCAGTTTCTTCTCACGGATTCGACTTGGTACTGGATAAGGGCACGTTTGATGCCATTTCTTTGTCGTCGGCGACGGTTCAAGTGCCGACGGACCCAACATATTCTCATTCTACCACCACCACTGAACGCCGCGTCTGCGAACTCTACCCATCGAAAGTTCTTTCCATGGTCAAGCCGGGCGGATTCTTGTTGGTGACGAGCTGTAACTGGACGGAAGACGAGGTGGTGGCTTGGTTTACTGGTCCTACTGCTACGGGGAGTGACGACAGCAAAGGACGGTTCGAAGTCTACGATACCATCAAGTATCCCGTCTTTGAGTTTGGAGGCCAGAAAGGCCAGGGGGTGGCGAGTGTGTGTTTTAGAAAAGTGATCTCGTAGTGTACTTGTAGTTGAAGACCTATTTTCCTCTTTAGACATCGTCTCTTTAGACATCGTCTTTTTTGGTTCGTCTCGTTTAGGAGCCTTAGAGCCGGCTGGCCGGCATTTCACTCAAACAAGAGACAGACGAGGCTTCGCCAGGTCATTCTTGAGACATGCGGCATGCCTACCAGCCCACTTCGGGAAATGACCAACCAACACGATATCCGAATCGTCTCAAACTAAACAGTCCTTACTAACTCGTCAACTTGTTCGTAGCCCTAACTCATCAACATGTTCACAGCCCATGGCACCGATAACTGTCTAAGATCTCCATAGTGCTGACCCACGCCAATAAACTGCACGGGCACAGAAGTGGCATGGACCAAACTGATCATGGTCCCAATACCCGAACCCACGGTATCTATCTTGGACACGATGAAGCCGTCGAGTTTGCGGTTCTTTCCCAATGCTTTTGTGAAGTTCTGCGCCTGCCCCACCGAATCATTGCCGACCAAGGCCTCTGCCACTTGCAAAATCAGGTCCGGTTTCGCGAGGTCGACCAGTTTCTCCAGTGACGCCATGAGTTGCGTGTTGGTGTGCGCTCTCCCCGCGGTGTCGATCAGCACGACCTGGTAATCATTGGCCGAGGCGAACGCAACGGCATCTTTGGCCACGTTGGCTGCATCTTTCCCGTACCCACGTTCGTAAATATCAACAGCACCCAGGTTCTCCCGAGCCGTCAGCTCCTTCAGATTGCGCACATGGACGTTCAACTGTTCCACCGCGCCTGACCTAAATGTATCGCCCGCCGCAATGAGGACGCGATAGTTGTTCTGCAGCAAAAAATAGCAGAGTTTGGAAAGGTTGGTCGACTTGCCGACACCATTGACTCCGAGAATGGTGATGACAAAAGGGCGCGGTTTGGCTTTGACTCCCGAGGGCTTTGTAATGGTTTCGATCTGCTGAAGAAGGTCCAAGGACGACTTGGGGGTCAATATCCGCTTTAATGCCGTCTCCAGGGCCGGCCGCAAGGCCGTGTCAATCGACTCGAAGGCTCCTGTCCGTTTCCCAACCATTTCCTCTTCGACCACTTGACATATCCGAACTGCGGCGTCACGGGCCACATTCTTGTTGATGAGGTGCTCCTCCATCGACTTCAGCGGCTTCTCCAAGTCTTGTTTGGTCAGCGTTTTCCCACCGACAATGTTTCTGAAATACCCCGAGATCGCTCCAAGCTTGGTCGTGGCACCACTTCCGTTGGCCGTCTCGGCCTTGCTCGAGTCTGCCGACTTTAGAATATTCGTGACTTCATCTCCCAGGTCCTTTAGGACAAATTGCCCCTGCTTGTTTTTCGTGCCCCAGCTTTCTTGGCTAATTGCCTCTGGCGGTGGAGATCTGAGACCAACATCGCCGGTCGCGTCAGAGTCCATGGCGGAATAGTCAAGGTTTGTGCCGTCCGCCTCATCGGCCATTCCGTCCGGACCCCATACTCGTCCCTTTTTGGCGGCTTTTTGCGGTGTCCTGGTTCTCGAAGTCTCATCTCCAGAAGCAGGAGCGTTTGTAGCTGCGGCATGCGCCGACTTTCTTGCCCTGCGCGATCCACGACTTGCCGGTCTTGCCTTTTCTGCTAGTAGGTGTCCTGGCAGAGGCGTGGTCGGGCGGGATGGGTCGGGCGACTGAGCAGGACTCTCCTGTCGGGAATCCGCACCGACCACCGGCACAGCTCGCGGCTGTGCCTGGAGAAGCTGAGGCATTTCCGGCGGTGGGGGACCTCCAGTGTCCGCCTCTTCTGCACTAGTCTTCTTTTCCTCCTGCACTTCCACACGAGGGGCTTCGGTGCTGACCGCTCCGCCCGTGCTTTGGTCCAGTCGACGCAGCTCTTCATCGAAATATTTGTCAAAGGGATATTTCAATACCGCATAGTCTAGTTCCTCCAACTGGCCCCGATATACCTCCACGAATATGGTTCGGACGTCGTCGAGTAGCTTGTCGACCCACGTGAGATGCAGGAGAGATTGGTACACGGCCACAAACATGAGGCCCAGGTCCTTGACGAGAGCATATTTCAATGTGTATTTGTCGTGCTTGTATGCAGGATGTCCGGAAGTCGTTGATGAGAGTCGAACTTTCTCCTCAATAAAGACGTCGTTGATCAGAGAGTTGACTGCGGTCGCCCCAACTTTTGAACTTGATCTGGACCACAGCACCACGCCGGAGGTGGTCAGGATTTCGAAGGCGTCCAGCATTTTGAAAGCGCTGACGTTCTTTAAAAAGACCTAGTCGCGCTGACAGTCTTAGAGGGATGCGCAGGGTAACGTAGCGTTTATCTCGTTCACAACTGGGACTTTTGACACGATTTCGACATGCGGGCAGCGAGCGACTTGACGTCGAACTTGAGAATATATTTTCCATTCGGCGCTTTGTACTCCGCCATATTTGGCCGAGACCGGCGCTACGGAGGACTACTTCAGCGGTACCATGGGACAACACCAGATCCAGTGGGACGAAGAGAACTGTAATTCGCACGCATGTACAGTATATTGGTGGCTCTGCGAGAGAAGCGCGTGTATTACACTGATTAGGTAAGCCTTGCAAGGGAGTTTCATGTTCTATACCGAGCTTATCTACTCCATCACCATTCTGTGGTCATGCCCGCCCTCAGCCCCGTCACTGATCTCCGCATCGAGTGATGACTATGCCTCGGCGGCGTCTCAAAAGTGAAGACCTAGGCAGTCCCTGGGCATGGAGGGGCTGTCTTCCTCCTTTATAAAGTTAAGTTCCAAGTCTCCGTCGATGGTGGCTGAGTGTACCTACATACTGCACCCGATTACTCTACACACATCAGATCTCCATACTAAATAAAATATATCTGGCACACACTCTAAGACTACCTACCTAACCTGGTACTCACCAGCATGACGAACGTCTTCGAAAAGCATCGCGACAAGCTCGCCGGAGTATGGACCCTAATCTCCTGGGAAATGTACGACTCGGAAGGACCTGAGGGCAAGCTCGTCTCCCGTCCACACGGCGACAAACCCCTAGGCAAAGTGGTCATTTCCCAATCAGGGTATCTATCCGCCATTCTCGTTACGCCATCATGCTTAACGCCGCCACTGCCATCCGATGACTGGAGCCAGGCTTCGAACGAGGATGTATTGCGGATTGGGCGGAATTTGACCACATATGCCGGGCCGATGGAAGTTCACGAAAGGGACAACAACTCAGGAGAATTGCTCTGGCATACGACTGTCGAGATTGCCCACAATCCAAACTGGATTGGCAAGCACCAGACCAGGTTGGCACGGTATAGCGAGGAGGGTGGTGTCTTGTACATGACGCTTCGGCCTGTTAAGCCGTATGTCCACAAGGTCTGTTTTGTTCCCTTCCTTCCGCTGTTGTGCTGGGCTGTTGCAGTACTCTCTAAAGCCTGGTTTGGGCCGGCACTAATGTCATATCTAATGCCTCCTGTAGGATGGAACCAAGACGTGGGGAGTGCTCAAATGGAAGAAAGTTGGGCCGTAGGGTCAAACTAGTGGTTATTACCAGGGTGGGTGATGATGATGATATTCCAGGAATCCTCCCTGCACGGGGTGGATAGACGAGATGTTTCGAAAGCATCTGGAATGACTGTATGTATAGCTGGCGAGATGGATGGCGATCAAACAAATATGCTTCATTTTCTGTTTTCATTTCCCGTCCTTCATCGCTATAAAGCAAAGTCATTCTGCCCAATCGTCATGACTTTCAGGGGTGTAGTCCTACACCTTCGCCTGACCATATGGTTGCTCGTATGGGTCAACTTATTGACCACACCCGCGAGCCGGCGCTCGATTCCTGCCTTCCACCTCCCGCATTCCAGTTTCTCGATTCCATTTCGGACCAGACGCGTACTCCGGAACTTAGAAGAGCAGCCGCGACCTTTTGTTGGCCCAATACATTATCACATCTTGGGCCCAAATGGGCAGAGCGCGCAAACCAGTCCTGTGCTTCTCGCTTCGAGGAACAAAAACCTGTCCACTCCGTGCGGCCAGGACCTGCTCGACCACCGCGTCACTGACGTTGGTTGCGGGATCGAGGCGCACGCCCATGTTGGTCAGGTGTTCTTCGTAAGGTTTCACAATGCCTGTTTTGTGCCAGGAGGGGTGGACGCAGGTGGTCTGGATGCAGTTCCCGTTGGGATATGCAGAGCGAAGTTCGGCTCGGAGACCTAGTAAAGAAAGGACGGTTGTTAGACTTGATCCCTTTCTAAATCGGAAGGTGAAGTCACGCTGATGTCTGGATCACTTGCAGCCCGGCGGTCTGGACGAACAGAGAAACAACAGAGGGGTGATGTGACACGATACTGAGGCTCTAGTCTTCCAAACTGAGAAGACGGAGGATTGGGACGTGTAATCAAGGTCACTGGAATACTGCTAAATGGATATGTCAATCCACTCACCTTCGTGGAGAAACAGCGCCCCGACCTTGGTGCAGCAATAATCCACAAGGCCAGGCGCGGCGTAGAAACTGGCCATGGAGGCTATAGTAACAATATGACCTTTGCGTGCCTCAAGCATGCCAGGAAGAAACTCCTTGATCAGGACAAAATGCGACGCGAGGTTGACTTTGAAAATCCTGTCGGTCAACTTGGCCGAGCTGTTGATCACGGTCGTGCCGCTTCCTGGACAGGGATCGCAATGTGTTAGCTGACTGACTTGCCGACATCTGTGGTCTGTAGCCTTGCGAATTTGCGATGCATCACTCCTCACTCACCAACGCCGGCGTTGTTGATTAGCACACTAGGGTGGCCATGCTCTTTGCGAATTGTTTCTGCGGTGGCCTCGATCGCAGCAAAGTCTGTAAGGTCGACTTTGTAGTAGGACACGCCGGGAACTAGAAATACAGTTCGGTAAGTTTGGTTTTCCACTGAAAAGGTCAAGAGAGAAAATGGGATTCACGAAATGCAAACGGTAGAAATAGCGTCGATAATCTAAAATGGACAGCCCAAACTCGAGACCATGCCTTTGTACACTGCTCTTGAGACGCTTCACAGCCCTGATTCCGACCATGGCATATAAGAAACAATCTGACGTACTTATCTCGAGGTCCTCCGGTACAGGGGCGATGTCGAGGATAGCCACACGAGCGTGTCGGGAGAAACTCTTGACCATTTCATAGCCGAACCCGCTGCATCCTCCGGTGACGACGATGAGTTCGCTTTTCTGCGTGTCTCCAAACTTGAAAGGCTCTCCTGGCTTCTTCAAGTGCCAATGGTTCAACGCCAGTCTGTTCAGGCCATCATTCAGCCTGCTCGCGACACCAACTGCGAGTAGGATCTTGAGCGAGCGGACAATCTTGCCAATGGCATCGTTGGAGATTCCACGGTCTCGTAACAACTTGAGTAGCCGTTGCCGATACTGCTCGGGTGCTCGTGTGAGGGCGAAGAGTAATGACCCAGTCAGCAATGGTTCGGCGACCGCATAGCGCAGCAGCACGACGGGGAGCGCGAGAGTGGTGCTAAGGACGCGGTTCGCGCGCTCGAGCGGCCCAGGTGTCGCCATCTACGCTCTTGAAAGTACGTCCCAGGTCCTGCAGGTAAGGCAGCACGTTGGAAATGAGGTACACTGTTTGATATTGTTGCAATCAGCAGAACAGCTTTGCCAGACTATGGACGTTAACTTGAAGTAAGCCGACCGAGCAATGCCTCGGTGTTGGAGGTGTAGTATGTACTACTAGTGGCACCACATGTTGTCTGCGGAGTAACAAGCTTTCTCCCACATGAAAGCGTAATGTGACGCGGGCGCTTGCTCCTCTGGAACAGGCAAACTGTCAGCGAACTGACAGGGGATGAGCGGAGGATGCGTTTTGAGGAGCTGCCGGTGCATCGTGAGACATCCATGTGAGGGAGGGGGACGCGATTTGAGATTGGCTGTATTGCTGTCCGAAACTTGAAGACCACTTTGACCCCCGGTCAGGTGGGGTCAGCCTCGTCTCTGTAGGGTCGTCTGTCTCAACCATATATGGAGATCTTGAGGCACTTCAAGACTTAAACTGGTACTTCCAGTCGGTCTACCTGAGATGAAGTTTCGATATTACTATTCGAATCGTGGATGTGCAGTAGAATGGGCTGAAGAGCCGTGCTTCTGGTACTACAAGTGGAGGAGTCGTGGCGGAGTCGTGCAGTGGGGTTTACGATTGCTCCCGGGTAGTGGGACCAATCGCAAGGGAGCGGTTCTTCATACCTTACGTGATGCACAAGTTATTTTTTGCAAGCGCCAAAAATTGACCGTCAAATTCGTCACAGATTGTGAATGAATCCGCCTATGGCCCGCGTGGCACAATTGGTCAGCGCGTGAGACTTTTATGATAAAATAATCTCAAGGTTGAGAGTTCGAGCCTCTCCGCGGGCGATTAGCTTTTTGGCCTTTTGTCTTTTTGTCCAAGCTATTATTTCTTTCTGAATCAGAGCCTGTGTCTTCCGCTTGTCGTGTTGCACACGGGCATGTTATTTTTGTTTCGGGAGAAATCGTGGTTGCCGACGCCAAGGAAGGTTGCCCTCTAACCATTCAGCCTTGCTGCTACTGCAAGGACAAATATAGGTAGGTCCAAAGGCTGAATTTGAACGGCAAGACTCCTAGGGCTGGGCTGTCTCCTTCCAGCTCACTTGGATTGCATACCTATGTGAAAAGCCACGACTGGAGGAGGCTTCTGCATCTGCAACAAACATGGACTGAACGAGGACCGTGTTCAGAAACTCGAGCCTACTGCCAGTCTAGGCATGACACTGAAGTCGGAAGCCGGCCACTGGTGCACCGGCCCAGAGTACCAACAAGACTGCCCATGGCTGACCGGAGATAAATTCATGCAAGTCACCGACCTGCTGCTGGAAAACCCGAACTTGAACTCGACGCATCTCTTCCGTGCCGACATACTCTATGACAGTGCCGGGATCCTGCAGACCGTGCATGACCGAGAACGGCAATGCGGGTTCACGAACGGAGAGTCTGAGTCTCTCGATGCGGAGAGTGCACATGAATATGAAGTTGTTCAAGTCGACGTCGGCGTCGACATCGATGCACAGGCTCCCAAGCTGGAGGGAGCCATCCTGAAGCGAAGGGTGTTGAGGAGACTCATCCCGCGCAAACCGCAACTCGACCGCGCCCTCGACCAATGGTGCCATATCTACCATCGTCACCAGCGACTGGCAGAATCAGGGGCTGGAGACGAAGCGGAGAAGCGACACTCGGTGGCCACTGCCAGGAGCGACATTATTGTCGTCTATATGCCTCTAGTCGACTCTGAGGCCGACATGCCATGGTACCATCCACCAGTCCAGACCCTGGCATATTTCTACCAGCACACCGGCACCGGTACCGACAACAATGCAACGCTTTCAGTGCATTTCCTGCCTTTCAAGTCCTCAAGAACAGACACAAACACAAACTCTGGCCCGACTCCTACTGCTGATTCCCTACCCCCACGCTTACACCGCACATTCATATCACTGCTTCGCACATTTCTTCGACTCGCAAAGAACCCAGCGCCCGAAAAGCACGGTCCCAAACCCGAACCCGATGGGAGCGTCTCCGTTTCCATCCCCCTCTCCGCAGTAGACGCATCTCTAGCACCCTCAGCACTCAAAGACACCATACTGCCACAACACGTGGTTCAAAACACATACACACGGTTAAAGCAAGAGTATGCTCCAGACCTGATATCCCGATGGGTCGAAAGCACTGAGCCGTCCAAGCATGTCTTCGAAGACTTGTCCATCGCCGCCTTTGTCATTGAGCTCTGGAAGCAGATGTACCCTGACTCTGCAAAATTTCCGGGCTTCGTCGACCTTGCATGCGGCAACGGCGTGCTGACATATATTCTCATCAAAGAGGGCTACCGGGGCCGCGGATTTGACGCCCGTAAACGCAAGACGTGGCAGGTTTTGGGTATCGACGAGTTCTTGGACGAAATGATTTGTGTTCCGCAGCCGTTTCTCGACCAGTACCACTATTACATTACAGCCACCAACACCAACGACAACGGCAGCGACAGCACCGCCGACTTGCTCAGCAATACCAAAGTCCACAACGGCATCTTTGAGCCTGGTAAATTCATCATCTCTAATCATGCCGACGAACTCACGCCCTGGACACCCCTCCTGGCGGCCCTGTCAGACCCTCAAAACCCGCTTCCTTTCTTGTCTATTCCGTGCTGCTCGCATGCTTTTAGTGGGGCGAAACATCGGTATTGGCCTAGCGAAATCAGACCGGGACCATCAACGCAATTACCGAACGATGGTGACGCTGAGCCCCAACCCGAAACAGGCGATCTAAAAGCCTTAAGAGCCGCCAAAGTCAAAGCCGCAAATCATACAGATGACAAGTCAATGTATGCGTGTCTGACACGGAAGACTGTCGCGTTGGCTGAGGAGGTTGGCTTTCAAGTCGAGTTGACTTTGATGAGAATCCCAAGTACCAGAAACATCGGCATTGTGGGCAACAGACGAAGAGCGGCCGCCGCCACAACACCAACCCCGTCTTCGTCATCAGAAACCAGTAATTCTAATGCCAATGCTCTACGGAGCAAAATCAGTGCCTTGTTGGAGCGCGAATGTGCCATGTCCGGCGGCGTAGGGGAGGCCGCCAAGACGTGGATCGAAAGGGCGCAAAAGCTTCAGGGCGGCGTGGGACGTGGAAAGGTCAATCTACGAGGGCAGCCTCAGCCTGCTGCTGTCGATTGAAACGTTTTCAGCTCGTCTTTCAGGCCAGATTTTGCCGGTCTGATGCTATTTCTATCTAATCAATCGACCACCCACTGGCATTCAAAACTCCTTATGAACTACGACTCCTGGACAAACTCCGGGAAGCAGGCCGACTCGCATCATCATCATCATCGTCCTCCTCTTCCGCATTGGGCAATGCAACATTGAACACGGATTCCGCCCACTCGGCAAACGTGTCACTGTCCCAAACGGCATCTTCGGGACTCTTGCCCTTGCGCGAGATCTGGCTGGCTCCGTTGACCTTGCCATTGGCGCCTGGAGCCGATCGACTCGTGTAACTGTCAAAGAAGGTCTCATAGATTTGCAGGACTTGATCTTCCACCGCGGCCACGAGCGTTTCGCGAGTCCGCATGTCGTCGAGGTACTGCTCCAGCTTGGCTCGAAGGATAGGCACCTCCTTCTCAATATGCTTGCGGGTCGCGGAGACGGCGTCGCCAAGGGCAGCACTGTTCTTCGAATTCTTGGCCTTGTCCACGTCCTTGGGTAGATTCTTGGTCATGGCCGCAGCGAAGCCGGCCGTGAAGTCGTTGATCACGGTCCGCAGGCGCCCGTCCAACTCGACTTTGGCGTCCAGCATGTTCTCGACCACTCGGGGAAGGAGGCCGCCTGTGCTGAAGAGCTTCATCCAGCTTCGAGGATTGAATAATCCGCCCCGCTCGCGGATCTCGTAGAAGGTGCTTGCCACACCGGAAAAGTCAAAGGACACGTCGGGCGTGACATATTCAATGTCAAACGCGACAATCTGAGACTTCAGCAAGAGCAGATGTCGCAAGAGAAACAGCTGGCCATCGGCCTGGGAGGATCGAGAGCAGATTTGCGTCGATGCGTGAACCAGAGATACTGTGGTCTGGTGAACAATCTGGTGCGCCAGATCATCGAAGACGGATGAATTGACCAGCCTATAAATCCTGGACAAGAGGCGTACCGCTTTCGACAGTGTCGGGTAGCAGTTCTGTAGCGCGATGCGGCGGGAGGCCATCGTCCATGAAAAGGATCCTTCTTCTCCCGAGTCTTCATCCACAATCTCCGGTGTCTTGGGAAGTGGTGTTAGTGGTTCACTGTTCTTCCGGCGGCCAGACAACTGCGTAGCCGAGGTTGGGGGTCTGGAAATGAGCCTGGGATAGTCCAGATCTTCGGGTTTGGGCTTGAAAAGTTCAATCTCTTCACGCAAGATGGCCTGGGCACGAAAGACCAGTCTCGTTTGCGCATCTTCCAATGCCGGCTGGATAAGGGCGGAAAAGTCTAGCTGGTTCAAGTCTGCTGGCCCGTCGTCCTCCTCGTCATGGAGATACCTGGTCTGCAGCAGCGTCACTAGCGAACAAAGTTTGGACAACTTGTTTTCGTGGATAATCCGGGGCCGTAAATGGTCATAAAGTGGCTCGCATACCGACTCCAGGAAATCATAAAGCCCCCTGTAGCCGTGGAACCATTCCGACCAGAGCTCAAACTCGTCAAGACAGACCCCTCGAACATAGCTGATGCTAGTGCGCGCAAACTGCACAAGGTCCTTGGAACTAGGTGCCTGGCTGATTTCGGCCAGGCGCTTCCGCACAATCGGTAGGATGAGCCTTGCTCGACATGATGCGAAAGTCGTGTGCAATTCGGTCATCAAACTCTGGTACTCGCCTTCCGTGTCTGGGTCCGCATCTGCCGGAGGGTTTGCGCGTTTCTGGATCTCCAAGCCCAATTCCTTCATTTCAGCTGCACCAACCCGAAATTTCGCATACAGTAAAGCCGACATGGTGGTGTCGTTAAGCTGCTTGGCTGCAATCCTGCCGGCCACCTCGCTCGTCACTTCCCTCACTTCGGCCATGAAGGTGTTCCGCACCAGCGTCAGAGCCCGTGTAAGCAGTAGCCTGTATCGTGACCGGTAGGTCTCGGCCTCTTTATGGTTCGGATGCGTTTGCATGTAGTCAATACACTCGTCCAGCGTGATGAGCATATCCGAGAAATCCTTGCTCCTGACAAACGTCCCAGCACCAGGGGAGTTGAGACGTCGGGTAATCCATTCCAGCGGTTCATAGTAGCGCAGATTCTCGGCAATATCTTGCGCAATGGCGTCGTCACGGCGCTGCTCCTCAAGTATATGTGCTGACTGTCTCTGGAAGGCCTTTGTCTGCGCATCGATGGCTTTGAAGGATGCCGAGATGTCGGACAGCTCATCCAATGTCGCAGCGGTGTCGGCAAGTAGGGTGTCTAGCTGGCTTCGTGCGGCGTCCAGTTGGTCAAGGTATTGTCTACAGCGTGGTTAGCAACGCGGCGGAACACAGGTGTTCCAGTAGTTCAAACGTACTGATACTCATCCAGACTGGCATCCAACAGGGCATCATCCAGGTCAGTAGACAGTTTGAAGAGATCAAGCTCTGTCTCTACTTCTTGGAGTCGTGCTAAGGTGGCATCTCGGTCGGCTTGGGCGGAGTCTTCCGCGGCCATGGCGCCGACGATCTCGGTCAATCGTGCTGCTTGGAGTACTGCAACTGACCTAGCACGGCCATAGGTGCACAAGTCTCTTCGAAATCTGGTGGTTCGCTGCTAACGGGCGGTTGACCCGCGGATGAACAGTGAGCGGGTTGTCGAGGGGACGAAGTGTAGTAGTATACGTACCACATTTGCTGTGTTTGTACATTGAAACCATTCCGCCAATCAGAACGTTGGCGATACCAGAATTCTGCCGCTCCCAGAAAATCCGGGCGGTGAGAATCGGCAAAGAGGCACAACCAGTCGACATGACGTCCACGAGTATATAGGAGGGGAACCATCCAACTTGAACCTATCCTCTGTCCTACAAGATCCCGGGTCAATAGGAAAATACTACTCTTCGTGAGGCGCCCAAGATGTCTTCGACAACCATGGCTTCCTCCAGCTTGCGCACTCTGGCCCGTCCCAGGCGTACCATCATCCTCCGTCCACGATCTGCAACTACGCCTCGACTGTCAACCCGGAGGCACTATTCTTCTAAAGGCTCGGCCAATCCATCCCATCATCCGGCGTGGGTCCGGCAATCATCTGCCATCCTTGCTGCTGCGGCCATCGTCGCAATGGTCTACAGCACGACACGTCTGAACGAGGCCGCAGCAGAAGCCCCGGCGACGGACCCTCCCGAGATCAAGGTTGAGAAGTCGAGGAAGAGAAAGGGACTTTCGAAAGAGGAGAATCGAGACCTGATCAGCTCACAGCACTTGCAAGTCAAGAAGAGTTGGGAAAATCCCGGGGTGTACGCATGGGGATCCAATACGGGGAAGGTGGTGGCTCCAGAATCAGACGAGCCATATATCAAGACGCCGAGAAGGATTCCGTTCTTCGACAACCACCTGCTCCGAGACTTAAAACTCGACAGAAACTTCGGCGCGGCTATATTAGAGAACGGAGATTTGGTTCAATGGGGAAAAGCGTACTCGGAGGACACTTCCCAACCGACCGTCACATTAAAGGGCAAAGATCTCAAATCAATCGCAATCTCGAGGGACCGGATAATTGGCCTGGCAAAGAATGGGAACGTCTACTCTATCCCTGTGTCTAAAGCCGACCAAGAAAATGGACCTAAGCCAAGAGAGTCCTCATGGCTGCCGCTCTGGAGCTCCACGTCTCCGATCAGCTATAGGAAATTGACTCCGCAAAACTTGGGCATAGGCGAGAAGGTCACAGCCATCAGTGGTGGCTTGGAGCACGTGTTGTTGCTTACCAGCGCCGGTCGTGTGTTTTCTGCTGCCTCCAGCACCGAGGAGTATCCAAGTCGTGGCCAACTGGGTGTCCCCGGTCTGACCTGGCTTACCCGGCCTGCCGGATCCTACGACATGTGTCATGAACTGACTACACTCAAGGGCTTCAATATCGAGAAAGTTGCCACTGGAGACACACATTCGTTGATCCTGGACAAAGAAGGGAGAGTGTTTGCCTTTGGCGACAACTTATTCGGCCAGCTCGGGTTCGAGTTCAACCCAGAAGCGCCATATGTCGACATGCCGTCCTTACTCCCCATCAACAAGCTCTATCAGGGCACAAACATGGTGCCCAAAGTGACGGGCATATCCGCTGGTGGTCAGAATAGCTTTTTCACAATTGACGCTACACGAGTTCTCGGCCCGGCTGAAGATCCATCTGATGTTCGTACTTTGGGCCGTGTGACAGCGGATACTTGGGCTTGTGGACAGGGCATCAAGGGCTCTCTTGGAAATGGCAGATGGACTCATGTCCAGGACTCGCTTACCAAGATTCCCGGCCTCAGTGGCCTTTTTGAGTATGACGAGAAGAAGAAGGCGGTCGTCCCAATTCGTCTGGCTCGCATGTCGATTGGCTCTACGCACGCCTCCGCTGTCATGGATAATGTCACACATCTGGACGCAAACGAAAAGAGCTCCGAGGACGACACAAACTGGGGTGCGGACGTGCTATGGTGGGGCGGTAACGAATTTTATCAGCTTGGAACTGGGAAGAGGAACAATGTTTCCACTCCTCAGTATATCCGACCATTGGACATGGCATCGGAAATTGCGGCGGGCAGAAAAGAACAGCATCGTCTCCACCTGACGCCCAAGCATACGATCAAAGTCAACGGACGAAAGGTCGATGTCGAGCAGAGGGTTGAATGTGGAAGGAATGTCACTGCCATTTACTCAGCGGTATAATTGGGGTTCAAGCCGTTGAAACGTGGCTGTGGGTGACTAGCTATTCCTCAACAGCAGACCGATTGCTGGCATGGCTTTGTGAGGATTTGTCGTCGACCTTCTCTGCTGCAAGCAGTAACATTCCCCGTCGCATTTTTTACGCAGCACTTTTCCCCTGAAGTTTGCAAGGTGGCCTCTGAATATACAGTGAGTGCTCTGGCAGGACACATCCGCCATTCAAGCTCACCTGCGACTCCACAACCTCCACCCCCACCCTGAGTGAAGGTACCTCTTGTCGATATGGTGGTGAAGTTTCTTTCCTCATAGGGAAGCATCAGGAACGGGATTCGATGATTATCAATCCCGAACAGACAGTCACCGAAGGACTACGGTCTATTGTGGTCCTGTGACGAGCGTTGCGAGTTTCTTCTCAATGTCGTTGTTGACACAGCTTCAAGGGCCCTGCAATCATCTTCACCATATCATACACTCACCATTTATTAGTCAAATGTTCAGGTTTCAGCTGCCCCTGGCAAGAAGCTGAAGAAATATATGCACGAGGGCGAAGGAATGCCTGAAATCGGGCGAAGAAAAGAGTTACCTGCACGAGGGTGAAGGATTACGTACTGCACCTTTCGCCATTGATCCGCTCGACACATTTGATACAGTTGATCCGAGTGAAGTGGAATCGAAAGCGATCCTCAGCAGATGAAGTGCATCAATTCTTGATTAAGAGGGAATGTGAAGCTGAGTGACAGATCATGCCATCAGAATACCGTGAAACAGAGGCCCAGCCCCTTCATCTTCAAGTTGTCGTTACCTCTCTTTCACCAGAGTTGGATCTTGATGCAATGATCTATCACTCACTGCAGCTTCATCAATCGGTCCATGTATAACATCCATATCACGAGCTTAGGCAATCAATACGACAACACGAAATTAAATTGAATGGAATGGAAAAGTTGGAGTTTTCTTTTTCAGCCCGGCACCTTGCGTCCATTACTCAGGAAAGGGTTCACGAAGGCTTCGTTCTATTCTTCGGTGGTCATGTACCTAAACACCTTTTCTTTTCTTTGGGTCTGGTGCAACGCAAGGATGTAATACCAGGTATATTGGTATGATGGTAGCAGTTTTGAGAGGACGTGAGAGGAGATGCGAGAAAGGGGATGGTGAGGTGGCTGAATATAATGGGTGGATTCCCATATCCCACGAATATGGTCTCTACTGGTCTACGTCGATACCAGGTACTTCCAGGTAGTATAGTAATACGGGATCGTCGCTCGATGCTCTGTTGTTGTTTTTATTTGTAATGTACATTTGACTTCCACCAAATTGAAGCAAGCCGCTGCAATTTTTCTTGCGAGAATGCAAAGCGACCATGTTTGAGCAGAAATTTTTTCATCGCCAGGACGATGCCTTTCCATGCCAACCCGAGGCAATACAATACAATGCGGAGAAAATGCCCCAATACCTAGGTAGCTTAGCTGAAGAGGAAAAATTGCAAGACCCATTCTCATGGACATGACTCCGTGCCGTGCCCCGTGCGTCCTGTCCAGCATCCAGCACTCACTGGCAACATCCAGCGTCATTGACCCCAACCCTAACCCAATGCAACGTCAACCCAACCCATGGTATCGCAAGCAAGGAAAAGCAGTTAGAGATGCCTCCGTGCAGCCCGGTGCGGTTCGTACGTCTGGCAGACGATGATGTTGTTGGCTGCCCTGTTTTTAGAACCACCTTATGCATACCGAAACGGGGCTAGAAACAAGACAAAGTCAGTACAGGTCGACAAGAACCCAGGAAGGCATGGAAAAGGTGGAATAAACTAGCAACACTTACCACTTCCATATTGACCCTGTGAAACCCCAGGGGCCGGGGCCGGCATATATCCCTGCGGCGGAATCTGCGGCTGAGGCTGCTGATAGAGACCCCAACCCGTAGCAGGAGTGGCCGCGGGCTGCGGAGGAGGATGCTGATGCTGCGGAAACTGGCCGCCCACGGCGCCTGGCGGGGGAAGATGAACGTCGCGAATCAACTCGACCATTTTCGCCGGGTCGAGTCTGGCCTCGACATACGTTGACGCCTTTGGAAGAATACTTAAAAGATAGGTGATTGCAGGAGGCAGTGGAGGAGGAGGAACAACAGGGAACGATGCAGCCTGTGGTGGTGGAGGGTTGTTTTGTTGTTGTAGTACACGCTGTTGGTATTGCTGTTGATAATTTTGTTGCTGCTGTTGCTGTTGGTTCATGCGTCGGCCAGCGGCTCCCTTGAGCGGCGACTCGCCCCTCGCCATCTTTCGGGGTCCAATGCCGTCGTCAAAATCGTCGGGAAACGGCCGTTTCGGAGAGTTGGTGGTGATGGAGTCAATGACCTTTTGGATAGGCGAATTGACCGTCCCTTCGGGTCCTTCTATCGAAGGCATCACGTTGGCATTATTGTTTTGTTTGGGTTGCATCTGCCGAGGGGAGATGATCGGCTGAACATTGATGGTGTCAAAGGTAGGCGTGCTGTATCTGCTAGAGAACAGTTTGAGCGTGGGATCCTCGGGGAAATGTTTCCTCATTCTCTCCTCAAGCGCCTGGATCTGAGCCAATTCGCCATATTTGGACTCGTGGTCATGAAGAAAAGCAAAGAGCGGTTTCGCTTTGGCGGTGTGCTCGGCATCTCCGTGCGCAAGGAGTCTCTTAACCGTCGTCTCGAACACGGCTCGGGCATTGGTGACATCGTTGATTTCAAACAAATGTTTGATGTACACCAGCGGAAGATAGTCGTCCTCGGGGAAGAGCTTCATGCCGCGATCCAAGATTTTTGTTCCGGTCGGGTCCCGGTAGCACTGCCACTCGATCTGAGCGGATTCCACGTAGAAGTCGCTGGTGAGTTTGCCTCGCTTGCGCGCTTCGCCAAAAACCGTGCGGAACCCGCTTGGGCCACGGTCCGTAGGCAATCCTTTACCTTGCACTCTTCGCGTGGCACGCATCAAAGCAGTCCACACGTGTGAGATCATGCGGCTGAGTGTGGATGTTTGTGCGAGCGCGGCTTTCTTGATCTTGTCGATCTCGGAATCAAGGACTGCTTTCTTCGCCGTGACATTGGCGGCATTGATTTCGTCTTCTCCCAAACCGTTCCCATCTCCGTTCGATGCAGTTGCAAGTTCCGCCTGCTGGATGTCTTGCTTCTCCCGGGCTGCCACTTTCTTGACCAATTCGTACAGGGCGTCCAGCACCCGATCATAGGGCTCTCGTATCTTTTTCATCCTCTCTTTGGCGCCAGGGTCCGATCCTTCGTCGTTTTGAGTGGACGACTCGATGCGATCGGCGAGTTTGAAGGCAAGCAGAGGCGCCTCGGGGTTGGACGCAATGCCCTGGTTGAGCAGTTTGGTCCCGTCGCTCTCCAGACCGTTGGCAAAGCAAAACTCAACGGCATCGTACCACATCTCTGGCCAGAATTGTAGCGCCATAAGCGCTTGCTTGTACGTGAACAGAACTCGGCTTTTCCACAGTGGAAGATCCTCATCTTTGAGTACGAGATTGTCCTCCTTTTCCCAGTCAATCCACTGTTTCCAAATGCCAACCTGTTTCATGTATTCGTCGTGGCCTTCGAATCCAGGGGCTGGGGGCAATCTGGGCCTCGATGTCCGCTTGAGATCTTTTGTCAAGTTCTGCAGCTGGGTATATGCCGTCCTGGCGGTCATGTAGATGGGCGATTTTTCTTGCAGGTATTTCCGGCCCTATATGTGCATTAGTACTAACTCTCAACCTGCAAATATTGCCCACTGGATGGACACGTACATTGATTTTGCTCAAACCAGTCTCAAACGCGTCGTATTCCTTCCACAAGACGGTGGTGGCTGCCGTCGGCACCGCAATGGCTTTCTGGTATGCCTCACGTAGAGTGTCTACTTTGGCGCCATCTTGCCAGCCTGTGCCGCCAACAGTTCCTGGGCCGGACTTCAAGAAGTTGATGTAGTCTTGCCAAAGGCTACCAGAGTCCTTGTCCATACCAATGGTCTTGAGGGCGAAGCTGAAAGCGTCATTGATGATGTTGTAAGATCGCGCAACGTCTCCAGACTGCATACTGTTGCGACGACGGACATAGTTGATGTACAGAGTCCACAGCTGCACGTCCAGAACCTCAAGCAGGGATCGGTTGAAGAGTGTCTCCATAGCACGCATCCTGTCATGCTCCTCTTCCCACTTGACGTAAGCACACCATTGTTCAGCCTACAGTTTCTGTTAGCTCGCGTACATACAAGACTGATTGCAACACATACAGCATATGGAAAGACTGAGAGATACTGCTCATACACTCGGCGGACTTCATCTTGCTTGTTTCGACTCTTGAATTCTTGGATCAGTTCGAGATACGCATCGATATCGCCACGGGGATCTTCTTTGATGCGATCTTCCAAGATACCCACCACGTCATGAGCGAGTCGAGACTTGGGCAAGCCCGGAGCAATAGCTCCATTCACAGGAGAGTGGGACAGATGATCAGGCCGAGGTGGAACAACATCAGAAGCAGTTTGAGCAGCAGGTGTAGCAGTTGCAGTACGTGTCGGTGCATCAGCATCAGCATCAACACCCACACCGGCGGCAGCAGCGGGAAGAGTGGAAGAAGAAATGTCAGCGGGACTACCAGTGGCCTGGACAGGAGCAGGAGTGTTTCCATTTTCTTGTTCTGGTGACTGGGGAGTTCTATCAAGCGCATTTGCAGGGGGTGGTGTAGAGACATCGAAATCCAAGCCGACGGCCGGATCATAGACATCGCCCTCATCATTTCCATCCGGGCTGCCTTCATCTTCTTCGGGGTCATCATCAACTTCAAAGCCGCCGACGATCCGTGGTTTTGCTTGCGCAGGCGTCGAGGTGGATGACTGCGTCGAATTCGTCGTGGCCGCTGCCTGCGTGACAGCTTTCGCTGGGGCTGGCTGGTCGTTCGACCGCGGCGGAGACTGTACTGTGTCCTGAGGTTGTTCCGCGAAGTCGGCCTCTATTCCAGCGTCATGTAACGGCGGCGTCGCATGATCAAGTGAGGTAACGTCATTGGTGTTGTTTGTTTCGACCACCGCAGAAGGGTCAGTCAGTTGGGGCTCTGGCGTCGGCGCTGAAGTTAAATCGGCCGGCGGCGAGTAACCACCGCTCTCTGGGCTCGCCATTTCAGAATCTGCACCGGAAACGACTTGAAAAGAAAAGTATTAGGAAAATGTCAAGAGGTAAAAGGAGGAGGAGATCGTGCTCTGGTCGAAGTCAGTGCCTGCTTGTCTGCTCGTCTTGTCTGTCTTCAACTGCGAACTATGTTCCAGATCTAGTAGACTAAAAGGGTGCAGGTAGTTGAGAACAAGATGCGCAGAGGAGATTCACGTCATATTGACAAGCAGTGAATAAGAGGGAGACCGAGCACAATAGCAAACAGCTGGCGGTGGAGGTGAAATCGTGTGTTGTAGTGGTGATTGTGATTGTCTGAAAGCGGGCAAAAGATGAACAAGGATTTGATGAATGAAGTTGAAGCGTAACAAACGCAGGTTCGCTGAATAGCATTATACTACACCGTAGGATCCTATTTAGCGCTACGGACATGCAAGTAAACGAACACGTAGTTAGCTGACATAAGAGCTGACATACTGTTTAAGTGGGCAATCCACTTCATTTCACTCCGACCGAACGGAACCTGAATTGGGAGCCTAAACGCGACACACGCGCCGCGGCGTGTTGAAACCACTTTCGCATTTCGCATTTATTATTGTCGTGTCTTTTAGACCTGACAGCACAGCGACATTGTTTCTATTCACCAACCACACACACCGTCTTCCTTGTCTGCATCCTGCGTCTTCAACTCTCTATCGATCTCTCAGAAACGCTCACAACCTTCCTGCATAGCAAGCATACCTCAAACTTCTTCATCCTCTCGTCGTCGGCGCGTCGATCATCCCTCAATCAGTCGTCGCAGTCGACCGCAACAATGTCAGTTGTCTCCCTCCTTGGGGTCAAGGTCCTCAATAACCCGGCACCGTTCACCGCGCCCTACGAATTCGAAATCACTTTTGAATGCCTTGAGCAGTTGCGAGAAGGTAAGTAACAAATACCCCACTGCCGGCTTTGAGATAGACAATAGGCAACCCAAACCCAATCCGCCCTGCGCACTATGATAAACCCATTGTTTGTCCATTCTTCATGTCCCACTGCATGGCTAACCAGATCTCTTCCCCCAGACCTCGAATGGAAACTAACCTACGTCGGCTCCGCCACATCCGCCGAACACGACCAAGAACTCGACTCTCTCCTCGTCGGCCCCATCCCCATCGGCGTGAACAAATTCATCTTCGAAGCCGACCCGCCGGATCTATCTCGTCTGCCGCCCTCCGAAATCTTGGGTGTCACAGTGATTCTCCTGACATGCTCCTACGATGGTCGCGAGTTCGTCCGAGTCGGCTACTACGTCAACAACGAGTACGACAGTGAAGAATTGAACGCCGATCCGCCCGCGAAGCCCATGTTTGAACGGATCAAGCGGAATGTGCTTGCTGAGAAGCCCAGAGTTACGCGATTCGCTATCAAATGGTACAGCACTCACACCCTAGTCATTCCATACTCCTACGTGCATGTCCACTAATCTCTCCTACAGGGACTCCGAAGAATCCGCCCCGGCAGAATACCCACCGGAACAACCCGAAGCCGACACCCTCGACGACGACGGCACGGCCTACGGCGCAGAAGAGGCGGAGATGCAGGAAGCCCTCGAGAAAGAACTCGAAGAGGTCGAAAAGGCCGCAGCTACAACCAAGAAAACTTCGGCAACAAACGCTGGCGACGGTGACCACGAAATGACAGAGGAAGACGCCACCAAAGCAACCGTCAACCTCGACGACGTCAAAGAGGAAGATGTTGACGAAGACGATGCCAGTGAGGCCGGAAGCGAAGATCTCGAGGAAGAGAGCAGCGAGAGTGAGGACGAGGATGACGACGAAGAGGGTGCTGAGGGCGAGGCCGAGGGTGAAGATGCCGAGATGGCTGATGGTGATGAAAAACCGGCTGCCAACGGAGCGGTGTCCAACGGCGAACAAAAGTCCACCGGAGCCCAGGCCGAGGTTCTGGCTCAATAGAGAATGAAACTCTCTCCCTCTACTCGTTGGTCAAAGCAAGGCGTCAGGAGTCAATTGGATGGGCTTATTGTGGAACGAGGTCATGGCAATGCAACGAGATAGCACGAGCGAAGAGCATGCAGCGAACCAACTCTCACATTGGATGCGGTGCCGGCGCAACGTTGTGCTTGCCTTGGGGATTTGTAGAATACAACTGAAGACACAGATACCGTACCTCAGCACGACCAGCCTCTCTGTGGTACCTTTTCTACGAACAGGAACAAAGCTTGATTAAATGCATTTCATGTCTATCGGAGCTAAACTAAAAGAAATACCATCCAGCCGGCTGATGTGTGTGATAGCAAATGCCGTAGGATGGTTGACAATCGATGAGCTGGCTCACTAAGCCACCCGGGTCTCCAGCATGGATGAGCCGCAGATCGAAAGTACTTTTTTTTTTGTGACTTGGGTATATTGAACGCAGCAAACGCAGGAATTCAATACCGTACACTGATGGTGGAGAAAAATGGCCCATTGGAATAGGACCTCGCCTTTTCATTCGAAGCAGAGACTTCAACTGCTGAAAGTCAGGGTCCGGAATTTGGGCTGTACTCGGACACGAAGTGAAAGGAAACCGGTGATGAGCTGTCATAGTGACCACCAGATTGTGGCACTACAGCGTTTCAGTTGGAAGACCGCTCAAATGTACCACATGGCGAACTTGATTTGGGTTCCGTTGAAGAGAGGCATGAGCTTCTTGGTTTCAGTATCAGACGGCTGTTCGGTCTTGACAGGGGCTTTGGCCTTGTACCCTGCTCCGCCCTGAGGACCTTGGGTCGCTGTGATATCCTCATGAGCCTTGGCACGGTTGGAAGCAAGGTGGGCATAGTAAACTGCCGGATGCAGGGAGACAGAGGTGGTCGAGCGCATGTACTGGTAACAGTGCTCGTAGATCATGTTCTGCAAAGTCTCTGGGCGATGGTTGGCGTCATCATAGAGGACAGTGTAATGGACCGGCCGAGAAGTTCCCTGAAGGGCGATATGAGAGTACAGGAAAAAGTCCCATTCGTTCGGCATAGTCACATCTCGTTCAATCAGACAACCAGGAAGTGGGTTACCCTTGTTATCTGCACCAGCGCCAGTTGGGAATGCACGAACGTGATGGCGCTTCGATGCGATAATCACCGTGATCTTTCCCTCCCACTTCTTCTGAGGGTGGAAAGAGTTGAGGACAGACTTGATATTTGGAACTTCCTGATTGAGCACATGGAGAAATTGCCCTTCGGAGACCCCGTCTCGCATGTAATAGACTTGTTGCGGAAGTCTATTACCTCCAACCTGCGGAATCCAGTTCTGGATCAGAGGTCTTAACATATCGTGGAAGTTGGCTGCAGAAATCATCTCCACACGGTGACCGTTCGTCTGACAGGCAGCAGCGTAACGGCCTCCATGGCGATCATATGAGACTGTGAGAGCAGCCATGGACGCCTGTGGACTTCCGGGAGATGCATGAGAGACATCAGCACCAATGATCATGGTCGGAGCGCTGAACGACTTGAAGCCACTGGTGGCATGAGGCACGACCTGAGAAGTGCAACCGCCCAACTTGGCATTGACCTTCATCAGCACGTTGGAGTAGTATTGAGGATTGCCTTTCAAGACTTGCGGGATTTGCATCACTTGGGAGACGACGCCGTAGCGACAGTCGCAAGATTTCTTGATGCGGAGATAGTGGAAGGCCTGTCTATCCTGGACCAAGAAGACGAGAAGTTGTGGCTTGCGGTTATAGAAGTTGCCGCACTCTTGATGGAACTCCTCGACTGCTTTACCGGCGTCCTTGTTGAGCAGCTTGATGTACGGTGGTTTGTTGCTGACCCGTCCACCGTGATTACGGTATGCACGGGCGAAGTCGAGGCAGAATTTGTCAATCGCAGACTTGTCGGGCCTGCTTCTTCCAGGAAACATTCCCACACCCCAGGCAACAAGTTCCTCCACATTGCCGGTAAGGAATTTCTTGCCCTTGAGATCCCAGCGACCTCGGGTACCAGGTGACTCGACAACATTGTTACCAAATTTGATGCTTGGTGGAGGCAAGATACGAGCATTGGTCCGGATAGGCTCATTCTCGACACGCAAGCCGTAGTTGACCAGGTATTTGTCGTTGTTCCAATCTAGCCATGACTTGCCCTCATTGATAGCCTTAAGGCGAACTGCAGGAGGAGAGACCGCAAACTTGATCATGTTTGCAGTTTGGAACTCGTCCAGTTTGGCCGGGAAACGCTGACCATTAGGGATGTGCAACAACTCCATGGGGTACTTGACTCCTTTCTTCGTCATCTCAACCAAAGGAAGCTTGGGATACTGGAGTGCGGTGTTGTACTTGCGCTTGAAGTACTGGGCAATCGTCACCATTTCCCCTGTAGGTTTCTTGGTCTGAGGATCCCTCCATTCGATCGTCTCCTCATTGCAATTGTTGATGTCGAACCGATAGATCTTCCATTCTTTTCCTGCCAATGGATTGCCCGGGTACTTCGCATACACAATCAATCCCTTGAAGTCCTTTTCGATAGCCTTATGTCCAACGCTTGGGGACTTCTGGCCGTTGTCTTCTCGTTTTGGTTCCATCTGCTTGACGATTGCACTGGGGTCCGAGATCTCACGATTCTTGGCGATGATGGCACCGATAAGGCTGGCCGGCTTCCAGAAGCAGGTATTGGCGACGTCCAGATTGATGATCAGCTTCTTGCCTTCAGCAAGCCGCATGGATTGGTAGATGCCACGCCAGACTTCGATACCACCCCCAAGATCTGATCGCTCGCCATCGCGCTTGAAGATCGAACGACGAACCGAAAGAAACTCGTCCGAAACCGACGGCCCCTCACGCAAGAGGTGATCCATGAAGTTGATGGCCTCGGCAACTGGGATACCGAACTGGATTGTGCCATTGAGGTATTGCTGAACGACATTGATGTCAAGAGTTCGTGTCTTCTTGATATGCAGTCGGAACGTATTCTTGGCTCCTCGAGATGGTCGCCCATCCTGCGAGTCCAGATCAACCATGAGGCGGAGTCCTTCGCCATGATCGATGAGCGACCAAGCTAGACGGTTGCCATCGTAGATCATGGGAGCACCAGTCGCATCTTTACGAGTCTTGGAAGCCCAGACCTTGCGCTGCACAGCACGCTTCTCGCTGCCATCCCCGATGATGACGTCGTACTGGTAGACATTGACGTTTGGATACTGGGTCACAGTGTAGGCATTGACGGCAAGCTGGACGGGTTTGCCAGAGTTGTTGAAAGCCGGTCGCTTCTTGAACTGTGTTGGAAGTGTGTACTTTTCATCGTCAGTACCCGGTGCAGAAATGTTGCGTATGTAAGGGATCAGATTGCTCGCGTGGGTAGACATGTTGATGACAACTTATGAAAGATGTAGGTGGAAGATGTAGATGGAAGATGGAGGTGGAGGATGCAGGGGGCAATGAGACAGATTTTGAAGGGGGGAAAAGCAGGTATAAATACTTTCAGAGGCAGCAGGGACATGGTGAATGGAATTAGTGTCAAGCACATATTGGGGAATCTCAGACATAAAAAGGCGTGAGAGGATGCTTCAAGGTATGAGCTTGAAACAGGGATTGAAGTCGGGGATGTATGCTGCATCGAGCAGTACCTTCATCAACCAGGGAATGCATGTAAAACATATGTAGAGTCGGTCAAGACAACTCAGAACATGGCAAGGGCTGTGGCTTCCAATCGTGGATATTGAAGGGCAACAAATTCAATGGGGCAGAGCGGAGCAGTATCATATTTACTGCCAGCTTCAGCATGGAATGCACTTACCAGTTGGTCAATGTTGTAAAACGATGCTGGCAAGTCAACGTTTCGGAGTGCGTCGGTGTATCGTGACGGTTCATCTCGAGCAGGGTCACCTTGCGTCACCGGCACTGAAGGACCTGCGGTCTGGGCCGGTGGACCTCCAGATTGGCTGCTGCGACGACTGCCAGCTTGGGAACCTTGAGGAGCACTTCCAGAACCGTGTGGAGGGCCGACAGATGGATTGGAAGGTCCTCGACTCTGAGAGCCGATACCTGATCCAGTGCCTCTTGATGCAGGGCCATCGAACCCACCGCCCGGAGCCTGGAGTCTGTCACCACGACGAGATGACGTTTCGGACGCTTGACCTCTAGTCGCACGGCCTGCGCCACGACGACGTGCGGCACCAGACATCTTGTGTCAGAGGGAAGACTGAGAAGACGGGCACGAGTTAGTACAAGATCCAGAAGGAGGAAAGATGGGCAATTGGCAGACAATCTGAAGACAGAGATGACGAGAGATCGGTAGAAATGGAACTTTGCAGTGAGAGCGATGTGCAAAACTTGAAGCTTGGGAGTAGGCACTGCAGAATTGGGTTCAGGTAAGGTTGATTGGGAAGAAGGAGCGGATACCAATACAGCAGGCACTGCAGGAGGCTGGAGCCTGGGTCAGGGATCTCCTCTGGCGGATAGTGAGTGGGGCAAGAGTAAGGATATGAGAGAGGTTTGAAGCAAGAGGAAGAAGGTGCAGGCAGAGGGAGACAGAAAGGGCGTTGTGTAGTGTTGTTTGTTTGGGGAGTGAAGCAGTTGAGGCGAGTTGCGCAGGGCAGAATGCGCAGACAGGTGCGAGTTGAAGTGCGGATTCAAACTGCGCAGAGAGAATCTTGATCCTCCGCTGAACTGGCCACCAAAATAAAGATCAACTTACCTTGACGGCTGACAAGTTGATGGGGAATCTGCAGTTAAATGAATCAGGCTGAACGGAGCAAGGCCCAAGAGGATGGAGGCACCACAAAGGTGTCCACAAAGCCTCTCGAGGAAGGCAGGAAGTTGATTCTGGCTGTTGAGAGCAGGACCATCCAGCAGCAAGGGAGAGACAAGGAGAGAGCGAATTGTTGAAGAGAAAGAAGGGTGGAAGGAGAGAAGAGAGGAAAGGAGAAGAGGGTGTTGTTTGGTAGAGAAGAAGGGGATATTTGTAGTGGTTGATGTTGGCGCTGCCAGTGACAGGCGGCGTCACGTGTCACGATTTTGTATGCGTTGACAGCGTGATAATGAATGCGTGAGGCGCGTGTGATCCTGCTTTACTGCTACAAGTGATCTTTCAGGTGAAGTTTGCGTGATGTTTGTCTGTCTGAAGTGTTATTCAACTCAAACGACACTGGCATGTGCGTTCCTGGCGCAGATCAAAGAAGCCATGAGAGACCGCTGAGACTGGTGAGAACTACCGTCTATCAGAGTACTGGTCCTCCTCCCACCCTCTGATCTCTACCTGGCCCATGTTTGCCAGTGGATCTATTCTAAGCATATCAACCGGCCTGGACAAAGAGCCAGGTGGCACGGCGGCTACACTGCCATGCTTCCGAGCTGACTCCAGCGTTGATGTCCCGCTGCAGCGAAAGCAGCTAAAGGGCGGTCTTCAAAGCCACGATTGGCGGACAGCGGCCACATGCAGAGGTGACCAGGATACCTGGCTGGAATTATTACAATGAGGGGAATGCAACAGCCTCCGACAAGCCACCAGTCTCAGTGTCATGGTGTTGGAATCTGGCCCAGCAACGTTCTTCGCAAAGGTGGTGTTCGAGCTTTAGCTGCGATCTTGAGGAACCTGCGAAACCAGGCCACTAGGCGTCAAGTCCAGCTCTCAGCTACTAACAGATGCTTCTGTCAGATGTTTCCTTGCTTGTTGACTTTACAGGGCGCCGTTAAAACCAACGGCATGATGAATAAGAATGATATGCTCGAGATTTGGGACTGAAATCGACCACTGGATATCGAATTCCCACCAAACACATCGGGTTATGGTAACAGCTATACAAGATCTGCACGACGATGTTATTGAAAACATAGGTACGGTTCGGCACGAGACCGTCGATTACTGAAGGTTGTTGGCCGGTACCATATATTCCAAAAGTCTATAACTTGCTGCAGGGGCCCACTTTCTCACCCAGCCGACCGGTACAAGGGCGGGATCTACGAAACAAACCTACAGCGGACGACGAACGGTATCTATTCGGCTTCGATTTCCCATTAAACGTGTTCCCGAACTCATCACCAAAGTGAAAGTCAAACCGTGGCTCAGACTGGCTTTCTCGGCAAGATGGGGGGAAAGGCCTGAAAGAACAACGTTCTGCTGAATAAGAAACACATTGCAGATGGCTCGAGGCAGTTCTCAGAAGCGGCCGTATCAGGAGGATGCGACTATGACATACAACACCGATCTGCCGACATTACCATTCCCCTTGCTCTCGCGTGACAGCCGAGTACCCGGCATCATTATGGCTAGACAAATTCAGTGACAAACACCCGACGTTCTCAGGTGCCACACCGCATTTCATCCTTCAAGAACGGTCATACAGGCGGCATCGTCGCCGCCGCCCTATCGCCGAGGAACTGCGGGACTGGCGGGGCGATCGGCCAATATGCCCACCGTCAGAAGGCCATGCCTCTTGAGTGCGAGAAGTGAGTAACTTTTTTCCAGGCCAACTGCTGCTTCCGTGCATTTTCTCGGAAGACTGCAGGAATGCACACGACCAACTGCGCAGATGACACAAGCAAACCGCACGTACACTGCGAGCACCTACCTACCTAGCTTTCCCTCCCGATTTCTGGAATCGCGTTCGAAACGAGCCGCCCGAGGAAAAACCAGGTTGGTTATGTCAAACTTACGATGGCAAACACCTTGGCAACGGAGTATGATATACCTTTGGGTATACGGGATTGGAAACCCCCAGTAATGCTTTAGAACCACTCTCGAATCTGTGATCACATGCACAAATGGGCAAGGAATTGGACAGGACCCGGGCGGTCTGAAATCAACGGACAGGAAGAGGGACACTGCCAACAGTAGAGAGATTCACATAGAATGATCAGAACAGAAGAGAAAAGGGAAGGAAGTGTGACATATCAGCAGGGCACTCCTGCAGAATTGTTAAATAACTCCAAACTCCGTACCATAGAGTATCCCTGTAACACATATTCGAGCATCCGTCGGACATCAATGTGGTATGTCAAGGACCTTGGAGTTCGACCACCAAACCACCTCCTGGAGCCAGCTCGGCCAGCCTCTAACCCCAGCCGCGAGTCCAAGGCGGGCCGGAATGATCAACTGGCCGCTCTCGCCTTTGAGGACTTGTGAAACCACCGCTTCAGCCACCGTCTCCGGTTCCAGGGTAAACTCTTTCCACTTTCCAGCGTTCAACAGAGGTTGAAGAAGTGGCGTTCTGATCCACCACGGATGGACACACCTGCAGACTCATCAGTGCATGTTCGTCTGAAATTCTGGAAGAAGTGACAATAAACTCACGTAGTTCGAACTTTGTTCGCCCCATACCTGCTCTTCAATTCCTGAGCCAAACCTTCGTGAAGAGCCAATGCTGCCACTTTCGTCGCGGAGTAGCTGACATTCCCCGAGATCGTCACGAAACTGGCCATGCTTGCAATCGTCACCACATGGCCGTGATTGCGAGCGATCATATGCGGGAGGAATTCCTTGATCAGCGCGAAATGCGAAACAACATTCACTTGGAATGTCTGCTGCAGTACTTCGTGCGATTCCTCGAGAATCGTTTTCCAGGGCCCAACCCCGGCATTATTGATCAAAACTGTCGGGTCGCCCACTTCTTCACGGATCCTGCGCCCGACCTCTTGGACTTCCTTGGGCGAAGTCACGTCCAGCTTGTAGAAGAAGATGTTGGCGCGAGCAGGCATTTGCGGAGGGCTCAGGTCGAGAATGACCACTTTGATGCCACGGTCGGCCAGAAGCCGCACCATCTCCTTTCCGATCCCACTACTACCGCCGGTGATGGCCACGATCTCCTTTCGCCAGTCCCACGTCCTATCAGTCACGAAATTGTTGACGGCCTTACGACTGAGCCATCTGTTCAGTCTGTACACGAGTCCGGCGGCCAATAGAACCTTGAGCGCTAGCTTGAATCTCGGCAGTGCTACTGTGCTTCTGGTAAATATTGACAGGTATTTCTGCGTTTCTTCGGGCTTCTTCAGGCTTGCCAGGAGAAGACCTGCGGTAACCAGTGGTTGCAATAGTATACCTTGAACTGGTCGGAAGAGGTATTCGAGCGTGATGCCCTCCCGGGGAGGAGCGAAGACCGACATTTTTGAGCAAGAACAAGAGCAAGGTGAGTATTTGAAAGAGAGGGAGGATAACAACGGAGAATATGAGCTTTGGGGCCTATCCTAAGGACAGTACAACCTTTAAGATCCCGAGACTCTGGCCTGCTTTAGTGTCGAGCAGTCGAAGCCAGGCAGAAGTACTAGTAGTTCAGCAGTATCACCACCAACCGTCAATTCGAGACCTAGGAGGGAGTCTAACATACGACACACCCAGCCAGAATACGACCAGCCTGTCTTAAATCTGGGGTTGTCCTACCATTTCCCCAGACTTGCGTACGTGATACAGTACCTCGGTCTGGGGACAGTGCCAATGATCGACCGGGGCTGGGTACGAAATACGAGGAGGAAGCGCAGCCTAACTGCGGCTTGTCGTAGCATGACAGCGGTGTCGTAAGGTTTGTTTGAGCCGGCGTATCACACCTGCGCTGGGAATGTGCAAGTTGCTTTCATCGAGATACCTTAAGGTAGACAAGTAGTGTAATACATCTGGATTGCTTGAACAGAGGTGTTTAGCGAACGAGGTTTCTGGTACGCGTAGCATGTGGTTGTAACCCTCTTAACCGTGCACTCCGTCAGCACTCGTCGGTTGTTCCCCCCACCGACGAGTGCTGACGGAGTGCACGGTTACGGCCGATACGGAGCATGCACCCTCCACTGCCATGGACGCGGAATCAGGCTGAAATCTCGAAATACACTAGTCGATTTCAGGTCAAGCGGTTTCTGCCCGTGACTCGCGGCGAAACGCAACCAAACGGCGTCAACGAGGCTGCGCTGCGGAACTGCGACACTCAGCTTCTGGTTGACGCCGCTCATTCTGCAGAGCTTGGTAGAGCGTGCCTTATCCTGTTATCCTGAGCTACCTCGTGACGATAGCATCTTCACCGGCCGAGGGATCTGGAGCGGACGCCATGGGGCGGACGATCGATTCCGACGTGCACGCGGCGTTTGTCGAGTTCAAGGCCAAAGGTAAGTTGGTTGTATTGTCATCGCCAGTACTGTACAGTCCTGCGTCCATACCTACTAGTATTGACTGTACTTGGTATTTACCATTTACACAAGCTGACGGCTCCACCATGATATAGAGGACGACAAGTGTATGTCGGTGCAATGTATCTATTGTCAACAGATCCGAGCAAAGAACACGTCGCGCCAGAAGCAACACCTGCTCGAATGTCCTGGCCTGCAGAACCATCCCAATGCCCCTCGACCCTCACAATCCTCCGCCGCCGGCGACGGCAGTGTCACTGGCATCACAGGCGCGCCCAACGGCTTCGGCACTCCATCCAACACCTTACAACAACATAACTCGAATGGTGCTGGTGCTCCCATCACAAATGGCATTGTTCCCGCCTCACATACCACGCCCATGCAGGGCATTGGGACCGGCCCCTCGCAGGCGGCACAATCAGTAACAAGTACTCCCGTCCAACAACGGTCTACTCCCAAACCACACAAGACGCCCAAGACTACTCCGGGCTCAAACCTCCCGGCACCGCCTCTTGACGATGTGCACGCCGCGTTCGTCGAGTTCCGGGCAAAAGAGGAGGACAAGTGTCTATCAGTACAATGTATCTACTGCAACCAGATCAGGGCCAAGAACACGTCGCGACAACGGCAGCATCTTATGGAATGCGCCACCTACCAGAATGTCATGAAGGAGTCGATTCCGGCAAACAATCTTCTCCACCGGTTCGACGAGGGCGAGATTGCCCGGTCTCTGCAATTGCCCACTCCGACCCTGGAACTGGATTTTCGCATCAGCATCAAGCTCAACCCCAAGATTCAAGTCGGTGCTGGCCTGTACGGTCATCGTGACTGGGTTAGTATTGTCGGAGGACAATGGGCAGGCAGATGGGGCAAGGGAATCATCATTGTCAGTCACCCTCATACTCTTTGTACTCATGATGAAAAGTCCTATGCTAACCTTTCCTGTATAGCCCGGTGGACAAGACAAACAACTAGTAATCAAAGACCTTGCCACGCGCATCGACGCCGACTATCTGCTGCAAACCAACGACGATCCGCCGGCCTTCATCAAAGCAAAGTCGAGGGGATGGCGCACGGGCCCTAAGGATGTCCTTGAGCGTCTCAACGATGCCTCTGTCGCAGATACTTTGCCCGCGAACCAATATAAGTTTCGGATTTCTGTCGAATTGGAAACGGGAGACGAGAGATATGCCTTTCTCAACACTTGCTTGTGGATGGGAAGCGGATGTCGCAGGGCCAGCGAGAGTGAGTTTCATCGATTACCCTAAATTCAAGTGGGTTTACTAATACTTCACGTCTAGTCATCTACGATGCATATCGAGTGGGCTAAGTTTTGTTGTCTTTCGCGTGGTCCATGTCAACGTTGGAAAAGGACCGACATTGGTTTTCAACTGAACGAACAAGAGAAGATGGCACGATGTTTCATGTGATTCACGAGCAGCGTATCCCGGACAGGATACCAGCGGACCTTTTGTTGCTTTCTGCTGTTGCGTTTTGTTTTTTTTTTTTTTCGTGTTTTTCTTCCAGGGGTTCAACAGCTATCATGGAAGTGTGGATGATCAGGATACCCGCTACATCGTTGGGTTGACAGTCTCACAGCTCTGCTTGGTGTCCGACTGGTTATCTGATTGATTAGGTATGATGATGACAATGACGCTTGTCTGCTGTCTGTGAGGCAGCTGAGCTGTGCGTGGATGGATAAGCGGATGGGTCCGGCGAGGGGTGGGCGTTCGAAGAAGGAAAGAAGAAGCTTCATGTCATGGCTCTACGTGTTATACTCTTTTCTTTTCTTTTTTTTCCAGAGTCCAGGACGGATGATCAGATACCTAGGTATGGTTGTTTTGGAGTCTCTCAATTTTCTTGTTCATTTTCAGCGCTGCCTCGAGAGTGCGCACGCATGTGGCGGGAAGGAACAGGACCGTTGATGTCGATTGATTGATTGATTGATTGATTGATTGATTGATTAATTTGCCGCACTAGCAACTCAATGTATGATGGTGCGCTCATGCAATGAGATGGAGCTTTTCCCATCGTACTACCTACTTAGGCAGGTTTCCCAAGGTCACTCATCCAACATAATATTGGTTGTAACGAGATGACACTGTTAGTACGAACATGAGGTAGTTGAGTTTAACCATACAACTGTGCATAGCTACCACTGCAGGTACCGTGCGTTCAAGTTGCCCACTGCAGCGAAGAGATTAGATCTTGGTATATATTTTCGGGTCCAGGTTGGTTGCCCAACCTCTAGTATTTCTAGGTAAAAGTCACGTCTATCTCGAGCCCGACCGTTTCCGCTGTTTCGCATTACCACTGCTACCTAGAGTCTTCGAGTTGCCAGTAGAACGCGAGGCGCCACCACCACCACCATCATCATCGTCTGCGTCGTCGTCATCGTCCTCCTCTTCCCCTCGTTTGGATCGATTTCCACCAAGTTCCTGTTCCTGTTCGCCTTCCAAACTCCAATCGGTCTCGAGCGAGAGGACGGATTGACCCTCGAGATACCGCCATAACTGCCAGATTTCCCGGACGAGGTGTCTTGCTGGACCCGGGCCAGGGCGTACGAGAACGAGGTAGTCGTTGGAGTCGGTGCCACTATTCTTCTCTCGTTTAGATTCCGGGGAACGATGATAATGTAAAGCATTGCCGAGGGCACGCAGAGCCTCGTCTGTCTCTGTGCCTGTAGACGAATCGCCAAGGAGTAGTTGCGTCAAAGGAAACACGGGGAAGCGATAGACATTGTCGACGGTGAGCATTGGTGGAATGAGCGGGTTGGACTGCAGTATCGGCAGTGGTGGAAGCAAAGACGACCTGGTTTTGTTTCTTGTCTTGCGGGTGGTAGTATGGTTGTCTGCTGCTCGGGAATCTGCTGGGGACGAGTTCGAGCTGAGCAGGGAAGATGTGTCGCTTTCGCCGATGTGTAAGAGGATGCTCCCTGGTGGAATGGTCTGGTGACCGAGCAGGAATCCTTTACCCGACATTGCTATCGCTGGTTGTTGTTGTTGTTGTTGTTGTTGTTGAGATATATGGGGCGAAGAAGGAGAAGACGTGGTAGCAGAAATGGTTGGTGGTGTCGACTCCGGTCCCTTCGGACTTTCTGGCATGACAGAAATTGAGGATGTGGGAGATAGTAATCCGCGGATATCCTCGCTCCTGATTTTCCCGCCGGCAGGAATAGGTAGTTGTACGATTCGACGGCTTACTGCTGCTGCTAAACATGTTTGGCCGTCGCTGCCAGTTCTGCACGACTGTGACTCTGACTCTGCCAGGGCAGTGAGACACAGCGACACGCGTTTGCGCATGATCCGGGCCAGCCGGACGTGTATGTCAGCTTGCCACTGCAGCTCTTTCAGGTTGATCGGGAGGCCGTTCAACCCTTTAGGGTCAGAGTCGTTTGAGATACCCATGGCGGAATTGACCTCGCTTTTATGGCGGATGTAATGCTGGGCGGCCATGAGTGGCTCTTTAGACTCGAAAGGAATGAGCTTTTGAACTTCGTTAATCCTTGTGGTTCGTTTTTGCGGATTGTTCTTGTGGCCTTTGGTCAAGTTGAGCGTCATAAGACGGAACAGGCTGATGTTACTGATTATGCGAAGCAACACATTTGATTTTCGTCCCGGGGCTGACGGTGATGGATGTGCGTGTGATTTGTCCTGGTCAGTGCAAGACAACTCAAGCGCACTATTATTATCCTCGTTCGAGGAGTTGCGGGAGATTGTTGTCTCCATCTCCCTTTCTCGCCTTTCTCTAGCAGCTCGTTTGTCGTCCCGAACACGCCTCCAATCGTCCTTGTATAGCTCACGGGCCATCTGCTCTTGAAGGGTGTCCAAGTCGGCCAGCTTATCAGGTAACAGATAAGTCTTGCCGTCGACCGGACTCTTCACGTAGTCAAAGTCAACCATGAAATCTGCCGGTAGCCTCGCACCACTACCATTGCAGAACCGTAAAGGACTTGCCAGCATCTCTGCGAACGGATTGTTTTTTAATGGACCCAGTTCTTTATATGTAGCTCGCTGTTTCTGTATACCGCGTCTTCTTGCTGCCTTCTCCACCTGTTTCTGGATGGGTGAGTCGGGTATGATGGACTCTGTGTCGTCCTCCCGTACGGGTCCAACGGGTTGCGCTTTATACTTTACTTTTTCAGTGAAAGCCTTCAGCTCCGGCATCAAATCCTTCAGTCTCTGTAGTCCTTCATCGCTATATGGGTTGAAGGACCCTCGACGCCTGGATGCTTTGCGTGATCGCGGTTTGGTCGCATTTTCATTTTCAGATGCCGGCTCATGCTGCACAGATGGGGTGTCGGTTTCCGATGTTCGCGAGACGCCGAAAGGTTTGAATGAGATGTGGTGCCGACGGTCATTCCTGGCCCACACTCCAGAGCGAGGCGCTAGTGTACATTGCGGCTGCTGCGGTTCAAGGGAACTGGAAAGGTATAAAGTCTGAAAGACTTGAAGGCGCCATGTTGCGTATGAGACATGCCTGTAAGGGCATTGTAAGCTCATACCTCGCACAGGCGCATTGAAGGGTGTCCAGTGTAACAATTGTAGACTCGTCTGCCCGACGAACACCGCATGCGTTGGATTCCAACTTCGAGTTTAGGAGTGGTTCCTCAAGCTAGCCTTGGCAAGGCTGCGATCCCGCAAGGCTATAAGGCTGAAACCGCTCCGCGGGACAAGGCTGCCACGTGTAGGCCACCTCTGCTTGCTGTCCGTAGCTCCACCTCCGGAACACGCGGGATCTTAATCGACCGGGACCTTCAATGTCTTAGTAATGGCGCAACAAGACTGTTTTCGAGAGCAATGCTTCAAGTAAATAGTTAGAGAGTCGGAGGTGCTGGAAGCTGCCTGCGCAAGACGGAGCAACTCATTTCCCTATCTTGGTTTACCGCCTACCTTCTGTCCCTCATCTCCCTGTGTTAAATACGAGATCACTGGCACAATGTCAACCAGTAGCTATCTCGGCCTGTCAACCTCATCATCCCCCTTCGCAGCGCCAGCGGCCTTCCTGGCCTGGAACTGGATCTACGCCTACTGCGTATTGTCCAGCCGAACATTGAAACAAATCCGGGGCATCGACCACAACGGAAACCCGCGCCAGGATCTCAACAAATACGCCGACGCGGCGGTTCGCGAGGGAAAATTGACCCGGGCCCAGTTGGAGCAGATTCAACGCCTGGAAGCTGCCAGCGCGAATTCGATCGAGGGATATACGTTTTTCGTGGCTTCCGGTAGGTCTTCAGCTTAGCTTTCGCAATACGTTCGAGGAGTCGAGTGCAGTTTGCATAATGAACGCATGTACCTTTTGCCCTTTGGCCACGGGGAGTCTTGCGCGCACGCAGCAGCTGAGTCCGAGGGTTGGCTACTGCTGTCGTGATCAGACCACCGCAACAGTGTCAAGTTTAGAGCTGACTACATGCTGTGTACTATTCCAACAGTCCTCTTTGCCCTCGTCGCAGGTGTCCCCAGATCGACTTTGAATGCCGCCTGCACCACATACACCATTGCCCGCCTGGTCTACGGTGCGGTCTACGTTTTCATCCCCGACGATCTATATAGTCAGTTGCGCGGATTGGCCTGGTGGACAGGGAATGTTAGTTGTTTCTATTTGCTTTGGAAGGGTGCTCGGTCGTCGGCGCTTCCAATTGCATGATTGGAAGGTACCGGAGCAAAAGCACTGCGCGAGTTGTCCCGTGTAATCAGCACTGCTGCTGTTGGGTTTGGAGGACTCATGAACTTGAATGGGGTCGCAGGCGGAGTTGGAGTGTTGTTTGTCTTTATTTGCTGTTCCACTGTAGATTAAAGTGATGAATCTTCGCTCCTCCACCTGATATCTAGAGGTAGTTGTAACAGTAAGCTGTTATGAGCTCCCATTTCTTTCCAAGGTCTCGATCGTTGCACTAGCTGTCCGAGATATGCGGTGATGTGTGTTTCAGTGTGCGTGAATGGGACGGTATCTTCGACCTACCAGTGAATACTACTGTGTAGTATGGGTTTGGTCTTTACGTCCCGGTACAAGTACCCGCAGCAGAGAAATCTGGACAAAGTCGTGAAAAATGAGAAACGGTCTGCTGCGCTCTAACAGAGTCGAACGTCGCAGAAACAACATACTGAGAAGATGAGAAATAAAGGGCTTGTTATTTGCAATCTGGTGGTATTATGGACTGGCTAAGCCAGCAAGAGTCTATTACATGTACAAGAGAAAGCCAGCAACGTGAACCTGACGACACCACCGCTGTCAAACTTGGTACCCATGCAGTGTATGTCGCGCCACGAGACACGCAAGCACGAGGTCCAGCACGGTCGACAGAACTGTGCAGTCCGATTGTTGCTGGCGGGAAATTAAATCGTTGGATCTTTTTGTCTTTTTCTTGTAAAGTAGCCGCCATCGTCGTTGACGACGTTTGGCGTAGAAGGACCTTGACCTGGCCATTTGAAATTCCCGAGACCTTTTTGGAGTTCTTGATGGCTTGTTTGGTACCCAGATCCCCAGTCTTTCTTCTTTCGCCATGGATATTTGTCTGTTTCTTGTTTTGTTTTCTTTAAGCCCATTTACCCAGCAGGGCCATGAGACCGGCGCCCAACAAGACATTGACAACCATGAAGAGCAGTCTCTTGTTATCCTTTGTGCGGAGCGGGTTGAACAGGAAGTCACGGGCCAACAGCTCGACCAAACCAGTGTAGATCAAGATACCGGCGGAGAGGGCATCAAGGACACCAGAGACGACGTTGGCAGTGTACGAGTTGGGGTTGTAGGTGGTACGGACACCGAGACCGATGGCGATGGCGATTGGAGTGGTCAGACCGTAAGCGGCGCACAGCAGCCAAGGCAGCCAACTACCTGGCGCAAAAGGGATAGAAGACATTCTGGCGCCGATACCGAGACCCTCGAAGGACTGATGGAAGACCAGGACAGGATACAAAGTGCTGAACTCGTCACCCACGACGCCCAAGTTGAGACCAATGACGACAGAGTGGAAGATGACGCCGAACTCGAGGATGAGGAAGGCAGCGATCTGCTGACGGAACGAGGACTTGCGGGCTTCGGAGTCGAGCTCGTCCTCAGACCAGTCCTCCTTGAACTTCTTCTCGTACGCGGCCGCCTGGGCGACGGTAGGGACGCTTACTGAGCCGTTGCGGTGCTCGTGCGGCTGGTTGCCGTTGTGCTCGAGACGGGTCTCGGCCAGATTGGCGGCGCGGGCCTGTTGGGCAGGAGTCGGGTTGGCCAGGTCAATGTCGGGCTGACCAGTGACAGCGCCCTGGATGTCGGCCTCGCTCGCAATGCCATATTTAACCTCGACGAAGCGCTCGGCGCCAAAGTCCATGAGGAAAATCAACATGACTGACGCCAAAACAATCGCCGGACACCACGCGTAGTCAGCCCATGCGCCCGTCATGCCCACGCAGCTCGCGGGGCCGATCTCGTCGTACGCCGGATCCAGCAGATGGATAAACGCCGTCGCCACAATCACCCCGGACCCAAAGTATCGTGCAAACAGATACACGTACAGCGGGATGTGGAGGCGGGGAAATCTTTTGGCTATGACAGGGAAGAAGGTCGCGGCCGACGACACAATCAAGATCACAAACAGTGCAGAGATACGTGCTCCCATGTGTCCGTTGTAGTCGTTGCCGTTCTCCGCCATCGCGCAGATGACATCGCGCGGGTCAGCGGTCGTGAGGTCGACATTGCTGGCGTTGAAGGTCTGCGGACCAAAGTCGGACCCGGAGTCGGACATGATGGAGGCTGATAGAAGTAGTGTAATAGAGAAGGTAGGACACACAGTAGTTAGTGACCGAGTCTGTTGTTCAAGCCTGCGCCGAGCAAAAACAAGAACAACCAAGCCTTGTACCAAGAAGGTCCTTCAGATCCAGAGCGGGATGGTTGCACGACAACTCGAATATGTACCCTTTTGCACCCGCGCAGAATTTGCTGTCATCTAGCTAATGCCATGAGAAACTTAATCAGTCCATGGGCCATGAGCCATGAGCCATGCGAGCCACTCTTCACGCAGACCCCGGTCCAACGCTGCGCATTGGCTCGGTCACAGCGACGAAAACCACCCAAACCACGCCCCAGTCGATCCGTGGCCGTGGTCACCGGTGAATGTGAAAAGCAGAAAGTGAGGACCTTAAAACTCCAATCCGCAGACGAGGACCTTGAGCCCCACATGTCGTCTCAATGCGGCAACATCTCCTTTTTCCGCGCTTCTGATGGGCCAGCCTCGTCCCCTAGCGCCAGCCTACTAATATGCCCTCGCTCGCTCGTCCCTGTGCCGGGGCCGTCGCGAGGACCACCCTCTTTCATCACTACTTGCATGTCATCGATTGTTGTGATCATGATCATACTGACTGTCATCGCCAGCTCATAGAAAATGTCAGAAATATCGTATGGTTCCCACCCTTGTACCACAGTACAACGAACCGAAGCTTAGCAGACGCAAACTGTATGGTTAAATTTGCTTTAATCGTCGTTCCGCTGTTGTAATTGTCTCCTCTTGAATGGCTCCCGGGTCCAGATATGGATATCAATGTCGTCAAATAAATTGTGGTCCGCCAGACGCGGCCCCATGTAAACTGCCAACCTTACGCTGCACATGGAAACTCGGGTGCGGTTACATCGAGGACTACGACAACTGGATAGTCGGATGTTATTCGAAAAATTGATAGAACAACTACTCGTCCCAGAGTCACGTTCCGGCTATTCTTTCAATTGATGTCAACCCAGACGATCTCATTATCCCATTTATCGGGTGGGATCCTAATCCAGCATTGGCTTTGAAATCTTCGTCGGGTTGCTTCTGGTTCTTTAACCGACATATTACTCCATCCATTCACGGACTGGGCTTCCAGAAACCGTTTTCCTTCTCCGTTGATGGAGTGTACCGCTGTCCACAGTATGGTTCCATCTGCAATAATGTTGTACAAATTTTCTTTTTCTGTTTGAGGACCTCTATGAAAAAGAAAAAGGATCCGTCTCAAGCCACATCGCACCCACCTCGGCGACTACCGCAGCGTACATACAGTAGCGTGGGCGGTTGCCAGGGTGGACAACTAAGGTACAGCTAAGCGAGTGGAACTATACGATGGACCAGGGAGCGGATAATGCGGCACCTTTTGCGTCAAGGGCGCGTGGGAGAACACTTAGTAACATCAATGGTGGACGATCCTCTATTATTGCAGCCAGGCTTGCAGTCTTGGTTTGGTCGAATCCGTTGTATGTCAGTGTCAATCATTGCAGTCATATCTATCAATGGTACAGAACAACCGATGATTCTGGGTCGATCAGTTACCGGATGGACATCACTGTGATCACTTCTATTACCTGGTAGGCAGGACATCAGACTGAGTCTGTGATCACTCTCAATAATGAACAACGCAGTTGATATCGAGGGCGGCACAACATGGTCGCCATGCGATGACATGCCATTCGAACGACTCTGAGTTCTTCTAGCAGGCCAGCCTCTCTGTCATGGAAGAGTCGTCTGAGTACTGAAGAAGACAATCTTTATATCAGACCTTGGTGGACAACTTGAATGTGGGCTCACCTCTTCGAGGCAGACAGATTACTCCGATGTGAAAGAGCAATCTTAAACGAATAGCTTCTATTAGGCGCTCGATACATCCCCATCGCCGTTTCAAGTACTCGTCCGGCTACTTGGGTCTCCCTTCGGTTCTCACCTGTGTCAACTAAGTACTACGGACAAGCCGATAGCACGCGACCACAGACCGCTAGAGACTGTGGACTGACCGACGCAATTTCAATTTCTGTTAGCAACCACCGACCATAAGCGAGGGTCAGACGTGGACCTGCGACGTCTTATCCTGTGGTACCAGAAAGAAGCAGAAGAATAGAAGAGGAAAAGAATAAAGTTTGTACCCATGATCCATCTCTAATCCCACTTTTACCATTACTATTACTGTCCTCTGACCACTGGCACTGTACATCCCACAAAAAAGCACATCTAGATACTATACATCTGATCGACTCTACTATTGACAACCCTTCACAAACCATTGACGAACTGACAAAAAACAAAGCAAATTGCTCGCTTCCCTTCCCTTCCATTCCTTTCACATTCACGGTATCCCACTCTTCGTCCCTTTGGCCGCTTTAGCCGCAGCAGTCGTACTCCTCGTGGTTCTCCCTTTGGGCGCTGCTGCTGCTGCTGCTGCTGTATTCCCATTCCCCTTCCCGTTCCCATTCCCTTTTTGCGACTTACCATCAACAATAGGCACATTCTTATCATTCATTGCCCACTGCGGCGCAATCTTCTGATCAACCGCCATTTTCAACGTGACATGATCAGGCATCGCACCAACCCCTTCTCTCCAGTATCGACAAGACCCATACCCGCATTTACACCCATAATCAAAGGCCGTAAAATAGGCATCACCATAGTCGATGGTCAATTCCTCACCATAGTCAATCCGCCGCATTGCTTTCACGAGCACGACGCGCCGGTGACCTAGGTTGACGGTTTCGAAGCGCGTGTTGGGTCGACAGGAATGGTTGATGTAGCGGGTCCAATTGCCGCGGACGGCGGAATCGATAACGAAAGCTGGACGGGAGGACTGTCCTCTTTTTCCTCCCATCTTTCCTCCCAACTTGTTGCCTCCTGACGACGGACTCGAAATGACAGTGGCAGCTGTGGCCTTCGAAACTCGATTCCCAGTCTTCGCACCCTTTGCGGCTGTGGCCCTGGTCCTCCTCTTCTTCGCAGGACTATTCCCATCACTCGCGGCGGTATCACTCGCTTTCACAATCTCAACTTCCAACATATACGAGTGTCCCGCACTCCCACCATACCGCGCTATAATAGCCTGCCCGAGACCATTCTTCTTCGCTGTGTCGCGTTTAACAGGATATATCTCGCCAATATATTCCCCGAGGAACTGTTTGTCACGTATATCCTGGAGAGCGCGCACACCCGTCCCCGTGCGTTCAGTCGTCATAAGCTCAACAAGAACAGACCCCGCATACCCTGCTCTGCTGCAAAGATCAGCGAAAGAACAGTCGCACCCGGAAGATGAAACAAGAGAATATTCGCTCCCACATACTTCACAGTGATTGTCTTTATACCCGCAGAACCGCGGGTCGCCATCGGCTTCGGCCGCAAGATTCTTCCAGTCGTAGTTGGGGAGTAGAATCGTCTGGGAGATATTCAATTGGTGCGCGGCTTGGAGGTCACCTACTTTGATCGACGGTGCTGCCGTCGTCCCTGTCGCTGCGTTTCCCTGGCCATTAGCAGTCGTGAAACCGTCTCTAACCAGATCACTCGTGACAGTATACTCAATCGCACACCTCACCGCTTCCATTCTGTTGTCGAGCGGCAAAACCCAATGATACGGCGACGAGTCATCAGCATTAGGATGAAAATCTTTGAGATCAACGTTAGCATTGATGCCCAAATTGGACGCGGTGATGCCATCAGGTTTGAAATCAAAGTCTCGCAAAACAGATTTCAAAAAAACACCCAGGTCAGAGTCGGAGGCGGCCAGCGCTCTCCGCCATTCAAGGCCGCGCGTTCGGGCGAATAGTTCCAAACTGGATGAAACTGCTGGTAGCTTGATTCGATCGACTATGTTTTTCCATGTCGGGCTCTTTAGATTGGAGTCGGCCAAAGCAGCTCGAAAGGATGAAGAGTGGGAGCAGATGCTGAGAAGTAAGAGAGTTGGGAAGGATTGCAGTCGGTCTTTCAACGTGGATGTGGATGGCGGACTCACCTTGATGATGTCCATTGCGTCCTGGTACACGCGGCCCACGCGCCGGGTACTGGTGGACTTGAACTTGTCTAGGGCCTCGAGGACATCGTCTCGCTTCTTCTTGGGCAATAGCTTTAAAAAGCGAATGGTCCTGGCTTTCCGGAGGACGGAGTGGATTTCGTCCTGGTCAGCAGAGGCGATGGGGTTGATTGCTGCATCGTGGATCTCGGCGTAGATCTTGATCATTAGTCCGTCCAGTTCATTCTTGGGTTTCAAGGGGCGGAGGACTTTGGGACTGCCATTGCCAGTGGCTGTGCTTGGACCGGACGTGCGAGCCGAGGGTTGCTTTGCGATCCTGTTACTGCGCCGGAGAGGAGCAGTGGCATTGGCGTTGGCATTGGCTTTGGCCATTCTTGTGCTGCTGTGAAGATGCTTCTCTGCAAGGGGGTTTGTTCCTGGATGTTAAGGTGAGTGGTATAGAGACGAGACCATGCATGGCCACACGCGTCCGTTCGCCTGGGTATGAAGCCATTTTGAAGGACGGCGTGAGTGGCCAGAAATAGAAACAAAGACAATGGTTTGATTGCACGTTGTGTTGGAGCCCAAAATATCTTGGAGGAACAAAAGAAAACAATCGTGTTGTAGCCGTTGGTATATATGGACAAAGAAAGAGACGTGGTGTCGCCATGGCCCATTTCGGCGGACAAGGCTGGATAGCCCCTGCTGGAGTAGCGGGAGCGACACACGCATCGCTATGTAGAATCGGCAGATGAGATGAAGAAACCGAAAACATGGATGACGGTTACCATGCTCAGATGAATTCAGGCACTGTAAAACGTTGTAGCATAACTCGTTGCATCGTCCCGAAGCAGAAAACATCGGGAAAGGGTATCTCCATCGGAAATGTGTATTTATACAGTCTCAATATACCGTCTTACCTCCCAGTCGGTGACCGCTTCATCCCACAGCCGCAGCTCGTGCTCACGCGTGCCACCGTAATGCTCGACGAAATCATCTCCAAACACCTCGCGGGCGACACTACCCTTGGCCATGAACCTTGCCGTGCTCTCTCTTAGATTCTTGGGCAATCTCTCTCCTTTGTCTGTATCACTGCCTACCTCCTCACCCTTGCCCAGTGGGGGCAGCTTGATCTCCAACTTCTTTTCAATTCCCCTCCATCCCAGAGCGACAATCGTTGCAAGAACCAAAGACGGATTGCAGTCGGCGCCACATGTCCGAATCTCGAACCGCGTCGATTTGGCAGACGCTGTGGGAGGGGCAATCAGTCGAATCGATGCGGCTCGATGTTCAAGACCCCAGGACACCGTCACGGGAGCCCAGAAGTTCTCCACCAGCCGCTTGTATGAGTTCACAGTTGGCGCGATGATAGGCATGACATCCGCGAGACCATCCAGTAGCCCTGCCAGGAACTGTCGACCGAGATCTGAGACATACTCGAGGTCTTTGTAAGGCGGGTTGGGGTCCTTTTCACCTCGATAAAACAAATTCTTGCCCGACTTCTTGTCCACGATGGAACAGTGCATATGGCCGCTATTTCCCGGCAAACCTTCTTTCGGCTTGGCCATGAAAGTCGGGGTGATGCCATATTTGCTGCCCATAGCCTTGACGACATACTTGAACAAACTCGCCCTGTCGGCCATTTCGGTGACTTCGCCAAATTCCAGAGCGGCCTCGAAGACTCCCGGGCCTGATTCCGTATGCCAGCCCTCGACATTCACGCGGAACTTCTCGCATGTCTCGAAGATGCTGAAGAACCAGTCCTGATTGTGGATAGGGTCGGTCAAGGAGTAGCCGAACATCCCTTGGGTGAGGTGAGGGAGGGCATGGACGGGATTACTTTGGAGGAAAGGGGCTGTCGTGGCCGAGGAGACGTGGCTGGTCTGTACTGATGGGTCGCGAGGGGCCCGGAATGTGTAGAACTCGAACTCGGCGCCAGCCATTGCGCCGTACCCTGCCTTGTCCAGCTTCGCGACCGCCGTCCTCAGCAGACTGCGCGGACATGCACTGATGGGGTTGCCCGTGTCCGGATCGTGGAAATTGACCAGGAAGAACGGTACATCGTCCTCCCACGGTATGCGACGGTAACTGCTGAGGTCGATCTTGGCCACCAGATCCCTGTATCCATTCTCTTTATTGCTGATCTTGAGTTCGCGGAAATAGGTCATGTCATGCATATCCCAGCCGAACACCACCGAACAGAATCCAAAGCCATCTTTGGCGACAGAGAGGAACTTTTTCTTCGAGACGAGTTTGCCGCGGAGGATGCCTGCGCGGGGTGTCAGCAGGTGTATAGACAGCCTGGAACTTGGAGTGCTCACCGTCGATGTCAATGCCTGCAAGCTTGACCTTGTTGTCCTTGACCAGCGCAGTCTCGAGGTTGTCAAGCGACAGGCCTTCGCCCTCCTTGAGGATGCCAGCCATTGCTGTGGCCGAATGATCTGAAACAATGAACAAGCAAGCACAATGAACAAAGAGACTGTAAGGGAGGGAAGAGGAACGGCTGAATGGAGGCTATGAGCGGGTTTGAGCAGGACAAAGAGCGGGGAGGAAACAATCTATACTAGTAGTACAGGACAGCAGGGGCTGTGGCACATCTAGTTACCTAGTAGATAGACTGCTGGCACGCGGGCTCATCTTTCAGCTTGCCGTGGTGATGTGATAGTGTGAGCCGCAACGTTGGAGTTGCCTGTGTTTGGTGGAGTTCGAGCTGCTGCTGATAAGCTCGAGTCGCCCGGACCCTCCAAACCCTCCAAACCCCATGATTGTGGCTGCTCTAGCGCAATCTCCCCGGCCTAAAGCTCCCTAAACTGAGCCTAAATCCAAGAAGCGTCCCTAAGCCGGACTCAAGCGCATCAAACCCCCAGGCACCAAGCTAGAAGCTCCCCAAGCTCACACAAGCGCATGTAGCGTCTGGAATTCCCAGTAATAATGCACATGCATAAGTAGGCACCTAAGGCAAGGCAAGGCGTTGTCTGAATGCTCTTTTCGCACCTTGCGAATCTCAGTACAAGCACTTCTGAGCAGCCTGGACTTTAGCATTCGGCTGATTGTAACCGAGACATACGGACAAAGGCACCTTTGCAATGTATCTAGGTTCCAATGTATCCAGCCGAGGCTGATCGGCACGCCTACCTCAAATCTGGTGAGGAGTCAGGGGTGGCATTGCTGTAAGGCTGCAGTGGTCAGTGGGCTACTGTAGCAATGGAAGATCCGGCTAAAACCATGTCAAGATTCAGCCTCACCATGACTGACACGAATATACCTGTATCAACCACAACATTGGCCTTGTATTATATCCCGGGATGCTTTCTAACGTTGTGTTCGTTCGCGTAATGACATGGCGAATACACGATATCTGACAGCAATATCTGTGCGTCCTTCTCCGTCGCTCAGATCCGGCGCCAGCAATCGCGGGTCCAATTCGAGTTCATGTCCCTGACTAAGACGGAGACCGACGACGGCGAGAGCGGACCACTTTTTGTGTTAGTACCGCACTCGGAGGAACCGTGACTCGAACTGCATTTTTATAACTGCCAGCCTTCTATCAATCACTACAGTGACAGACCGGAAGGAGATCGATCACACTCAAGATCAATCTCGTGCAATTACACCTCGGTCATTGTTTCCTTACCTCCCTTACACCGTTTTTCACTTCCCACCAAACACATCTTCCAATACAAACAAAATATCAAATCACATCACAATACCATGGCCACCACATCCCGACCAGGCCGCCTCGCCGGCAAAAACGCAATCATAACCGGCGCCGCCGGTGGAATCGGCCTCGAAACAACCATCCTCTTCGCACGTGAAGGAGCATCCGTCCTGATGGCCGACATATCCGAGCCCGCCCTGGCCGCCGCGCTTTCCAAAGTAAAACAACTCGTCCCCGACGCCCCCGGCCGCCTAAGCACAATCAAATGCGACGTGTCCAAAGAATCCGACGTGGCCGCCATGGTCGAGTCACAAGACCAATACGGCGGCATCGACATCATGTTCAACAACGCGGGCATCATGCACCCGCAGGACGACGACGCCATCGGGACCCCCGAGCAGATCTGGGATCTGACCCAGAACATCAACGTCAAGGGCGTATGGTACGGCTGCAAGCACGCGGTACTAAGTATGCGACGCAACAAGAAACCGAAAGGCTCAATCATCAACACGGCCAGTTTTGTTGCGCTCATGGGCGCCGCCACCCCGCAGCTCGCGTATACTGCTTCAAAGGGCGCCGTGTTGGCCATGACGAGGGAACTGGCTATTGTGCATGCTCGCGAAAATATCCGCTTCAATTCTCTCTGCCCGGGGCCGCTGAACACGCCACTTTTGCAGGATTGGTTGGGCGATGATTTGCAGAAGCGGCATCGGAGGGAGGTTCATTTCCCCTCGGGACGGTTTGGCGAGGCTGTTGAACAGGCTCATGCGGTTGTGTTTTTGGCCAGCGATGAGAGTAGCTTTGTTAATGCTGCTGAGTTCCTCGTTGATGGGGGGTTGACTAAGGCTTATGTTACGGGCGAGGGTCCGCCGGCTGCGGCGCCGGTGAACAATGCTCGCTAGACTAGATCTGCTGAAATAGTGAGAGTGTATGTCTCGAGTGGTCGTCTACGACGCCCCAGCACGTCTTCTACTGCGATGGGAAAACGTAGGACGGAGTCGAGAATACTAGTTTCCCAGGACCTGTTGGTGGCCAGTCCGTGGAGTTTGCTAAGAGGTTGCAGTTGCATTTTTATGGGGTCCAGGTCGCGGAAGAATAGGTAGACAGGCTTGAGAAGGAGGTATTAGACAGTTCAATTAAAGTATCGGTCTGATCTGACATTCGGTTCTGTTCTTACATCAACCAGCTGGCGAGCCCAGATCAAAGGCAGGACCGTTTTGTCAAAGAAGGGCCTGGCCGTCTCGTTTTGTCTTGTTGTCATCTCTTCCAATTCTATGCCACTGTTCTTCACCATAACCGTACACCATCGCTTTGGCTCGCTTCTGAAACCGTCAATCTCCATAGCGTCCACAGCAATCTCCATTGAGGGTGAACCGACTGCGAGATAATTAGAAGCCGGGGGCCCCATTTTTCATCAAGTGCCTCCGTTGATGTGTACGCCGCCTGGCTCCTGGTCGGCCTCCACAGCTGGTTCCGGATCGGTTTCCTCGACGCGAACCTCCTGTCCTGTCTCCGAAGGTGGTGCCAGAATCACTTCTTTGTACTTGCCCATCGTAACAGCCAGTATCTCTGAACCATGATCGCGGCAAAGGTCTGCAGCAACCGGGCTTATCAAAAAGGGCGACTTGGACTGAATGGCTCTAACGGTGCGTTCGAGGCAGGCATACCGGAGAGGATCTGGTGGAGCGGTGTTTTCGAGAACATAGAGAACCTGCGATGCGTTCAAGAGGTCAACCCGGAAAAACAGATCGGAGAAAATTTGCTTGCAGAGGCTCTGAACTTGGAGCCTGTCACTAAGCATGTAAAGGGCGAGAACGCGATCAAGTACCAGGCCAGTCCTCGGGGAATCCCAAATCACTTTGGTGTAGAGAAACCGAACAAAGTTCCCAAACGTCGTAGGGTCCTCCTCTGGTAGTCGAATGACTCGCTCTTCCTTCTCCATGCAAGGGTGAGACAAAGCCGCCCTTGCAAACTCCGAGACCGAGGTCAAGAGGGCCTCGTGAAGCACCCATGTGGCCTTCTGTTCGGGTCCCACGATAACTTTCACCACATCTGTCATGTTACACAGATCTTCGCTCCAACCCCAAGTCCTCTCAAAAGTCGTAGCTGAATGAATGGGTTTGTATTGGCACAGTCTCTGCTCCTCATAGCTGGAGGAAGACAATGTCAGTCTGGGACGAACGGCGCCAGGTCGAGCGGGGTTCGCAAAATAAAGCTCCCAGGCATTTGCAAACGCATTCCCTTGATCTGGCTCTCCATATCGCTGGCCTGGAAGGTCCGACATCTTTATGTGTGCGAAGGTGATGATATGTTGAACGAGGATGGTGTGGCTTGCCGTGATACCGCACCTTTGCTTGGGAGACGAAGATGAAAAAGCAGAATGCGATTGAGGCATCAGTAGTTTGCACTGCGAGTTCAGCAAAAATGAGGTAGCTAGCACTAGGCCGAGTAAGCAGTACCAGGGCGCCAGTGAAGACCGCAATCAATAGACTGTCTATACGAATCAGTGCCGATGCGACGAGGCCTGCCAAGTCGACGCGGCCGTGAACTGCTTCAGATCCATCTTCGGGTTTCTCTGTGCCCAGCTGGTGCACGCACTGCCTATGACCACAATGGCGAGTGAATATCGCTGATCCGGCCAAGGCAACAAGTACATTGTCTTCCTCATCAAGAGTGGAACATAGTGCCGGCAAACAAGGCCTTTCCTGACGCGTTAAACGCCTGAATATCCCCACGGCCATATTTGGCATCTGGACCACATTTTTCAAGTCGAGTTTGGCCGAAGAACCATTATAGATGATATCTTGCTGACCGAGCCGGGCATCTCATCACTATGCAGTACGAGCTTGTTCGGCCAGGTGAGCCACTCCGCGCTCGGGACCTGTAGTCATATTGTGTGCGTTCTTTCTTGATATATCGACCCACTGTGCAGCGCCGCAAACACTTCGATTTGGCCGGAGGAGCATATAACCTCTTGTGACGAACGCCGCGGTCATGCTGAGGCCAGGAGGCGGAACAATGAAAAATGGGCCTCACAGGTCGCAACATGCGCTGGGCTTAAGGTCTCTCAAGCCGGGAGAATGTCCTGCTGAGTATCGAGTTTCACTTCATAGTATTTATACAATCATAATTTGATAGTTCCCATTTCCACCAGATCCTTAGCAGCATTTGAGAATTTCCCTTGGGTGTCAAGCTTGGCAGGGCTCTCGCCCTCCTTAAGGTTAACTGTCATCATCCCCTCCAGAGTCATGAGCCGTCGTGTGGCAGCGAAGGGATAGTACACTGCTTTACTGATGGCTCGACCAAGTTTGGCCACAATGCTTTGTGACTGTGGCGCATCGTCATGCATAAATTCCGGTTCATCCATCTGCTGGGTAAATTTCCGATCCATCTCAAACTCATATGGGGCGATGATGTACTCTTTTGGTCGGAGAAACGGTAGCGGCCGTCGCACTTGCACAGCAAGCTTGACAATGCCGTCCTTGGATACAAGGTCGATGGACTTGATAAGTCTGGTAGGACGCAGAAACGCAAATCCACCCACCATGGTGAAAGTTACAATGCCTGCCCGCCACGCAACCCTCACGATCCAAGGCAGTTCAGAAGAGGAATCGTAGGCCCACAAATTGCTGAAAGCCAGTGCACCGGCCGTCAACAGGCAAGACGCAGTTATGATGTACGACGCAGCAAGTATTCCTGCCTGAGACGGCGGCCTGTAGATTGCACGCTGACCAGCATTGTATAGCTTTGTGGCGTACCACTGTTTGTTCAACTTGTCTGGCGTGAGGCCTTCCGGAGCCCGTACAATCGGAGTTTCGGGTGCTGGTCGAGGCACTGGCGTCGGTTTGGCAGTACGCGTCGGGGTGGCCCGCTTGGGCAGTCTTGAGGCAGTCGTCCTAGGAGAACTAGCATACCATCGCTGGGAGCATGAGGGTTGTATCCGCGACCGTAGCAGCGGCCGTAATGAGCGCACCGAGAGGGAGGACATTTCGTCGATCACGATGCTGTAACGTTACGTAGAGCCGTCTTTGACTCCAACAAAGTACCCCAAGCCCTTGATTCACCTAAAGATTGCGTTGAAAACAAGGAACAGAACCACGTAGAACAATGTACAGGACAAAATCAAGAACCCATGCGGACCAGTAACTCTTGAGAAGTTGGAGGCAGTCATTGGGACTGAATTATTTTGGAGTAGAATTGTATAGCATTGTGAAACAGCCCGCAAGGAAGGTCTCCCGAGCTGGTTCCCTTTCAAGTTGTTGGCCTGGACATTCCCACATGGTCCCGAAGTCCCTTATCTACATCGCCATCCACATGTCTATAGGAATCTTTTGTTTGATCCTGTGATCCGATGTGGCGATGTGTTATATCCCGGACATTCTAGGGACATCCTAGGCCGCAAGGATGGTGCATGACTGACTAAGAGGCCATATCATATACCGAGCGATCGCAAGTCTAATCAGGAGGATGGTCTTCTAGCTCCTGACAATGAAGTGCGGTCTCGGATTGATAAGATCAAACTGAGTCCGATTGGCTTCATCCGTGCAGTGTGCGTTGCAACGCTTCAACAGACCAAAGCTCTGCGTTGGCGGGTCATTCTGCCTTGAACCCTTCGTTATCTGAGTGAAGCTCGAATCGTCAAAGATGGACGCCAGCATCCTGTACGTCCCGAGTCGATCCAACGCCAGCGCCTTGTTGAATGGCCTCCAGAAGTCGGGGCGAGACGTTTTGATTGTTCTTCTCCTCGACCACAGCAAGGAGTTTGAGGAAAAAGTCTTGCCGCAGCACTTGCATTAGAAGATCCCTAGAGTCGATCATGTGTGATGCGGCGTAGCGCAAGATGCCACCAAAAGGCTGGTTGTCAGCGTTTCCTTGTAGATATCGGGTCTCAACAGCAGGTATAGTCGAGGTTGTGATGGCCTGCCAGTCAAACGGCGCAAGCCTTGCAATAAAATCGAACAGCCTAGCTTGTGAGATGGTGACGAGTTGTGTGCCCTTCTTGGTTTTGACGTCACGCTTAGAGTTGACGAGCGAAGTCCATACAAACAAGATGTCGTAGACTTCGGGGTCATGGAAAACACGGCGCCACAAGAGGCCCTGTCCTTGAGCCTCCTGTAAAGCACTCTCGCCGGTTCCAACGGTGACGCTGTTCTGACTGTCCACAGCAAGCAACGCCTCAATTCCTTCGAGAGAGCGTTCTGCCACCTCAGTACTTTCGGAAGAGAGCCAAACCGTAAACAAGCATTGCACAAGGCTTGAGCTTGAGGCGACAAAAGCAGCACCACTGGGCGAGTCGGCGGCTTTGCGTAGATAAGCTAAACAGAGAAGCTGGACAGAAATGGAAGGCGATACAAGACCCTGCTCAAGCTTCTCGGCAGAAATGGTGGTCTTCAGTTCATCAAAGGGAATCAGCAAGACAGTCCGCTCGAGCAATCGAGTGAGTGGTCGTGGCTCCTGTTGGATTGTTTGTAAAAGGTTTTCGCCCTTCCCTAGAAGCTGCCATAGCAGATCTCGTGGTGTCGAGGCATCGAGGTTGCGTTCTGCCCGCTTCAGGAGATCTTCGTCGAGCAACACTGACCCAGGCTGAGATTCCACCAAGGCAAGGTGCGAGAATACATCGGCGAAAAGAGTTTGGGTGTCTTCAACGAGAGTATCCATAGTGGCTTGTGAAGTCCGATTTATCCTCTGGAGAGGTTTGTCAAGGTCATGTTTGACGAAAGCCCGGGGCCAGTATCTCGTGGAACTTGAAGGCCTCTGCGACGTACGAATGCAAGCCAGTGGCGCGGCGGATTCGTCCCAGAGTTCAGCCTTGTCTCCAATAATGCCAAGCCTTGTTTGTCACTCCCCGCAGGCTGCGCGAGGCTGCGCCCTCCGCGAATGATGATTGCATACATGTCGTCCAACTTCACATTCTCTACTACAACTTACTACCACAGTACGACGTGGAGTACCCTTCGACAGTCTAGAGACACACCTTCAACTTCCACAGGACGCAAGGTCTGGGTGCTTCATTCCAATACTACAACAAGAACCGCAACCAGCCGTATCTTAGCGATCTTACCGCTCTATTTCCTTGTCTCTTTCTACACCTGAGCCGTTCGCAAGCCATACTCATGGCGCAACCCACTGACAATCCTCTCGTCTCCTCCAAACCTTCCGATAGTGGCCTCTCCGTATCGCTCCACCCATTAGTTCTCCTGACAGTCTCCGATCAAGTTACAAGACATTCAGTACGGCAGCAAACCGGGCCTGTTGCCGGCGCTCTGCTGGGGCAACAGATCGGGCGTCAGATTACAGCCGAGCATGCATTTCCCGTGTCTCTAGTCAAAAGTCCAGAGGGGCAATGGCGGTTCAATGCAGAGTGGATGGAAACCAGGATACAACAGTGTAAGAGGTCTCGTTAATGCGGTTGTTCTTTGGTCTGTTCTTGGGCTTACATTTGTTTAAAGACAAGGATGTGCACAAGTCCCCCGCCTTGGACTTTGTAGGCTGGTACACTCTCTGTCCAAGAGATGGCCCTCTGCCGGAACTCATCCCATTGCAAAAGCAAGCCATTACATTCTACAACGACAGTGCCATTCTTCTTGCCCTACACCCGGAACTTGTGAAACAGCCCGACACAGCCACGGGTAAGCTGCCCATCACCATCTATGAAAGTGTAGTCGACGCCGAACACGCTCAAGATGACGAGTCGATGCAAGTTGACGGCGAAGAATCGTCAGCAATCAGATTCAAACAACTGCCTTACACGATCGACACCGATGAGACTGAGATGATTGCTATTGACTATGTGGCCAAGGGAGCGGGCAGCGCGGCCATGGTGGACGAGGCGGGATCTACCGAACCAGCTGTGGCACCCGAGCAGTCTCCCGCGGACAAGAAGGGCAAGCAAAGGGCAGATGACTCTACGCCACAGGAATCTGAGCAAACGGCAGCACCGGCCAGCAGCGACTCCAGCAATTTTCTCTCGCCAGAAGAAGAGGACCAGATCGCCAATATAACCACTCGGCTGAACAGTGTCAAAATGCTACAAAGCCGCATATCCTTACTTCGCGGTTTCATCCAATCTCTTCCTCCATCATACATATCCGACCAGCAGTCTGCGCAGTTGACTCCAACCTCCCCTGATCCTTCTCACCTGTCGCATCTGCGCAACATTCAGGCCCTCATCACTCGTCTCTCTCTACTCACGCCATCGTCGTCGGCGGCGGCCAAGTCCGCGTCCTCTGCACAACAACTGGCACCTCTGGCTGCAGCGTCACAGGCACAGTCGAACGACGTGGCATTGGCCAACATGCTGGCCATCATAGGGCAAGATATCCAGGCCCTCAGCGAGCTGGGGCGCAAATTCGCCACTGTCGAGGGGAGTCGCGGGCCCAAAGGCAGAACTGCGGTCGGAGCCAAGAACGGCGCCGGTAGCGGCGGTCCTGCAGGAGCTGGCCTGGAGGAAGGTAATGGTCGCTTTGGCGGTATTGCTGCCTCGGGCGGCGGGAGCGGGGTGGCAGTCTGATTCAATGCCTCATCTTTGCCCGACGTGGGTGGCTAACTGGCTTCTCCAGCCGCGCTGTTGGAGGTTGCCACTACTCGTCCTCCTTATCCATTAGCATGCCACACTCACTGCATGCATTGTCAGTACATGTACATTGTCACTTGGCGCGACCAACTGCACTATCCCCTGCATGTATCGACACCTTGGCTGATTACAACAATACATTCTCAAGTCAATCGACAACAGCGTGGCCGGTTAGACTCTACGCGTTGCATTCTTACTGCAGAAAAGGACACTGAGACAGCCTCGTGTGCCGCCAGTATGGTCTTGCTGGTTGACTACCTTACAAGCTGCCGGGCAGGCGATGCAGTAATATGGCGACCACGCGACAGCCTTTTGGCCCGAGTCAGCTCCACGGTCAAGGGGCGTTGTTGCGCTGTTAGTAATGGACAAGGCAGGAAAGCCCTTTATCTTTTGGAGAAATCCTTGCATCTTTACGAACTGGATTTCATTGGACCATAGAGCATGCGCAGCAGATCCGGGGTTTACAAGGCACTGCACTGCTAGTGTCATTCGGATACGGCCACGGATGAGACACGGTACCAAACTAGTACCATACGTCCGTAGAAGAGGGCGTTCTGAGACTCGGCGCTTTTGACAGAAAGACACTACAGGCAACGAAAAGAAAAGAAAAGCATTCATGGACCTAAAGGTAATCATGGAGGTTCTCAAGGGTCTCTATGAATTGCTGTGTCTTCATTCCCTGAGACTAGACTAAGTCCACCCACATGCATTGCTATGTAGGCTAGGCTATTGCATCATGCGAGGCCTACTCGCATACTGTGTTCAAGTTTCGCATACTGTCTTCTGTTCCCATCCTGTTTGACTCCGTCCACCAAAATCCATGCGTTATAGCACCGTAATATCACTGGCGCACAAAATAAAAAAGACATGGACACAAGTACACACATCAAACGCAGGCACCCAAAACTCGTATGCTTTTAGCAAGCTGGCTAGAAGCCGAAAGTAGAGGAGAAAGTAGCCGTCAAAAAGGCATTCGTGTTAAAACATGTCATGGCGAAGATAAGTTGGATGGTCGTTCCTCGTGGCTGTTTTTAAAGATAAATTCCAAAAAAGGTTGCTGCATGCTTAGACCATGAACGCCGACGCTAACAAACAGGGCAAAGCTAGAAAAGGCCCAGGAGTGGTTGAGCGCTCAAGTGACGAGGACCCCAGCAGGACGATGGAGCCGGTGAAAGAGCCGGAGACGGAATCGTTTCTTAGGGTGATCTGGGTGGGGCCCATGAGACGCAGAAGCAGAGGCACTGATCGCTGGTTCTGGTGCTGTCTGCGTGGATGGCGAAGTCGAGGACTGGAAAGGTGCTGCTGTTGGTGCCGCCTTTCGATCCTCTGCTGAAGGTATTGGTGGGATGGGAGCGGTTGAGGTACCAGTACCAGATGCTGCCGAAACTTTTCTCTCCTCGGCGGGAACCTGGCTTTTCTTCTTGCGGATTGTCTTCATCAGCCGGCTTATATGTGGCTGTTTAGGATCCTCCGGGAGGGGCGATTCGGTGGGCCGAAGAGGCGGAGATGGTGGTGGTGGAGGGAGACATTTATTCAGGTCCGGCGCCGATAGTCTCGCAGCTGTTCGATTGTTCGCCATTGATTTGTTGCTGGTTCTCCCGCGGTTGGGTGATCTGTCGTCCACAAGCCGTACTGTGCCTTTGACTTCGTCGAGGTCGGGGCTATGCTCGTCGCTTTCGAGCGACTTCTGACGCCCAGCAAAAGATGTTTTCCGGCTTCTGTCAGTCCGTGCAGCTGCTTCGGTCCGAAGACCACTTGCTGATTTCCTGGTGCTGGCCACGGATCTGCGAGTGGCATCAGACAGAGCTGCGCGGCTGTCGCCAGGGGTTAATCCAGCGCTCGTCAGAGGCGTCGAGTTGTCCGTAGCGTTCAGAGTATGTAGGCGGGAGATGTCAGAAGGGGTCGTGGAGTCGAGTTTTGTGTCGACCGGTTTATGCGAGACCGTGGTTGGTGCGCTATTTGTATTCTGGACTGGTTGCGACGGCAGCTCACGTTTCCGCTGCTGGCCTGCCTTGCCATCTTGGATGTGTGCGGCCATGTATCTGAAGGGGTCGTCCGACATGTCATCCGAATGTGGCACATTGGCTAGGAGCAGCGCACAAACTCGTTTCAGCTCGGCCTCCTCTTGCTCACTGAGCATTTGCCGCTCAATCAAGGGTGAGTCAGGAATGAAATGAGGATCGTCGGGTTCTCCGAGGTATTTCTTGGAAGCCAGGGACTGCACAATGCATCAGTTAAGCCAGGCATTCAGAAAGCCGATGAACTAACCGAATGGTCCGTCCGCAGGCGTAGCTTTTTGGCAATTGTGCCCATCGTTCCTTCAATACAGAGTCGCGGAGGCAACGGAGGGGGTGGACGAGGCAGCGGTAAAAAAGGATGCTATCCCAGCGTGCTTTTGGGATGGAAGGCGACCTGGACCATTAGGCTCTCACAGCATGTCGTCCAACATGAGATTTGTGTCCTGCTTCCGGCCACACAGCATGCGCCCGGGAGGTTCAGTGGTCGAGATATTGGGTGACACCACAACGAGGTATCTAGATGTCAGACTGCAACGAACGCAACCTGGAAGTTACGAAGGAAATGCGGCACAATACAGACACACGGCATCAGATCGCTTAGGGTGATATTGCTGCGTCCTTGAACATCGCGACCGCAGGGTCATATTCAGCTCACCGTTTCAGCTTCTCACTGACCTCGTAAAAGTAATATCTACGAGTGGACCGCTCGGTAGGGGATTTCTTGAGCCAACCCACCAGTGGCTTGCACGGTCAGCCAGACGTGCGGTTTAGTCTTCGACCGTTGGGCCTATCTGGAGGTAGGCACAGCTATCCAGGACCGTGATAAGAGTTTAGCGAGGCTGTAAGCCGTGATTTGAGGACAGGATCTGAGGAACGTGCCGTGGGCGGATGGAAAGAAGACAATTGATTGGCGTGCTGGAAATTGAGAGACTGCGAACTGGAGAGCGTTGTGGATGGGAAAGGCACCAAAAGGCCCCAGGCGAAGGAGAAACACTCTGCCGAGAGGAGCCCGCCTAACACGCCTAGCCGATTGGAGCCAGGGCCGCCTGGGCAGCGTAAGATTGGGCTCCTAAGGCTGGGGTGGCTCTTAAAATAATGTACTCTTGACAGCTAAAAATCTCCTAGATCCCGGTATCTGAAACAGACTGTTTACCTTTAGCGAAGTCCGTCACCATGATGAAGGTAGTAGTACTACCAGCCTTGCCCAATGGGTGTAACCGGCGAACCGTGCAGTGCAAATACTAGCAGGAGATCATAGAGATTCAATGATTGTGCGACACCCCGCACATGATCAGGGCTTTCATATAAGGTCCTTGGGTGTCTATGCTTGATATATCGAGGTGGATGTACGCTGTAGGTAGTTTAAGTCAGAAGCACCGGTGTTCACCAGGTTTTGCATTAGCTGAGCGCCAGCGTCAGCTGCAGATCTCCATGTAGAAAGACCGAGACCTAACTTAGGAGGCACGGCTACAGTGTTACTACTACTAGTAGTAGGTATAATCTACTGGTCGTAAGGTGTGTGAGTTGTGTCTCCGGCCTGAAAGCCAAACGCAAGGCTGCCTTTATCGTATGACTAAGATTGTAGGTAGTTCTGACGAGGCTGTCCCGTAGTGCGGAAATCTTGGCGTCTGTCCCCGCGGTCACGGGCGTCATATTTGGTGTGCCAATGTTCCGCGAGAATTTTGGCCGGAACAGTAGCAGCAGCAGTCACGCACCCACTGAACCACTGCATCCACGGTCGGCTTGGTGCAACTTGCAACATTTCATGGACAATGGGCGACATCTCGGAGCCGGGTCCTCAGGAGACTCCTGAGTCCCGTCTGGCCGGCCTCAGCAGCAGCTCAACCAACACACGCATCGAAGTGCTGCGTACCCTCCTCCTTGAAATCCAGAACACTGGTAATGTGGCTTCTCCATTGAGAGTTCAGATGTAGTAGTACAGGACTAACTATGAAAGAAGATGATACAAACCTAAAGAATACTCTGAGTTTCTTCCCTGCTCTTCTTTCGACATACCCTCGGTATGCAGACCGGAAGTCTCGCCAGGCAGTGCAGTCTTGCCTTCGGGCATTCCTCACCAAACCACTTACCGCCGAGGCTACCTATCCTGCCATAACGAAGTTTCTGGTCCACGAGTCCCAGAAGACCGCGATCGCATCTTCAAGCGCATTCGTGCTGCTTGAATGGTCATGTCTGGCGCAACAGGAGAGTCGGCGCGATGAGCAGTTCTTTGGCAACTGTTTTGGGAAACTTTGTCTTGCTGCGGCCCGCTTTTTGGACAAATGTGAAGATAATAATGTTCGAGGAGGTGTCCAGCATTCGGCCTTGGTCGTAGCGAGAAGAGGCTTGCGGGATGTGTTCAAGACTGCCCAATATGGAGCCAAAGGATTGGAGCTCGCCGTCAAGGAAGTTGCAACATCTTCTGATGCAGATGCTAGATGCGCACCGTATCTCGGCGTCATTGCCGGTGTCAGTTCGCGAATTCCGGAACGAAAAGAGCAACTCCAGGGTTTATCTAAGCAAGTTCTCGACTTCTACGTCAAATGTGTCATCGGCTCAAGAACACCTGTGCCCTTTCACGAATGCACAGGTCTCCATGATTTCTTTTTGGATTTCGTGACGATGCAGGATCTCAGCGGTGTGGTTGTGCCCGCATTAGAGAAGGCCATCCTGCGCTCGCCAGAAATTGTCCTCCAAGGCCCCGTGGAAGCTCTCGCCAGCTGCTTGCCTGAGAAGCTTGACATCTCCGAGCTTGTCCTTTCAAAGTTGCTGAAACCCCTTCTTTCGGCCTTGAACTCTACAAACTCTACCATTCGTGAAGGAGCCGGAAGAGCTCTTGCAGCGTTGGTCCGGAGGGGTGGTCAGCCAGAAAACATTCAGAAAATTACTGCAGAGCTGGCCTCGGCCTTGAAGTCGTCGAAGCCTGCAAATTTCGAAATGCGTGGTATCCTCGCAGATATACTCCTCACAGTACCTGCGGAAGTCAAAACTGCTACGATAATTGCTCAAGGTATTCTGCCGGCCGCTTCGAAGGAAGCGAACGAAGGTGCACTTAGAAAAGAGTTGAAGGCTCTGGTCCCCCATCTGCAAGTGGTGTTGACTTCCCCGTCTCCTGAGAAAGCTGTCTTTGAGTCTCTTCTGAAAGGCTGTAAAGATAAGAGGCCTCCTTTTCGCAAGATGTGGGTTCTTTGTGTTGCCAACGTTCTGAGGGACCTTCAAACCGTACCAACAGATGGGGCGTCGCGGGATTTCATCAAGTCATGTTTGGAAATCTTGACCGAGGTCTATGACGAGATCGCACCAAATCCGTTGCCCGCAGCGCAGAATGGCTACGTTGCAGCGGCTTATGGCCTTCCAGCACTTTTGGATTCTGCTATTTTGCAGGCGGATGCTTTCAAGTCCGAGAAATATGATCAGATCAGACAAAATGCTCTGAGCTTGACCCCGAAGCCTTCCTTCTTGCTAAATCCGAAGGTCTACGGACGACTTTCGTCCGCAGAAGACAATCACTGGGCGCTGTATGCATTGACAAAACTGGCGTCAGAGCTTGATGAAGCTAGCGAGGATGCGCAGACTGCATGGGCTAAGGCAATTCTTCACCTTATGCTAACCCCGGAGGTAGATTCGATCGTCCGGAAGGAGACTGGAGCGGCTCTATCGAGGGTGTATACTGAAAGACCTGCTTCTGTCGGACGAAGCATAGTCCTTGGTGTTTGGGATGTGCTTCGATCTCGTGCACAGGAATTGAGTAAATCGCATGGAGACTCCATGTCATTAAGTGACAACCGGTTGCTTCAAGCTGTCAAGTGCATATCGCCGGCAAAGGACAGGTGGAAAGCTCTCGAGAAAGACATGCCTATCAAGGTCCTGGAAGACCAATCAGTATCAACGATTGTTCTCCTTCGATCCGAACTGATCTTCAACTCAGATTGGATTGCAAATTGTTTGACCGTAGGGGTAGACCCCGGGCAGTTGGGGGAGAAGCGACGGGATGATCTTTTCTCTGAAATTCTCTCCCATTTTGAACCTCAAAAACTAGCACCATTGAACGTTTTCGAGGTTGCTGCTTGCAACGCGGCTACTACCCTAGCCTTTGTGGCGCCGGAATCTTGCACACCTGCACTCGTTGACCAGTTCCGGAAAGATCTCGAGCCTACCCAGCTGGACGGTGTTGGGCCCACTGAAGCACTTATCGCTCGTGCTCCCGAAGGCACTCTGGTCGTTGATGTGTTGGGCCAAAATTCACAAAGCATTGTCGAGAACAAAAATCAAAAGGACTATGATGTCCTTAAATGGGAAGAAGAGATGCGGCAGCAACTGGCAAAGAAGAAGGGTGCTCCTCAGAAAAAGCTTACTCCAGACCAGCAAGCGAAGGTTGATGCCCAACTTGCCCATGAGACTGAGGTACGGAATCGTCTGAAATCTACGTCTGCCAAAGTCAGAAGAGGCGCCAAGTTCGTGGAAGGCCTGGCTCGTGGTCCACCAACTGATGCACGCCTATGGATGTCGCCTGCCATAAGCGCTTTGTTACGAGTCCTGGAGAATGGGGCAGCTCTGATTGTCGATGATGAGATCGTCTCTGGATATCTAGCGTGCTCTACTCAAGTATCAGACCGGCTCGGAAATCTGCGACTTTTTATTGGTGTGGCCACACTCAGATCCTTGCCGAATGCCAATGTTCCCGAGAATTTGACTGCTGAACCTCTCGCCGAGCTGGGTACTCGAGTTCTCTATAGGTTGCGTTTCGCTGCCGAGCAACGTCCCTTCGATACAGTCACTACTGCTTATGCCCTGCCATTGATCTTCTCCGTCTTGGACAACGGAAGGATTGGGGAGGTCACTGGCGACGACGCGGATGCACAAGTCTTGCTTGCGCTCGAATTCCTCTCCTTCCAGATGGCATCAGGTTCTGACGAGCATCTTCCCCGAGCTGATATCCTGCGACATTTGATTGGCGCTATGCAGAGGTATACTCAACACTATCGAATTATCAAGGATTGTTTGTTCGACTTTTGTCGCTCCATTTCCGCAAACATTACCCCCGAAGAACGAGATATCTTGTTGTCTGCAGTTACTCTTCCTGAAACTCCTGTTCGGTCCGCAGCGCTTCAGGCCATCCACTCGGAGCTGGATCTGTCAGATATAGACTTCTCTGTGCACTTGTGGATCGCTTGCCAGGATGAAGAAGATGAGAATGCGGAAACGGCTCTAGCTATTTGGCAAGAGCACGAGTTCGGTGTGACGGAAGATATGATCGACAGCATCCCTGAGTTCCTGTTTTCTCCCGCGCGGTCGACTCGTACTGCTGCATCCAAAGCACTTGCGCAAGCACTCGTGCTGATTCCGGCGAAGACTAAAGATATGTTGGCTTTGTTGGAAGAGTCGTATAAAACAGAAGCACAACCGCTTGTGCCAAAGCGCAACAAAATGGGCATCATACAAAAGGGCGAGTTGGTGGACCCTTGGGAAAAGAGAAGCGGGCTTGCTCTCGCATTCAAAGAGTTATCCTCTGTCATCGACAAAGATGATTTGGTGCCGTTCATGAACTTCTTGATATCCGAGGGTGCTTTCTCAGATCGTAATGCCACCGTGCGGTCAGAAATGGTCGCGGCCGGCACTGCCACGGTCGCCGCTCGTGGAAATGAGTGCCTAGAACCACTCATGGAATTGTTTGAGAAGGTGTTACAGGGGCCCGACCAGGGAACACAGGAATCAGACTGGGTCAACGAAGCTGTGATTGTTCTCTACGGTTCGCTTGCCCGTCATCTTCCAGAAGGCGACAAACGCACACAAGGTGTGATCCAAAAGCTCCTCGACACACTCAGCACGCCTTCGGAATCAGTCCAGTATGCGGTGGCCAATTGCTTGCCCCCGTTGGTCCGCTCTCCCAGCGTCGATGCTGGCCCATATCTGTCTTCACTCCTGGACCAGCTGTTCAACTCCAAGAAGTATGCTGCCCGTCGTGGTGCGGCTTACGGACTGGCTGGTATTGTAAAGGGCAAAGGAGTAGCGGCCTTGAGGCAGCACCGCGTCATGTCATCATTGAGAAGCGCAGCGGAGAATAAGAAGAGTCCCGAACAGCGGCAAGGCGCCATGATGGCATACGAACTTTTGTCACTACTCCTTGGGCGCACTTTCGAGCCTTATGTGATTGAGATCCTACCGCAGTTATTGACTGGTTTTGGCGATCCTGTTGCATCGGTCCGTGAAGCTTGTCTCGACACAGCCAAGACATGCTTTGGAAGTTTAAGCTCTTTCGGAGTCCGCCGTGTCCTTCCTCAACTCCTGGAGGGACTCAACGAGACACAGTGGCGAAGCAAGAAGGGAGCCTGTGATTTGCTTGGTGCAATGGCCTACCTTGACCCTCAACAGTTGGCCACCAGCTTGCCCGAGATCATCCCTCCTTTGACGGCTGTGCTCACCGACAGCCACAAAGAAGTGCGAGCAGCGGCTAACAGCAGCTTGAAAAGATTCGGGGAGGTGATCACCAACCCCGAGGTTAAGAGTCTCGTCGATATCCTGCTGAAAGCCCTGAGTGACCCGACAAGATATACCGAGGAAGCCCTTGACGGGCTGATCAAGGTATCCTTCGTGCATTACCTTGACGCACCATCATTAGCATTGGTCGTGAGAATTCTGGAACGAGGCCTAAATGATCGCTCGGCTACCAAACGGAAAGCTGCTCAGATTATCGGCAGTTTGGCACATCTCACCGAGAAGCGTGATATCGTTACTCATCTCCCAATCCTCGTCTCTGGGTTACGACTCGCGTCCATCGATCCTGTCCCGGCAACTCGAGCCACTGCCTCCAAAGCTCTGGGTAGCTTGGTCGAGAAGCTCGGAGAAGATGCCTTCCCAGACCTGATACCAAGCTTGATGTCCTCCCTGCGTACCGACACAGGTGCCAGCGACCGCCTTGGCTCTGCCCAAGCTCTTAGCGAAGTCCTTGCGGGCCTGGGAACTACCAGGCTTGAGGAGACTCTACCAACTATTCTCCAGAATGTCGCCAGCCCAAGACCGACGGTCAGAGAAGGCTTTATGACGCTTTTCATCTTCCTGCCCGCATGCTTTGGTAACAGCTTTGCAAACTATCTTGCCCAGATCATTCCGTCCATCCTTAGCGGTCTGGCTGATGATGTCGAGGTCATCCGCGAGACTGCTCTGAGAGCAGGCAGGCTTCTTGTGAAGAACTTTGCAACCAAGGCCATTGACCTACTCCTTCCGGAGTTGCAGCGTGGATTAGCTGATGACAGCTATCGTATTCGTCTCAGCTCTGTGGAGCTGGTCGGCGATCTCCTCTTCAATCTTACCGGTGTCAGCGCATCAACTGATGCGGAGGACGAAGGCGAATCAGCGACCAAAGCAGGTCAATCACTGCTCGAGGTTTTGGGCGAGGAACGGCGCAACAAAGTCTTGTCCTCACTCTATATCTGCCGTTGCGATACTTCTGGCCAGGTCCGCGCCGCTGCTATTGCTGTTTGGAAGGCTTTGGTTGCAACACCAAGAACTCTGCGCGAACTGGTGCCGACACTCACGCAAATGATCATTGCTCGTCTCGCCTCGTCCAATATGGAACACAAAGTGATCGCCGCAAATGCCCTTGGAGAGGTTATTCGAAAAGCTGGCGAAGGTGTCTTTGCCGCATTGCTGCCATCTTTGGAAGAAGGCCTTCAAACGTCTACCGATCCAGACAAGAGACAGGGCATTTGCATTGCTCTGCGGGAGATTGTCAACGCAGCATCTCCAGAGTCACTTGAAGAGCATGAAAAGAAACTGATTGCCATTGTCCGCCTAGCGCTGACGGATCCCGATCCTGAGGTACGAGAGGCTGCTGCCGAATCATTCGACTCTCTTCAGCAACACTTTGGTAAACGCGCGGTTGATCAAGTCTTACCACACCTGCTCAATCTTCTTCGAAGTGAATCAGAAGCTGAACATGCGTTGTCAGCTCTGCTGACGTTGCTCACTGAAGCGACCAGAGCGAATGTGATCTTGCCAAACCTGATACCAACGCTCCTGACCAACCCAATCACCGCGTTCAATGCACGCGCCATTGCATCCCTGGCCAAGGTCGGAAGCTCGAGCATGACCCGTAGACTGCCTGCGATCCTCAACGGACTTGCAGATAACATAGTGTCATGCAAGGACGAAGACCTCTTGCATGAGCTAGATGAAGCCTTCGATACAGTCTTGGCGTCTGTCGACGAATTCGACGGCCTCAATACTGCCATGAGCGTGATGCTAGCGATGGTGAAGCACGACGATCATAAGAGACGAGCGGTGGCAGCAGAACACTTGGGCACCTTTTTTGAGGCGGCTACAGTCGACTACTCGAGATATAACCAAGACCTCATCCGGGTTCTTCTTATCTCTTTCGGAGATCGAGACCCTGCCGTTGTCAAAGCAGCATGGTCTGCGTTGAGTCAGCTGCAATCGCATCTTCGCAAGGAGGAGATGGAGGCCTTGGTGGGCCCGACACGACAGGTCTTACAACAAGCCGGGCCCGCCGGCGCCATTCTCCCTGGATTTGCACTGCCAAAGGGCGTCCTGCCTGTCCTCCAGATCTTCCTGCAGGGCTTGATGAACGGTACTACCGAGCAACGAGTTCAGGCAGCCATGGGTATCTCCGACATCATCGACCGCAGTGGGCCAGATGCATTGAAGCCGTTCGTTACTCAAATCACCGGTCCACTCATTCGTGTGGTAGGCGAAAGATCCATGGATGTCAAATGTGCCATTCTTTCCACCCTCAACCAGCTACTGGAGAAGATTCCCACCTTCCTCAGACCGTTCTTACCGCAGTTGCAACGGACGTTTACGAAATCCATCGCTGATCCAACGAGCGAATTACTTCGCATGCGGGCTACCAAGGCGCTGAGCACGCTTATCACCTTGACTCCTCGTGTTGATCCACTTATCGCCGAGCTCGTGACCGGCGCAAAGACTCCAGACGTGGGCGTTCGCAACGCAATGCTCAAGGCCTTGCAAGAAGTGGTCAGCAAGGTTGGCTCCAATATGAGTGATGCGTCCCGTGAATCCATTCTGGGACTTATGGATAGCCAGCTTGACGGACAGGATGACAGCATGATGGTGACCAATGCACGCCTTCTCGGTGCCATGATCAAGGTTCTCCCAGCCGACAAAGCCGGGTCGTTGATCAAGAGTCGTGTCTTGGTGCACCCATCCACGAGCGCCTCTATTCTCGCCCTCAACGCGGTCTTGCTCGAGAGCGCGTCGACCCTGATTTCTGACTACCCCGAAGAGACTAGAGCAGTCATCGCGGCGGGTCTTACGGGCAAGAACACCTTCGTGCAGCAAAATTCTGTCCTCGCACTAGGGAAATATTTGCTGTCGGACAACACGACCTCTGATGAAGAAGCCTGCCAGCCGCTCATCGAAGCCCTGACCTCAGTGATCGCTCCAGGAGGAGACATTGATTCCCGCCGCTTAGCACTTGTGGTTATTCGCACGGTTGCGCGCCACCATGGTGACGATATGCGAAAGTTTCTCTCCATTCTTGTGCCGCCAGTATTTTCTTCGGTTCGCGACCCGGTTATTCCGGTCAAGTTGGCTGCTGAAGCCGCTTTCCTTGAACTGTTCAGCGTCGTGGACGAAGAAGGTGCCGTCTTTGACCAATACATGGCCGGACCGGGCAAGTCACTGTCCCCAGGCCAAGCACGTCCATTAAGCGATTACTTCAAGCGTGTGGCATTACGGCTGGGAGCGCAAGCAAGAGAAAGACGAGAGGCCGAAGGTGGAGCTGGTGGTTTGGGACTAAGCTCAGATGAGCAGGAGGACGAGCGTGAAGTTTGGAGTGTTGGAAGAGTAGATTTGGGCGAGACCGGTGGTGACGAGGAATGAGTGGGAGCGGCTCTGGCAAGCAGACGCAAGGCGATGTGTAGTGGTGTCGAGGCTTCTGCGAGTCCACTGCCTGCCCTGACGGGATTGTTGCTGGATATGACGCCGGCACAAAAAAAGAATTTTGTTTTGATAGCGTACAATGCTGCAAATTGTTTGTTTTGCGAGGACCTGGGAATTGCCTACTAGTAGTTCCGTTAACAGTCTATCTCTTTACCCAAGGCATCCTACTTTGCATTCAGCGGGTCCCGCAGCCAGAAGGCGGGACCTCTAATCAAACCTACAGACTGGTACAGAAAGGGTTGTTCAGCCTGATGGTCACGTGAGCAGGCGCGTGAACAAGGCTGACCTCGGTGGGCACAAGCAACAGGAACAAGAAGTTTGGTTGCTTGGTGAACTTTTTGGCGCAACCCCAAACATCCTCCGCCAACATTGAACCCCCCTGCGTTTACCTCCGTTTATATCGGCTTTTAATTCAATTCAATTTTCCTGCTGAAGTGAATATCAAGCATCACTCGGGAATGCCACTCTAGGTCACAGCCGTCTTTGGATTTAGGGACGTTAGAGCAGCCGGCTGAGCCTCGCACGAACACTCTCCACGCAGCCAACGACCATATCCACATCCACATCCATCGTGCGAGTGCACACTCAGTAGCCAGACTCCACGATGGAGATCCATTCAGTGCTGCCCGAGGAACGCGCGAGAGATCCTAAGGGCGAACCTCTGCCGTGGGGATACCGCTACGCAGAGTAAGTCTGAGTTATTTGGCGTTGGACCATGTTGTTTCTGCCGCTGACCTTGTTCTCTATCTAGCTCTGCCCGTAACACGCGACAACCCGAGGAAAGCGGACCATTCGGCCGCAACCGCAGTGTACGGACGACGGGATCACGAACGCCTCGAGCCAGAACAGGGACGACACCGGTGCGGCAGAAGGAGAACTCTGCGGTAGCCGACTTTGGACGACTCTTCGCCAAAGAACAAGCCAAAGAGGAGGAACAGCAACAACAGAGGACGACAATCAAGGCCGGTGGCGGCGACAGCACATCAACTGACAACAACACAGCAACAGCACGACCACCACCGCCGCCGATCGATTTGCCAGAAGCAGTGCCCACGGAATGTTTAATATATGGCTACGCATCCAAAGCGACGGAATGGAAAGTGTTGGCGAAATTCGAACAGATCGTGGCTCCGGGTTTCATCTGCGAAGACTACCCGCGCGAAGACCCGAACCTGTACCTCATGACGTCTCACTCGCCGCGGTCTTCGTTGCCAGCGACACAAAGAAACCTGAGCCGCGAAGCCATTCGCAAAAGCAGAATCTACAATGGCGGCCAGCACTGGATCAAAGTGACATTCGACTCGTTTCAAGCGGCCGAGACGGCGTGTTTCTACAGCCCCCTGGAGATCGACGGGTGTCTCGTCCACTGCGAAATGTGGCATGGTCGAGGTCCGGGGGCTGATGTCGCTATACCCAAAGGTCCTCTACCGCTCGAAAATACGCAGCAGCAGGAGGGAAGTCGAAAAGCAAGGACGATGAGTGCCGCTACTGGTGCTGGTAGCGGTAAGGATTCGGCCGTCGCCGGGTTCGAGCGTGTTTTACATACCCTGCCTCGCTCACACACCATGCCGGACGTCCAGTATGGTCAGCCTTCAGGCAATGACGAGGAGTTGTCTACTTTATCCTCGACTACTGCGTCGTCGGCTACCGCCACAGGTACAGCCACAGATCTACTCACTCCTTCGTCTTCTTCTGCGCTGCGGTCCCGATCTGCGCCTCAGATACCCCGGTCGAGCCAGAACCAGAGCCAGCTAGGCATGACCCAACAACAACAGCAACAAGAATCTCAATACATGACTCACATCAAGGTCAAAAAGGCCGTCTTGCGCCCCGTCTCCGAGGCCCTACCTCCCCAACCAACGCTGACGGAACGCGTGCTCAGAAGCGTTCCCGTCGTGTCGTGGTTCATGGGATCTTCTAGTACTGCCGTCGCAGCGAACAAACAAGGACGACCGGCCGACATTATCGGTGAAGGACCCCTGCTCAAGGACGATGGGTCCTGGGACCCAGCTAATGGCTGGTACTGGACCTTCTGGCACTCGGTGGATAATTGGCTCGGCACGGATTTCTGTGGTCTCAAGGATGATTAATTGATTCGTTGATTTCTAGTAATGAAGCGGTGTATTTTATAGCTGTCGGTGTCGGCGGAAACTTACACTTACTTTGATCCTCCTATATCACTTGCTTTCTATCTGGTCCGATTGACCTTGTGGACCAAGTCTAGCCGGTGGTAACCACTTGCCTCTCGCATTACCTCTCTCATCACGATCTGTGTACTATGCACGTTGTGAGACGATCGAACGGGGAGCTTCATTCCGAGCTCGTTAGATTGGTTGCGAAACATGGCATGACACAAACACAGCTTTTTGATTCTTTTCTGCTCCTATTCTGTGCCTTCGTTGCATGAATCAAAACCAGAATTCAGGTCCTCTGCTTAATGCTTCACTTTCCGCCACGTCGTCCCTCAAGAGACTTTGTTTCCGCCATCGCAACCGTGTGAGCTCGCAGTGCAATATCAAGGCAAAGCACGAATCCTTCGAGTCTTCCACGAACTCTCAAGCTCTGCCTCGGGGTTCCTCTCGTGAAACGAAAAAGGGTACCCTTTCTGTACTCGCTTGTCACGTCTGAACTGGACCTTTTGGTGCACAAGCTTATTCAACCTTGCCCTCAAAGTTCTCGCCCTCGACCAAATCCGGGATCTCGTCATCGTCATCCTCGCCTTCCTTCTTCTCACCGCCCTCCTTCTTCTGCAGGCTCTGGTACGACTCGGCCAGTCGGCGCAACGAGGCCAGAGAGTCCGGTCCCAATTGGTTAAGAATGCCGGGGACAAGCTCGGTAAGTTCCTTGTCCTCGCCGTTGCCGTAGATGGCGAAGGTGTTGGAGGGGACGGAGGCGTGCACTGTACGTACGAATGTCAGATGATCCCTAGTTCTTGTGGCTGCTTGTGCAGCGGTCTTCCACACATACCCTTTGGTGCGGCAAAGTGTATCACGTTACCATCCTCCTTGAACATGTTGACCTCCTCAATCGCTTGGATGGGTTGCACATTCATCTTCTTCAGCGCGGTCTGCAGCTTCTTGTCGTCGGTGCCGGAGCTCTTGTGGACCTTCTTCGTCTTTCTCCGCGGGGTACCTTTGCCTCTGTAGGACGAATGTTAGTCGCCTTCATTTCCCATTTTGTTTTTGATTTTCGTTTTTGACTAAGTTCGCCAGCGTATCATCGAGAGACTGGTTCGGTCTGGTCGCGTGGGCAGTTTATAAGAGTGTGCACACATACCCTGTCTCGATGTTAGTTTCGTCGGACAGCGGGACAGCCTGCGCAGTAAATCCAATACTGCACTATAGAATGATCCCAAACATACCAATTCGCACCTGCGCTTGCATGCGCTTAAGCTTCTCGGTATCCATGTTGGTGAGTTGAAATTCGAAACGACTGCTAAGCAGATGAGAGGGGCTTAAAAAGACAAGCTTGTGTCTTTTGTCGTGGACGATTCGGACACGATCGGGAAAACGAGATTGCTCGTGATTGTGGTCTGTCCTAGCTTAATGTAGGACAATCGAACTGTTACAGGCTGCGGTGGTGAGCTGGAGTTGGTGAATTGACGTCGGACGCAATCAAGTTGTCGTGCTGTGCTGCCAGACTGCGAGCGCAGTGTGAATATAGGTCTTGGCGGCAATGGCCCTAATTGGAGTGACTGCCAGTGCAATGTGGATGCGGGAGAATGACGCCGTCAGACCGTGAAGTGACCGCAACCTCGGCGGGGCATTCAGTGCGTGACATACGAACAGTCTCAGGTACAGTTTACTACTAGAGGTAGTATCTGGAGACGTTCTCCAACACTATGTTTCCGCAGTCTCCCCGGATCTCTTTGGGCGTCTTTTACAGTTGAATCATTTGCTTTTCTTCGAGCGAACTTGTTTTCAGTCTTTCGCTTAACCGAACGTCAGGATGGCGGGACGTCAAGCGCTGGTGGTGCCTGCGCTCAAGAAGCACACGGCAACCGTGATTATGGCTCATGGACTGGGAGACAGGTTGGCACCACACCCTTTCCCTGACGGCGTCGTTGATGGAGTTCTGAGGCTAACTTGGGCGAGGTAATGTAGCGGCGCAGGATGGTGAGTTGCGACAACTCCTGACGGCGCCTATCACAATGCACTCGAGTCCTGACCGCGGCTAGGGTGTCTCTCGCGGAGAACTGGCGACGACGGGGCAAGTTTGAGGACGTCAAGTTTGTCTTTCCCAATGCGCCGACGATTCCGATCACAGTAGTACGTCCACGGCTCTCTCTCCCCCTCAAACATGAAGGACATCGAAAGTTGCTGACCACTCGAGTACAGAACTTTGGCATGGCAATGCCCGGTTGGTACGATATCGTAAGGCGCCGCGACGATGTTTGCATACCCCTTTTCGTTTCATCTGCCGATTTTGAAAACACAACACGATATCAGGACTAACTAGCACTTTACGATTCGTGCAGCTTGACTTCTCGGAGCTTAGGCAACAACACGACGAACCGGGCATCCTCCGCAGCCGAGCGACCTTCACCAAACTCATTACAGATGAAATCGCGGCCGGCATCCCTTCGAACCGAATCATTCTAGGTGGCTTCTCTCAAGGCGGCGCCATGTCCATATTTACAGGTGTCACGACGCCTCATAAACTCGGGGGCGTTTTCGGACTCAGTTGTTATTTATTGCTCGGGGATAAAATTAAAGAATATGCCAAGGAAGCCAATGGAGCCAACAAGGACACCCCGTTTTTCATGGGCCATGGCGACGCCGATGAAGTGGTCAAGTATAGATGGGGGGTGCAGACAGCCGAGTTCCTGAGAAACGAGCTGGGGCATAAGGTCGAGTTCAAGACATACAAGTAAGTCGTGGGTCTAGGACGTGCATGATATGGATCTGGTTGCTGATGCTGATGCTGCATAGGGGTCTCCCGCACTCAGCGGACATGCAGGAAATTGACGATCTGGAGGTGTTTATCAAAGACTGTCTAAAACCCACAGAGTCTGCCCTCTGACTGCCAGTGGCGGAAGGTGGAGGTGGAGTTGAAGTTGAACACCGCGGTCACTCCGCCTCCACCTCCACCATATTTGGTATCTTGTTGGTTTTCATGGCGTGTTTTGTTTTGTGTCAGTCTTGGCGTCGGATCAAAAGGGCAAGATAAGCATAGATCAGCCGGTGGATGTCTGAACAGTAGAAAGGATTTTTGATTCTAAAGACTAGCTTCTTGTCCTCATGTGTTATCTTTTCTTTCCTTCGTCTCGCTCATGCAGCTCCCTCTTTTCGTTGGCCGGTATAGAACGCCAACCCGTATGAATTTGTTGTGAATGTGATGACGGCACCCTTGGGGAAATAAAAGACGTCTCCCGCGACAGCCTAATATTCGAATAAATGTCAGGACTGTGGCTTGGTGTTTGAGTCCCGGGGAATTGCTCTACCACAAACCCACGCGAGGAGTGTGTTATAGGGATGAAACTTACATGCACAGATTGGCCGGTTTCGTCCTTGATATCAAACTCTCCTTCCAAAATGATCTTCATCTCATGGTAGGTATAAGTGTAGACTAAGGGAGTGCCCTTTTCGAGGCGGTAGAAGCCGGCGCTGATGGGCTTCTCCGGGTCATTTTTGTCACTGCTGGCGATGTCCCCGAGGTAGGCGTTCTCGTTTGCGATCAGGGGAGGCTTGAATTCCTTCTGCGCTTTGGAAAAGTACGTGAAAGCTGGTGACGAGCCCATGTTGTCTCAAGAGATTCAAGTTGTAGAGGCAGCGGAGTTGTATTTGAGTGATGCGCGCAAGAGAATGGAACAGCAGAGGAGAGTAGAATACAACAACAGAACAGGAGAAAGGGCCAGGCGTCTCAAAGATATACTTGGCTGTCTTGTCCCTACCTGTCTCGTAGTACTATACCTACATTGGCCATAAGGTGCGTCGTCGCCATGCACTGGCAGCGTGTTCCGCTGGCCGAGGAGGCAGATGGTCGGTCGGTCAATCAGCCAGCTGATGTCTCCGCGACGCTCATCACCGACGTCTATATGTTTGCCCGAGTTTGTAAGGTTACCCCGGGCCCATGTTGATTGAAGAGCATCATGGAAAAGGTCGAGTCGAGGGATAAATATGCCCGACAGGGTTAAGTGCGCGAGGATCCGAGACCAACGACAGATGGAGGTGAACTTCGACAGGAAACGCACCGCGAGGTCAAGTAGATTAAGAGATAAGAGATAAGACAGGGGCTAGTACTAAGATAGTTAGTAGATGCCTTGAGACATGTTTGCTCTGTTTGCTGTATTTGCTAACAACAAGAAACCCCCGCTAGTCAGTCACCTTTTCATGAACGCGGTACACCACTATGAGCGCGAGTCATGACTGTATACCCCACTGCACTGCCGAAACCACCACCCATAATTGAAGGCGTACTATTTCAACTCCTGATGTCTGCTTTCTCATCACTACACTCGTCACCTTCAGTTCTTTCTCTTTCTTTTATTCCTTTCTCGTCATGCTCGTCAAACGACGCTTCCGACTGCCGGAATGTGACAGGCTCTCCGATGGGTCAATGCCGTGCATGTCCTCGAAAACGGACCCCGCCTTCTCTTTCATTCGTTCAACAACTTCAAATATTCACTCTTATCCTATGATCGACAGCGTAGCCTTGGAATCCCGCACGAAGCCGAATCGAGGAATCATTTCCCCTGCCGCGAACCTTGTCGGATACTATCCTCGACTACTTCCTTACTAGCCCCGACACACAGCATACACACCTCCTACACATCCGAATCTTCGACTTGCAGTCATCAAGGGTCAGTAATAATAGTGTAGATGACTCTGCATCTCATGTGTTTCAGTCCCACTACCACTGGTAATGGCATTGGCTACCGAACGACAACTGGTATTCACTTGATCCTTTTTCAGGTAGAGGTTGCCAACATGCAAGGAAAAAACGACTCTCGACTCCCACATTTCCTTGCACGACGGGATTCTTCGAGCATGCACGATATCAATGCGGCACGTACTAGTAGTAGTTATGCGTCTCGGGTCTTGTTCACATACTATATTTACCTCAGGATCTCGGTTGGTGGATTGCTCGTAATCGCAAACTTGTAGGGCTGGCCTAGGTTCCCGGTTGTAAGACAACTAAGGTGTCTACAGTACATACCTCTTACACTATGTTCCCCGTCAGCCTTTTCCTTCCCAAATCGAACCGCCGGATGCTGGACCCCAGATTTCTTCTGCTTGTTCTTGGAGTCTAAGCACGAACCATACCTAAATAGGTACCTCGAACCAGGTTGGAGATGCGGGTATGATGGACCTACCAGGTACGTACTGAAGGTCCCGAGTGTAGTGGGTACGTATATTTATGGACTCCGAGTGCTTGACGGGAATCAGATGAGAAGCACTCACTCGCTCAGTCCACTCGAGCAAGCTCTGTGGCATGATAGCACCACCGGGGCAATAGCAATAGCAATTTCCTACCTAGCTAGTAGTACAGTAATAGTAATGCTACCTCATCAATGGTATTAAATATACCTAATAGTAATAAGAAGTTGAATCTGCCTCCGATCGTGCTTCTGCTACATCACAGTCTATGTTTGTCATCCATTCGACCTGACCTCAGTGGTGGTGGAGAATCTCGCTCCATAAAAGTCTCTTCCTCGCTCTCGCTCGCCCTTTGAGAGCCACCCTCGTGCAACAAAACGACGACCTGCGGAAAACATCCCATATGCAACCTGCGAGTCGGACCGCTTCGTTCGCATTGAAATCTATGTCAAGTTACGTCTCATCTACGGCCTACATATTCCGCCATCCATCCAGTCTGGGCGGAGGCTGGATGCCGAGGACACCCTTCTTGTCTCTCCCGTACCGAATCGCCATTCTTTGAAACCATACGAACGCCCGCATGTATACCTCTGCATCTCCATAGCGCCACTGCAACATAGCCAATTCGCGACCCAAGGCAGCCAGAAAAATACCCGAAAGAACGCCTTGCTAGCATTGTCCACCGGGAAGTCGAAAGATACCTTGAGCATAAACAATATATAAAGCAACCGTCAAAATCAAACCCAACAGATCTCACGCCACAGCGCCAATCTGTCCCGTCGTCATAAACGTAAATAAATACATAACAGCCGGAAAACATTCGTTAGAAAGCGCAAAAAAGGCAAAAAAATCTGGCTCGGCCTCAGGGCTGAGGACTATAACATCACAGATACTCAGACGGTCGGGCTCGACAAGATGAGCACCTTGACACACCCTGTGGTGATCGGCGACCAGAGCAAAAGTCAGAGGGTCGGAAACCGGGCAGATGAGCGGGAAACAACAGCCGAGATCCCATCGACATTAAAGTTACCCCAGAGTCCCGAGCTCGAGGAATACAGAGCAAGCATGCGGCAATTCCTGGTGACTCGTGAGCAGACCAAGGGGAGCGTCGTCGGCAGGAAACAGGACAATAACAGGCCTGGCGTCCTGAACCATTGCGCCATCAGCATTGACCAGAGGGAACAATCTCCTGAATCCCAGTGGATGGATCTGGAAACCCTAAGGCGGAAGCACGAGTTGATGATGTTCGATACCGGCCTCGTCGAGAAAGGGACTCGCTCCCTCACACCAGTACAGCGAATCTCCTCGCCAAGTTGTCGGCAACACAACCACCACCACTGTATCAACAAGCAGTCGCGGCATTTTTATCGAGAGTGTTGCTCAGCAAGTCCATCGAGCAAGAGTGCGTTGAGTGGTAAGAAACATTCGAAGCTGAACGCACATTCGCAAATGGATGTGCAGCCCTGCGGATATTATCATCCTCTCGGTTATCCAAGAAACACTGTGAACGACCAAGTCAGTGAACAATGTCAATAGGGTAACAGCCAAGGAAAGAGTCAATGGAGACGTCCAAACCTCGGTCAACAGGGTCAGAACAAAGCAAAGAACATACCTTCCCAGTGCCACTCGGCCATAACGCCTAACCAATGGAGCCTTCCTCGCACAGTATACTCGTGTTCAAGTTGGCCTGGTGAGACAATATCTCCAGTAGGTCGACGCGAGATCCCCACGCAAGAGCCAGGCATTGAGGCAGGAAGGTTTCTGTTGTTGACATGGAGCTTCCAATTTGACACACCATCTTGTTGAGTCGTAGAATCTATCGTGACCCTTCTTTTCAGCAACCGAACCGGATCGTATGCTTCTTCGGGCGTCGAGGTGGACCCGAGGACATTGGCATTGCCTTCTGCGAATATTGCGTCATCACCCAGGTCGCCATCAGAAGTGTGGCCCTTTCGCTTGAGACCCGGTGGCATGTTGAGAACAGGGGGAATAAAGCTCCCACCTGGAACCCCCCGCGAATTATACCGTCTGCGTAAACGATCCGCCTTTCCGTTCTCATAACAATCACGGCGCCTCCAGACCTCTTCCACAACCCGCCAGCAAGATTTGACGTTTCCAAGCTTCAAGCGCGCTATCATCGCGGCCCACCGCTGTCTCACCCAGGTTCTGTCATCCGGGTCCGTAACTTCGCAGCTCGCAGCCAACAATGGAAATATCTGCACTATAGTTGCACGCGAGGACAAAGGTACAGAAGCAAGGGTAACGAGCACCTTCTTCGCCAGGCTCTGGATGCCATCACTGGGAATTTCAGGGACAGCCTGGTGCAGATAGAGAAGTGTTGCATAACGGTACGCCTCCGCCGTCTGAATTGAGTGCTGCACCTCTGAATTAGGATCTTCCGGTCTCTCAAAAACGCCAACACTCGGAATCTGCCACTGTTGCAATTCTTCTTTGAGCTCCATCGCCGTGGACACCAATGTCAAGGAGTTTGAATCGGTCTTGCGTACACGTTGAATAAGGCGTGCAACACGGCCTATCAGTGGGAAGAGCGTGGTTGCGCAACCCATGAGGGGGTCCACCTCGACCTGGTCTCCAAACGGGGAGTTGACGGTTTCCAAAATCTCATCAATATCAAGGTCATGCGGTTGTTCCAACGAGGTCAATCTCGCTATGACATCCATGTAGACGAACGTGTTGCAGAGAAATTTGAGGCGAGTGGCATCCTGTGTGCTCATCCGGCCTGGCTGCATGTCCTGGCGCTGCTTGACAATCACATTGTTGACCATGACTTTGGCTCCTCTCAGATGTTGTACACCGGTGCTTACATGACGGTCCCAGCCTTCACTGAGGCCCAGTGCTAGGGACGTTGCCAGCGCCGAGTCTAGCCTCATGTTTCCCATCTCCTGTGCCAGCCGCTTTATTGATTTGTTCATATGGGCCATTCCTGGCACGTGTAAATCCGGAATTTCGTGAGCCCCATGAAACGCGGTCATTGCCGAGATGGCATGATATAAAGCAGGAGATTCGCGAGCTAATGGCCAGATCAATGTACGCCAGGGGTTTTCGGTTGGGCCATCTTTAACGGACAAGATACCGCATGTTTGTTTATCGAATCGGAGCATAAGCATTTCGGGGGACGAGACGTCCAGAGATGGTTGTGCAAGGATTGTCATGTCGCTGGATTTGGAAGACGATGTTGAAGCCTCGCTGGGCGTTGGAGATGCTGCTCGGAATCCTTGCCATGTCGAAGCGCCTGAGGTAGGGTCGATCAAAGATGTGGGCGTAGGGAGCGTCATTGCTGGCATATCTGACGTTGTCGCCATAACGTCAGATCGGACGATTTCCTCGTCAAAGTCATCGCCATCGTCAGGCATGTCGAGGTCGAAGTTTGATGGTTGATACGACAAAGGAGATATGGGAGGTCGGATATCTGGTGGGTCGGGCGGCCGGTGCATTTCCGGTCCCGGAAAAGGCATGTCCATGAGTTGAGGCGATCCAGAGGAGAACGATTTTGCGCTATTGCTGTCATTCACGGACGAGGTGTTGGTGGTCGATAAAAATCCATAAGGATCCGGGTGATGATCGCCATAGGAGAATCCGGGCGTTATGCCCTCCACGTCGAAAGGAGGAACATAGGTAGAGTAATCAATCCGGCTAGGTTCAGGGAAGAAACACTGGTTCATCTTGTCATGCGCTTCTTGCTCTGAACCTGACTGCGCGTGAGGTGCTTGACTCTGGCCGTGGAAGGCGTAGGCGGCCGTAGCAAAGGCCGAATGAAGACCTGGCGACCATGTTTGAGGAGGGTCCACATTATTCACAGCAATACGTCGGGGTATGGGTCTGCAGCTTCCTGGAATGTCAAGCGGTCGGGCAGCAGCATGGTCAACGGCACCAGACGAAGAATTAGATCGGAAGGCCTTCCGCTTCGCAGTGGGTTTGGAGGTGAAATTGGTTTCTTCGAAGCTCCGCCATTTGTAGTCCTTCCTGTATCCCTCACACTCAACGCTTCGCTTCTGACATTGGACACACGACGGCTTTGTCTCGTCGCATTTGAGCCTCTTTTTCTTGCAAGTCATACAGCCTAGGAGAATGAATGTCAGTCACATTCTCTGCCGTCTTCTGTGGGCAGACGGATCAAGGGAGCACTGGAACATGCTAGGGCCATGCAAATAGAACATACCATTTCGACTCTTGCTCTGCTTCGGTTTGGTTACCGCGCCATCCTGGACTGCTGGTGCAAGTTTGGTAGGAGGTCTGCTGATAGCAGTTGTTCTGGGTTTGGTAACAGCAGGTCGTTTGGCTGCCGTGCTTGTAGTAGGACTAATCACAGAAGAGTCCTTCAAAAACGCAGACGGTGATGGGATTTGGACCTCCATGCGACGCTGACATGGACAGGCGACATGAGAATTGCAAATGAACAGAGACCAGCAACGGTAGGATGAGGATCGGAGTTGTGGTTGCGACAGTGGCGGAGGACTGGAGGAGAATCAGCAGGCTGGAGTGATTGGAGAGTGTCTGGCCTAGGCGGGCCTTTCAGGCACGAAAGACGTCAATCGAATAGAATACGAGGCTGATAGCAAGACGTAAGGAATGAAAATCAAAAAGCAAACAGAGAACGTGGAGTTTCAGTGGTAGAATGTGCGTGGGTTGAGAGTTGGGGTGGCAGCGAGCAGGTCAGGTCATGCCGTGATGCGGGTGAAACGGCCGGCCGCCGCCACTGCAATGCGCGTGCAAAGTGTCTACTAGTAGTGTTGATGAGTCCGGTGCCAGCGAGGGCGGTGATGTCCAGCGGAGATGAAGAAGACACAGACACTCGGTTCTATTGAGCTGCCAGGCCGGAAGAATGATAGATGATAGGTGGTGGATTGGTTGGAGGTGCAGTGGGTGATGGATGATGAACGGTACCGACTCTAGTAGTGGGCGGCGGGCACTTCCACTTCCACTTCGTTATCTTTGAGACTGCTTTGCTGTCGAGATACGCGAGACCACCTCTTCTATCTCGGTATCTGATGCTGCAGAGTGCACGACGATTGCCGCTCTTGGCTTGCCTTATCTCATTCCCTCGACACGAGAGGTCCAAGCTACGACGATGGATGCGTGCTTGAGTCCTCACTTCCGCCCGCCTGCGCCGCGTCGCCAGCCCTGTTACAGCCTGAGGACACCTACCGCGAGACAGCAAACACCGAGACACAGAACCCCAGATTGCTAGTTCAACGACCTGGTATCAGCTCCCGTCCTTCGATTCGTTATCAGCGGATCCCGTATCCTAGTTCCCCGGCCTCCCTCACCCGCAGGGCCCTCGAAACTCCTCCAACTCCTCCACCTGTCACGTCGCCCACCAGTCATGCGCTGGCGAAACAAGGGCATCTCCGCTCACTATCAATGTGACAGTGTGTTACTGGCCTATATCTTGATTGGGCGGTCCCACTGTCCTTTGCGACGGACGTCTTCCCCAGAGGCAGCTTCAGACGAATCACAAGGGGCCTGTTTTCGACCTTGGGGATATAACATGTTCGGTTTTCTTGCTGTGTCTGCTACCTCCCGGTTATTTAAGACCTGAGGCTTTGATTTACAGGCTGAACACCATGTCAGATTGCCAGACGACCCTGTCGACTGCCATGATGCGTACCGTCCCTGGTATGTTTGTCGAAGCCACCTGCACGTTCCGCCGCATACAGTACACCCAAGCAGCAAGGCGCCAGAGCAATTATTTCTGGTTGGACCCTGGGCTGATGCGGAACCGCTCGAGCGACGAGATCATAATAGCCACCCACACTGCAATGGTGCTACTACGTACAGCACTATGCGAGTGAAGGTTGCACAAAATATACAACCGACAGGGCAACCGGACTAGAGAGTCATGGAAATTGCAAATCGTCCAGGATGCCGTGTTACACGACTTCCGTTTTGGACTGCTGGAAAGGCAGGTTCGGCAGAATACGGACGGCGCCAGACCGATAGGAGTGGGCTGTGATGGCTGTGACGCCTGCTTTGCTACCGTGGACATGCCGTGTCTGTAAGTTTTACGATCATGTCTCAATCGATGTTCCGTTTTAGAGACGATCTGGCGGAGTTCCACATGTTCCACCGAGGAGCTTATTACTTTGGAACCCGGCTTTGCCAAAACTTGATCTTGACGAGCATCGCACGGGAAGTACAGTAATGCTGCGCCAACCACGGCTCCAGGTTTTACACAAGGTGAGTCTAGAGCTGGCCTTTGATGAGCTAGACTGCCCGCCCTGAGGAGGGTCTCGGTAAGTGAAGGCTTAACCAGCCTGGAGCCTCGGGGTGTCAAAGCATACGGCTGTTGCTTACATACTAGTACCTGGTATTGCTGGCATAGTATGCAATGATTTGTCCCCTCTTACCAAGAGCGACCATCCATATACCTGTTTTTCAAGGCGAACACATCTCTACTAACATAGCGTACTAACCTAGGAGCACAGTATTTTGTCCTCAACTTCCTCCTTTCACTATTTCGATTGTTTCAAATTCTTCGCCAACCCCGGCCACTGTCTCTCAAAAGCCTCGACAGTATCCAAAATAGACTTATCATAACGAATGAACCTATCCGCCCCCAGAGCTTTATACGCCTTGCTCGAAACCAATTTACTTTCGTCCTCTGGAAACCAATAGTCTTCGGTATATCCCTGACCGGGGTTTCCAACAATGATATCTCGCTCGGGGAATTTGGCACGCAATAAATCGGCCGCAGCCTGTGGTGGTGCCTTGCCATTGACCATGAGATACCTCTGACCATTACTTTGGTCTGAATGTTCCATTGCCCAGTTATGCATGCGCGCCACGTCGCGCACATCGATGTATCCCGCCCCGCCGATCTGAGGAGGCATTCTCGTGTTCGGGTCAGACTCACGACTACTCCAGATCTTCCATATGGGCAAGAGCGTCTCGTTGAGTTTATCCGGTGTGGCAGGCCATGAGACAGGTGGACCCGTCACGACGGCAGGGTTGATTGCGGACACTGCGAACGGCAAACCAGGTTGATGCGCGGCCACCCAATCCCAGACGGCCCGTTCAGCAGCGGATTTGGATGCCCCGTAGGCGACGGGCGCAGAGAATGTTTCTCGCGCCACACTTTCGCCCGTCGCATTCCAGTCGGATTCGGTGTAGGCGTGGTTGGGGACTTGTTTCCATTTATCGACGATGGCGGCGACGGAGGATGTGACGACGAATGAAGTGAGTCGTGAAGACTGTGGTGGTGGTGGTTGTCGTGAAGGGTCTGTAGTGGTAGCTGTGGTTGTAGATTTCATAGCTTCTTTCCAAGCAGACTCCAAAATCGACAAAGTCCCACCAACCGCGGGACCCATAAACTCATCGACTGTGGTCAACGTAAAATCCACCGGTGACGCGGTATGTATAATTCCATAGACCCCTCGGACAGCCTCGTCGAATGCTCCTGGGACAGCGATGTCCGGGACAACAACGTGCTGGTATCGGTGTTTGTGGTTGCGAAAAGCGCCAGTCAAAAGGTGTTCTTTGGCCGCTGGCGATCGAGACGTCCCGCGAACGGTGTAGTCCCTTTCGAGGAGTTGGAGACCAATGTGGCTGGCGATGTAGCCGTTGATGCCGGTGACGAGGATGATTTTGGATGAGTTGGAGGCGGAGGTGGAGGTGGAGTCGACGCCAGAATCAACGTTGGGCTCGCCGGCGGGGTGGATTTCGTGATTTGTACTGTTGTTGATGTTGGTGTTGATATTGGTGTCCACATCATTGGGATTTATACCCGTGCTTGCGCCTCTGCTCGTGCCAGTGTCTGTACCTGTGTCCTTTCCCAGCTGAGGACTGTCATTATAGCTGTTGTCGGTATTGTTGTCATTGGCTCCCAGTGATGGTAATGGTGCTTGGGGCGTCGTCATGACCTGATCGTCGAAAGCAGCCATCGCTGCCCGTGACCCTGACCCCGATACTGACCTTGACCGTGATCTTGACCCTAATCTCGACCGCGACTTTGAGCGATAGCAGGAGAGTGAGGGCGAGCGACAATGTTGAGACTCCCAACGCGCTCTGCCACCAGTCCACTCGTTGCTCTCGCTGTGGCTGTGCTCGTGGTTTGGAGTATCACGACCGTGACTGTGCCTGTGACTCTGACTGCCAGTTTCAATGCCAATACCAGTGCCAGTGTGGCTGTTGGACTGGAGATCTTCGTTCTGGTTCTGACTCCAACTCTCGCTGTCCCTGTCGCTCCGCTCGTCGTGGTCAAGGAGACTTGGATTTGGACTTGGAGGACTTGAACTCGGACGTCGACCTCGACTCCGACTCCGACTCTGTGCCTGACTCTGTCTCTGCGTCTGTGTCCGGTCCTGACCCTGAGTGTTTCTGTCTCGTCGGCTTTGGCTTTGTGATTGTGATTGTCTCCGGTTCAGTGAACGAATGTATATATGTGAATATCTCTTTGCGGTCTCAATTGTTGCGGCGGGCCACGGGGGCCAGTCGTGGCGCAGCCGTGCTCCTAGAGCGCTTGTCGAAAGTAGTGTTATGCTTATCAAAGCCACTCGTTCAAACTCGGGCCGGCTCCGACCACGAGACCGGCGTTTTATTTGCTCTAGACTTGGGCAATGTAGTTCTGAAACATTCGTTGGAGGAGATATATGTATGAATCGAAGTCAGTGGAAGATGCAGTGGTGTCTGCGCGGACTTTTGGAGAAGACCCCAGATGCCCGCCGTTAGGCGTCATGATTATATGTGGATTTTTACAAACGAGAGGATTATTACTATCACCCGCTTTCTAATCAAGCCGGGGTTGCGTGTGTCAAGGGGCTGTGCAATGGATGCCATGCCATGCCATGCCACGCCACGCCACGGGTAGGAAATGTTACGCAGGACGTAAGGGAGAATGGATGTTGGAGATCTTATGCAGATGTCTACTAAGTAGTACCTTGGTACGCAAAGCACACGGGCAGACGAGGCAGACAGATGAGATGGTGGTAGGAATACTATTAATATTAATATTAATCAGGATATATGGATATGGATACCTGGGCCTTAAGGGGCACAGCCTTGTCTCTCCTCTGAGGCCTGCGGTGCTGGGAGGGGGATGACAGACGAACAAGCAGACCATGATGTTCAAGACCGGTTCCAATGCCCAACTCGATTCAGTTGGATCTGGACCATATTTGGATGGTCGCATACAATCTGCGAGTATATCTCGACTGATCGACTCAATCACTGTCCATTGCGACGTGTGTACATAGGAAGATGTAGTTGGCTAGTCGGTCAACAGAACAGTGCTGAGATAATACAAATATATCAACTCAATATCATTTCTTCGTGACGATATATGTCATATCTCGAAACGTACCAGCCGCACATTAGCCTAGCAAACGAGTCAACCAAACGCCAGCCAGCCTTGGACAATAGCAACCTCAACCACAAGACTGCCCCCATCTTGACCATCTTGAACCTCAATCAATCAATTAATACCCAGCAGCCTTCAACTCATTCTCAGTCCACTCCCACAGCCGTCGTCCAGCATCCGGATTCTCAGCCCATTTATTCTTCCTCAATCTCCCAACAGGGGTATAATAAGCCCCATTAACCAGCTCATCCTTTTTCGCCCCCGCCGCCGCCCACAACTGATTCAGCGCCCCCGTCGGGATAGTCTGATAAATCAGCGGCCCAACAACCATCAAACCATACTTAAGCAAAGGATTCGCTCCCGAGCTAGGGAGATATAAATCCGTCTTAATAACCCCCGGATGCAACGAAACACTCGTGAAAGCGGGATACCTTCTTGCCAATTCAGCAGCAAACATGATGTTAGCCGCTTTGGACGCCCCATATCGTGTCCAGGGACTCGTAGCAGTCAGTTTCTCAGTCGACAAGATAGTATCAAGGCTTGGAGCCAAGTTGTTGGCCTCGGACGACACCGACACGACACGCACGTCGGGGTTATATTTCTCAACCGTGGTCTGCAACACCGGCAGTAGCAACTTGGTCAACAGGAAATGGCCGACGTGGTTGGTTCCCAGCTGGATGTCCTGCCCAGAAGCCGTTTTGCCAGGTGGCACGGCCATGATGCCCGCGTTCAACACGAGGATATCGAGTCGGTCGCTGCGGCTGATGACTTGGTCGGCGGCATACTTGATGGATGGCAACGATGTCAGATCGAGTGGTACATATTCGATGTCGACATCCTGGGAGACCTGAGATTTGATCGAGGCTATGGCGTCGCGCGCTTTTGATTCGGTGCGTGCAGCTAGGAATATCTTGTGCGGATTGTGTTTGGCTAGTTGGAGGACTGTTTCTTTGCCGATGCCGTTGTTGCCGCCGGTGACGAGGGCCACTTTGCCGGATAGATTGGGAATGTCGGTTTCTGGGTTGAATGTCACGCCGCTGTTGCTGAAGGGCCACATTGTTGCGAAACGGGGGGCGAGGATTTCAATGCCCTGGATGGGATGGAGTGCGTATGGAGTAAAGAGGCCTATTGGAAGTTGTTGTAGTTGTGAAAGAACCGTCGTCGTGGGAGTCGTAGTAGTGGTAGTAGTTCGCTGTGTATTGGTGGTGGTAGAACTTTGACTGTGGGTTTCTTGTTCGCTCATGTTAGACTTTTGATAGCTTTTCACATGCAGTGTTTATATGGGAGGGTCGTCGTGAGGAAGACGGGCCAGCGGTTCAGATATGTTCCTCGGGCTGCGTCATGGAATTGAGATTAATTTGGGAAAACCACTCACCCATCACCCACACCGTTCGAGATGTCAAAGGCGCAAACATGCGCTATGCTCGAATAGTAACGGATGGTCTTATCGGCCGTTGCCTGTTTGAATACCGGCGCGGAGCTTCTTCATGCTTGATGATACGTGAAAGTTGTACAACTCAATCAATCGATGGAACGGCCGTAAAGATGGCACAATCAGATGACTAAGCGGTATACTTATAGTTGTACATACATGGTGCCACTCCAGCCTCATTTTAGTATTGCAGTCTTATTGTTTCCACATTTGCACGGAGTCGACCTGGTTCAGTAATATACTCGAGAAGACCTTTTTCATGTGGTCTAACAGTCTGCCATTCCGGCCAACGTCCTGCCCTGCTGATCTATACAATATCTTCGTGGGAATCATATCCCTCATCCCAGTCCAAAACCGAATAGCAATTTTCCAAACGCCATCGCTATGCCAGAACACTAATCCACCAAGGTATCACCTAGTAAGAAAACCCTTCCACATGAAGATATATGCCTTGGGCCCCAGTACCTTTGTGTACAGCACGCTCGTCACTCAACGCCACGACACTGCGTCGGACGTCGTCCTGTAGTCCCTGAGGACCGCATACCACCACCGCGCTTTCTCCTTCGGCTTCCTCTAAAACTTTTCGAATAATGTCACGAGGTTTGGGTCGCCCTCCGATCAACTTGAGCTGCGGTACCGCTGCAGCTGACATTGCCTTTAATGCCTTGGGGCTTTTCTCGCTGATTGACGAAACTGACGACGAGGAAGGGATGGAGCTCGATGAAGGCCCGCAGCAACAGCATCTAATTGCTTCCCCGTCTTCGTCCACCGCATTCTTGCAACAGCAAGTTCCATCCGGCCCACACCCATCGTTGTTCCGATCTGTCGATGCAATAGACCGTACTTCCACCTTTTCATCCGCCACCTTTTTCGTCAGGGCTTCCGCGTCGGAGGAAGTCGTGTCTGCCACTTTGACAGTTCCGTGTGCTGGAGGCTCGCAGCAGGCATCGCCGTTGGATGCGTCCAGCGTCTCGTCACAAGTGACATAGATGCTAAGGTCAAGTTCCTTCTTGGAGAATCCATCGCATCGTTGGACATTTCCAACGTCTAGAAGCGCTGTTTGGAGTTGCTCTTTGAACCATCCCACTCGATCCTGGGACTTGACTACCCAAACAAAACGGATCTTCCGTGTCACGATACCAGACGCGCCATCAACGCTGGACTTCCACCTCCGTACAATATCTCGCATTAGAGGGACGGTAAATGTTGCGCCAGTGCCCCCGGCGAAGAAGCAAATGCTGTCAAACTGCCGTAGCGGTCGGATCTTCCCATAGGGCCCTTCGACCCCCACCAGTTTATATTTCACGTCTGCTACATCCTCAGACCGCGGCAGACCGAGATTTCTCAGCGCATATCGATGCAGACGTTTTGTGCCCCCTTTCTGAGCTTGGACCAGAAATTCCAATTTTCCATCCGACTCCAATGAAGCGATGCTGAAAGGATGGCTCTGCAAAGGAACCACGGTGTGACATGACAGAAAAACATGCTGACCAGGACTCCATCGCAATACCGGCTTGTCAATAGTGATCCGGGTCACATTTCCAGGTAACGGTGTCAAGACGGCCTTGTTTGCCCAGAAGAGGCTCCTGCCTGGCACACGACGGTGGAAAATCGACAAGTTGGCCACGAGTGTGACCAGGAATCGCGCAACTCGGTCGAAAAAGAACAACGCCACACAAACCCAGACGTAGGTCTTCCCGTAGTCGACGTGGAGCATAACAGCTCCAATGAACCCTGCAAAAAGGACCAGATGTGCAACGACGAATACTTCATAATTCACCCGTCGCATTGGAGCAAATGACGTGGCCACAAGGGCGGTCAGAATGCACCACGCAGCAAACCCAGTCTGCGTCATGGAGTCGGTGGTCAATTTCACCTTGATGTAGTCATATCTTGCCCAACTCCTGAACCAGAACATCAAGTGAAATGTGGCCGTCAACCATAGAATACGGGCCACCCAGCGGTGCAACCAATTCAGCCGTTCATAACTGATACCTGAAAGGAAGCCAACAATGTTTTGTTTGCCGGCAAGGAGGAAGACAAGAGGAAGCTGAGCTTGAGCGATGCACCCACACCGATAAGCAATGTTCTCCCAGCTCCACTGGTCCTCTGTGTCGTATTTGTAAAAGCAGAACACAATGACGGTAATAAGGTATGAGAGAACCATAATCGTCTTGCCCAAGGAAGGCGCGCGGAATTTCAGCCATTTGAGTTGGTATGCTGGCAATGAAGCGGAGCTGATCTCCCGGGCCACCGCTGTCAGTGTGGCATAAGATGACCAGAGGAACGACTTGGGTTTCGCACTCAAACTTCGTTGTCGCTGCCAGAGCAGAATGTGGTTGAGCAGGTTGCAGAGGGCGGCCACTCCAATCGCAGTTCCAATTACCGCCCAGAACATTTTTTGCATGTAGAAATACCCAGGCACGCCGCTCCCGGAGCCCATGCTCCCCATATCCATGCCGCCCATATCATGGCGGGGAGAGAGATGCGTAATGGCCATCTTCGAGGGCAACAACCTGGCGAGAAGACGGAGCTGATATAAAGCCAAACGAACCGGTTGCTAGTAACGACTGTCTTGTGCCATATGTTCCCCCGCGTGAACGTCCGAGTGGTTAGACCGATTGGAGGCGACTTGGAGAGGATAAGGTAACAATTCGTTGCGATCGCGGACTTTGGTAAAATGTACTTGGACAATGGACGTTAAATGGCTTGAAGTCGCAAAGAACGACCGGAGAGAGTGCTGTGTGATACTATACTATCGAATATAATTCCTGTAGGATTGGCTCGTGTACACGTAAGACGAACCCGGGTACAAATGTGCTCAAGGGCTCGGATGAGGACTCGGCGCGGCGGTGAGCGGTACCTTGATGTGGAACTGGAATCGTCGAAACCCGAGAGGCAAAACTGCAATTCTGTGACTTGAAGCCAAGAAATTGACAAGATCGGACTTGGAGTTGTGCTCGTAAAGGATCTCGTGAGTTTAGAGCATCGAGAGACAGAAACACGAGATCTCTAGAAATCCAGAATCGTACAAGTTGAAGCCAACAGGTACCTCATGACAGCCGCTGTGGCAGTAACAAAGCGTACCTGATTAACCGGGAGTGTAGGCTCTTTAGGCGTCACCCCTCCGAGTCCAGGCGAAACAGACGCGGTTAGGCGGGCGATCAACTGTCGCGAGTATCCTTGTCTTTCGGCTGGGAACCCTGCGCCACTGCACACAAAGAAGGACCCCACCAGGAGCCTGTTCCATCCTGACGCCGACAATGCTAAAATGGGATTTACTACTAGCGCCCGCAAAACCTGCGCAGCCAAGAACTTGCTCATCTTTCAACCTTGAAGCGCGACTTCAGTTCCACGGGAACTTCAAGATGTCGATGGATCGCGCCAAAAGCCGAAAGGCGCCGTGTCTGACAGGACTACTTGTAGCGGTGGAGACCGCGGGATCGACTTGCAAACACCTTCCAAGTTGAACTGAACTGAGGACCTCGTTCGCACGCTTCCTCTCCTCCTCGCCGTCATACGCCACTCATTGCCGGGTTTCACTTCGACGCTATACACCTCCCATAACATGCTCAGGAACCCAACACAAGACTAGGAAACCTTGGCTCGACTCCCCGGCTCTATCGTCGAGAATTTATACAAAGACGCCAAACAACCCTCTCCGCCCTTTGTCTGTGGGATCTTCATAAACCACCACGTCAAAATTAAAGACCACAAGTCACTCTGTCTGCAACAATCTTGACGAAATGGACATGTCGAATTCTCATTCAAGCTCGAGCTCGGACTCGATGTCCATGTCGATGGCCATGGTCTTCACCAACTCACACTCTACGCCTCTATTTTCCAACGCCTGGACGCCCACTTCTGAAGGCGGTTATGCTGGCACTTGCATATTCCTCCTCCTTCTTGCGGTGACTTTGCGACTCCTCTTCGCCGCCAAAGCATTATGTGAGCAGAGGTGGTCCGCCGCCGCACGAAACCGGCGGTTTGTTCTGGTGAAGGGCAGATCGACCGAGGCTGGCAGAATCGATGAGGATCCTGATGCAAAAACCGCTTCTTTACTCACGGCCCAAGGAGTTGAGGAGAACGTGAAGGTGGTTCAGGCGAGAACGGGCGGGACTCTTCCCTTTCGATTATCCATCGACATCCCTCGAGCTGTTCTAATGACCATCATCGCCGGTGTTTCATATCTACTGTGAGTGAAATCACCAGCTGCTTGCTGTTTGTCGGTATACTGACTGGAGTGCAGGATGCTGGGAGTCATGACCATGAACGTCGGCTACTTCCTCTCGGTGTTGGCAGGCACTTTTGTGGGCGAGCTATTGGCGGGCAGATATGCCCAGGTTGACGAGCATTTACATTGATGCATTGCTAGAGTTGGAGCGTTCAGGATACCCTTCATACGACGATAGAGGCGTTCGGCGAGTCCGTCGGAGCCGTCTTATAATGAAGTCACTGCTATCTACGAGTTTCTTACAAGTATTATTATGTTCTCGTTGCACAGGTCCTCGTAGCCTCGCACTACTAGTACAGTACCTTGGGAAATCTTGTCCTACGGCGGACCGAACCACATCTGTGGCAGCGATAAATCAGTGAATAATAAATCGGCTGGTTTTTGTCTGACGAGGCTCCCCTGGCCAGTGACTGCATGGCTCGCCCCCTTTTTCTCCGATGTGAGCAAGTTTCCGGTCTCCACCATCAGATGCGCATGTTTTTGGGCGGTGACTAGTAACGACGTAGTAACATTCCAGCCCAATCCATGGCTCTTTTCATCCACAACCGCACCGCGCGACAGCTGACGAGAGCATCAATGACCGACCGCTCAGGCTGGACTGCGATACTCCCGCCAGTGCAATTAATGCTTCGGTCCTCAACCGGTAAGCTCGCTAAGCAGGCTAGGCTTCCGAGTCAAGACGCGACAAGGCCTGACCGTAACCGGCCTTCCAATGCTTAACACCCCTTGACACTTCCTTCGCGGTTCAAGTGCTTTATATCTTGCTGTGTCCCCATCGAGCCATTCGAACGTCCTTTTGCTCTGATTCCTTTTGGCCTGGTCATTTTCGTTACCAACAACGCATCTCACTTCCCATCTACCTCCCGACGTTCGCCCATCATGATTCCTCAATCCCTCGTCGCTCTCCTCTCATTACCGCTCCTTGTCTCTGCGCATTTCCACATCCTCTACCCAACACCCCGAAGCGATGAGGACGAAAGCGAGGGCAAGTTCCCCTGCGGTGGCTTCGCCATCAGCGACAATCGCACCGTGGTCTCGAGTTCCGCGTTTCCAGTTGCGCTCGAAATGGGCCATGACCGCGCCGTCGTGCAAATGCTTCTAGCGCTGGGCAACGACCCGGGCGACCACTTCAACATCACGCTGGAACAGACCCTGCAGGAACAAGGCGAGGGAAGCTTCTGTCTACCGTCGGTGCAAATCCCGGCGGACCTGAACATCACGGATGGCACAAACGGCACTTTACAGGTCATCACGAATGCAGAGGGCGGTGGCGGCCTCTACGTGGTATGTACAGTACTGCGGACAATCAATCGTGGGAATGGTTTCAACTAACATGATGGGATTTTCAGTGCGCCGATTTGACCTTCACCTCATCTCCCACCATCCAGTCCCTCCCCAGCGCGTGCTCCAATGGAACCGGAGTTACTGCTTATCCTCTGTCTTCCAAAATCAACGCCAACGAGTCAAATGCTGATGGCTCGCCTCAGAGTGGCTCCGGTTCCAGCTCCAGCTCAGGCTCGTCTGCCTCATCTACCGGCTCGAGTGCGACCGGTACTGCGAGTGGCGCTACGACCTCCCAGACCGGCAACAGCGCCGCGATGTTCACGGCTGGCTGGGGTGTTTTGGGAGCTGCCGTTCTCGGCGCGGTGGCCCTGATTTGATTTCGATTTCCATACAGCGATGCAACGTCCTGCATCTGGACAGTTTCTGCAAGCAGCACATTGTCAACCAGCATCAACAGCTCTACTGAGATAGCCTCCATCTACAAACGCTGCATCGAGTTCTTTTTCTCCAGACGTGCCGCGTCCATGTTACACATTGAAGCTCTGACTTGAGTATGTAGCGACAAATAGTATAAAGGACCAAGTCCTTTCAAGGCCACGTCTCCACCAAATTCCACTCTCCTATAGATTCACTTGGCTGCGGACCCCCAGGTCCTCCCACTTCTTCGGCCAATGTCCATACCTGGCGCGTGCAGTTGGCAGGATCGCTGAGATCGACCGCCTCTACTTGCTCAGGGGTAATGATACAGACTCTGAAATTCCTTCGCGCAAGAGGCTCGTCCGATAAGTGTCCTGCTTGCTGTCCCAATCCTTCGCCTGCTTGGTCATTTTTACCTTCTTGGAGTGGCTGGCCTGGAGGTGGGTTCTTGAAAGTCCCTCTCATCACGGGCGACAGATTCTCAAAGTAGTTTTCCACTTCCAGTCTCCACGACCAGTCTTTGTCCTTAGCGGCATGACCGGATCCCTCTTTCACCCGCATATATCGTCCAACCTCGGCCTTGACAGTCACGGTTCCGGAGTTTTGTGCCTCGTCACCGCCTTCAGCGTCGTCGGCCGCAATGAGCCAACACTTTCCTCGTATCCGCCATTGGGTCATTGTTTCTTTGATCCAAAAGACGGCTTCTACGGGACCGCCGCCGCCAGAGCCAGAACGCGACTGCGCCAGGTCGCCCTTCCCTTTGCCCGTCGCAAAGAGGTCATACACTTTTCCCATGCGTGCATCGGTTGTAAATGTAGGACAGTCCGATTCATAGATTGGGGGGTTTTTGGGGAGTTTGTTGTGCTCGTTGGGCGGTAGGGTGGCCCAGAAGCCGCGGAATATACATGTTCGGGCCCGTGGTAAGCCGTTTGCCGTCACGGTCGAGAGAACGAATTCTGCGCCAGCGCCGCCGACCTGGTCCAGATGGGCTTCAAATGTCGGCTTCCATGGTGCCGTGGAGGTGGTCGTGGGATGAGCCATCGTGGAAAGCAGGCGGGATAGCCGAGTGGTGGATCTGGCAGCCAGGGTGAAGGAAATGGTGGTAGCAGTGCCTCAACTAGTTACCGCGCCTGATATCCTTTTATAAAAAGTTATGTCCTTGCTGCCTACTACAAGTAGGTCAGATGCATGACGCGCTGACTGCCTTTCTGCGGTGTTTGACACTTTTATGAACTTGAGCCAGCGCTGGGCAGGGGTTCGATATGACGTTGAGGACTGCAGGCGGGGAGTACTGAGCATTCTGCCGGCTTCAAGTTCACCGCCTGCACGACGCTAAACTTATCGGGTCGATAACTCAATCGCATTTAAGCTAGCCGCTACGGTGCGCCTAGACTCGGAAGAGTTTCCTCCTGTACATGCGCGGCTTCTGGCCCCGACGCGCCGTTGCCTCTGGAGACTGCGACTATTCCCCCCTTGGTTCAGTGTGTTGATCCCCCAAGAAGCCTGTCTGTCCCCTCTGGGTATCGTGCATTTCAAGTTTAACTTCACAGCACGACTTCCAATCTACTAGCAATTGCCTGCGTCGACAACTGCGGCATCGCTCTCGATATCGTCTACTTAACTGGTATCCCTCAGCTTGGACTGCAGCATTGAGGCTCACACGCCTCGGCAAGATCGCTAGACGGAATCGTCTTTGTGATCGGCCGGCTTCACTTGCAGCAGGAACAACCCTTTCTTTCTGCCACAGCCGCGTCACCACAACTTGACCCTCTTTTTTCTCTCTTGAGAAATGGCTGTTAGCAGCACGCCACTCTCGCCCAAATCACAACACGACCTCAACATGGTCATGCCAATGCCTCCACCTCTCCTGCACACTCGTTCGGGAAACGAGCTGTACGAGCGTCCTCAGACCCCCACCACTCCCGGCGGTAACCATGGTTTCACCAGTCCAATGCAGACTCCTCAAGGCAGCCCGAGCAAGAAACAACTTCCACCTGGCGCTAATGACCTGCCTAACGTGTTCGAAAATGCCATGAAACTCAATCCCATGTCGCCCACAAAGAGCCAACCCAAGTCTCCCACGAAACAAGCCCTGTCCGCGGGAGATGACAACATTGCCAAAGACCCTTTCGCCGATCCTCCTACTCATCATCATAGCCGTGCTGAGAGCCCAACACGTCAATCCAACAAAGAAAATGCGCCTGCGTCAGGATTGCGCTTCGGAAAGGATTTTCAACAAAATCATGCTGCCATTTCCAGACAGGAACAGTATCAGCCTACAGAATCCAGGAAGACAATCACCCGCGGCCTAACTACCGAGGAAATGCAAAAGCTCCAGATGCCTAAGCTCAAACGTCTCGCGAACGTGACACAACTGTGTAAGTCTGGCCAGTATGAATTCATGTTTATATGCTGATTCCATTTTAGACTTCCTTGATTACTACTTCGATCTTCTCTCCTACGTCCATAACCGACAAGCCAGAGAAGCGGCCTTCAAAGCTTCATTTCCGCCTCCACCAGAGACTCCCAAGGAGGAATACGATGCCGCTCGACACAAATATTTGGGTCGCGAACGTGCCAATCTACGCAAACGTCGAACTCGTCTCCGACATGGCGACTTCCAGATCTTGACACAGGTCGGCCAAGGTGGCTATGGTCAGGTCTATCTGGCTCAGAAAAAGGATACACGAGAAGTCTGCGCGCTCAAGGTCATGCGGAAGAAGCTGCTCTTCAAATTGGATGAAGTGCGACACATCCTGACGGAGAGAGACATTCTGACTGCTGCCAAGTCGGAGTGGTTGGTCAAACTACTGTACTCATTCCAGGATGAGGAGCAGATCTACCTGGCCATGGAGTACGTCCCTGGCGGTGACTTCAGAACCTTGCTCAACAACACTGGCGTCCTTCACAATCGTCATGCACGCTTCTACATTGCAGAAATGTTTTCATGTGTTGATGCTCTACATACCCTAGGTTACATTCATCGCGACTTGAAGCCTGAGAACTTCTTGATTGATGCCACCGGCCATGTCAAACTCACCGATTTTGGTCTTGCCGCTGGAATGCTGAGCCCGATCAAGATCGAGAGCATGAGAATCAAGCTTGAGGAGGTTGGAAACACGCCTGTGCCATTTGGTATCACCCCGGTTGAAGATCGGTCGGCTGATCAGCGACGCGAGGGATATCGCTCTCTTCGAAAGAAGGACATCAACTATGCCAAGTCCATTGTTGGTTCGCCCGACTACATGGCTCCCGAGGTTCTCAAAGGCGAACAGTACGACTTTACGGTCGACTACTGGTCTCTCGGGTGCATGTTGTTTGAGGCATTGGCCGGATATCCTCCCTTTGCCGGAGCCACTGTGGACGAAACATGGCAGAATCTGAAGAGATGGCAACGTGTCCTGCGGAAACCCATTTACGACGATCCAAACTATTTCCTCAGCAAGCGCACCTGGGATCTGATCACTCGGCTTGTTGCCGCGAAGGAGCATCGGTTCAAGAACATCTCGGAGATTCACAAGCACGAATACTTTGCCGAAGTAGATTTCAATACCTTGAGAGAGCAGAAAGCGCCCTTTGTTCCAGAGCTTGATTCTGAGACGGATGCTGGTTACTTCGACGACTTCAGCAACGAGGCTGATATGGCCAAGTACAAGGAAGTGCATGACAAGCAGAGAGCTCTAGAAGAGATGGCCGAGCGGGACGAAAAGATGGGCAAGAGTTTGTTTGTCGGATTCACCTTCAGGTATGTATTGAATTGTTGTGTCTTGTGGACTTATATGTTAATTTGCAAACAGACACCGCAAACCCGATGCCGATTCAAGCCCGAGAAAGCGCATCGAGACCGATGGCACTTTTGGAACTATTTTCTGAGGTCTTTCGAGATGACAGTAGGCTGTGCCTCGTTCTCGGACTTTTCTCTTTCACTTCGAACATGTGCAACGTCTTCGGTCAAGACTGTGGTTACAAAGCGGGCTGGATAGGGGGTGTTTGGGCGGTGGTGACGGTGTCTGATGTATTGATTCCGGGCAGAGCAACAGACGCTCGATGAATGATGCGTCTGGTAGCGGTGCAAATCGGTCCCTCCCCTCCCTTCGTGAGCAGGAGATGCCAGGCCATTGTGCTGGATATGTAGGTGTCGTAGGAGTCTTTGGGTCTTTGAGTCTTTTCATCCAGGGGCTGGAATGCAGGCTGGGTACTGTTTTGCAAATGATGGGGAATGAGAATGGCCAGCAATCACTACTATGGATAGACCATGAATGAGTAGTACGTCTTGATTACCTACTATTAAGCAACATGACTGAGTGCAACGAATTCTGTTTTCTGTGTTAGTATGCCCGGCACATAGAGTGTGCCTAGTAGCACTCGTTGCCTCGTCTCCTTTCGTCTTACTCTGCCATGACCCATATCTGAGATAAGTTACTAGTAGGCTGGCCGCTGTATCTTACTGCCCTTGCATCCCCATTATTGTATTTGTTGTCCACCATCACCACCACCACCACCACCACCACCACCAACACTTCGACCGCCCAAAAGGCAAAGCGAAAATGTCGAAAAAAGGGCCAAAATAAGGGGGGAAAGAAGGAAGAACCTAGACCCCATGAAGCCCAGCTACATACGGGGTAAATGAGTGACTGAAGACACCTAGGTAGGTAAATATGTGTTTGGAATCGAATGATTTTTGGTCAAGAGTTAAGACGTATTTTATAGTCGTCCTGGTTTCGTTTGGCGACACAGAAACCAGGCTTTGCCAAGGTTTGTTTTATTTTTAGTCTTGACTTTGGCATATGGGCCTGGCAGTGCCAGTGGTATCCAATTCAGTCGAGACAAGACAGCTGATCATTATTCATTCATTATTCATACTATGATTGCGCACAAGCTCAAGATCGATTCTCTTTTTTCCCCCTCTGCACTCTCTCATGTCTAGTCAAGTCAAGGATGTACTAGTAGTTCTGAGACAGCGGCCTGCCCAGGCCCCAAGGTCAAGATCGGTTCCTTTTTTCTCGCTCTTCTTTCATGTC